TTAACATTCTGAAATGAATTTTGAGGAGTTCACAGTTAAAGCTTGAAAGTGAGGGGGACTTGGGGAGAGGCGGAGACGGTTTTACGGGAATCCACGAATGCCTAGACCATCTTTCCCCGATTTTTATCCATTCTGGAAGTCATGCAATCAATTCCATTTCAAATTTCTCCCAAATTCCTATTTTCAGCACAATGAAGATCAAGATCATCGCCCCGCCAGAGAGGAAATATTCGGTTTGGATCGGTGGCTCGATTCTCGCCTCTCTTTCCACCTTCCAACAAATGTGGATCTCGAAGGTACGATGGTTTCTGTGACGTCCATAACAAGCCCTACATCTAGAATAATCCAGATAGCTTCAGGGTTACTGTAGTTAGGGCATCGAATAGGATCCACAGTGCTGAAAATAGAATATCCCATAGTTTAATACCCCCAAATTACTGTGTGACATCCATACTTCAAAAGCTCAAGGTCAAAATCCGATTTCAGGCCGAATACGACGAGTCCGGCCCATCAATCGTCCACCGCAAGTGCTTCTAAGCAAAAAAAATCGAGAAATCGAGAAATCGACAATTTCTGGACAATTTCTGGACAATTTTGTTCTTTTCGATCTTTTCAATGCCTTCAATGCCTTCAATGCCTTCAGAGATTTTTGTTTTCTTTCATTTTTATACAAATTTTCAATTTTTCTGTGACCGCCGCCATATCATTTCCTTTATTTTTCTATAGAAAACGGCTAGAAGCTGATTTGTTTTTTAAAAAAGATTTTTAAAAAAGAAAGCAAAGCAAAGCAAAAGCCTATGCACCAAATTCTTCATGTCATTTTGCGGATATGTATAAAAATATTTACAAAATTTTGAAAAAAATACAAAACTTAAATGAAAATCGATGAAAACAGGGAAAATTTGAGCTTTTGAAGTCTCTAATTTTGAATTTCGAATCGAATTTCATTTCAATTTCATTCGGAAAACAAGAATTTCTTTGATTTTACTTTTTCTGGAGTACTGGGAAATTTCGGGAAAACTATTATGGTCTTCTCTTTTCTTTGAGCCTTAAAAAAATCGAATTCTTGAGCTCTTGTAGAGGGAAATGAACCGAATCGAATGCTAGCTTTTTCGTCTTTTTTTAAATGAACTGATGCCAGGATAAAGTTGGATCTAAATCCCGAAAATCATTCTATTAGTTGGAATGATTTTTGGGAATTTTTGAATTGGGAAAGTGGTCGAGACTCGACTAGGGCTCGACTCGACTAGTAGGCATGGTTTTGGATCAGGTTTTAGATCGCATCGGATCAGATTCGAAACAGCCGTCCATTGATCGGATCGGATCAGATCTGAGATAGTCGTCCATTGGATAGGATCGGATCTGAAACAGTCGTTCATTGGATAGGATCGGATCTGAAACAGTCGTTCATTGGATCGGATCAGATTCGAAACAGTCGTCCATTGGATAGGATCGGATTCGAAACAGTCGTCCATTGGATAGGATCGGATTCGAAGCAGTCGTCCATTGGATAGGATCAGATCTGAAACAGTCGTTCATTGGATCGGATCAGATTCGAAACAGTCGTCCATTGGATCGGATCAGATTCGAAACAGTCGTTCATTCGATCGGATCAGATTCGAAACAGTCGTCCATTAAATAAGATCGGATTCGAAACAGTTGTTCATTGAATAGGATCGGCTCAGATCGGATCAAAACGACAAAGAAATACTGTCTTTGATCGAATCGGATTTGAAAGTTGCGTTCAGATCAGATCCGAAATTCCACTTTTTCGGATCATTTTGATCTGATTCGATCCGAATTGATCCGATTCGATCGATCCAAAATTCGATCGATCCAAAAACCAAACTCTATTAACCAGTACTAGTGCTAAAAGCCCGTATCTCAAAAACACACCCAATCTAGATATCCAATCCAGTCTAGATCTAGCATCAGTCCATTCAGCACTTTCAACTGCTAGTTTGGCTTCTAGATTGGCTATTTAGCTAGTTGCTAGTTTAGCTATTTAGCTAGTTGCTAATTTAGCTATTTGGCTAGTTGCTAGTTTAGCTATTTAGCTAGTTGCTAGTTTAGCTATTTGGCTAGTTGCTAGTTTAGCTATTTGGCTAGTTGCTAGTTTAGCTATTTAGCTAGTTGCTAGTTTATCTATTTGGCTAGTTGCTAGTTTAGCTATTTAGCTAGTTGCTAGTTTAGCTTCTAGAGCGAAAGCTACGAAGTCTTTTCTTCCGAAATTCTTGAAAAGAAGTCCGGACGAACTTTTGGTTTGGATTTAAACCATTTCCCAGTAAATTTACTACAGAAATGTTAGAGCAATGCAATTTTGCAATAAGAAAATGCAATTTTGCAATAAGAAAATGCAATTTTTCCCGTTCCTCTAATGAGCTTGAATATTCAAATTTTCCTCTCCTGATCATAAAAGTTGTACGTTTCCAGTGTCATATGTGGATTTATGCGCTAAAGAAAAAGAAAATGGTCACTCGCTGATTGACAGAATAGCTAAAGAGAAAGAGAATCGTCACTAGCCTCAGAGAGAGGCCAGTGGCACATCTGGTGGTGTTGATGAAGAGGCCATGGTGGGGATGGGTCACACATTGAGCATAAAACATTCAAAAATGCTCTAAAACTTTTGAGCAACCCTAGTGATAGCCAGGATTTGCAAAAATGAATAATTCGATTCGATTTGATTCGATACATTTCATCCTTTAGATCCAATGGAAAGCGTTTCACTATCACTGAAAAATGAAATTTTCATTCTAAGGCTTTTCATCTTTCAAATTGCACTGGAATCATTCTAGTGACTTCCAGATCAGCCAAATCTCGAGGAAATTTTTTTTTCGAGATTAGTTTGCTCAATTTTTGGTCCTGGACTAGTAGTGGCTTGGAAAAGTCGATATGAATTTCTATATTTGAGGATTCGTTTCTTAAAAACCTTGGCCTGTGACTTCCAGATTGATCAAATCCGGTGGAAAAATTGTTTTTGTAAAATCAGTTAGCTCAATTTTTGGTCAAAAAAAGTAGTGGCTTGGAAAAGTCGATATGAATTTCTATATTTGAGCATTCTTTTCTGGAAAACCTTGGCCTGTGACTTCCAGATCAGCCAAATCTGGAGGAAAATTTTTTTTTTGAGATCAGTTTGCTCAATTTTTGGTCCTGGACTAGTAGTGGCTTGGAAAGTCGATATGAATTTCTGTATTTTAGGATTCGTTTCTTAAAAACCTTGGCCTGTGACTTCCAGATTGATCAAATCTGGTGGAAAAATTGTCCTTCAAGATCAGTTTGCTCAATTTTTGGTCCTGGACTAGTAGTGGCTTGGAAAAGTCGATATGAATTTCTATATTTGAGCAATCTTTTCTTGAAAACCTTGGCCTGTGACTTCCAGATTGATCAAATCTGGTGGAAAAATTGTTTTTGTAAAATCAGTTTGCTCAGATTTTTGGTCAAAAAAGTAGTGGCTTGGAAAAGTCGATGTGAATTTCTATATTTGAGCATTCTTTTCTGGAAAACCTTGGCCTGTGACCTCCAGCTCAATCAAATCTGACGAAAAAATTGTTTTTTAAAGATCAAAAGCCTCATTTTTTAGCGCCTTCTCGGAAACGTGGTAATAGAAGAGAGGCGAGCAGTTGCTTGGACTGTGACAAGCTTTCGTCCCTTTTCCCCCACTCCCTCACTTCTCTATTTCTTTCTATGAGTTGTTTTGTTTGCGTGGGGGCTTTCTTGAGAGATTCAGAGAGACAAAGGCCAAGGAGATTGGGCGGAGAACCGCGAAAGACCAGCCGTTCTGAGAATTCCCCTTTTCACTGGGAATTTTTAGGGAAACGGACAGAGATTGAAGGTTTTAAGGAGGTTCTGGAAGGCACAGAGACAAGGGGAATAGTTCTTGGGCCAAGGAAAGGCGGTGGGAGGAAAAGTCGACCCACACAACAACAACCACCCTCCTCCTCTCCCCACAGCTAGCCCGGGGATTCGAATTTTCGGATTTTTAAAAAAACTGAGGCAGCAAATTGTTGAATGACCTCCAGATTGGGGGAAAGAAGCGAGAAAACTAAAAAAATCAGCAAATGGACATCAGTTTTCAAGGTACGAAGCCGAGTTGCGTAATTAAACCGAGAAAAAACTCGATTTTAGCTGAAAATGACTCCTTTTCAAGTAGTGTGCCTTCCAGATAGCCCAAAAATCATTTACACTTTAAAATCTTTGCCAGTTAAAGGCGTCGAACTCACGCGAAATGGTTCGTAGACAGGTTTCGAGTTTCGTAGACTACTTTGGACTACGTAGACGGTACTACTTTGGATTAAACAAGGAATACCGTTGATTGGGTTCCTTAAGGATGATCCTGAGTCTGATCTTGTTGCCATTTCTTAGGTGATCATCGTGCTGAACGCGATCGGAATCCTTTTAACTCTTCCGGCAATCATTTTACTGTTCTATCGTCGAAAAACGCCGATGGTCCGCGCCGCGACTCCGGATTTAGCCTATCAACAGGTCAAATAGACAATAAATAACCTTATTTTCAAAAAAAAAAGCTTTAAAAACTACAGCACTCCATACGCGATTTAGTTGAGTATTTATTTAAATTTAAAATTTCGATTTTTCGACGTTTCGACGTTTCTTGATAGCTACAGTAATCCAATTTTTCTAGATTGGATTTATCAGTCTACTTTTCATCACATCAGCTCTCATGATACCCAGGTTAGACAAATTTAAGAAAAGTCGACCCGCACAACAACAACCACCCTCCTCCTCTCCCACAGCTAGCCCGGGGATTCGAATTTTCGGATTTTTAAAAAAACTGAGACAGCAAATTGTCGAATGACCTCCAGCTTGAGGGATAAAAGCGAGAAAACTAAAAAAATCAGCAAATGGACATCAGTTTTCAAGACACGAAGCCGAGTTGCGTAATTGAACCGAGACAAAAACTCGATTTTAGCTGAAAATAAATCCTTCTTCAAGTAGTGTGCCTTCCAGATAGCCCAAAAATCATTTACACTTGAAAATCTTTATTTCTCAATCACTGAATTCACCGCCGAGTCGATCGTGGCTATTGTGTGGCCTTTTGGTCGATTGAATATCACCGATTCCACATAATACATGATGTTTCCTTGCTGAAAAACGATTCTCTAATCAATTTTGATTCGCATTTGGGTTTTAAATGTAAATTTTCTACTTGAAATTGTCGACTCCGTTGTCGAGTCACATATTCCTGATGATTTTTTTTCGATTTTGTCAAAACCTGAAAATTTTCCCAAAATCAGCTACTGTGACTTCCAGATGGAGCAAAAATTTTAATCGCAACAATTTCTTTTCAAAGCAAACCTCCCAAGTGGTGGGCAACAGATTCGTCACCCAGGCGATATAGCCTAAACCTTGATTTTCGCTATTTCTTTCATAAAAACTACCGGTAATCATCGGAATACACATTAAAACAATCGTGCGCACTTGCTCGGTCGATTGCTGGAATTTTTGCACTGACAATTCAGCTCTTTTTTAACTATTTTACTTAGAAAAAGCGAGAAACGAGAAAAAGCGAGTGTGCCAGAGAGGGTGCGTTTGCTAGAGCATATAGAATCAATTCCAAAATCCTTACATCAATCAAAATCAACGCCATCAATACCAGGTAGTTCACCAAAAAGCACAGCGTGCCTGCTAGACCGATTCGTGCTTGTTTCACCTGAAATCTTGCGATCTATCGGTAATTTTCGACACTTTTTGCGAATCCTGGATGTCACAGTACAAGATTTCCCAGTTTACAGCCAAATTTACGCTCTTCTTTCACTTACTTGATACATGTACTGATTTCCCATCGCTTGCTTTTGAAAATACAAAGTGATGAGCAATAAAACGGCTGGATTCAACAATAGCACGATTGTTTGGCTCTCATTGTTACTCCTAGAAAAAAGAGAATCCAAAAGTGTCGTAGTTTAGATAAAAGGCTGGCCAACTTACACAAGATCGTTCGAAAGCGATTTCGAAAGTCTGAGCAGAGTCTAGGCCTTAGGCTAAGAATGAGCAAAGCCTAAGACTAAGCCTAAGCAGGGAACCTTACCAAGTTTCCCGCGAGCTACAATAAGAGGTAGGTGCCAAAAGAAAGCCCTAAAAATGTACGTTCAGAAACTGTTTTCAAAAACCGCTAATCGGCAAAACGCACAAAGGGACAGCCATTTGAATTTCGAGAACCAAGATCAAAGAGTTCCGAGCGCAGGCACGTAAACCACCAGACTACGAGCTGACTTTTGGGATGGCGAAAGGAAAGTCTTTCCGCCGGCAAAAATCAGCGTGCCAGAAATTTGAGGAAAACCTTCATTTTTTCGAAATTCAAATGGCTGTCCCTTTGTGCGTTTTGCCGATTAACGGCTTTGAAAACAGTTTCTGAACGTCCATTTTCAGGCCTTTCTTTTTGCACCTACCTCATATCGTAACTCACGGGAAACTTGGGCAGGTTTCCTGGTAAGCCTGAGCCTGAGCCTAAGCCTAAGTCTAAGTCTAAGCCTAAGCCTAAGCCTAAGCCCGAGCCTAAGCCTAAGCCTGAGCCTAAGGCTAAGCCCGAGCCTAAGCCTAAGCCTAAGCCTAAGCCCGAGCCTAAGGCTAAGCCCGAGCCTAAGCCTAAGCCTAAGCCTGAGCCTAAGGCTAAGCCCGAGCCTAAGCCTAAGCCTAAGCAAAAGCCTAAGCCCGAGCCTAAGCCTAAGTCTAAGCCTAAGCCTAAGACTAAGCCTAAGCCCAAGCCTAAGCCTAAGCCTGAGCCTAAGGCTAAGCCCGAGCCTAAGCCTAAGCCTAAGCCTAAGCCTGAGCCTAAGGCTAAGCCCGAGCCTAAGCCTAAGCCTAAGCAAAAGCCTAAGCCCGAGCCTAAGCCTAAGTCTAAGCCTAAGCCTAAGACTAAGCCCAAGCCTAAGCAAAAGCCTAAGCCCGAGCCTAAGCCTAAGTCTAAGCCTAAGCCTAAGACTAAGCCTAAGCCCAAGCCTAAGCCTAAGCCTGAGCCTAAGGCTAAGCCCGAGCCTAAGCCTAAGCCTAAGCCTAAGCCTAAGCCCGAGCCTAACCCTAAGTCTAAGCCTAAGCCCAAGCCTAAGCCTAAGCCTGAGCCTAAGGCTAAGCCCGAGCCTAAGCCTAAGCCTAAGCCTAAGCCTAAGCCCGAGCCTAACCCTAAGTCTAAGCCTAAGCCTAAGACTAAGCCTAAGCCTAAGCAAAAGCCTAAGCCCGAGCCTAAGCCTAAGTCTAAGCCTAAGCCTAAGACTAAGCCTAAGACTAAGCCTAAGCCCAAGCCTAAGCCTAAGCCTGAGCCTAAGGCTAAGCCCGAGCCTAAGCCTAAGCCTAAGCCTAAGCCTAAGCCCGAGCCTAACCCTAAGTCTAAGCCTAAGCCTAAGACTAAGCCTAAGCCCAAGCCTAAGCCTAAGCCTGAGCCTAAGGCTAAGCCCGAGCCTAAGCCTAAGCCTAAGCCTAAGCCTAAGCCTAAGCTTTGCCCTAACCTTAACCTTAAGCCTAAGCCCAAGCCTAAGCCCAAGCCTAAGCCTGAATCCAGTTTCCTAGTTCTGACCTCATTTCCCAGCCAAATCCCTTGACTTACGTGCATTTCGGGAACTGCGTCCGCCTTTCCCAAACAATTCGCGGTGGTCGGAGGAGAATCCACAAAATGACAATAAACAACTAGAAAATCGTCGTAAAACTGTAAAAATGCCTTCCAACTTGAATAAAAATCATAATAAGATGCAAAAAAATCGACGCTTTTTGCGGACTCTTCGCACCACGAGAAATAAAACGGACAAAAAATCTAAAAAAAAAAGCTTTCTCATTAGAAACCATCGGAAAACATGCAGTGCCTTCCAGCTTAAACATTTCCCATAAAAATTCGCCCTTACTCAGCCCGGCTGATGCGCAACGCCTTCGACAACGAGACCGAGTGAGTGGCGGTGAGAAGCAACGCCGAGAAGCCCCAAACACAGCCGCAAACGATTCCCGAGGTGCTAGAATGGGGAAATCGTTATAGAATCATATTTTACTGGAAGAAAACGACACTTTTTGAACTGATGACGGCGTTAATTTCAGCTAAAATCGAGTTCAGCTTAGTTTCAGAGGCTCTTAATTGAAATTCTCAAAACTTTTCTTAAATTTGGCTAACCTGGGTATCATGAGAGCTGATGTGATGAAAAGTAGACTGATAAATCCAATCTAGAAAAATTGGAATACTGTAGCTATCAAAAAACGTCGAAACGTCGAAAAATCGAAATTTTAAATTCAAATAAATACTCAACTAAGTTTTTAAAGCTTTTTTTTTAATATAAGGTTATTGATTGTCTATTTCATCTGTTGATAGACTAAATAAGGTTATTTATTGTCTATTTCACCTGTTGATAGGCTAAATCCGGAGTCGCGGCGCGGACCATCGGCGTTTTTCGACGATAGAACAGTAAAACGATTGCCGGAAGAGTTAAAAGGATTCCGATCGCGTTCAGCACGATGATCACCTAAGAAATGACAATAGCTCAGGCTCAGGATCATCCTTATGGAACCCCATCAACGGTAATCCTTGTTTCTAATATTATGACCTATTTTGAGCTATTTCAAGCTATTTTCTGTCATTTCTTTTTCCCAAATCACTCACATTCATCTCGCTGGTCGGCTCGAGAAAGAGCTCGCTCTTCTCCACGCTCACGCATTTCGCCAAATTCTCGTCTGGGATTTGATTCTCCGGGCATGGGATGCATTCCTGGAATGCGATCCTTAGAGAACAAGCAACGAACATTCTTTGAGCTCTTCTTGAGCTCTTCTTGAGCTCTTCTTGAGCTCTTCTTGAGCTCTTCTTGAGCTCTGCTTGAGCTCTGTTTGAGCTCTTCAAACGGCTTCAATGCTCCTCTACCAACTGCAAAGCTAAACTAGCTTTTTTCCCGTTTATCCTTTTATCCCAACAGTCCACCCAGAGCTCACCATTAACGTCTGATTTATATAGAAATACTCGGCACACGATTGACACGTCCAACAACACGATTGTCCTTGGAAATTCAGAACTTGTTTGTCGCAAGTTCGCTGAAAATTTCGAGAAATTTTGATAAGGAAATGCAAATAGCAAATAGGTTAATGGCTCTTCAAAAAGAGTTACAGTAGCCTTTTAGAGTGCTCTAACTAGAGAATGTCACAAATGGCGGTAGCTACAGTAACCGGATACTGTAGTTGTTAGTGTAGTTATTTTTGTAGAGTACTTACTAAGGAATGTTGTTAACTGTTGTTGACTTATCATGGTTTTTGACTCAGGAAATAGCCGATCTGCTGCAGTTTTGCACGCTGATTCCGAATCTGCAATCAGTTTTTGCCAAACGCTTCTCTATCACGAGATTTATAGCATACAAGTTTTTGGGAGCCACCGAGGCCTTTTTGGGAGCCACCGAGGCCTTTTGGGAGCCACCGAGGCCTTTTGGGAGCCACCGATACAAGTTTTTGGGGTCTTTTGGAACGGAAAAACAGGGACGAGTTTGGCTTTATAGAACTTTAAAAAAGAATTTTTATTGAAAGGACTCGAACCCTCGGGGTCCAAAAGGGCATACGCCTGGCACACGCGCGCGCTAACCACCACACCACCGATTGCCGTTGACTGAAGACAGTGCGTAGCCCTCATAAAGAGACCCCAAAACTCAACTTCAATCGATCTGGAACGCACACTAGTGAAATTCATTGTGACACTGTCTTCAGTCAACGGCCTTGGTGGCCCCCAAAAACTTGTATGCTATAAATCTCGCGACAGAGAAACGTTTGGCAAAAACTGATTGCAGATTCGGAATCAGCGTGAAAAACTGCATCAGATCGGGTATTTCTCCGAGGCAAAAAAGCCACGATAAGTTAACAACATTCCCTAGTTAGTGCCAAGAAGATGACACCAAAAAAGAAATTCTTTTTTGAAATACAGCTTCTTTGTAATAAAATTTTTTGGCTAAAAATAGAGATTATAAAGCGTATTGCTCATTTATGTTAGCTTTATCTCATAAGGAATCGTTTTTCTGATGCAAAAAGTAAGCTGAATTTAAGCTGGAAGATAATACCTCTCTTAAGGCCTTTCTTTCTACAAGGAATCTCAACTGGGTGACCAAATGACACGAGCCATAGATCATTCGACGCAAAATTCAAGACTGATTCCGAATCTGTTTTCCGTTTCTGCTATAGAGCGCTCAGTCAAAAGTTATAAGCGTGCAGAGTTTTTTTATGGGATTTGAAAAACCGCATACACCCCGTGTTTATAAGATTTCCCCAGAGACCCCCGTGGAAGCAGTGGTGGCCGAGTGGCAGTGGGATTCGGAATCAAAAAACGGATTGCAGATTCGGAATCAGCGTGAAAAACTGCAGCAGATCGGCTATTTCCCGAGTCAAAATCATGATAAGTTAACAACAGTTAACAACATTCCTTAGTTAGAGTACTCTACAAAAATAACTACACTAACAACTACAGTAGCCGGTTACTGTAGCTACCGCCATTTGTGACTACGTTCTTCTTTAGATTTGGAAGCTAGCAGCTCTCTAGATTTGGAAGCTAGCAGCTCTAGATTTGGAAGCTAGCAGCTCTTTAGATTTGGAAGCTAGCAGCTCTAGATTTGGAAGCTAGCAGCTCTAGATTTGGAAGCTAGCAGCTCTTTAGATTTGGAAGCTAGCAGCTCTAGATTTGGAAGCTAGCAGCTCTTAGCTTTGGAAGCTAGCAGCTCTTTAGATTCTCTTAAATTTCGCCTTTCTGGAGCGCAAACCTGACAATCCGCGGCTTCGGTGTGGATTCTGTCAAAAATCGGAATGTCGATCGGCTCCATGTTCTCATCCGATGGATCCGGACCAAATAAAGGATTATAACGCTTCAACACCGTCACCCAAGTAGCCTAAAGCATTTCCCAAATCTAATCTTCGAAACCCTAGACCTTAACTCACGTCTTGTCGCTGCCAAACGTTGTACACCGGTAAACCGCTGCCATTCAGAACCTAGAATTTTCAAATTTAATCAAAATTTTAAAAGTTTACATTAAAAATCATCTGTGATTTCCAGAAACAAAGAAAATTCAATTTTTTAGTTTTATTTTTCAGCTAGAAATCTATTTTTGCGTTAGAAGTCGGCAAAAAAGTCAAAAAAACAAAAAGAAAGTCAAAAAAGCAAAAAGAAAGTCAAAAAAGGTGAGCTCTATGGTCGGGAAAAGGAAAAGAAAAGCCTTAAGACCTGAAAAATCTCGGAGCTATTGAATGAGGTGAAATTCGTGTTGAGCATTTTCGCAAAAAACGCCTCTCCAGTGAAACTATATTGGGAAATGTTGAAATTTCATGAAATTCCCGCAAACTTGCCAACAAACGTCTTGCAATAGCCGATCGAACCGATACAAAACTCTGAATAAAGTCCGTGAACGGCGCGCGCCAACCACATCACCGAATCCATCACTTTGCGAGCCTGTGACATGCCTAGAGCTTAATTTCTCTAGATTTTAAGATTCCTCTAGATTTCTCTAGATTTCTCTAGATAAAGCACAAATTTAAGCGCGCTTTCTGCTTAGATTTTAGTTGGTTTTTTTGGTTAAATATATACCGTAAATACTGTAATAGTCCCCACGCATAACGACGGTGCGGAGCGTTGCGTAGTCTAGCTTTGAACGCGTTTTTCTCGACACTGGTTTATGCTACATTGCTCGTTTAAATATCAAAAAATAGCGGAAATTCAGGGCTATTTTTTGATATTTAAACGAGCATTGTAGCTTAAACCAGTGTCGAGAAAAACTCGTTCAAAGCGAGACTACGCAACACTCCACACCGTCATTATCTTTGGTATCAAAAAATAGCCCTGATTTTCAGCTATTTTTTCATACCAAAGACACATTTTTTGAAAGTACGAGCGCTTTGAAAACAAATGGAATACTAAAAAACTTTTGCGACTACGCGACTGTACGAGGCCGGCGGGGTACTATTACAGTATTTATTCGGTAGGTTTTATTCGTCAAAACCGACCAAATGTCGGTAAATTTCTGATTGTCTCATTCCCTGTGCAAGCGACACTAAACGGGCAATCTGTTTGCTCCTGAAATGTTGCTCAAATTTACGTAAATACTTGAAAAAGTACGTAAAAATCGGATGACCAACAGCAAACATTGTCGATCATAATCAGTTCAATGAGGAATTGATTCTAAAAAAGATCCCCATTCCTTCTGAAGCCTTTCCTTTTAAAGTCTAAGCCTAAAGCTAACTAGTGGCTAGTGGCTAGTGGCTAGTGGCTGCCTTTACAGAGTGCGCCATAATTGTTGCAACAAGGTATCGCGCGTGTTCAAAGACGATAACTCTTAAGCTTCATTTATGGCTTTTTGTGCTTTTATTATATTTAGAATATAATTGAAACTTTTATATAAAATTTGTTTTTTAGAATCGCTGAAAATCCTGATCGACAATCGATCGAATCACAATGACGCCGGAGACTTATAAGCGTCTTAAAGTCGACAGAAATGTCATTTTCCGCACTATTCAACGCTACGAAGCTATGGGAACAATTCCTGATGCACCAAGAGCTAGGGGAACAATTGCTGATGCACCAAGGGCTACGGGAACAATTCCTGATGCACCAAGAGCTACGGGAACAATTCCTGATGCACCAAAAGCTACGGGAACAATTCCTGATGCACCAAGAGCTATGGGAACAATTCCTGATGCACCAAGAGCTATGGGAACAATTCCTGAGACACCGAGAAGCGGTAGACGCCCAACTGTCGTCACAAAGTCGTCAAGGGAATTCGAAAGAAGCTAAGCCAGTCGGCAAGGCAAGATGGCGATTTCAAGCACCACATTGTGTTGGATCTTCAAAAACAAGCCAAGCTTACTGCTTACAAGAAAAACAAGGCTCAACTTCTTCTGCCGCCAAAAACAAGCGAAAATCGAGAGCAGATCAGTTATTGATGGGCTGCAATGGAATCGACCATCACAATCCACAGATGAAAAGATATTTACCGTTGAAGGTCTTCTTAACAAGCAAAATGATCTTTCAAAGTCCAATAAAAAGATCGAAAGCTTGAAGAAATCCTTGTTGAAAGCGTGGGAAGAGCTCGATTCAGCTTATTTGGACCGTTGACGGGTCCGTTGACGCCTTTCCGAAACGCCTGCAAGCCTGCTAAAACGCTAATGGTGGCCGATTCGAATTTGATAGTTCATTTATATTTGTTAATCTATAATAAATGTTATTCATTTAAAAATGTGTCCTTTTTGCTCTTGTCTGCCTTAAAATCAGAACTTTATCTTGTTGTCGCGACAATTGTCGCAATTATGGCGCATTCTGCCTAATTAAAATCACCATCAGCTTGGATCAAGCTTTTTGAAGGCAAATCTATTAGAAAAGCGTTAGATGAAGGGGAGTTCTGAGCTTTAAATTGAACAACTTACTTCTGTCTCCTGAATTGTGGTGGCTTTGAGTTGTTCGATGAAAGAGTCGACCGGTTCTCCTGAAATTTTTCAGTACGTCTTTTAGACTTCAGCTCTCACCATAGGTGTCCACCGCGTACGCGTACTCGAGGATGTCCAACGAATTGTTGAGTGCCATTGAGGGAAGGACGAATTGCAGGTCACCCTAGACGGATTATCTTGCACTGGCTTTGCCATCTACAATTGGTTTCATTGCTTTCAAAAGAACGACTTCTCTCTTGAAGATCACTCTTGAAAATCGTTCTTGAAAATCGCTCTTGAAGATCAGCTGAGATCGATGAAAGGCCGATCCAAAGCCTGATCCAAAGCACAACTCAAAGCCTGACCAAAGCCTGACCAAAGCCTGACCCAAAGCCTGATCCAAAGCCCGATCCAAAGCCCGATCCAAGCCCGATCCAAAGCACGACCCAAAGCACGATCCAAGCACGATCCAAGCCCGATCCAAAGCACGATCCAAAGCACGATCCAAGCACGATCCAAAGCCCGATCCAAGCACGATCCAAAGCACGATCCAAAGCCTGATCCAAAGCCCGACCCAAAGCCCGACCCAAAGCACGATCCAAAGCACGACCCAAAGCCTGATCCAAAGCCCGATCCAAAGCCTGATCCAAAGCCCGATCCAAAGCCCGACTCAAAGCCCGATCCAAAGCCCGAAATTCACTAGAAGAAGATCATGTGTTTGGTGAGACAAAGAAGGAGTTATTCGCTGAGCTTGGCTAGAAGGCATACGTTGATTAATCGAGTCGCTTCTGAAGTGAAAAAAGAAGCCAAACCTGGACATGGTCATTTTGCAACATGAGAACGCCCAACAACTTGACCAAGGAAAAACTGAAGACTTTAGGGAAGTTCTGCGCTTTGCTCGCCCCACTTGACCCCTAATGATTTTCATCTTTTCAAGGCTATTGATTTGGCCAACGAGCACTTTGAAGATGCGAAGGAAGTCGAAAAATGGATCGACTTCGAAATCTCCTTTAGTTTAATTTTTAAATCGCCTCCCAGCTTGTCCAATTGTTACCCGAATATATCCGGCTCCTTGTATGTAGAGGAGAATCTTGTTTATGCAAGAATCTTCGGCGAAAAGCATGTAAACAGAGACTTGTCTCTTCGCCAAAAAGCTCTTCAGCTCGTTTGTGTGAAAGAGAAACTGTAAAAGGCATAAATCTTGGTTTTCTTTCACGAAAAACCTTCTGCGAATTGTTGCAATCGATCTCGAACGTTCGCTCGATGCAAGGCGAGCGAAAGAGCAAATTCGTGACAACCGGCATCGTGCAATAGTAGAGCTGAAATGAGACTATTGTCGTACGTTTTCTTGGTACCCTGAAGCTTCAGCTCTTACTGTAGGAGCTGTAGGGCCAACTTACTGGCCCCACCGCTAAACCAACCATATTATAGAATTGCGACCAAAGCGATTGCCCAGTTGTGCTCACGTCGGTGATCACCGCGATGTGGTACCATTCTAAAAGAATCTGCAATCCAGAATTGTTTGCGAGACTTTGGTTCTATTCGGCTTTCAAATGGGAGCAAATACAGGGCTCACCAAAAGCTCTATCACCTCACTTACTGGATTTATAGATATTAAGGCAAAACCGGCTTTAAAGTTGGAATTGGCATTTGTTTGCTTTTTAACCCTTGTTAAGCTGTCTTTTTTGAATTGGCATTTGCTTGCTAAGCCCTTGCTTAGCTCTTGCTTAGCCCTTGCTTAGCCCTTGCTAAGCCCTTGCTAGACCCTTGCTTTGCCCTTGCTTTGCCCTTGCTTTGCCCTTGCTTTGCCCTTGCTTTGCCCTTGCTAAACCATTATCTTTTTCGAGAAGTGTTATCAAAGTAACCACTTCTCGTCCATTGTCAAGATATTCTCAAAAAAATGGCTTCTTTTCGACTTGAGAGATATAGCTGATCGAAACGCGTGCTCTCAGATTCTCGTCGCTCAATTCAAGTGGAACCCATCGTCCATTACGATTCGTATTTCCGATTATTTCCGATTATTTCCGAATAACGGACAATTGTTGATTGATCACATTGGAGATGTCTGGCAAGCTCTCGTGTTGTTTGGATCGGATTAGCTTGATGGATCGACTTCAATAAGTTGTTTCAATCCATTATTATCGATCGAGAGCGTTGCCCATGTGCTTCTTCAAAAGATTCAATACCTTCTCGGAATCGGGGAAACCAGAGCTGACAGGATCCCTACCATAGCTGACAGGATCTCTAGCAGAGCTGGCAGGATCTCTAGCAGAGCTGGCAGGATCTCTAGCAGAGCTGGCAGGTCATAACTTGTTCTCCAAAAGCGGAGATCACGATGTGATTCGGCAGCATTTTTGCCCATCTTGAAGACACGCGCGCATACTTATGATTCACCACTATCTAAAGCAAATAATCAAAAAGTAAAAGCTCTGACTAAGCTTTGGCTGGCTTTGGCCAAATTCAGGGAGGCGACAGAACTTTTTGGTGTACCCTGTAGAGCCTCATTGGATAAAATCAGCCGAGTTAGATCCTATCTTGCTTTGAATGACCCTAAAGTCTGGCTGGCTAGGAACAAGGCCCTGACTGGCTAGGAACAAGGCCCGAAGCTGACTTTATCCTTTGCCTATAAGCCGAACCCTTGAAAAATCTCTGGCGCTGTCCATTTACACCAACCAACCTTGTGACATCAGCACATCGTACATCACTTGGGCTCTGCATAATCACATTTCCAAAATTCAAATCTTATCAACCTGTACATATCATCAGAAGCCGTTCTCGCGAAAAACGGAAAACTCTCCTTGTTGTCGAGCTGACTCGCGGTGCACAACGAGGAAATCACCGGGATGCAGAAAGCCTGGGGGAAAGTAGAGATAAATCTAATCACGAAAACGCTGAAGCTGGATGTCACTGCATTCAAATTTGCACAAATCTTCAAGGAAAATTGAGAATAAGTCTAATATCTACTCTGGATGTCAGCACATTGAAATTTCTAAAATCTAGATTCTCAGAAGTCTCGAAAAATCAAAAACCTTCCAATCTGGACATCTCTGCATTAAAATTTCTCTAAATCCCCACCTGTAACAGATAATTAATATTCTCGGCCAGGTCACAGTTGAACGAGCCGACAGCCGCCAAAAGGGTATTCGAGAGCTCATCGCGTGTGAGATTCCCCTTGCAGAAGCCCTAAAGCTGTCTTAAAAGGCTTGAAGATCTTGTAAAAGAGTAATTTTTACCAGTTTTGACACCAAAATCGTCTGACAATGAGCTTTAGACTAGAGCTGGAATCTAGCCAGCTTTAGACTAAAGCTCTAGTCTAAAGCTCTAATCTAAAGCTCTAATTTAAAGCTCTAGTCTAGTCTAATCTAAAGCTCTAATCTAAAGCTCTAGTCTAGTCTAATCTAAAGCTCTAGTCTAGTCCAATCTAAAGCTCTAGTCTAATCTAAGTCCAGTAGCATGATCGTCATTTCTATCGCATCAAATGTCAAAAATTGGCTTGACCAGCTATTCTTAGCTTTTTTCCATAGAATTATCAAGAGATGTGGAAATTTCTTTTGAAAACCAACTCACCAATCCATTCCTTGTCATGTAAACGGTCTCTTGTAGAGTTGTTGAGCTAAAATTTTACTTTAGCAATTTTAGAGCATTTCAAAAACTCCCAACCGATCATCACACGTATCCGCCATTAGATGATTGATGTGAAGATTCAAATCGTTCAGAATATAGCTAGAATTTGGATGTTTTGATAAAATCAAGAACCTAAAAGAACAAGAACCTAAAAGAACAAGAACCTAAAAGAATAAGAACCTAAAAGAACAAGAACCTAAAAGAACAAGAACCTAAAAGAACAAGAACCAAAATCAAAAAAAAGCCCATCACCTCTACTCCGAGAACGAGCTATTTATAGCCTGTTTATCCTCTTGTCCCATTGAATAAGACTACAAACGGCTATTAAATAACTTGTTAAATGTTATAAAAGTTAAATCTCAACAAAGAGAGAAAATGATTTAGCATGATTTTAGTGTCATTCGAAAGCCTCGGTAACAAAAATTTTGAAAAATCTCTATTCTATCTCTTTTTCTACAAGGATTTGTAGTCTGACGGATTTGCCTGACGGATTTGTCTAACGGATTTGTCTAACGGATTTGTCTGACGTCTAAGTTTGTGAGTTTATAGCACTCATGTCTAATTGTTACGTCAAAATCTGACTGCAGACGGACCTGTTGGCGTAGTCGACCGCATACTGAGCGGCTTCAGACAAAATCACATGATCCGCTTGCAAATGGGCACAATTCTGACCAGAGTGTATCGTGTAAAGGCCTGAAAGTATTAGGTTGGGGAGAAAGTATTAGGTTGGGGAGAAAGTATTAGGTTGGGGAAAAAATCTTTGATTTTTTTGGGAGACGGACTTAAATTTGTCCGATCTGGACGCTTAATAGCTCATTTAAAAGCTAATTTTCTAGCGGATTCGATAAAAAAACCCGTTTTTTAATATATCAATTCTCAAAGTTTTTGCAGTCGTCTGACTGAGGGACGTCAAATCCGAAATTTCAAAAAATTAATTTTTGTTCGTTTTTTTGTACGGAAACCTAGACTGAAACCATGTTTTTCGGAATCAGCGTTGAAAATTACCCTAGAAAACGCAAAACTCGTTCTTTTAGCAACAATTTTTCAAAAAAACGCCTGCCGCGCGCCGGAGTCGAACCCTCGACCCTCAGATCACCGCTTTTAGGGCTCTAAAAAAAGCCCTACTGGCCCCAAAGTGATGCTAACCGGAAAAAGTTTTCGGTTAACAAGGTAGAATCGATCAAAACAAGGGTTTGATCGCTAATAGGTCCGGAGTTGGATTCATTCCTGCGAATCAGTAACTTTATAAGCTGACACGGTAAAACGTTTCGATTGTCTACGGTTGTCGAAAAAGTTGACACGTTTTGGAAAACGCATTTTCAAGAAGCCCATTCAAATTACAACGCCAAAAAATTTCGTTTAGAATTATCTTGAATTTTTTTGTTCAAACTTTCAACAGCAACAGCAACAGCAACAATGACAATAATTTAAACCCTCACCAGCTAGCTGAAACTCGAGACGATCGGCGGCAGCAACATTCGCAGAATCACGTTCTTTTTTCGACTGCAAACCCTGCAAGAATAGAAGAAATGTGCAAAAAATTGTCAAAAATCCATTCATTCGGGCAATAAATCAATGAATTTCCCTTCTTTTCTGCTGATTATATTCGACAAAAAGGCTTATCTGGCTAAAAAAAAGAGGCTATACGGGCTACTGAAGAATTGCAAAATGACTAATTTCTTTGCCAAGGTGAGCTTTTCTCACAAGTTTAGAAAGAAGTGCATTTTTCCATCGCAAAGTCGGTGTTTTCTAAAACCTTCTCTCCAAAATCAGCTACCGTAAACTAGAAACACCTTTTAGAAACCTGAGTCATGGGCTTGAGCTTTTTGCCATCCAACCTGGCACTCAACATTACCGAAATGTGCACCTTGTCATTCCCGTATTGTTGAGGTCACCCAGTTTTCTTTTTTGTTTTTTTTTGCAATAAATGATTGATGAACGCAAAACACCAAATTTCTTGGTAGCCGCATTGTTCGAAGTCCGTTTGGCATAGGCAATAATTCCATTTTTGACAATGACAATGACAAAGACCATGGAACTTTTAAAAGACCACGATTCACGGAAAGAACTCTCAACATTACCGAAATGCGCACCTTGTCATTCCCCGTAGTTAATCTACCTCGACCTCTTTGGCTCCCTTTTCATCGAAACACTTGCTTCCGGATGCATGGATCCAAACGGTTTCCAAACGGTCCAAAACGTTACACTCATTTCCACAAATTGCCTGCTTCTCGTCCTTCTCGAATGTTCCTCGTAGATCCTCAATTTGTTCATCATGCTTCTTCTTGAAGTTTTTATTGTTCATCGTTTTCCCATTGAGCTCGAAATTCTTCAAAACCATCGAGGGATCTCTCTTGATTTCATTCCTAAAAAGAAAAACTATCCAAATATAATTGCAACAAAAAATGAGAGAAAAATGGGGGTGACTACTTTGAGTCAAATTTTTTTGGCGCAACTTATCATAACTTTTTTTCTATGTGAGTTAATCTTTATGATTTTGTTGCACTTGCTGAGATCTACAAAATGACATTAAAATCATAAAGATTAACCCACTTAGAAGAAAGTTATAGCGAGTTTGGCGCAAAACAGCATAAAATAAATGTTTGGTACGAAAATGCGACGAATAATCTTTTGAAAAAGAATTTTAAACGCTGCATAGCTGCACAGTTTATAATAATAATGGAATAATTATGATATATAATAATGGAACCATATTGGAACCACATTGGAACCATATTGGAACCATTTTATAATGTGGTGCAAAAGTCTTGTCCCACTTACTTTTCTGGAAGCTTTTGTCAAAATTCTAAAAATTTTCGAAAACGACTTTTTAAGTAAATGGGTTTTTCGGGGGTGGGACAAATGTGACCTTTTTTTGCTGGAAAAGGCCTTAGGCAAGGCCGTAGAGCTTCGAAAATATTTCGAAACTACACTGAGCCACTGTCGTTTCCTGTTGAGATTCTCGTACGAAATCCATTTGAGTCCCAGAACCCGCTGTTCTTTGCGGAAAAGCGTTAAGTTGCGTAGTTTTTGTCTTTTAGCCCAAATTTGACATGTCAGCGAGGTCTGATTTGTCGAAATTCCGAATCTACGCATACGATTCCCTTATATGGAAACATTTTTGAAGCTCTACGACCTTTCCTAAGGCCTTTTCCAGCAAAAAAAAAGGTGCGCAAATGTCCAGGTGCGCAAAAAAAAGGTCGCATTTGGCATGTTCGTGTTTGCAAATGGAAGTAAGTTGGTAAGTTGTTCTCTATGATTGACTTGTACCTTTGAGCATCGAGATTTGCATTGATAAACAATAGCGGTCCCGATACACTTCGATTCATCGAGCCTAAAAAAGACAAATCGTAAGTGAAAAATAGGGCGAACACTTACCCCACAACATAATGCTCCCACCACCGAATTTGACCGTTGGCTTAACGTATTTGAGCTTATAACGTTGTCCAATTGGTCTTCTGATTAAATGGTTACCGTCCGGGTAGTATAAATTAATTCTAGTCTCATCGGTGAAAATGGGTCGACCCAGTCATCGGAAGTCCAACACTCGTAGTTCTTTGCAAAATCATATCTCAGCTTCCGAGTTTTTGCAATGGTCAAGGGTCATTTTGCTGGTTTTCTTGCATGCAATCCTGCTCGAGCCAAGCGACGGTTGATGCTCCATCGAGAAATACAGGGTGCGTCATAACTATTGCAACAAGATACTCAAGGCATTGCACACCAAGAAGTTTCACTGGAAGAAGATTTTTAAACAGAAATAGCTTTATTTAACAGTAACAAATAAGGAAACAAGAGATCATTCGATATGACCGCCTTTTGCCTTGATAACAGCCCTTAATCGGTTCGGATATGCCTCCACTGCGGCCCGAATGTCATCTTGAGGAATCGCCTTCCATCCTTTGGTCAAATCATCCTTTGTGTTTTCGAGAGCAGACATTAACCTCTAAGATTGCCCAAATGGAAAAGTCCATCACATTGAGATCCGGTGAGTTTGGAGGCCATTCATCCTTGGTGATCACTGAGGGAAAGTTGGCCACACACCAGTCCTGAACCGTCTTCTTCGTGTGAGCGGGAGCTCCATCTTGCATGAAGGTCCAATTTTGATTGTTCTTGACATCACAAACGGTCTTTGAACTCTTGTTGCAATAATTATGACGCACCCTGTATTTTTGTTAGACATGGCCTTCAACTTCATGATTCCATAGCTCGAAGTCAGATTCGGGTCGATTCTATGGTCAATGATAAGTGCTCGATCTTCAGTTTTTGTAGTAATCGGTGGACGACCACTTTTCGAAGCTCCATGAAGACTTTGGCCTGCTAGCCGATTTTGCTGCTAGCCGATTCACCGTCCTTTTATTGCATTTGAAGAGCATCGCAATAGACGGTGATGAATATCCATATTTCTTTGCTTGCACGATCTTTTGCTTATCAGGAGTTGATAAATATTTGCGAGTCGACACCTAAAAATAGAAATATAGTACAAAAAATTCATGAGAACAAACAAAGGCAAAGAGAAAATACAAATTTCCTTAGTGAGACAAGACTTTTGCCCCACAGTGTATTTACCAACAGCTGCTTTGCGCCAAATGTTTTGCGCAACTCGCCATAACTTTCTGGTAGGTTTATCGCATACACGAAATACACCAATCGCAATTCACAACACACAATACTAGGCTATATCTTCACTTAACCGACGCTTAACGCCTTCCCTACTCCCTAATCCTACTCTTGGATCTTTCCCAATAGTGGCGGCCGCCGAGGGATTATCGGCGGCCCAAGATTCGTGGAGATCTTGTTCTGGCGGTCAAGAGAAGGCCTACTACTTCTAAAGTTTTTCACACATTTATCCGATAACCAACGTAACATTTGCACAAATATTTCACACACATTTACGAAAAATGGGGCCGCCGGGGCCGCCGCTATTAGGAAAAGTCCCTACTCTTAATGAACGGTCCCTACATATCTTGTTCTGGCGGTCAAGAGAAGGCGACGGCTAGTTTGAATACAAATTTTCGCTATAAATGAGGTGTCGTTCGATTAGCGGGTGTCATTCGAATACAGCATTTACGGTATATATTTATTCAAACTCAATTCATATATTAGGTTGGCAAGAAAATCATATATTAGGTTTTTCTTTTCGCTGCACCCTAATTTTTCAATCAAAGACTTGTTTTCCAACCTAACAAACAATGGAATAACAGACAATAAATATCAACGAAAATAATTTCGTTAAAGAAGAACGACTAATTTCTCTTGTCCGGGACATCGAATCAAAAATCGGCCTTGCGAATCGCGTTTGATCTCCTCGTCTTCGAGTGGCCGTTTAAAAATAGAAATATTTTTTATGGGAAGACGAATTTATTTCTGTACTAAAGTCAAGTAGAACTCAAATTTTGACGGTTGCTGACAGACAAATTTTGACATTTCCGTGGTTATCATAGAAACAATTATCCAAATCACTCACCCAAAAGGGTAATCCGCTTGGGAGGACTCGTTTGGATAGAAGCTGCACCGGGGATCGCGTAGATACCAACCATTACCGCCCTAAAAGAAGAGAAATTGCTAAATTTTGCCTACTAGATGGTCGGATTTGCCTAGATTATAATGTTTTAGCTTTCTAGCAAAAAGATCAAGGCAAACCTTTTGCAATGTCTCCCCGATCATCGTCCCCTCTGGCAAATCCGTGAAATCGAGCGACGCCAAGCAGCTGAGACGAGCACATTCGAGAATCCTGGAAGAGAAATTGTGAATGCATTGTGAAAAGAGCCTAGTTCAGTAGATTGTGGGTTTAAACTCAATGTTTTTAAGGAAAAATGGGTCAATAAACTGATCAAAGACGAGTTGGGTAATTGAACCAACAGAAAAAGCCGCTTTTTCTAGAGTCGGAATTTACTAATGTCAAAAACTAGAGTCGGAATTTACTAATTTCAAAAATTTCTCCAACCTTCTCCCATCGGAACGACCCGGATCGATGACACGGAAACGCGTGCTCTTGCAGAATGGACACTGTTGCTGTTTATTGTCGGGAGCCAGCTTCTCCGTATTGCTCGGCATGACACAGGGTCGCGTTGACGTTTGCTTCGGGGTCACTGATCGGCTGTCTCGGCCCTGAAATGCTTGAACTTTAGAAACAAAACAATCTAGCTGTAAATTGGCATATTTGAACAACTTTAGCTTTTGGCTTAAAAACACAGTCAATTCTCTCCATCTCTCATCCAACATTCTTTTAAAAGAATTTTCAAGCCAGTCACCCAAATTTCTGCCATTATCCCACAAAAAGCGATAGTTTTTGAGCTAATTTGATATTTCCGAGTCGGATGAGGCCCTAAACAAATGGATTGATACTTTAATATGTTTAAACTTAAGCTTTAAACGTTTAAACTTAAACTCTAAACGCTTTAAACGCTTTATACTTAAACTCTAAACGTTTTAAACTTAAACTTGAAACGTTTAAACCTAAACTTTAAACGTTTAAACTAAAAAAAGGTTTTGTACGTTTCCCCAACAAATTGCAAGTTATTTGACAAAATTTTAATACTTTCTAAAGTCTTAAAGACATTTTGCAGACCAAAGAACTGACGAAAAGCTTTTTTTTAGTCATAATCTTAATAAAATTTAAACAAAGCTCAGCACAAAAAGTTTTTTGAGGCATTATTCGGATACTTTCGTGTTTAGCTCTTAGTCTTTTTAAGTTTAAAACGAATATCAATACTTGAAAGTATTTATAATTCGGACTAAGAGCTTTAAAACAAACAAACAAACAAACAAAAACAAAACAAAAACTAGGCTTTAAGCTAGCAGAACAGAATCTAAAAGCTCATTTAACCCTCTATTTGCAGAAGAATAGCAGGAAAGTACGATTTTTGCGCTAAACCAAGTCCAATACCTTCAGCAATCTTGACAAATTCCCTTTCGCAATCGGCCTCATTTGTGTCATGTCGTTTGTCCCTTCAAAGGTCGCCACTTCGAGCATGAAGTCGGCTAAAAATTTAATCAATTATTGCTTAAATTCATTCACAAACCATATGTTTTCCCGTTGTGAATTGCGTCGATGTCCGTTTTATTCAATTTCCGCGATCTATTCTGCACTTTGTGCCGCTCGAAAAGGTCGATTATCTAAAAATTTTAAGAAATTATGCAATTAGTTAAGCAATTTCTTAAGCAACAGTTAAGCAGAGCAAGTTTCTAACGGTTTTCTAACGGTAAATTGCGCATGTTTGAGTCACATTTTTTCAAGTTTCCTGAAGAATTTTTCTTTAAAACTTGAGAAATTTGTTTAAAATCGGCGAAAATACAAATTTTCTTTAATTTTTTCAAAGAAACTTTTGAAAAACTAACAAAAAAAACGGATTTCTTTCCATTTTTGTCAAGAAATCTTTGAAAAAAATGAACAAAAATCGTTTCTTTCCAGCTTTTTTCCATCAAACCTTTTCAAATTTACTTATTTTCTCAAAAAAACTTACCCTCCTCGTCTCCATGCACGTTTTCACAGCATCTTCGAGCGCCTCAACATCGACCGGCACGGCGAGATCTACTAAAAATAGAATTTCAAGAAAAATTTCAAGAAAACCTCCAATTCACTCACCAATTTCATCGTCGAATTGCATTTTTCAATGAAAAACGTTGAGCTGTTGATGCTAAAATCAAAAATTGAATAATTTTCTCAATAAAAGAAAATTAGAACGAAAAACAGTAAACGATAAACGATTACTGAAGTAAAAGATGAGGGAATTTTATTGGTTGCTTCGTGTTTGGATGTAATGGGGAGTGGGGCGTAGGCGGTCGGTTTAACACCTTTTGGACAGTGTGCCAGTAATGTTTAAGAATTGGGGGGCACCTAAAACTTCTCCCAAAAGTAGTTTTTCTAGGGTTATTGATAGCGCTGATCACGAAAAAAATATTTTAAAGTTGTTTTAAATTAATTGTATTAGGCTGGTGCAAAAGAAACTGCCGATTTGACGCTAAACTAAAAAAAAAGATTGCGTTCGATGGTGACATGATCACAATGGAATATTTTCGCAAGATCTCGAGCAGATTGGCATGGATCGGCCTGAATAAAGTCCCTCAGCTTGGCTTCATTCACGACTTCTGGCCTCGAACCGTGCTCGTAATCTTCCAAAGTCTCGTCTCCCTCTCGGAATCGTTGAAACCAAGTCTGACGCTGCCTGAGAGACAAAATGCCATCTCCGAAAGCAGCACAGAGAGAACGATGCGATCGGCAGCAGACTTTCCAATTTTGAAGTTAAACAGTAATGCTGCTTGTAGTAATGCTGCCGTAATCTTCCAGGTCCGGTCTCCCTCTCGGACCAGTCGTGCGCTGCGGGGGAAACGTCTCCGGAGGGGGGGGGGGGGGGGTCGCTGCGATTCGGCAGCAGACTTTCCAATTTTGAAGTTAAACAGTAATGCTGCTCGTAGCACAAACTTTTGCTCGATCATGATCTAAATAAAAAATATAAGCATTTTTAAATAAAATAAACAAGAACCAAAAAATTCAAACGTCGAAATAAATAGCGAACAAATATGCGAACAAAACATAAAAAAATAATGCCGTTAGCATCGCTCGTTTCTGATAAATGAGAGCTGATACCCATCGGCAGTTTCTTTTGCACCACCCTAATAATTAAAAACCTGGGGCTAGAGTGCTTGAACGGGGGCAGTCGTGACCCAAAATCAATATTTTTCCATGAAAACTTGCACACAGGGGTTTTTGGGACCTAGTCAAAATAGCGCCGCCAAAACAGCGCCGTTCAAAACAGCGCCCATACAAAAATCGCGCCAAATTGAAAGAGACTGCGATTGGATTTTTCAACCCCAATGTTTTTATACTTCTCATCAGAACTTGTAACTTTTGTTATTTCTTAAACATTGCTAGGCACCTTGCGCGTATTTTGACGAACCGACAGATTATTTCATCATCAGAATCAGGTTTTATGGCCCATTTTAAATAAACAATGCGACACATTTTGTTTTTCATCGTTTTTTTTTCTTGTTTTTTCTGTTCTTGGGACTTAATTTTTGTTTTTTTAGGTAAAAGAACGTCGCCTGAAGAAATAGAAAACTCCTTGCAAGTGATTCGGCGTGGCTAGCGACAAACACAGGTACTTTTCACACAATATAGTTTGCGAAGAAGTTCTACTTGTATAAGGTAATAACTTTGTTTCTTTGATCTTAAATAAATGTAATAAGATTGATTAAGCCAGTTTTTACACTTTTCTGCAGAATTTTCGTATCTCAACATCTTTTATCTTTTTTAATTTAGGGATGTCGCTATCTCAGAAAGGTGGAGTGCTACTTTACGATGAAGATAGACACGAGTATCGGAAGGACAAAACAATCCGAAAAGAGGTAGCTACAGCTTATCGGTAATTTCTTTTTACTAGTTTGGTTGTATATTCTAGTTCTAATTTTACATTTTAAAGTTTTCCTTCAGTTGTACGAAAACAAACTGCCGGGGAAGGATGCATAAAGATGAAGCAACTGGAGTCCTTTCTGTCACCAACGAGCACGCTATGACCTGCCTGCCATTGAAAGAAAAAGAAGAGGTACCTATTGTTTTGTTTAACTTTTGAAAAAGTTGAAAGTTACGAGTTCAACGTTTTGAAACGTTATCATACCAGTTCTACGTTTTGAAACGGGGAACTCGTATGATACAATCTGTCGTGGCGAACAACTTGGCAACTCGTCTCAAGAATCTTACAATTCTTTACTAAAAATTTGTATTTTTAATGTTTAGTTAATGTTTAAAAATTTAGGCTCTTACGTCACGATGTTCTGCTCGCTATGTTGCTCAAAAGCTACTAGATGTTCAAGAAGACTTCGAAAAACGTCTTCTTGCGGCTACATCTCGGCACATGACTCTACCTCAACTTCACCTCAATCTTCACCTCAATCGTCACCTCAATCTTCACCTCAATCGTCACCTCAATCTTCACCTCAATCTTCACCTCAATCTTCACCTCAATCTTCACCTCAATCTTCACCTCAATCTTCACCTCAATCTTCACCTCAATCTTCACCTCAATCGTCGAAAGTTCTTCACGGCCACCGTGTAAGAAAAGTTGCGATTCAAAATGGATCTTTGGGTAAGAGTCCAGTCGATCATTTAAAATCTTTATGTTGTTATATTCATATGTGTTAACTCCGTTGTTTCATTTTTTCATTTAGTTAATTGAATAAACAAATTTTTATGTACTATTTTACTTGAGAATGCACGAGAAAATAAAGCCTTTATGGAAAACTCCAAAAGAGCATTGGTTAATCTACATTAAAATCTTTAAATTTGGCGCTGTTTTGAGCGGCGCGATTTTTGTATGGGCGCTGTTTTGAACGATGCTGTTTTGAATGGCGCTGTTTTGAACGGCGCTGTTTTGACTAGGTCCCGGGTTTTTGACTATGCTGAATCGATTAGTAATACTTTTATATGTTTTTTTTGATACTTTTGGCCTGTTGCACGCACACTGTTTTGGAAATTTGCTGTTTGAAATGAATGTGCTAAAAGCGTTCGGAAACACCTCTAATCCTTAGTAGTTTACGTTCCCCCGAATTTAAGAATGCGGTGGGTCAATAAAAATCGGGGATGGCGCATCACGTGGTTTCCTAGAGGACTTGCGGTGGGTCAATAAAAAAAGACATGACGCAGCTCACTTTCCCGGTCGCGCATCACGGGCATACGGCAAATTACCCGTATTCGAATTTTTACTAAAAATGCTATTAATTAAGAAAATTAATAAAAAAAAGTTATAAAAGTATTAATAATCGATTCAGCATAGTCAAAAACCCCTGTGTGCAAGTTTTCGTGGAAAAATATTGATTTTGAGTCAAGTTGCTGATTGCTTCTCCCTCCAACTATTCTAGCGCCAAAAACCGGGACCTAGTCAAAATAGCGCCGCCAAAATAGCGCCGCCAAAACAGGGCCCATACAAAAATAGCGCCAAATTGAAAGAGACTGCGATTGGATTTTTCAACCCCAATGTTTTTATACAGGGTGACCAGAAAATACGGCGAATTTTTTCTCGACCTTTTGATATCAAGTTTTTCTTTGGTTTTTGTGATGTTTCTTTTCTATAATGCTTGTTTACGTTGTTCTGATTAATAATCTTTGAATTTTAGGGTCTTTCCGATTGCCCGGGCACACTTCTTGGACGATCCTATGAAAGCAAAGAGACTACAGCGAGCGCGATTGATGAAGAGACTGGTCGCTGGACAGAATCTTGATAAGGTCTTATTCACAGATGAGAAAATTTTTACCATCGAGCCAAAGCACAACTTTCAAAATCATCGCTAGCTGTTGAAGAAAGGTCTTAAGAACACTTTTGCAGCAAAAATTATGGTGAGGCGTCATTTTCCAGCTTCTGTCATGGTATGGGCCGGGGTGTGTTCAAGCGGAAAGACACCTCTTGTCTTCATCGATCGCAACGTCAAAATCAACGCTTCCGTGTATCAACAAAAAGTTCTAAAGGATGTTTTAGTTCCCTGGGTTGCAAAACACTTTGGTCAAAGCGGTTTTGTTCTACAACAAGACTGGGCTCCAGCCCATGGCGCTACTTCCACTCGACAGCTCTGTCAGCAGCTCTTTCCTGGATTTTGGGACAAGGATGTGTGGCCGGGAAACGCACCAGATTTGAACCCATTGGACTTTTCTGTGTGGTCAATTCTTGAAGAAAGGCTTCGCAAGTATCGATACACCACGGTTGCCGGTTTGAAAACGGCCTTGATTCGCGCTTGGAGCGAAATTACAACGCAAGAATGTGCGACCATCATTCAGAACTTTCCGAAGCGGCTTAGCAAATGTGTTGAGGCCAAAGGTGGAAATTTTGAACATTTAATGTAGGAATTTTTGATAGAAAAGTTATTGTTGAGCTTGAATTTGTTAATTCTTGTTAAACTTTCGAGATAAATCTTTTTAAAAAGTGCTGAGGGCTAAATTTGATGATGCGCAAAAAATTCGCCGTATTTTCTGGTCACCCTGTACTTCTCATCAGAACTTGTAACTTTTGTTATTTTTTAAACATTGCTAGGCACCTTGCGCGTTTCTTTTGCACCACCCTAATATATGCAACGACGCTCGTCAGTCCATCAAGTTTTGAAAAAAAAAATGATTTTTGATTAGAATCTAGTTCTATTTTCTACTTTTTCCCAAAATGCAACTCACTTGTTTCAGTTTTTCTCTACTTTCTCATTCTCTCACCGTTTACGCAAAAATTGTAGTTTGAACTCTACGCCTTTTCGAATTCTGTGTGATAATGCATCCAGTCCCAAATCATTTACAAATTCCTTCCTTCAAATCAGTTTATCTCCTAAAAATATCCTAAATATCGATGCGATCCAGCTTAATCTTTTATTTATTCCGTTATTTGATAACTGAACGGAATCTGCGACTTTTGCGAGGAAAATTGTTTCAGCAACATTTGAAATTAGTGAATTGGGACCGTAATTCGCATGGGTTTGGTTTAAAATGATGAAATTCATTAAAAATTTCATTTAATTAATAAAAATAAAGCGATTTAAACTTTTTAAAGTTAGTATTGGGTTGGTGAATTGAAAACTGCCGGCTATTGTCATATGTGACAGTTTAAGCACTTCCTTCAGAAGAAACCCATTTTGGTGTCAATAGGAAAGTTGTAGAGAATCAAAAATAAAGCTTCTATCCAAATTTTCAGAACGATTCAAAAACTGGTTTTCAAGAAATGAGAAATTTACGAATTTTCACAAAACTTGCATTTTAAGCGAAACTACTAAGTATATCTTTTTGGAAATTTGGCTATAAGCCTAATTTTTCATTCTCTACAACTTTTCTATTGACGCCAAAATGGGTTTCTTTTGAAGAAAGTGCTCAAACTGGGACACTGGGACATCTCCAATCCTCCATTTTTGACACTGGGACATCTCCAGTCCTCCATTTTTGACACTGGGACATCTCCAGTCCTCCATGGAGGCATTTTTGACACTGGGACATCTCCAGTCCTCCATGGAGGCATTTTTGACACTGGGACATCTCCAGTCCTCCATTTTTGACACTGGGACATCTCCAGTCCTCCATTTTTGACACTGGGACATCTCCAATCCTCCATTTTTGACACTGGGACATCTCCAGTCCTCCATTTTTGACACTGGGACATCTCCAGTCCTCCAGTCCTCCATTTCTCACATTTGTCTCACACACAAACCAAAACCAAACCAAAATCCCACCACGAAAGAGGAATCCGCAAATTGCCTGTAAAATGAGCAGAAGTCGTCAATAATAATGGAAATTATTTGGAATGAATTCATGGTTTTATGTTCAATAAATTTTAAATTTTAGTTCAAAGTCCGGCAGTTTTCAATTCACCAATCCAATAAAATTAGCCAGCAGTTTACTTTTAAGTGTTTTCTAAAAGATGGCAAAAGTTATAGTAGCTTTTCTATAGAGCATTTTAGGGATTTTACTCTTGATTTATTGTAAAAATTCAGCTTTTTGTTCGTCTCACCGATTTTTGCCTTCTCTCGAGCACTCATCCCATCTCATTTAGTCAATGTACATTTCGAGATTCACCCAAAAATCGGTACACTTTCAAAATCCGAAAATTTTAGTATAATGATTGTAAAATGATTGTAAAATCTTCCCCCAACCACATTTTTAGCGGAACATTTTTCAATCATTATACCCTAAAGTCGCGAGTATAAGTTCTGTTTGGTTTTCGCATGCAAATTGACGGCTGTCTCCGGTGCGGTGTGTCGAGGGTTCGAACCCCGCTGCAGCATAACTTTTTTGCTTTTTAAGAACAATAATAGAAGTAAATTTATTGAGGGTTAATTTTATTGCTGTTATTTGTTGCTCCGGGCGTGGCTCGGCCCTGGCCCTGGCCCTGGCCGTGGCTCAGCGTGTCCGCCCTGCTCTTCTCCGGTGCTCAGCCTTATGGATCCCTGGCTTCTTCATCCGGCCCTGGCTTCTTCATCCGGCCCTGGCTTCTTCATCCGGCCCTGGCTTCTTCATCCGGCCCTGGCTTCTTCATCCGGCCCTGGCTTCTTCATCCGGCCCTGGCTTCTTCATCCGGCCCTGGCTTCTTCATCCGGCCCTGGCTTCTTCATCCGGCCCTGGCTTCTTCATCCGGCCCTGGCTTCTTCATCCGGCCCTGGCTTCTTCATCCGGCCCTGGCTTCTTCATCCGGCCCTGGCTTCTTCATCCGGCCCTGGCTTCTTCATCCGGCCCTGGCTTCTTCATCCGGCCCTGGCTTCTTCATCCGGCCCTGGCTTCTTCATCCGGCCCTGGCTTCTTCATCCGGCCCTGGCTTCTTCATCCGGCCCTGGCTTCTTCATCCGGCCCTGGCTTCTTCATCCGGCCCTGGCTTCTTCATCCGGCCCTGGCTTCTTCATCCGGCCCTGGCTTCTTCATCCGGCCCTGGCTTCTTCATCCGGCCCTGGCTTCTTCATCCGGCCCTGGCTTCTTCATCCGGCCCTGGCTTCTTCATCCGGCCCTGGCTTCTTCATCCGGCCCTGGCTTCTTCATCCGGCCCTGGCTTCTTCATCCGGCCCTGGCTTCTTCATCCGGCCCTGGCTTCTTCATCCGGCCCTGGCTTCTTCATCCGGCCCTGGCTTCTTCATCCGGCCCTGGCTTCTTCATCCGGCCCTGGCTTCTTCATCCGGCCCTGGCTTCTTCATCCGGCCCTGGCTTCTTCATCCGGCCCTGGCTTCTTCATCCGGCCCTGGCTTCTTCATCCGGCCCTGGCTTCTTCATCCGGCCCTGGCTTCTTCATCCGGCCCTGGCTTCTTCATCCGGCCCTGGCTTCTTCATCCGGCCCTGGCTTCTTCATCCGGCCCTGGCTTCTTCATCCGGCCCTGGCTTCTTCATCCGGCCCTGGCTTCTTCATCCGGCCCTGGCTTCTTCATCCGGCCAAAGTCCACGTCGACGGATCGAAAGAGGTGCTTTCCAGCGTCTTCTTCAACACTATCGTCTGGATGTATCCATAACAAATAGCAATGGTGATAGGCTGTCACCCTGTAGTATCCCGCGCTCCAAGAACAATAATAAAAGTTTATACAAACAATAAAAATGTTTATATAACAATAAAAATGTATAAAAACCCGATAAAAAGAAATTCAAAGCAATTAAAAAGAATGCAAAATTAAGGCAGAACTTATATTCGAGACTTTAGGGTACTTTATGCGTTCCAGAAACAAATTTTAGGCAACAAAACAGTGATAAAACGCAAAATGAAACTCGGAATTGACTTCGAAATGCCTTTTGATAAGGCAAGAATTGGAAAAAACGATATGATCAACATTTTTGGCTTTGCACCAGTGAACGGGATAGTTGTCAAGGTTTGTGTTCTGAAAAAACGGGGATTTTAGATTCGAAAGATTTTAGAAGATTCAAAAGCTTTCCTTAAAGAAAAGCCATTTGGAAAGACCGATTTCCGTGCGTTTAAACCCGATTTTTTCTGTGAACAAAAGCGATGAGGGACACGATTTGAATCGAGAAATTGAAAAGTTCTTCAATGAACCCAGGTTTGTCGCACAATTGCTTAGACTCTTTTGGGATAAAGAAAACTCTTGAATGAGGCTAAGCTAGGGTTGAAGTAGAAATAGAAACTATAAACTACGAAAATTGACAAACTGTCACATTACAAACGCTTTAAAATTCCTTTAAATCTGTTTGATTGAGATGTTCTATAGCTCAAAAAATAGCCAATTTTAAGAGCTTTCGAATGAACTAAAGCCTATTGAAAAATAAGAATTTAAAAGAGAGATACAATGGTTTATAGCTCTGACGCTACAAACCACTGTAACTTTCTTTAGAAATCATCTTTTTCAATGTGCTTTAGTTCATTCGAAAGCCCTTGAAATTCTCTATCTTTTAAGCTATAGAACATCTTAATCAAACAGATTTAAAGGAAGTTTAAAGCGTTTGTAGTTTACGTTTGTAGTTTATAGTGCTTATGTCAAATCAGAATCGTTTAAAACAAGCTCACGGCATAAATAGAATCTAAATTATTAGTTAAATCAATAGAATCACGGATAAGGTTAAGGATAATAACAGAGTTCACCGTAAATCCCAGAAAGCTCAATCCCAGAATCTATTAGAATCTATTACTCCGGGGATTTCATCTCGATCGATCGCCGCGAGGAGTTTCACGGAGCCGAGAATCGCTTCTATTTTAAGGTTTAGTCGATTTTAAGGTCGATTTTTTTGATTTCAATCTTTTTTTTCACAGTTGGATACCCCGATTTCTCCTTGTATAATCGATCGAAAATGTACAGTTTATCAGACGTCCGATGTCAAGAGTCTTCTTCCGTACAGTGCACAGATTAGGGTAAGTGCTTCAAGGATTACGGTAGGATAGATTTAGAGCCTTATTAAGCCAAATTTAGACGCCAGCTTTCCCGGGAAATCTCGAAAAAGTGATCGACAAAGGCATGGAGATAATTTTCGCCAATGACAAGGTATACGGTATGCTAGGAGAGCTAGGAAAGCTAGGAAATCCTTTAGAGACTTAGAAAACAGTTTATTTGAGCTAGAAAAGTCTTTAAAAACCTAGAAAATAGTTTATTTAACTAGAAAAACCTTTAGAAACCTAGAAAATAGTTTATTCAACTAGAAAAGCTTTTAGAAACCTAGAAAACAGTTTATTTAACTAGAAAAGCCTTTAACTAGAAAAAAGTTTAAATAGAAACCTAGAAAACAGTTTATTTAGCTAGAGAACTCGTCTCCAATCTCATTGCTGATCTGTGGCCCATCGGGCAGTGGGAAACGTTTAGCCGTTCACGGGATCGCAATCAGAACGCACAGGTTTGCCTACAGTAAGCCTACAGTTTAAGACAGTGATCTACAGTAGCCCATAAGAACCACAGTAGCCAATTCAAGCTACAATATCAGTCAAAAGCTACAGTACCTGATTGAGTCAGTTCTAGAGTCAAAAAACCACCAAAAGATCGTCTTACAGTAATCAGTTTTTTGAAGCCATCAATAAAACAGTGACAACTACGCAACTGTACGCTCAAAATACTGTTGAAGACCGTAATTTTTACAGAAATCTCATCACTGCTGACGGCTACGAGTTGTGGAATGAATTGGCTGCACAAACAGAGCAAAAGCTGAAGAATTTGTTCTTAAAAGGTACAATGAAAAAAGTAAAGGATAATTTTGATAAAAGAAATGATTTGATAAAAGAAAAAGTGATAAATAGACGAAAATAGACAAAAATAGACCAAAATAGACAAAAATAGACAAAAATAGACAAAAATAGACAAAAATAAACAAAATAGACAAAAATAGACCAAAAATAGACAAATGACAAAAATAGCAAGGAAATAGCAAATGGAAAATGACAAATAACAAAATAGACAAAAATAGACCAAAAATAGACAAAAATAGACAAAATTAGGTCAAAAATAGATAAAAATAGACAAAAATAGACAAAAATAAGAAAAATAGAGAAAAATAGACAACAAATAGCTTTCTTTTGGCCTTTTTCAGCTGATGCCCACTCTCCATCAATCCTTTTTATCACAAATGCTGATTTGCTCGGTTTCGATCAGCATACATCGACAGCAGGTGAGTGAAAATCAAGCTAATGCTTAAGAAATCGATAAATAATAATTGGTTTGGCTTTTTTCTAAAAAAAGCTTTAACAACTCTAGCTTTTCATCGCTAAAAATCATCAAAAACTTTTCAAAGAGCATTTTTGACATTTTGTTTACGGAAAACAGAAAAGTAGAAAAGTAGAAAAGCCAAAAAAGCTGAAAAGCTCTAAATGAGACAATTTTTAGCGAAAAGAAAGCGAAAAGGTTATTTTATTTAGCACTTTTATTCAAAAAGAAACCGATTTTAATGTCATAAGAGAAAGGTAGAGGAATAAAAAGACTTTAGGCATCAAATAGACATCATTATACCGTATTTTCTCTAATAATCGTGCACCCCGGCCGAGCCGAGTTGACGACTATTTTATCGTTTCTAAGTTTTGCACAGAGGCTCAACACTCAAATCCCCCAAAGCTCAAGACAGTCGGACAGTCTTGAGCCTGGCTTCTCACCTGGCTAACTGGCTAACCGGCTAACCGATTGGCTGACCTGGCTAACCGATTGGCAAATCCGATTCGCAAATTTCTGATGATCAGCAATAGCACCGTATTTTCTCTAATAGTCGTGCACCCCGGCCGAGCCGAGTTAATGCCGATTTTATGATTTCCAAGTTTTGCACAGAAGCTTAACACTCAAATCCTCCCACAAGATCTCATCGTCAGCTACATTTTCCGCTCCCACATCGATAGGTTCTGATCGAGCGGAGATTCTCGAGATTTCGAGGAATTTGGGCAAGGCTCAAGGTGCACTACTATTAGAGAGATTGTTCCATTGACATTCCCCAGGAATTTTCTAAGATTTCCCCCAGATTCAGGCCAAGACCAATTAGCCATTGACCTCAAAACTATGACCTTGGCTTGCCGATAGCTTTTAGCTTTTTGGAAAAGGCCGGGTTATTCGTTTTGGAGCCTTAAAAGTCAACAGACAAGGCTCTAGGCTTTAGGCTCTAGGCTTTAGGCTCTAGGCTTTAGGCTCTAGGCTTTAGGCTCTAGACTTTAAGCTCTAGGCTTTAGGCTCTAGACTTTAAGCTTCAGGCTTTAGGCTTTAGGCTTTAGGCTCTAGACTTTAAGCTTTAGCCTCTAGGCTCTAGGCTTTATTTCCTTTAGAAAGAGATTTCTTCAATCAAATTTCAATCAAACTTCAATCAAAACTATTACCTTGGCTTGCCGATAGCTTTAAACAGTAATTGAACCAAATCCAATTAAATTAAACAATTAAACAGTAATTGAATCAAATCTAGAATCGAGATTTCGAGGAATTTAGGCAACGCTCATGGTGCATTACTATTAGAGAAAATACGGTAGTCAAAATCTCTTAATTTCAGTGTTCTTTTGAACAAAGAAAAGCGCTTTTTGCCTTTTCTCTGCTTTTAAAGCTTTCTGCTTTCACCAAATGATTTAAAATGAGAATGAAGGGGTTTTTCTTGATAAAGGTTGTAAATAAAAGGCTTTAATTGGTCTTTGGTCTTTGGTCTTTAGTTGGCCTTTAGTTGGTCTTTAGTTGGTCTTTAAGGGTCTTTAGTTGGTCTTTAGTTGGTCTTTGGTCTTTGGTCTTTAGTTGGTCTTTAACTGGTCTCTAATTGGTCTTTAATTGGTCTTTAGTTGGTCTTTAAGTGGTCTTTAAGGGTCTTTAAGGGTCTTTAAGGGTCTTTAAGGGTCTTAAAGGGTCTTTATTGGTCTTTAGTTGGTCTTTAGTTGGTCTTTAAGGGTCTTTAAGGGTCTTAAAGGGTCTTTATTGGTCTTTAATTGGTCTTTAGCTGTTCTGAATTGAAAAGCTTATCATTTTTTAACGAAAATCTTTTAGATGATCGAATCATTTCTTCTTTATTCGCTGAATGTGAAATACCGCGTAAAATTGTGATCATTTTTGGATGTAAAACGAAAAAAGTAAGTGACTCACTTCCAGGTTTTGCATTATTTTAGTTGAAAATGAAAGTTTTCAATGAAATGTAAATGAAATTTGACGATTTTCAGCTAGCTTCACTTTCGCCAGCGTTGACAACATCGATTCTTTACACATTGCCGATTGAGGCGATGAATGAAATCGATAGAAACGATTATATTCAAAAAATTTTCCCGAAAACGATTGACTCGACGCGCTTGGCTAAACAGACTACGGTAAGTGGGCAAGTTTTAGAAAATCCCACAAAACAAAGCACAATTCAGGGCTTTCTCGTCGCTGAGTTGAACTCACTTCTCTACGATTCGAGATTTCATGCAAAGAGCAATGCCAAGACGTAGGCTGAGGTCCAGATCGGTGAAAAATCGAAATTTCAGAAGAATGGAGAACTCGGACGTGGAATGGGCAATCGACAAGCGAAATGCGAGCTTTGCTGACGCCATTGGGGCACCGAAAGTCGGAATTTAACGAATTTTAAGCTTGAAAAACCTTTCAAAGCCTTTCGAAGCCTTTCTAAACCATTCCAAGCCTTTCAAAAGCCTTTCAAAACTTTTCCAGGCCTTTCAAAGCCTTTCTAAGCCTTTCAAAGCCTTTCTAAGCCTTTCAAAACCTTTCCAAGCCTGGCAAAACCTTTCAAAAGCCTTCCAAAGTCCTCCAAAGCCTTTCAAAATCTTTCAAGGCCCTTCAAAACCTTTCAAAAGCCTTTCAAAGCCTTCTAAAGCCTTTCGAAGCCTTCCAAAGCCTTCCAAAGTCCTCCAAAGCCTTCCAAAGCCTTCCAAAGTCCTCCAAAGCCTTTCAAAGCCTTCTAAAGCCTTTCGAAGCCTTCCAAAGCCTTCCAAAGTCCTCCAAAGCCTTTCAAAGCCTTCTAAAGCCTTTCGAAGCCTTCCAAAGCCTTCCAAAGTCCTCCAAAGCCTTTCAAAGCCTTCCTAAAGCCTTTCGAAGCCTTCCAAAGCCTTCCAAAGTCCTCCAAAGCCTTCCAAAGCCTTCTAAAGCCTTTCGAAGCCTTCCAAAGCCTTCCAAAGTCCTCCAAAGCCTTCCAAAGCCTTCCAAAGTCCTCCAAAGCCTTTCAAAGCCTTCCAAAGTCCTTCCGAAGCCTTCCAAAGCCTTCCAAAGTCCTCCAAAGCCTTCCAAAGCCTTCCAAAGTCCTCCAAAGCCTTTCAAAGCCTTCTAAAGCCTTTCGAAGCCTTCCAAAGCCTTCCAAAGCCTTCCAAAGTCCTCCAAAGCCTTCCAAAGCCTTCCAAAGTCCTCCAAAGCCTTCCAAAGCCTTCCAAAGTCCTCCAAAGCCTTCCAAAGCCTTCTAAAGCCCTCCGAAGCCTTCCAAAGCCTTCCAAAGTCCTCCAAAGCCTTCCAAAGCCTTCCAAAGTCCTCCAAAGCCTTTCAAAGCCTTCTAAAGCCTTTCAAAGCCTTTCGAAGCCTTCCAAAGCCTTCCAAAGTCCTCCAAAGCCTTCCAAAGCCTTCCAAAGTCCTCCAAAGCCTTTCAAAGCCTTCCAAAGTCCTCCAAAGCCTTCCAAAGCCTTCCAAAGTCCTCCAAAGCCTTCCAAAGCCTTCCAAAGTCCTCCAAAGCCTTTCAAAGCCTTCCAAAGTCCTCCAAAGCCTTCCAAAGCCTTCCAAAGTCCTCCAAAGCCTTCCAAAGTCCTCCAAAGCCTTCCAAAGCCTTCCAAAGTCCTCCAAAGCCTTCCAAAGCCTTCCAAAGTCCTCCAAAGCCTTTCAAAGCCTTCCAAAGTCCTCCAAAGCCTTTCAAAGCCTTCCAAAGTCCTCCAAAGCCTTTCAAAGCCTTCCAAAGTCCTCCAAAGCCTTCCAAAGCCTTCCAAAGTCCTCCAAAGCCTTTCAAAGCCTTCCAAAGCCTTCTAAAGCCTTTCGAAGCCTTCCAAAGCCTTCCAAAGCCTTCCAAAGTCCTCCAAAGCCTTCCAAAGCCTTCCAAAGTCCTCCAAAGCCTTCCAAAGCCTTCCAAAGTCCTCCAAAGCCTTTCAAAGCCTTCCAAAGTCCTCCAAAGCCTTCCAAAGCCTTCCAAAGTCCTCCAAAGCCTTTCAAAGCCTTCCAAAGTCCTCCAAAGCCTTTCAAAGCCTTCCAAAGCCTTTCAAAGCCTTTCAAAATCTTTCAAGGCCTTTCAAAACCTTTCAAAAGCTTTCCAAAGCCTTTAAAAGCATTTGAAAGTCTACTTGCTAGATTTTAAAGATCAATCATTTTTTAGATCCCTTCCGTTTCATGGGAGGATGTGGGCGGTTTGGAGGAGACGAAAGCGCTCATCCGAGAGAGCATTGATAGCAATTTGCGGCAATCTAATGGTAAATTTCTGCATTTTATTTCAATATTCTAGCTGGACAGCTCAAGCTGGACATCACAGAAACTAAGCAAAAATCGAAAACTAATCAAAAGTCGAAATTTCCAAAAAATTTTTTGGTCAGCTTAGTCGGGAGTTGTTTTCGGCGACCAATTAGCATATTATAAAAAAATTAAAATTTTAATCTGCAATCTGGATGTCACAACACAAGTTTATTAAGAAAAAAAGTTGAAATTTATGAAAATGAAAAATTTGAAAATTCAGCTTAGGACCTGGGATTCATTTTCGGTCCCAAATTTGCATATTTTAAAAAATTAAAATTTCAATCTGCGATCTGGATGTCACAACAAAAGTTTATTAAGAAAAAAAGTTGGAATTTATGAAAATGAAAAATTTGGAAATTTTCCAGGACTACGACGAAGCGGGATCATTCTCTACGGGCCGCCTGGATGCGGGAAAACTTTGCTGGCAAAAGGTTGGTTGAATCTTTTAACGAATTCGAGATCTCTCAAATCAAATTGAAAACCCCGAGCACGGTTTTCTTCACCTAAACTTTTAAAATCGTCAAGTTTTCAAGAGTTTCCCCCACCTTTTCCATTTCGGTCTTCGTTTCCGGCTCGTCCGCGCCCTCAATATAAAGATTTCGAATCTGAAAATCCGATCTGGATGTCACGGAAAAAATCGGGATTTTTAAAATCGAAAAATCTTGCTTTTCAACTTTAGTCAAGTGGTAGTGTGCGCGGCTACCAGTCTAGAGACCCTGGTTCGATCCCGCCCACGACCGTTTCGTTTTCAAAAAGACAAAAATTGCTTTCTAAAGGCATACCTTCGATTTCTTTTGATCTCCCGTGATGTCAGCCACGCGGACTTGCTCCATTTTGTTGAGCATGTCACGCGTTTTCGATGTGATATTCAAGTCGTTGAGCGCTTTCAGCATCTTGAAAAGATTGTGGACTTTTTATACGCGAAGCCCCGCTCCTTTTTCCATCGACAATCCAAATTTGAGCTCAAATTTCTTGGTATTGGATTGTCCAATTTAAATGGTTTTTATACCGGTCGATCGAGAAAGACTTGGCGCATTTAATGAGACAAAGAATATTGATATTGGACAGCTGAACACCAAGATATTTGAGTTCAAAGTTAGATTGCCAATGGGAAAAGGGCGCGGCGCGTTTCAAATGTCCGATAATTTCTTAAATATGGTTTAAACTAGATTTTAACCAATTTAAAATTCACGAGTGCTTTCCGTTGATCGCGCTGCTGCTCGCGTTTGTTCATGAAATTCCGGAGAGACGTCTAAAAATTTGAATGCATATAAGAAATGCAACAATTCTGGACAGGGCTTGTTCCAGAGGCGGTCTCTTCCGGCCAAAAGCTAATCCAGGTCCAGCCCAAGCCAACCTGAGCCTAAGCCAGCCCAAGCCCAAGCCAGCCTAAGCCAGCCCAGGTCCAGCCTAAGCCAGCCCAAGCCTAAGCCAGCCTAAGCCAGCTGAAGCCTAAGCCAGCCTAAGCCAGCCCAGGTCCAGCCTAAGCTAGCTCAGGTCTAGCCTAAGCCAGCCTAAGCTAGCTCAGGTCCGGCCTAAGCCAGCCGAAGCCAGCCCAAGCCTAAGCCAGCCTAAGTTAGCCTAAGCCCAAGCCAGCCTAAGCCAGTTCAGGTCCAGCCTAAGCCAGCCTAAGCCAGTCCAAGCCTAAACCTAAGCCTAAGCTCTTAGAAACTAGGAGCCAGCTGGAACATTCCTGATCACTGATCCTCGATTACTATTCACTCACGCGAATGTTCGCATCCGATAGGTGGTCAATATAAGTGAGCGCATCGGCTCGCGCCTGCGCATCGGTTTTGTCGGCGGTGTACTGGGCGAAGAATCCGCTCGAAACCGCTGATGGGACTCCCGGGATCAACAGATTCTGAATTTAACCATTTTAAGCAATAGTTTTATGCTGGAAAGCATTTGACGCCTTGAAGAGCTCTTGGCACTTCATTAAGGCAATCCTCTGAAAGCCCGAGTCGACTGTGATCTAGTCGCTCTCAAGATTTCCCAAATCTCAGCAACTAGCGCAAAGTTTCTACGCGAAAACTGGCTAAACTGGAGCACAAAAAAGGCGCTGGACAAAGGCTTTGCCTTGATTTTAAGCGGTGTAGCTTTAAGCGTTTCGATTTTTCTCTAGTCTATCGTTCGCACATCGAAATTTCGGAAATTTCGCAAATAGAGCAGAGATTTTTCTTATTATTTCTTTAAACTGGAGCTCATTCTGGGTTTTGGGGATATTTTTGAGGGATATTTTCTGAAATGAAAAAATTTGTCTCACCACACTCTCTTGATGTATTCCAAAAGCGATCATTGAAAGTAAAGCGATGAAAGTAATTTCCCGAAGCATAAATCGAAAAGAAAAAAAACGATTTTGTAAATATTATCCAATAAATTAAAAGAAAATTTGATTTAGGAAAGGCAAAAAACCGTTTTTACGCCAAAACCATCTATCACCAATTTCCCCTACCGATTCTGAGCAACTCGAGCTCAATCTTACTGTACAAATGAGATTTTTGACTAAGCTGGAGCGCACTGGACTAGTCCCGAGTGATCTTTTATCGAAATAGTGTGTTTTAGAATTTTTTAACTACCTTAGGTAGTTGCTTAAAAGTTACCATCCGAAAAGACACCATCCGGCTACCGTAACCCTTTCGCTTAGTGTCGTGTGTTCCAGCTTTCACAAAACTCTTATTAGTTTGTCGATATTTCTCTCCAATCGGCCAGAAACTGCTCAAACGCTTATCACCTAGTGCACTGATCTATGTTGCTCACTGATCTATAACTCAATATTAGTGTACAAATGAGATTTTTGACTAAGCTGGAGCGCACTGGACTAGTCCCGAGTGATATTTTATCGAAATAGTGTATTTTAGAATTTTTTAACTACCTTAGGTAGTTGCTTAAAAGTTGCCAACCGAAAAGACACCATCCGGCTACCGTAACCCTTTAGCTTAGTGTCGTGTGTTCCAGCTTTCACAAAACTCTTATTAGTTTGTCGATATTTAATCCAAAAGTTGATGTAATCCAAAAGCGATGATTCAAAGTAAAGCGATTGAAAGTAAAGCGATGAAAGTAATTTCCCGAAGCATAAATCGAAAAGAAAAAAACGATTTTGTAAATATTATCCAATAAGTTAAAAGAAAATTTGATAAAAATTCAGAAAATTTTTTAAAAATTTCTTTTTTTAAAAGCTTTTTTTTATCAAAAAATTGAGAAAAATGCTGAAATTTGCGGAAATTTTAAAATTTATTGCAACAGGTGAAAAATGGTTTTTATTCTTTTTCTTTTTTCTTTATCACTCTTGAGCAGCTGCGATTTTGTGATGAATTCTGAAAAATTATTAATTTGAAAGTTGATTTGAAAGATTGGAAAGGATTTAGGAAAGGATTTTGGGAAAGGCTTTTTTTTACGCCAAAAACCCCTATCACCAATTTCCCCTACCGATTCTGAGCTGTTACGTCCGACTCAGAGGAGACGTCCATCTCCGATCCGGGCGTCCGACTCTGAGGAGATTCATTCTCCTCTGAAACGGACGTCCGATCTTGAGAACAAATAGTTTAAATGCAAATCCAATGTTTTGAACAAAACAAATGAAAAAGGAAGTTAAAATGGAAATTCTCCCAATTTACTTTTTTACTAAAGTTCTACTAAAGTGCCGTTAACCTTTATTAACCTTTTAATCTACAGTCATCTACAGTCATCTACAGTAGTCTACAGTAACCTACAGACATCTACAGACATCTACAGACATCTACAGACATCTACAGTCATCTACAGTCATCTACAGTAGTCTACAGTAACCTACAGACATCTACAGACATCTACAGACATCTACAGACATCTACCGACATCTACAGACATCTACAGACATCTACAGTCATCTACAGTAATCTACAGTAATCTACAGTCATCTACAGACATCTACAGTCATCTACAGACATCTACAGTCATCTACAGTCATCTAGCGTAACTCTGAATTGTCTCTAGCTATCGTATTGATCTATTGTACGCAAATTCATTTAGAAATCGTTTAAATGTAAGTAGCAGCCTTTACAGTACCCCATCTGTCTTTACAGTAATCCCAAATGTCTTCAGAGATATCGGAGGACAAAACAAAGTTACAACAAAAAGAGTTTTGGGTGCCCTTGTTCATTCGCTCACCTGGCCGCTCGTTTTTTTCTCTTCATCGGCGCTTCGTTGTTTTCTTGAGTGACAACACCTTTCACAGCCGCTTCGACCTAAAGAAACCTTGCTGATTTTTCATTTTCCTTACAAGCTGGATATCAGTAAGACTATTCTTTCTGAGAAATCAGAAGAAATCCTGTACCTTGGCAAAGTCAATCGCTGCAGCTGGATCTTCTTGCGCTTGTTGCTTGACCGTTTCGAACTAAATCTGGTAAATGACCAAAGTAAACTATCGAAGTTTCCCCAAATCTCAGCGATTTGCTGAAAAATCTCCCGCTAATTGCCTAAACTGGAGTACAAAATAAGCGTTGATTCAAGACTTTGACTTGTTTTTAATCATTTCGTCTTTTCTTCTCATGAGTGCTTCGAGAATTTTACATTTTACGAGTTTGAGCGTTTTTCTGAAAAACCACGCAACTAAATTCGTTTTTGATTGAAGATTTGTTAATCCTGGATGTCACACAATGCAAAAACAAAAATTTACCCATTCCAATTGACTACTAAACGAGTACTGTAGCCAAATTTTACGAGATTGAGCGATTTTCTAAAAAACCATGCAACCAAATTCGTTTCCAATTAAAGATTTGTTAATCCTGGATGTCACAGAGTACAAAAATCCAATTATCTATCTCAGATTCAAATTTGACATCATGGCCTAGTGGCTAGTGACCTTGGTTCCCAGTCGAACGTCCCAGCTCGAGCTCGGGTTCGAGTCCGCTCGTCGAATTTCTTTTTTGCAAAATTTAAGACTCATTTTTTTTAGCTTTCCAGGTTTTTGGACGAAGCTTTTAGGTAAATTTAGATAATAGACCTAGCCATGTAGTTGACCGGAGCGGATTTGTAATTTCAATTTCAATGGCAATCAATTCAATGGCAAATCAAGAACCCAGTCAGGGTTATAGTTAGTTCAATGAAGTTTTCCTTTTAGTTTTCCTGTTAGTTTTCCTGTTTTCCTTTTAGTTTCCCTGTTTTCCTTTTAGTTTTCCTATTTTCCTTTTAATTTTCCTGTTTTCCTGTTAGTTTTCCTTTTAGTTTTCCTGTTTTCCTTTTAATTTTCCTATTTTCCTTTTAGTTTTCCTTTTAGTTTCCTGTTTTCCTTTTACTTTTTCCTTTTTCAAACCTGTTTCTCTTTTTGTGCCCATGTCAAATCGCGATTTTTCCAAATTTTCGTTGCCTCATCGACGTATTTCTTCGCCGCGTCGCTGATTTTCAGTGAAGCAATCAGATTCTTTGTCTAGAATTGAAAAATTCTTTTAATCTGGATAGCATTGAGTCTTCTAATTAAGTAAAATTGGGAAAATTGGGAAAATTGAAAAATCTACTTACCTGCTCGACCTCCTCCATGATTTGAGCAAATTTCGTGGACATCATCATGCGCAATGTGGCCTAAACCTTTCAAAAATCTATCCAAACTCTAACATGCGTTCCAGAATCGCCAAATATTTACAGTAAAACAATATTCTTTACTGGTTAAAGTAGTCAAATTCGACTCAACCCTTTCCCAGTCATCGACTTGGATTCTTTTTACCCTAGCTAGAGCAAAACTAGTCTTAAAATAAAGCATGCGTTCCAGAATCGTCAAAAATTTACTGTAAACCGTAGTTTATCGTAGTCAATCAATTTATTTGACGTCCGTGACTATTCTCCTCACACCTGCACTTGTTGTGATTGTTGAGCGATGAAATCCGAAGCGGCTTTCTCATTTTGTCGCTCAGTGTTGTCTTTTGAGAATTTTTGCCAAAATTCTTTCACAATTTCCGGCGAGATTGTGCTTGTAACAACCTGGGATTACGGTAGCAATAGAGCACATTTTAGAAAAAAACTAGATTTTTCGTTTTATTCAAATTTTACCAAAAAGAACGCTAGTGTGACATCCAATTAGAGCATTGTATAGAAAACGAAATAAAAAGCTCGTCTTCTTGCTAACATATCGGCGCGGTAAGCCACAGGGTACGGTAGCAAGCGTGCACTTTAGCGGTACCTATGCAATTTCACTATCCAGAGCTTTCCTGTGACATCCAATTAGAGCATTGTATAGAAAACGAAATAAAAAGCTTGTCTCCTTGCTAACAAATCGGCGCGGTAAGCCACAGGGTACGGTAGCAAGCGCGCACTTTAGCGGTACATATGCAATTTCACTATTCAGAGCTTTCCTGTGACATCCAATTAGAGCATTGTATAGAAAACGAAATAAAAAGCTTGTCTGCTTGCTAACAAATCGGCGCAGTAAGCGACGAGGTACGGTAGCAAGCGTGCACTTTAGCGGTACCTATGCAATTTCACTATCCAGAGCTTTCCTGTGACATCCAATTAGAGCATTGTTTTATAAAATGACAAGTTATCTTGATCAGAACGAAAGTTATTTCGCTTGAAAGGAAATTTTCCTTTTTTTGAAACCTACCGTCTCGTCTCCAAGCGTGACACAGAAAAAAATCATAGAAATTAGGAAAATTTCCTTCATTATCAAGAAATTTAATTTAGAATTGAAAGAATCGAACTGGGGTTTTTGGGGAAAATTGCTCAAAAAAAAATTGTTGCCAATTATTTTCGGATTTGGTCAAAATCCGTTTCATCTCTCTATTGAAAAACAAAAAATTTCTCTGATTGAATTTTAAAATAAATTTTCAAATAAATCATTTTCCCTTCATTTAGCCGTCGCCACCGAATACAAAATCGCGTTTTTATCAGTGAAAGGGCCCGAGCTGTTGAATAAATACGTGGGCCAGAGTGAGGAGAATTTGAGGAATGGTGAGTGAGAAGAAGTGACGTTTTGAGAAGAATTCTTTTATCAATCACTGTCCTGACTTCCAGATCCGAGGATTTACTCAAAAATCTTCTCAAATTTCAGTTTTTGAGCGAGCTAGAGCCGCCGCTCCGTGCGTGATCTTTTTCGACGAGTTGGACTCGCTGGCGCCGAATCGCGGAAGAGCCGGCGATTCGGGCGGAGTGATGGACCGGTTTTGAGCACATAATAAAGCAAATTCTAAGATTTTCCTTTTAGAATCGTTTCCCAATTGTTGGCTGAGCTGGACGCGTTGCATTTGTCCCCGCACAAGGTTGGTGATAACCGCCGTCGGTCTTTTGTTACCAATTTCAGCCTTTTCTTAGCACTAACCATCTAATTTTTAACTACCATTCAATACAGAATCAAATTGCGCGTCGAATGATACCAAAATTAGCTCAAAATGTAGGATCCATGCAAAGTTATGAGGCAAAAGGTTAACGCACGTCCATAGTGGGTGGGGCTTTGGTTTTTTGTGTTTTTCTCAGCGCCAATCCTTCTATTTTGACTATATTAACTATCGTTCGATGCAGAATAAAATTGCGCGTCAAATGACACAAAAATCAACTCAAAATATAAAATCCACGTAAAGTTATGAAGCAAAAAATTAAAATGGGCGTGGCTTAGCTTTTTAGTCCACAACTTTACGTGGATCTTATATTTTAAGCTAATTTTGGTGTCATTCGATGCACAATTTTATTCTGCATCGAACGATAGTTAATATAGTTGAAGCAGAAGGGTTGGTACTGAGAAAAACACAAAAAAACCAAAACCAACCAATATTTACAGTAAAAGAAGTCCGTCTGATTCAATTGTTGCTACTTTCAGCGGCCATAGGAATGATCTTTCGTCTTTAGGCCTTTAGCTGAAACTACAGTACTATTCCCGCCATCCCTTTGCAATTTTTGAGCAATATTTTAGCAGCTAAAGGCTTTCTGATGGCTTTCAATGAATAAATTCCCCATTCAAAATCTCTTTTATTTCAGGTGTTCGTCATGGCTGCTACCAATCGAGCCGATCTCCTTGATCCGTCTTTACGAACGCCAGGGAGGTAAATGGCTGTCTATTGTTTTTCCCAAAATTCTTGTTTGCTTAAATTTGAGCTTTAATAGCTTTAATCTAGATCTATTCAGCATTTCTAAAATCCTTTCAGAGAAATGCCCAATCTGGAAGTCATTCTAAAAGCCTAGGGCTTAAGAATGGAGAAAAATGCGATGCCGGCCGAGTTGCTTTTTCTGCATTCAAGTTTGCATGCAATTTCCTCCATTTTCAACACGTTTAGTCAAGCTTTCACGAAATTATTTCTCAATCCTGGAACTCACTAGGATCGTATTGAGCGCCGTTTCCGACATTCGATTGACTATTCGTGTTTGAGTATTGTTGTTGGCATTTTGCTGAAAAGAAAGCACTTTTTTTCAAACGCGAATCTACGAATAGCCTTTAAATCTTTATTTCTAGCTTTTAAATACCGTAGTTCGAAGCGTAAGTTGTCTAAATTACTTAAATTTTCCAAATTCTTCAAATTCAATATTCTATTCTATTCAAATTCTAGCTTTCTCAAGAAACGTTCGACTTTAGCCTCAAATTTCCCTTTCCTCTTTATAAAAACCATTCTAAACTTTAGAAAAAGCAATTCTGGAAGGCACAGGATTATATTTTAAAGTTTAGAATAGGATCTCATAGGATTTAGTTTTTTACAATCTATCGACCTACCCAGTCGATCCTCCAGCGGGGGCCACGGGCACGTAGTAAGTCGGATCATAGTAGTAGTACGGATACTGGAATGCACAAATACGTTTTATGCAAGATTTACGGCCAAATTCTACGTTTAAAATTTACCGTATAGTAGTAGTATTGAGCGGAAGAAAATTTTTCCATTTCTCTTTATAAAAACCAGTCTAAACTTTAGAAAAAGCTATTCTGGAAAGCACAGGATTATATTTTAAAGTTTAAAATAGGATCTAGGAAATAGGATAAAATAGGAAAGTTGTATCTCATAATGTTTTGATAAAATTGTTGTTTGCTTAAATTTGAGCTTTAATAGCTTTAATAGCTTTATAAGCTTTAAAGGCTTTAAAAGCTTTAAAGGCTTTAATAGCTTTAATAGCTTTAATAGCTTTAATCTAGCTCTATTTAGCATTCTAAAATCCTTTCAATAGCTTTTAAAGCTTTCAAACGCTTAGATTCGACAAAGTGGTGAATGTCCGAGTGGGAAACGATGTCGAGTCAAGGCGGAGAATTCTCGAGGCGCTCAGCAGGAAAACCCGCTTCTCAAAAGACGTTCGGCTACAGGAAATCGTAAGAATTACTCGATTATTCGGAAATTATTCGATTTTTATTGAATTATTCGATTTTTGGCCCTCCAGATCTCTTGAATCTCATCCCAGAAAAAGGGAATTCGAAAAATTTCATTTCTAGAGCTTTCAAATGTCATTTTGCAGGATTTTGCAATGTCCAAAACCCTCAATTCAATTTCCAGGCAGCTCTGTGCTCTTCAAAAATGTCTGGCGCTGATTTGTATTCGGTGATCTCAAATGCAACGATGATTATGTTAAGAGAAACGATACAAAAAATCGAGATCGGTAAATCGTAGAAAACAATGGTTTTTTTAAAATTTATCTCTCAAGCTGACATCCAATTCGCTCAAAAACATCAAAAAATTTCAGAAAAAGTCGAAGAGCGCGACGCGGAGGTGCTCGTCACAAATCGGCACCTCAAAGAGGCCGTCGCTTACGTGAATGAACAAAAAGAGGCTGTCACTGGGGCCGTAAGGGCTGCAGATTTAATCGAATAAATTTATTTTCTTTAAAATGTTTAATCAGGGCTTAAATCGAGCTCAAAAATCGTTTCGATTTTGGAAAAATTTTTTTTTTGGAGATTTTTCTTAAAATTTCTCGACTTTCAAGTGTCAATCAACTTTGAAAATGAGAAATTTTTGAAGAAAAGCCCTTTTTTTCAGCTCACTTTTGATCGTTGAGTGCTAGCGTTTTCACGAAATTCTCTCAAAAACTCAAAAACTCAAAAAAATGCCATAAAAACGGGTAAATAGACTCCAGAAAAATAAAAACAAACAGAAAAGGCGAAAAAAGCGAAAAATTTGACAGAATTCGATAGAATTTGCTAATCTGATCAAAGCTCATTAAAGAAAAGCTAAAAAATTTGAGTTTGCCAAAGAAGAAATTCGACGAGCGGACTCGAACCCGAGCTCGAGCCGGACCGTTCGCCTTGGAACCAAGCTCACTAGCCACTAGGCCATCATGTCAAACTCGAATCGGAAGTAGATAATTGAATTTTTGCATTGTGTGACATCCAGGATTAACAAATCTTTAATCAGAAACGAATTTGGTTGTGTGGTTTTTAAGAAAAACGCTCAAACTCGTAGAATTTCGCTACAGTACTCGTTTAGTAATCAATTAGAATGAAAACATTAGTTTTTGCATTGTGTGACATCCAGGATTAACAAGTCTTTAATTGGAAAAAGAAATTCGACTAGCGGACTCGAACCCGAGCTCGAGCCGGGCCGTTCGCCTGGGAGCCAAGCTCACTAGCCACTAGGCCATCATGTCAAACTCGAATCTGAAGTAGATAATTGAGTTTTTGTACTGTGTGACATCCAGGATTAACAAATCTTTAATTGGAAACGAATTTGGTTGCGTATTTTTTTCGAAAATCGCTTAAACTCGTAGAATTTGGCTACAGTACTCGTTTAGTGGTCAATTCGAATGGATGAATCAGTTTTTGCATTTTGTGACATCCAGGATTAACAAATCTTCAATCAGAAACGAATTTGGTTGCGTGGTTTTCTAGAAAATCGCTCAAACTCGTAGAAATCTTTACTCATTTGCAGAAAATCACAAAATACTCAAACAGTTTCATTGAAATCGACATTTGTACACGTGTGGGGCAGTGTGTGGATGAAGATGAGATTGTTTTTTTCGTTATTTGCGTCCCAAATAATAGTAGGAGTACGGATAGTAATAGGTTAAAGGCACGTAGGCCACTTGACCGGTCGAGGATTTGCCTGAAAATTTTTATTTTTGAGTTTTTAAGTGAATTTCCTTTAATTTCAGCCCGGAACTCATTAGAGAAACAAAAATTATTTTAATTTAAAGCATTTTCCTGCAAGAATCGATTCTTTCAGAGTTTGCAAAAAAAGAAATTCGACGAGCGAACTCGAACCCGAGCTCGAGCCGGGACGTTCGCCTGGGAACCAAGCTCACTAGCCACTAGGCCATGATCTCAAATTTGAATCTGAGATAGATAATTGAATTTTTGTACTCTGTGACATCCAGGATTAGCAAATCTTTAATTGGAAACGAATTTGGTTGCGTGTTTTTTAAGAAAAACGCTCAAACTCGTAGAATCTGGCTACAGTACTCGTTTAATAGTCAAATGGAATGGATAAATTAGTTTTTGCATTGTGTGACATCCAGGATTAACAAATCTTCAATCAGAAACGAATTTAGTTGCATGGTTTTTTAGAAAAACGCTCAAACTCATAGAATTTGGCTACAGTAGTCGTTTAGTAGTCAATTTAGATCTTAGACTACGGTAGGCTTTGAAGGTTGACCCTTTCTAGAACGAAAAGCACTCAACTTCTGATCTAGATTGATTAAAACATTCCCTTACCATTGTTGGATCCCTGAGTGTTGTAGCTGGCTTGTTGTTGGCCTAAAAGTAATTAAATAAGAGTTATTTCAACGAAACAAGTATTCCAGAGCTTCTGGAAAAACCACAAAACCGACTCGGATCATATTGAACGCTCTGTTGTTGATTTTGTTGTGATTGGCCTTGTTGATTGTAAGCTGTAAGTTCTAGCTACATAAAGCGATTAGTAATTAGTCTATTTAAGAACAAAACGATAGTTTCTACAATAGAAAGTACGGTAGAAGGTCCTACTCGATTGTTGGGAGTACTGTGGAGTTGATTGGTATTGTTGATTCTGTTGTTGATTTTGTTGTTGAGCGCCTGATTGACCGTATTGCCCATATTGCTGATTGTCTAGATTGGGAAAGTTTTAGGAAACGGATTTAATAGCTATTTAGAAGTTTAATAAGCTATAGTGACCTCCAGAATACAGTAATCTCTTGTTTTCGTCATGTTATTAGGTGCCTGCTTCACCGTATGGCCCCAGTCCTGATTCTCTAGATTGGGCAAGTTTTAGAAAACGGATTTAACAGCTATTTAGAAGTTTAATAAGCTATAGTGACCTCCAGAATACAGTAATCTCTTGTTTTCGTCATGTTATTAGGTGCCTGCCTCACCGTATGGCCCCAGTCCTGATTCTCTAGATTGGGCAAGTTTTAGAAAACGGATTTAACAGCTATTTAGGAATTTAATTAGCTATAGTGACCTCCAGAATACAGTAATCTCTAGTTCCTAACTCTAAAATACCTATTCGAGTTATTTCCTTAAGTGTTCTATTGTGTCGGTTGTAGCTTTTTAGTAAACGATTCCAATTGCAAATTTAAAAGTTAGTTTTGCTAAAGTGCACTCCAGGATGCACTGATTTCTAATTTTCTAATCCGCCCTACTCGGGTCATATTGTTGCGTTGTCTGTTGTCCGTTGTAGCCTTGCTGTTGTTGTTGCGTTGTCTGTTGTCCATTGTAGCTTTGCTGTTGTTGTCCATATTGTTGATTTTGTTGATTTGCTGAAAAAAAAGCGAACTAAGAAAAGCGAAAAGCTTAAGAATCGCAGCCGTGACCGCAGCCGTACAAAAAAAAACGTAAAAACAAAAATTGGTGGAATATTTTATGCGTTAATCGAACCGTTTTCGTTTGGTGAGATCGTTGACGAAGAATCTGAAAATTTCGGGGGAAAACATGCAATTTTTTTCAGAGAAATGCCCAATCTGGAAGTCATTCTGAAAGCGTAGGGCTTAAGAATAGAGAAAAATTCGATTCCGGTTGAGTTGCTTTTGTTAAATGGTTTGCATGCAATTTCCTCCATTTGCAGCACGTTTAGTCAAGCTTTTAAGAAATTATTTCTCAATCCTGGAACTCACTAGGATCGTATTGAACGCCGTTTCCGACATTCGATTGACTATTCGTGTTTGAGTATTGTTGTTGTTGTTGATTGTTGTTGTTGGCATTTTGCTGAAAAGAAAGCATAGAAACCATTCTAAACTTTAGAAAAAGCTATTCTGGAAGGCACAGGATTATATTTTAAAGTTTAAAATAGAAACTCATAGAGTTTAGATTTTTGCAATCTATCGACCTACCCCAGTCGATCCTCCAGCGGTGGCCACAGGCATGTAGTAAGTCGGATAATAGTAGTAGTACGGATACTGGAATGCACAAATGCGTTTTATGCAAGATTTAAGGCCAAATTCTACGTTTAAAATTTACCGTATAGTAGTAGTATTGAGCGGAGGCCACCGCCGCGAGCAGCAACAAAAGGGAGAGGCTGTAAAAAAGGTTTTTCGTCATTACCTGGGCTACAGCCTGGGGTACAGCCTGGACTAGAATCTGGACTAGAATCTGGTCTACGATCTGGACTAGAATCTGGACTAGAATCTGGTCTACGATCTGGACTAGAATCTGGACTAGAATCTGGTCTACGATCTGGACTAGAATATGGACTAGAATCTGGTCTACAGCCTGGACTACAACCTGGTCTACAACCTGGTCTACAACCTGGACTACAATCTGGACTACAATCTGGCCTACAACCTGGTCTTCAACCTGGTCTTCAACCTGAACTATAACCTGGTCTTCAACCTGGTCTACAATCTGGACTACAATCTGGTCTTCAACCTGGTCTTCAACCTGGTCTACAACCTGGTCTACAATCTGGTCTACAATCTGGTCTTCAACCTGGTCTTCAACCTGGTCTACAACCTGGTCTACAATCTGGTCTACAATCTGGTCTTCAACCTGGTCTTCAACCTGGTCTACAACCTGGTCTACAATCTGGTCTACAATCTGGTCTACAACCTGGTCTTCAACCTAGTCTACAACCTGGTCTATAGCCTGGTCTACAACCTGACCTACACCCTTGACAAGTCCCCAGCTATGGAATGATTAGTGAAGAATTTGAAAACTATTTTATCATCAAGTTGGACTTTCCTTGAACCAGCACCAGAAAAAGCTAAAGAGAGCCTCATTTCCAATTTTTTTTTGCTCAAACTGGATATCACTTGAGCTTTTCGTAAGCTCAGATTTCAATTAAAAGAAAAAAATCTCTTCATAGCTTTTTTAATGATCTTTTTTTAACTAAATTAAAGCTTAATAAAGATAAATTAAAGCCCAACTCACGTTCTCATGGCTCGAGAAAACAGTCGAGAAAACGGAAACCTTTGAAATGATCAGTGTGACCGTTTCCCCCATTTTATACCTTTTCTTTTTTTCGATTTCCGTTTGCTCATGGCCCAGACCCTGGACTAGGCACTTCACTCCTCTTTTTCTCTTTCAATTTTTCTTATTTTCAATCCACACCTTCCATTTTCCATTTTCCCAGCTAGTCAACAACAGTTTGAGAGTTCTCTGGAAGTGATTAAAATTTTGAAAATTAATAAAAACTAGCCAAAAAGTCAGCCAAACAGACTATCTTGTTTTCAAAAGCTGATCAAATTCATTCCTAAATATTTTACCGGGCCAGCATCCCCACAATTTTGTTCATTGCAAAAGTATTCCCAAAAAACGACTTGTAACTCTTTTTGGCTAATACAAGGACTCTCTTTTTTCTAGTTTTAAAATTATAGCTGTCTTTCTCAATAACTGACAAGGAGAATTGTTTTCTGTACTTTTAAAGCGTCATGGAGTCCAGTTATCTGGTAAGAGAGAGCCTGGGAAGAGTTTGGAACTTTCAAAGTTGATTTAAATTCTTTGAAAATCAACTAAAGCAAAATGAACCATCCGCCAAGAAAAACCTTAACAGCGGCTTTTTCTAAGCCAGCCTAAGCCAGCCCAGGTCAGCCTAAGCCAGCCCAGGTCAAGCCTAAGTCAGCCTAAGCCAACCCAAGCCAGCCCAGGTCCAGCCTAAGCCAGCTTAAGCCAGCCCAAGCCAGCCCAGGTCCAGCTCAAGCCAACCCAAGCCAGTCTAAGCCAGCTCAGGTCCAGCCCAGCTCCAGTCTAAGCCAGCTCGAGCCTCAAGCGGGCTTAGGTTAAGCCAGCCCAAGCCTAGCTCGGTGGTGAGCACGATTCTCTACAGCCGTGGCACAGCGGAAAGCACGATTCTCTAGCCCACGGGATCCTGGTTCGACTCCACTTAGCGCCATTGAATTCCTTTTCAATTCAATTCAATTCACTTTTTTTGATTTTAAATTCCACAACTTCTATTCTAAGGTTTTCTAAAGAATTTTCAGATTTATTGATGAAAATACGGCTGAGAAAATGCACATACAGACAGACAGACTCTGGGAAACGTTACCATACTCTGAATTCAAATCATTCCCCCCATAAAACCCACTTGAGACTACCGTACACTTCTCTAGAAAGCTACCGTAGTCTTTTTTTTTGCAAAACATTGCTATTTTCAGACTCTCGGTCACCTAAAGATGCAAGATTTTTACTGAAAATCCCAATTTTTCTCCGAACTTTCACTTTTTCTCAGCAAATTTCCCGACAAAACGCGCAAAAAGTGAGAGAATTTTTGGCATTTTTCACAGGAGTTCACCAGAAAACGACGGAAAATAAACAGAATTTTGGGGAAAGGCGCGAAAATACTCTTTTCCTTCAAAAAAAAAAAAAAAAACACAAATCTACAGCTAAACGAGAGAATTTCTTGGTGAAAGTTTGTGATTCATTGAAAAAAAGAATCATAAACCTTCTCACTAAACAACGAATAGATTTTGAGAGGGATTCGTTTGGGTTTTAAATGGGCAATTGTTGAGAATATCTTTCTGGGACCTGGGAAATTATGCCTAGATGGTCTTGCTGGCCTAGATGGCCTTGCTTGCCTAGCTACTGGCCTTGCTTGCCTAGCTGGCCTTGCTTGCCTAGATGGTCTTGCTGGCCTTGCTGGCCTAGATGGCCTTGCTGGCCTTGCTGACCTAGCTGGCCTTGCTGACCTAGCTGGCCTTGCTGACCTAGCTGGCCTTGCTGACCTAGCTGGCCTTGCTGACCTAGCTGGCCTTGCTGGCGAAAAATCGACAATCTGGAACGCAGTACGTAAAACAACAATAATAATTTCAGTTGTTTTAAAGCCAGCTAGTAAAGCTGTTACAGTCGTTTTAGAGATAGATTCGGGCTAAAGCATAGCTACCGTATCCCACTCAATAGATCCAGTAATTCAAGTACTAAATAACTGATATTGTTGTCGTCAAGATTACAAGAAAGATTAGAAGTGTTTAGATCTACGACAGCTGAGCGACTAAACAGAAGACTGCCTTAAACGTTTAGCATTTTCAAAAAGCATCAAAAAGCGTAAACCCTTTATTCGAGTTTTCTAGCAGAGTTTCTAGAAAAGTTTCTTTTTGACAGTTTTCTAGGAATTGATTTAAGCTCATTTCTTTCCGAAGAGTCCCAGTGTCCCACCGACCAAACCGCCCACAACGGCGCCTTGCAGAAAACTGCCGACAGCTGGAAAGCTTGAAGATTTAAAGGTCAAGCAAGCGACACTTACGATTTCTATAATAATATGGAGGTGGGTAGAACATCGGTGGTGGTGGCAGTGGTGGCGGGTAGAAGAATGGACGGGGATAGAAAAGCGGTGGTGGTGGAGGGCCTGAACAAGAATGCTGTGCTCTGCATTCGAGTTACCATACTCTTTTTTTCTATAGTTATTCAAAATGACGTATATTTTGCTGTATCAGCTGGTTAAACCGAGCGTTAAACCGAAATTTTTAAGGTTAGAACTCAATGTTTTCAGTGATTAGATCGTTGTCTCCGTAACTTTCAAATAATCAAAGTAAACTCTCCTTTGACTCAAGAAATTTGCAATTAGTTGCAGGTGATAGCTGTTGATTTAGCCTACCTATGATGCTAAGAAAGCTAGTTAGCATTTCTTGAAGAAACAAAAGAAAAATCCGAACTAGGGATCGAACTCGTGAGGTTTCGCTCACGAAACGAGCGCTTTACCACTCGGTCACAACAGCCCGGGTAAGGCGACCGTTAAGAAGCCGTTAAGACTCAAATTAATCACATTTCTTGAAGAAATACAAAAGAAAGATCCGAAGTAGAGATCGAACTCGTGAGGTTTGGCTCCGGAAACAAGCGCTTTACCACTCGGCCACAACTGCCCGAAGGCACGAGGGGAAGGCGGCTCTTAAGAAGCCTTTAAGAAACTGTTAAGAAGCAGCCAAGCTTTAAATCACCCACATTTTTAGACACAACTTTAGACGCTTAGCACTTCTGATAGATTATCATTTAACAAAAACGGAATAGATATTCAGCATCAAATTCTACGTCAAATTCTATAAATCGCATAGCAATTGGCTCAGCCAGTTGCTGGCCTTGCTGGCCTTGTTGCGTTTGCTGGCCTTGTTGCGTTTGCTGGCCTTGTTGCGTTTGCTGGCCTTGTTGCGTTTGCTGGCCTTGTTGCGTTTGCTGGCCTTGCTGGCCTTGCTGGCCTTGCTTGCCTTGCTTGCCTAGCTACTGGCCTTGCTGGCCTGGCTACTGGCCTTACTGACCTGGCTACTGGCCTTACTGACCTGGCTACTGGCCTTGCTGGCCTTGCTGGCCTTGCTGGCCTTGCTCAGCCAGTTCACCTATCCAGCAGGTGTCGAACCGTAACCAGCTCCTAGCGAAGCCTAATCTAACACTAAATCTATCAAACTATTGCCCAAACCGATCCAAAACTCAGGCAATCTCTTTTCCAGCTCTAGTCCAACTCCAGCTAGGCTAGAGCTCGAGTCTGGTCCAGCTTTAGTCTAACTTAGTCAAATCTTTTGTTCAATTAAAGAAAACTCACGCCAACGTCTCCAAAACGGCCATCCATTTACTGATTGGCCAAGAATCACAAAAATCAGTACAATAGCCAGAAATCTCATGTCACTTTTTGAGAGTTTTGGATGTCAAACAACCTTTTAAATAAAGGCAATGATTCAAAAGGATTAAAGGGAAATTTGTCGAACAGCCGATCATTTTTCCCTTTTGGAAAAGAGATTTTCTTTTTATCGTTTTCTCGAGTAAACAAATAGAGAAATTTGCATGTTGGTTCTTTAGCGAATTGAGCGATTTTGAAGGGTAAAAGGTAGGTAAAAAGTTTCCTGTAACTAAACCAGCAAAAAAAAGAATGTATCTTTAGCTCCAAGAGCTCAAAGACTATCATATGAATAATGTTTATGGATTTCTGAACGTTCTCCAGTGAAAGGCAACGTTTCTAGCGCTCGTTTCCAAGTAGCAACCAAAATTTCCCTTCTCATCGTCTTTTCTTCGAGTTTTCAACGTGAATCGATTCACTTTTCCGCTTTATTGTCAATCCTGGATGTCATCAGAGTCCGAGCTTTACACAGAGCTCTTCAGCACTTACTCAAACTTTTCCATTCCAACCAATGCCACCCCATTGATCGTCACCGTCTATCTCCACTTTTTATATATTCTAGCGGTGGTAAGGATTGTATTTTCTTTTGCCGATTGTCTGTATTTCTTTGTCTTTAGTTGTATCTTGTAGTTTGGAAAAAATCGGTTACGAAATTATATGTCGGAATTATATGTCGTAACCGATTATGAATTTCAGCCGATTATGAATGAACGTCCAGACCAGAGGCGTCCAATCATCAATTATTCGGCATCATTCAACGCAGAATCATTAATAATTATGTTAAATTTTTAAAATTAGAAAGATTAGATAAAAATGAAAAAAGTTATGGGGCATCAAAGTTGAACAAAAAGTTTTTTTTGTTTTTTTTTATCCAATTTTTTGGTTCTTTTCATCTAATCCTTCTAATTTTAAAAATTTAACATAATTATTAATGATTCTGCGTTGAATGATGCCAAATAATTGATGATTGGACGCCTCTGGTCTGGACGTTCATTCATAATCGGCTGAAATTCATAATCGGTTACGACACATAATTATATGTCGTAACCGATTTTTCCGAAACCGGACGCGTCAAACCATCAATTATTCGGCATCATTCAACGCAGAATCATTAATAATTATGTTAAATTTTTAAAATTAGAAAGATTAGATAAAAATGAAAAAAGTTATGGGGCATCAAAGTTGAACAAAAAGTTTTTTTTGGTTTTTTTTATCCAATTTTTTGGTTCTTTTCATCTAATCCTTCTAATTTTAAAAATTTAACATAATTATTAATGATTCTGCGTTGAATGATGCCAAATAATTGATGATTGGACGCCTCTGGTCTGGACGTTCATTCATAATCGGCTGAAATTCATAATCGGTTACGACACATAATTATATGTCGTAACCGATTTTTCCGAAACCGGACGCGTCAAACCATCAATTATTCGGCATCATTCAACGCAGAATCATTAATAATTATGTTAAATTTTTAAAATTAGAAAGATTAGATAAAAATGAAAAAAGTTATGGGGCATCAAAGTTGAACAAAAAGTTTTTTTTGTTTTTTTTTATCCAATTTTTTGGTTCTTTTCATCTAATCCTTCTAATTTTAAAAATTTAACATAATTATTAATGATTCTGCGTTGAATGATGCCAAATAATTGATGATTGGACGCCTCTGGTCTGGACGTTCATTCATAATCGGCTGAAATTCATAATCGGTTACGACACATAATTATATGTCGTAACCGTCCACCGGCGCCCGGTTAATAGTGCCGGCAATTTTGGAAACAAAACTCACAAATTTGGTACGAATCAACGCAGAATTGAATAAGCTACAAGATGATATAATAATTGTCCTCATACTCGATTTTCTCGACTAGAAAGATTTCATAAAAAAATTTCATAAAAAAAAAATTTCATAAAAAAAAATTTTATTCATCATCGGCTACGACATTTATTTTAGGCAGAGACTCAGGAAACAATTAAATTCCTCGCTTTCTTTAACTACTATTGGACTGATAGTTATTTACAGGTAATTTTTAAAAAAAACTTTATTGATCGATCAAGAAAATCGATCTAGAAAATTGAAAATATTGAAATTTCAGTGGAATTCGACGAGAATTCAGAATATTGTTGTTGAGGCGAATGAAATTTGGCGACCGGATGTCGTTTGCACGTCTTGGTATGTTAAATTTGCTTGAACGATTTGAACTAGCTTACTCTGATCTTGGCTTTGCTTGGCTTGGCTTGGCTTGGCTTGGCTTTGCTTTGCTTGGCTGGGTTGGCTTTGCTTGGCTTTGCTTTGCTTTGCTTGGCTTTGCTTGGCTTGGCTTGGCTTTGCTTGGCTTTGCTTTGCTCTCTGCTTTAACCCTGAAATCAGCTAGCTAGCAGCCTGAACCTAAATCCATTCTTGGCTCAGAGCTGACTGTTAGAGCTTGTTAGAGCTTGTTAAAGCTTTTGTCCGATCTTTCCCTAGCTGATTTCAATCTGGCTTTGGCTTGAGCTTTCTGTGCTCTTCTTGGCTTCTGCTTACTAAAAAGCAGTCAAAAGCCTGGAAAAAGCTGGAATAGGCTTTTCCAACCATTCCCAACCATTCGAGCCTTGCCAGCCCTTCCAGCCCTTTCAGCCATTCCAACCATTCCAGCTTCGTAGCCATTCTTGAACTTTGAACATCTCGATTCTGAACATCTCCATTTAGCGCTGAGGTGACTGGAGTGCTTGGTGACAAGAGAATTGAAATCGGATCCGATGGAAACATTGGCTACGGCTTTCCAGAGGTGATGGTGTCACGATGTCCACTCTCCATTCACAATTTTCCATTTGATACACAGGTTTGTTAGCAGATTGTGCAACCTTTTATACGCAAAGCCCCGCCCCCTTTCCCCGCAAAGCCCCGCCATTGACAATCCAAGTTTGAGCTCAAATTTCTTGGTGTTGGGAATAGTTTTTATACGAATCGACAGAGAAAGAATTGGCGCATCAAATAAGACAAAAAATATTGATATTGGACAGTTGAAGACTAAGATATTTGAGTTCAAAGTTATGCTAATCGGAATGGGGCGGGGAGCGTATCAAATGCCCGATGCTGTACATCTGATAGTAGAAGGATAATGTAGCGAAATCGTTTCAGAAATGCTCAGTGACTCTGCAAGTGATGAGCTATCAAGCCGATCAAGTTCTACTAAAACCGGGCGTCGCATTTCTCGGAGATGAAATTCGGGTGACAAAATGTTACATCTAGAAATTGAGAATAATTTGGTTGATCTGGATGTCACAGAGCATTTTAGTGATGTCAAATAAGAGTAAAGTCAAAAATAGAGAATAATTTGGTTGATCTGGAAGTCACAGAGTATTTTAGTGATGTCAAATAAGAGTAAAGTCAAAAATAGAGAATAATTTGGTTGATCTGGATGTCACAGAGCATTTTAGTGATGTCAAATAAGAGTAAAGTCAAAAATGAGAATAATTTGGTTGATCTGGATGTCAAGAGCATTTTAGTGATGTCAAATAAGAGTAAAGTCAAAAATAGAGAATAATTTGGTTGATCTGGATGTCACAGAGCATTTTAGTGATGTCAAATAAGAGTAAAGTCAAAAATAGAGAATAATTTGGTTGATCTGGATGTCACAGAGCACTTTAGTGATGTCAAATAAGAGTAAAGTCAAAAATAGAGAATAATTTGGTTGATCTGGAAGTCACAGAGTATTTTAGTGATGTCAAATAAGAGTAAAGTCAAAAATAGAGAATAATTTGGTTGATCTGGATGTCACAGAGCATTTTAGTGATGTCAAATAAGAGTAAAGTCAAAAATAGAGAATAATTTGGTTGATCTGGATGTCACAGAGCATTTTAGTGATGTCAAATAAGAGTAAAGTCAAAAATAGAGAATAATTTGGTTGATCTGGATGTCACAGAGCACTTTAGTGATGTCAAATAAGAGTAAAGTCAAAAATAGAGAATAATTTGGTCAAGCTGGAAGTCACAGAGCATTTTAGTGATGTCAAATAAGAATAAAATCAAAAATTGAGAAAAATTAATTCAACCTACTACTATTTTAATCAGTGCTATCGGTTTGTTTATCGATTTTTAGGGCACTACTGAATGGGATTTGAAAAACGTGACCGCTGTGTGGATGCTGAACTCAAACAACAAGACGGGGTACTTGGAGATCGAGATTGTCATCAAGAGGTGAGAAGGACACATTGGGGATCAAGAGGGACACATTGGATGTCAGCGAGCATTTTGATGGTGTCAAATAGAGTAAAGTCAAAAGTCGAGAATAATTTAGCCAATCTGGAAGTCACAGGGCATTTTGATGGTGTCAAATAAGAGTAAAGTCAAGAATAGAGAATAATTTGGTCAATCTGGAAGTCACAGAGCATTTTGATAGTGTCAAATAAGAGCAAAATCAAAAATTGAGAATAATTTGGTCAATCTGGAAGTCACAGAGCATTTTGATAGTTTAAAATATAAATAAAATCAAAAATTGAGAAAAAATTGTTTAAGTTGGATGTCACAGCATATTTTGGTCGCAAAATGAGAGCAAAGCCAAAAGTCTAAAAAAAATTTGATCAAACTGGAGGTCACAGCACATTTTGAGGCCGTGAAATGCAGAGAAATGTTGAATTTTTATTCATCGTCTCAAATCAGCGTCCAAGGGTTTAGTGACCTCCAGATTGTCAAAAAATCATCGAAATTAGCAAAAATGAATTACCTGGATGTCAGAAATCGTTGTGAATCGGATCTGGGACTTTTTCGTCTTTTTGGTTGTCATTTTCATTGTCTACTAAGCTTTACTACTAAACTAAGCTTTACTACAACTACAGCTTTACTACAATTTAGAAACTCCACTTGTTATGTATGGGTCCTAATGGTGCCCACATTCCTCGCTTGCAATCTAGCCGTTGTCGGAACTTTTCTACCAACAATCAACACCGGCACGCGCTTTAGCAAGGTCAGTGCTAGAGTTGAAACATCCAAAAGCAGCCTAGGCCTCTTCAAATCGTCCTCTAGATTTCCCTCTAGATTTCCCGTCAATCTGAAAGCCATTGCCATTCTAATCCCTTTACCTCATCCTTCTAGGTTCTTCTCAACGTTTGCGTTCTGCTGACAATGATGGTCTTGCTTGACATTGCCGCTGCTGACATCCCTAAAACATCGTATTTACCTCAATTAGGTAATTTTTTTGAGAATCATGGGAGTCACAACTTAAATTTGAACACATTTTACAACATTTGAACACATTTGAACACATTTTAACACATTTGAACACATTTTAACACATTTGAACACATTTGAACACATTTTAACTCATTTGAACGCATTTTACAACATTTTACCACATTTTACAACCTTAGCGTGGTTCATCTTCATCGAGATGTTGGTGTGCTTTTTGGCCGGAGTGATCTCCGTTCTCATGCTAGTCACGCATCACATTGTCACAATTTGTGACGCAACTTCGCCCGCTTGGTAGGAAGAATTGAAGCTTGATCGTTTGCAGACAATAAAACTAATCGATTAACTGAGTTATTCAGCTTAAAAGCTGTCGAATTTGAAAACAGGCTGTCTTTGGGAAAATAATCCATTTCTTCGAAAACATGATCGACCATGATGTCTCCAGTGATCTTGGAGACAAGTTTTCTCAATCAGAAACTTCGTTGTGCCATCCAGTTCGCTTAAAATTTCCATAAAATACCCCACTTTCAAAACAATTTTGCTTAAAACAAGCACAACTCGATCGTCACTAAAACCCGATATTCTGAAAAGGGTCTGGGACAAGTTTTCTCACTCAGAAATTCCGTTGTGCGTTCCAGTTCGGCCAAATTTTCCATAAAATACCCCACTTTCAAGACAATTTTGCTTAAAACGAGCAGAACTCGATCGTCACTAAAACCTGTTGTTCTCAAGCGCCTCCTGAACAAGTTTTCTCACTCAGAAACTCCCTTGTGCCATCCAGTTCGGCCAAATTTTCCCTAAAATACCTCAGTCTCAAGACAGTTCCGTTTGAAACAAGCCCAACTCAATCGTAGCCAAAACCTGTTGTTCTCAAGCGCCTCCTGGACAAGTTTTCTCAATCAGAAATTCCCTTGTGCTATCTAGTTCGCCCAGAATTTCCATAAAATACCCCACTTTCAAGACTATTTCGTTTAAAACAAACCCAACTCAATAGTCACTAAAACCCGATATTCTTAAACGCATCTTCGGCAAGCTTTCTCACTCAGAAACTCCGTTGTGCCATCCAGTTCACCCAAATTTGCATATTTAATCATAAAACTTGGTTCAATAACCCAATCGGCTTCCACCAACTGCAACTTTCACCTTTTTAGGTTGACTTGTCTCATCTGCGAGAGCTCTAAATCCAATGAAGAAAGAAAAGAGAAAAACGGGGAAACAAGGCATAAATCTCCGAAAGAGTTTGATTTTCTCATGGATCAATTTGAGTGAGTTTTAAATTTCATTCAAAAATCTTTAAATCATCAGTTTTTTCCGCAAATTTTAACGATTTTTTAGAAAATTCAATTTTTTTCGTTTTTTTTACAGAAAAATTCGCTCAACGATTGGTAAATGGCGAGCTTTCGAAGCCCGTAAACTAAGCAGCTAAGCCTCAAATTAACCACATTTTTAGACACACCTTTAGACGCTTATAACTTCTGATAGATTATCATTTAACAAAAACGGAATAGATATTCAGAATCAGCATCAAATTCTACGTCAAATTCTATAAATCGCATAGCAATTGGCTCAGCCAGTTGCTGGCCTAGCTGGCCTAGCTGGCCTTGCTTGCCTTGCTTGCCTTGCTGGCCTTGCTGGCCTTGCTGGCCTAGCTGGCCTTGCTTGCCTTGCTGGCCTTGCTGGCCTTGCTGGCCTTGCTCAGCCAGTTTTTTTTACAGAAAAATTCGCTCAACAATCGATGAATGGCGAGCTTACGAAGCCCGTAAACTCCAATGGATTCACATCTTCGATCGAATCGATCTCCTTTTCCTATTCGTTTTTCTCTTCGTCAACACGATCATTTTCGCGAGAAGTGTCGTTAATTAAAAGATTAAAAGATTATATATATTAATATAAAGGGTTTTTAAAGGTTTAAAAGGGTTTTGAAAGGGTTTATATCTATATGCTTTATTCAGTTGAATAGCGACAAAATAAAATCACGATAATTACCCGGGACACCACTCAAAACACACCCAAAAGATAAATAGATATCTCAAGAAAGAGTCACAGAGCAGTCAAATCAATTGCCGAAATTGCGCCTTAAATCTAGCCAAGGCAATCTAGCCAAAGCAACCTAGCCAAGGCAATCTAGCCAAGGCAACCTAGCCATCTAGTCAAGGCAATCTAGCCAAGGCAACCTAGCCATCTAGCCAAGGCAATCTAGCCAAGGCAATCTAGCCAAGGCAACCTAGCCAAAGCAACCTAGCCAAGGCAACCTAGCCAAAGCTCCTTCTGGCCTCCTTCTGGCCTCCAGAAGCCCCGTAGAGAGCCGAATTCAAATAGACCAGAAAAAAGGGGGTCGGGATGAATGCCTTTAACAATTTGAAAGCATTCCACTAAATCGATGATAAGGCGGCGTTGGTGTAGCATTTCAAGACCAAAGAGTTCTATTTTTTGAATAAGATTTAATCTATCAGAATAAGTAAAGGAGGAGAATTTGTCAAAATTCATTTTATAAAGAGCAATTCTGGTGAAGTGCCTCTGAACACGTTATCTAGGTCTCCTTTTCCTATTCGCTTTTCTCTTTGTCAACACGATCATTTTCGCGAGAAGTGTCGTTAATTAAAAGATTAAAAGATTACGGTAATTCCCCGACAATTTCGAAACAATAAATCTTTTAAAGTGACCACAATAAGCGGAATTTCTTTCACTTTTCACTGTTTCACGATCTGTAAACCATTTTTGCTAATTTCGATGATTTTTTGACAATCTGGAGGTCACTAAACGCTTGGACGCTGATTTGAAACGATGAAATAAAAATTGAACATTTCTCTTCATTTCACGGTCTCAATAAGTGCTGTGACCTCCAGTTTGACCAAATTTTTTAAAACCTTTGTTTTTGCTTTCATTTTGTGACCAAAATATGCTGTGACATCCAATTTCCACAAATTTTTCTCAATTTTTATCGTTTTTCTTATTTTAAACCATCAAAATACGCTGTGACCTCCAGCTTGGCTAAATTATTCTCAATTTTCCTTTTTCTTCTTATATTATGCGACGAAAATGCTCGGTGACATCCAGTTTGACCAAATTTTTCTATTTTTGATTTTGCTTTGATTTGACATCACCAAAATACGCTGTGACCTCCAGCTTGGCTAAATTTTTCTCAATTTTCCTTTTTCTCCTTATATTATACGACGAAAATGCTCTGTGATCTCCAGCTTGGCCAAATCTTTCTCAATTTTATCTTTCTCTTGACTTTAAACCATCCAAAATCCTTGGTGACCTCCAATTTGATGAAATTTTGTTCAAACTTGTCTTGAAGCCAATGATTACTAGTTAAATTTTATTTATTAATCTTTAAAAATGGAAACTACTTTAAGAAAAAACATAAAAAAGAGATCAAAACGAGAAAAAAGAGAAAAAAAGAGAAAAAAAAGGGAAAAACTCAAGAAAAACCGACTTTTTAACGATTTTAGCGAAAAATTTAGAATAGAAAAACAAGATTTGTACCCAAAAATGTAGAAAAATTATAGAATTTTAAATAAATATTAGCACAATAATTACCAAAATTATCAAAATAATCAAAAGAAAACCCCCATAAACCCATTAGAAAAAAGGAATTCTAAAGGAAACTATTTGAAAAATATTTACAATTAAAGAAAGAGTTTAGAAAATTAGTTTCAAAAAGAGTTTTTTTTTTTTGGCACATTTAAGTCGATTCGTTTCCATCTGATTGCTCCTTTTTTTGACGAGAAGAAACCTTTAGAGAGAACGACGACGACGAGGACGACAATCGATCGACTCTCCTCCCAACAATCACATCTCTTTTCTCGTCACCTCGTGAGCGTGTTTTTCCTGGAAACACTTTTTTTCAAAATAAAACTTTTCAAAGACCCTACTGTGCTCCAGGATTTTGAAATAATAAGTCAAAATCGAGCTTTTTAAAGAATATTTCGTTTAAAACAAGCAGAACTCGATCCGCAAGAAAACCCGATATTCTTAAACGCGTCTTGAACAAGTTTTCTCAATCAAAAACCCCGTTGTGCGTTCCAGTTCGGCCAAATTTTCCATAAAATACCCCACTTTCAAGACAATTTTGCTTAAAACGAGCAGAACTCGATCGCCACTAAAACCCGATATTCTTAAACGCGCCTTGAACAGGTTTTCTCAATCAGAAACCCCGTTGTGCGTTCCAGTTCGGCCAAATTTTACATCAAATACCCCACTTTCAAGACAATTTTGCTTAAAACGAGCAGAACTCGATCGTCACTAAAACTTCCGATATTCTTAAACGCGTCTTGGACAAGTTTTCTTACTCAGAAACTCCCTTGTGCTATCCAGTTCGCCCAAATTTACCATAAAATTTGCACTCACTTTCGCCAGCGCTTCCTCAAGGCGTCGATTCTCATGCACGAGCTTCTCGATGTGGAGTTGCGCGCGCGAGAGTTCACCCTTCAGCCGATCCACCTCGCCGACGAGGGGCTGAAGTTGAAAAATCGTTAAAAATTAGACTTAAATCGATTCTAGTCACTTCAAAAAAGCTAAAAATCCAGAAAAATCTCGATTCTATACAAACCTCGATTTCAGTGTTGACTGGCTGAAAAATAATTTTCCTAAACTGCATCTAAAGTACCGTAGTTTTGCTTCTTTATACCCTGTGACTTCCATAATTGTCTATAAAGTACTTAGAAAAGTGTATCTTTAGAGTATACGGTAACTAGGTCACCAGATAAGAATATGGTAGGGTCAAGTCTTCAAATATTTCTAATCATTCTTTTAATAGCTACAAAATGTGTTGTGATATCCATAATCGACTATGCGGTAGGTAAAAAGTTGTAGATGTCTAGGGTACTGTAGCTAGGTCACCAGATAAGAATATGGTAGGGTCAAGCGATGAAATGTTTCGAATCATTCTTCTAATAGCTACAAAATGTGTTGTGATATCCATAATCGACTATGCGGTAGATAAAAAGTTGTAGATGTGGAGGGTACTGTAGCTAGGGCACTGGATAAGAATATGGTAGGGTCAAGTCTTCAAATCTTTCTAATCTTTCTTTTAATAGCGACAAAATGTGTTGTGATATCCATAATCGACTATGAGGTAGGTAAAATGTCGTAGATGTACAGGGTACTGTAACTAGGTCACCAGATAAAGAATCGACACTTGAAAAAGGGATTTCAATGGATTTTTAATGGATCGATTATCGTTATTTCAATTTATATCAATTTTTTTTCAATTCTTACATTCATCTCTCCATCTTGACTCCTCCCCAATCGCAAAAACTCATCAGAAAAGGCTCTGTTCAATTTGGGCGCATGCAACAATTGAGATAATCCGTCGGAAACCGATGCCCCATTGTTGTTCGTCGTCCTGAAAGAGAATTCGAAAAATTTTCAAAATTTTCCCCGATCTGGCACGCACAGAGCCACGCTAAAGCAAAAAAAACCGAAAAAAAATGTTTTAAAAATTTTTCCAAAAAGTCACCTCTTCTACCGTAACCTGTTAGTGTTTTTTGTTAAAAAAAGACTTTTTTCTTTTTTCTACCGTACCCTAATGAGTTTTTTGGTCTTATTTGATTCGTGTGATGAGCACCCTCGTATCGTGGAGCGTGCTTTGTGATAAACGAGAAAGAGCCATCGTTTGAGAGATTCGAGAGGGGAGAGGAGTGCGGAGACGTGTCCAAGTCTCTAGCACGCAAGCGCAGCATGTCACCGTATCTGGAATTGAAAATTTGGTCATTCTGGATGTCACAGTAAATAATGAGGCTATGAAAGAATCGTGTTTTCAATAAAAATCGAATTCAACTTTTCGATTTCTATTTCGGTAGATAGCTAGATCCTTTTTCTTTAAAAACTTGTAATTCCGATTTTCTGGAGTCAGGATTTCAAATCCGGCTTTAGTTTCTTCACTGGAAAAGCTAAACGCACGTGATTGGCTGCCTGGCGAAAGCGTCTGGTGTCAGCATGCAGTCCTGGGTGCCGCGCATCGCCGCACAATTTGGATCCTAGGAATTCTTGATATATTCTGCAAGAAATCAATGCTGTGACTGCCAGCTCGAAGCTTTGGAAGAGTTTTTCTTCAAAATTCTTCTTCAAAACTCTTTTCTCACCTCGCATCCCCTTCTCGGACTCCCATCGGACGCCGGCGCAATCAACAACAATCGCAACGCCTCTTTCTCATTCAGCAAATCACAAATGCGCTCCATCGAGAGCGTTGCTAATGCAAAACCCTCAATCTAGAAAGGATTTTTGTTGATTTTGGGCTTGATCTCTTTCTTTACCTCAACAATGCGACTGCCTTGTCGCAAACCGGCTTTCCATGCTGTTTGATACATTTCAACGTCGGTGACCACTCCTTCATCCTGGAAATGGTCACGTTTTGGGTCAAATCTTCTATTCTTCTGGTCCTAGGCCAGTCTAAACCAAGCCAAAGCTAGCCTAAGCCAGTCTAAACCAAGCCAAAGCCAGCCAAAGCGCAGCCAAAGCCAGCCAAAGCCAGCCAAAGCCAGTCTAAGCCAGTCTAAGCTAGCCTAAGCTAGCCTAAGCCAAGCAAACGTCAGTCTAAGCCAGCCAAAGCCAGTCCAAGCCAGTCCAAGCCAGCCTAGGCCAGCCTAACCCTGTCTTGCTCACCTGAATATGGAAACCCCATGACTCCAGTCTACTCCTGCGCACCATCACCTCTCGTGCCTCTTCTCCTTTCGTCACTGAAAGCAAAGGTCACCCTCTCAATCTAGACCACCCCACCATTGCTGAGTCTCTCCAACAGCGTAGCCAACTCGATCTCGGCGCTTCCCTCTGCCACACAGCATCTCACCAACAACATATCCCCATGATCATAATAGATTTTTAAGCTAAATTCAAATCTAAACAAAGTTCAGCCGACCCTACCCAGTCTCCGGGTTTGCAATCCATCCAATAATCGAATGAGTGGGCGTGATAAAGATTGGGACACCGGTTGGCCGCTCTAACAGCACCAGCGCGTCAAAGGAGAGACCTGGCAAAAGACAATTTTTGATCACCTTCAATTTTCAAATTCTCAACGTTTTTCTTGTAAAGCTTCGTACTTTTAGAGGAAAATTTGAGAAAATTTCGAAAAACTGGATGTCACAGGGGATTTTATTGAGATTTTCGTCGCATTTTATTGGTTTTGAAATAAAAAAAAAACCCAAAAATCTTCGATGGCACCTTTGCGCGTACCTTTTCCTGTAGCCCGTAGGAAAAAGCCGCATCTGGCACACTGCCCGGGATGTGGGGTTGCGAAAAGCGCCTCTTGCCGGTTTAATTACCCAAGTTTCTCGATTTTTAGTTTTTTGTCATAAATTCTTGAGTGGATTCAGAGAAATTGAAAGCAAAATATGTTTACGGCCTGATTGATTCGGTGGCTCGATTTGACTTCGTAGACAGCTGCTGTGTATTCCAGATTATACAAAAATTGAAAAAAGGAGACAAAACAGGGTATTCGAGGCTATTTTTCGACCCAGCTACCGTATCCCATAAAGTATTCCATTTGTTTACAGTATCCCATAAAGCACAAAACCCTCACCAAGTACACAGGAGACGCGGAGATTCAGCGAGTGATCGTGCACGTCGACGAGCCACGAGAGTGCGCCCCGAAGCGGTGACACCAGCTGCGGCTTCAGCGGAACCGTGCGCTCGCGACGTTTCACCGATCCGCCCAGGAGACGACCTAGGATCGATCATTTTTTCGTGATTCTGGATGTCACAGAGTATTTTAAACAACTAATGGCCTAGGTCACGAACTTGCTATCCGCGCAGGTCCCTCGTTCACCGGGCCACCATGGTTCTCGACCTGAAAAGAAAATCAGCTTAAATCTCAAATTTTTCGATTTCAAACGATAACGTGCCTTCCAGATGAGCAAAAAAATAAACTCACAAGGTCTCTTAAAGCTTCTCGTCTTGTTCTTGCAGCCATGGCGGCGAATTTCTTTGATCGGTGCACAGCATTTTCAGCATTTATGACTAAAAATCGGTTTTTTCAGTTTTTTAGTAAGGACTCACTTTTCGTGAGCAGCCAATCATGAAAGTAAGCGCATTTGTTGAAAGTGGCACCGCGGGGGATCGGTGGACCGAATGAGGGCACGTCTAGGGCACGACAAACAGCAACACTGAAAACCGGGCTAGTATAAGCCTAAGCCTTAGCCTGAGTCTAAGCCTGAGCCTAAGCCTAAGCCCAAGCCCAAGCCTAAGCCCAAGCCTAAGGTCAAGCCTGAGCCCAAGCCCAAGCCTAAGCCTAACCTAGGCCTAAGCCTAAGCCAAGCCTAACCTAGGCCTAAGCCTGAGCCTAAGCCTAAGCCTAAGCCTGAGCCCAAGCCTAAACCAGGCACAAGTTTGACCCTAACTTTAAGTCCACTAGTTCAAGATAAATCAGTAAGTTTGGCAAGTTCTGACAATCTGACAATTCCTTGCGAGGTTTTTGATTGATCAAATTCGATTTTAGCCATTCAAACCTGTACGAGACGTTCTCTGTGCACGGATTCGAAACTCGAACCACGATGAAAACGTGTTGGAAATGTGAACGAACGGTATTCGGCGAGAATGGCAAAGCGCCAGCCTAAATTTTAAACCTAACAATTCAATTCATAATCGACTTTTAGCTGATCAAAAAGCGGCAAAATTTGGCAGAGATTTTAGCTCAAAAAAAAGGTGATTCCAAAAACTTCAAATCATTTAAATACCTCTTGAAAGACGATGGTTACCATATCGTTTCCAATGTGGCGCTTTCGGGCTAGCTAAATTTTCCTTCTTTAGTGCCTCTTTGAAGATTTCAAGCGAAACCTGTTGTCGATTCTGTGGAGTGTAGGGAAGGAGGGTTGAGACGTGAAACCTGTAATCTTTTTTTGTCTTTTACAAAAGATTTCCCCGTTCTGGATGTCACAGTGAACAATGACGCGTTGAAAAGCGGCTTTTTTTGAAAAAATAACATTCATTAACGGTAGCTAGGAATCACTGAGCTCGAGTCGCTCTAAATGCTTTAAAAATCTTTAGAAACAGCTTCTAGAACAGCTCTGCTCTTGTCCCAAGCCATTGGTTCTAACTCTTGCCTCTAATTCTTCGTCAAGAAATCAATTTAGTTGAAAAAGCCAATAGTTCAAAGGGAAACGTCTATCCGTCCATCAATTCATCTTTACGTTAATTCCCTACTCTCTGTGAGCGGATTTAAATCATTTTTAGTTTCCTAGGCTTAGAATTCTATATAGTTTGACATCTAATAGTTCATTTTTTTTAAAAAACGAAACTCATGCCACAGCCAGGAGTCGAACCCTGACCTTCCGACCCACAGAAATCTCAACTAACCACTGCGCCATAACGACATTTGCCACCCTCTTAATAAAATCGTTTTTCAATCGGTCTCGATAAATTTGGGTGTTTCGTTCTCGTTTTTTCTTCCCCATCCTAGCTCTAATACTTCAAAATGAGCTCAGAATCTTGTTTAGCCCTTTCTGGACCCTGCCCTACCCCACATCCGCGTCTTCACATCCGCGTCGTCGCAGAGTTGATCAATTCTTATTTTTCTGATCTTTAGGTGCTAACCAGCAAACAATTCGCCAGCTAACCAGCAAACGGCTCTCTAGCTAACCAGCAAACAATTCGCCGTTTCCACCGTCTTCCCACGTCTCTACACTTTCTTTGACTCATCCCATTTACTCCCAGCAACGAATACTTCAAAATCAGCCCAAAATCAGCCCAAAACCTTGTTTAGACCTTTCTAGACCTTTCTAGGATAGCCTCCCCTATATTTTCACACTTACATGATCTCGTGACTCTCATACTCTGCATAAACGCTGTGTGCACCTGTAAATGAAATGATTTCTCTCTTTAAACTCTTTAAACGCTCACCAGTCGTGTCACCTTTTGTGTCGAGACCGCCCTGAAAATGTTTTCTTTAAACAAATTGACATTCAAATTGACATTGGCATCTAGAAATCAAAAAATAATAAAATAAAATATTGACCTTGTATTGATCAAAGCCTTTCAAGCGGACTCGTTGCCCCAAAAATTCGAGAAACTCGTCGAAAGCCGGCGAACTCGTCTCTAAAAGGTTTTTGTGCCGTATTGGAACCGTATTAGATCAAAATAGAAACTGTATTGGAATCGTATTGGAATCGTATTGGAACCGTATTAGATCGAAATAGGAACCGTATTGGAACCATATTGGAACCATATTGGAACCATATTGCGAATCGTATTGGAATCGTATTTTGGGAACTCATATTGGAATCGTATTGGTACCATATTGGAACCATATTGGAACCGTATTGGAATCGTATTGGAATCGTATTGGAACCATATTGGAATCGTATTGGTACCATATTGGAACCATATTGGAACCGTATTGGAACCGTATTGGAACCATATTGGAACCATATTGGAATCGTATTGGAATCGTATTGGAACCATATTGGAATCGTATTGGTACCATATTGGAACCATATTGGAACCATATTGGAATCGTATTGGAACCGTATTGGAACCGTATTGGAACCGTATTAGATCGAAATAGAAACCGTATTGGAGCCGTATGAAATCCGTTTCAATACGGTTCCAGGATTGGGAAAAGTTGAGGAATTTGGGATGGGAGAGGCTTGGGTTTTGAAACAACAATGACACTCACCATTGTTGTACATTTGCTCCTCGGTGCTTTGCCCGTCCATGCACAAAATGACGCCAACCTATGAATTTGCTTAAATTGGCGGATTTCGTTTTCGTTAAACCTTATATCTTGCATAGATTGGTTGCTCGTCGATTTTCGTCAACAGCTCCTCGAATTTCTGCGTTTGCAGCGCCGGCCGAAGCACCGAGAAGTGTAGCTGGGGGCAAACGATCTCCAAAAGCTCTCTGGAATTGTTTTTTTCGAAAAGCTTTTGAATCCTGGATGTCACTAGGCATTTTGAGCTCATCACCAACTGAATTGATTGGATTTTCTAGAAGGCACTTTAGCTACCGTACCCTGTGGACACGGTAGCTTCGAGATTGGAGGCTTTGATTTTATTTTTTTCGGTAAATTTTCGAATGCTGGATGTCACTAGGGATTTTGAGCTCATTATCAGCTTAGTTGCTAGCTTTTGACTATAATGCGCTCCAGCTACTGTACCCATGGATACGGTGGATACTGTAGGGCTTCGATTTTATTTTTTCGGTAAATTTTCGAATCCTGGATGTCACTAGGGATTTTGAGCTGATTGCCAGCTCAATTGGTTGCTCTTTCTAAAATGCACTCAAGCTACCGTACTCCATACTAATAGAATGCTTATGGCTGGTATACGGTAGCTGAAGCGCTAGAGTTTTTAGTTTTTAAGAAGGAAAAACCACTTGAAATTCGATTATTAAATAAAGTTATCCAGTAGAACAATAGAAAAATAGAAAATTCGTACCTAAAAAGGGCTCGAGATGAGACACGCTCGGCTCCATCTTTTGACTCGGGTAAAACATCTTCCGAAATGGCTACTCTCATCGTTTTCAGCTAAAAACAGCGAATTGGAATGCACAAGAGATAAAAAGACGGTTTTCAAGTAAATCTTTTCAATTTTTCCATTTTTTGGCATTAATTTGGAGGAAAATAAAGAAAAATTGACTGAATTTCGTTAAAAATTCGTCAAAAATCGAACTCACATCGCCGATTCGAATAATCATCCGATAAATTGTTTGCTTTGGCACTTTCATTGCACCCTTCGCCTCTATTGGTGTCACGAAGCGCCCTTTATCCGCCAGATCTTTCACAACCGAGACGACGATCGGCCCGAGATCCTCGTCCATTCCAACCATCTCCATGTGCTCTAGAATTCAAGCCAACTCACGAGCCAACTCGCCAGACTCACGTCTTCCCACAAAGCAGTGTCTGTAGTAGTAGCTGCCGATATCTTGTGGCTCGATCACGCATTTTGGTTGACGCGCCGCGCACAGTCGACCACCCAAATAAACGTTCGAGACATCTTCGAGAATGTGAGCTTCAGCCGCCGTGTGTTCTCTAAAATATGCGGTGCCTTCCAGGATCTACAAATCCACTCACCGATGCCAGGTTTCCGTCGACCGAACGTCCACAACGGCGTCCCGAGTCGCGCGTGAGAGAGCCACTCGACGCACTGATTCGACTCCGAGTTCATTTCTCAAATTTTCTTTTATTGCTTTTGATTTTTTGCCTTCCAGGATGGAGTTTTCTGGAAAAATAAAAGCAAAAAACAAACAAACAAACAAACAAACCTGAATGCTGGACATGAATTGAGAAGATCGTTCGACTTTCCGTCTCCTGGATCGTCCTCGGACCGGCTCTGCGCTTGGCTAGCGCCTAGAAAACGAAATTTCAATGGAAATCCGCGATTTATTTGAATTTTCAACAAACCAGTCGGCCGGTGCTCGTTCCAAGGCGGCGGCTGACCGAGACTCCACGCCGAGGCAAGCGAGAGACAATCGTGGAAGGAGACCAAACGCGGGTACACCGGACGCCAGTCGCTGCAAATGAGATCATTGAAACTCGGCTTGCTGGAGCTCAAGCGAGAAGTCAGCCTAGCCTGGCTAGGCGACTAGCCTAGCCTTGCTGTGCTGTTCTGAGCCTGAGTAGGACCACAGATCTGTGAACTAGTTTCACTTCAAGACCCAGGAAATCCTCAAATGGCTAATCTGATCAAAAGAAAATCAGTTCTGGAGGTCACTCGAGAGAATAGAAATGGCAGGACTTGTAAATCATTGTTTCTAAACTTCGGTTTTGGGTGATATGGTTCAACTCGACTTATGCCAAGACTTGGCTATTGCTCAAATGGCTAATCTGATCAAAAGGAAATCAGTTCTGGAAGTCACTCAAGAAAATAGAAATGCCAGAATTTGTAAATCATTGATTCTAAACTTTGACTTTTGGTTGAGTGGTTCGACTCGACTTAGGGACTTGGAAAAGGCCTGGATTGGTAATCTGATGAAAATAGTATCAATTCTGGAAGGCACACGATAAAATAGAAATGCCGGAAATTGTAAATCATTGATTCTAAACTTCGATTTTGAGTGATATGGTTCAACTCGACTTACAGACTTGGCTATTGCTCAAATGGCCATTCTGATCAAAAGAAAATCAGTTCTGGAGGTCACTCAAGAAAATAGAAATGACAGAACTTGTAAATCATTGTTTCTAAAATATGCGATATTCAAAAAATTACCCATGATTTGGATCCGGTCGATCCGGTTGTTTGTGATTGTGGTGATGAGAATCCGAGTCGGAGGCGGTGGACGGTTGATCGGAATGCACCGAGGCACCGGTGAGGGTTTCCGCGTTTCCTGAACTCCATTGTTAAGCTTTTCGAAAAGTTTCTGCTGATCGCTCTTCTCGAGAATGTTTTTAGTAAAAATTTCCAAATTTTCCCTAACTTTTTGGCCCCTTTTTCTCGACGTTTTCATTGAATCTGGCACTCACCAAGCCCGGGGATAACGACGGCAATTACAGAGCCACGGCGGTTGAACATGTCGACGCCTCTAGCTAGCGTCGTGGTGCTGCAGCTGAAGAGAGATTTCTATCAATGAAACAGGAAAAATTGGATGGAAATCTTTTCGATCTGGATGTCACAAAAGGTTTTGAAACTGGTTTTACAAGGTAAATGTTTGTTTCAAGATTTTTGGAAATTTGAAAATGAAAATTTGAATTTAAAAATCAAATTTTCGTAAAATAACGCTTTTTCTTTTAAGTAAATCTTCAAAGAAAAAGTCTATTTATATTTAAAAACCCCTTTTAAACCCTTTTAAAACCCTTTAAACCCTTTTAAACCCTTTTAAACCCTTTTAAACCCTTTTAAACCCTTTTAAACCCCTTTTAAACCCTTTAAACCCCTTTAAAACCCTTTAAAACCCTTTTAAACCCTTTTAAAACCCTTTTAAACCCTTTTAAACCCTTTAAAACCCTTTTAAACCCTTTAAACCCCTTTAAAACCCTTTAAACCCCTTTTAAACCCTTTTAAAACCCTTTAAAACCCTTTTAAAACCCTTTAAACCCCTTTTAAAACCCTTTAAACCCCTTTAAAACCCTTTAAAACCCTTTTAAACCCTTTTAAACCCTTCAAAACCTTTCGTAGCCGATTATGAATTTCAGCCGATTAGGAATGAGTGGATCTAGGAGCGTCCAACGATCAAGTATTTGGCATCATTCAACGCAGAATCATTAATAATTCTATTAAATTTTTTAAATTAGAAAGATTGGATAAAAAGAAAAAAAATAATGGGGCTTCAAAGTTTTCTCTTGAACAAACAGTTTTTTTGCTCTAACTTTTTTTCTGTTTATCCAATCTTTCTAATTTAAAAAATTTAATAGAATTATTAATGATTCTGCGTTGAATGATGCCAAATACTTGATCGTTGGACGCTCCTAGATCCACTCATTCCTAATCGGCTACGACAAAACCCTTTAAACCCCCTTTAAACCCCCTTTAAACCCCTTTAAAACCTTTTAAAACCATTTAAGACCATTTAAAATCCTTTAAAGGTGAAGGAGTGGAAAGCCAATTTGCCTCTTGGGTTAAAAATCAAAATGTTAATTAAAAATGGTTATTCTGGAAGTCAGAGCTTAGTTTGAGTTTAAAAGTTTTTTGATTTATTTGAAAATTGAAAGCTTGTCGGGGCCTTAGCTAGAGCTTTGGACAGCTCTAGCTAGCTTTGGGAAGCCCTAGCTAGCTCTGGACAGCTCTAGCTAGCTCTGGACAGCTCTAGCTAGCTTTGGGAAGCCCTAGCTAGCTCTGGACAGCTCTAGCTAGCTTTGGGAAGCCCTAGCTAGCTCTGGACAGCTCTAGCTAGCTTTGGGAAGCCCTAGCTAGCTCTGGACAGCTCTAGCTAGCTTTGGGAAGCCCTAGCTGGCCTTGGAAAGCTCTAGATAGCTTTGGAAAGCTCTAGCTAGCTCTGGACAGCTCTAGCTAGCTTTGGGAAGCCCTAGCTAGCTCTGGACAGCTCTAGCTAGCTTTGGGAAGCCCTAGCTAGCTTTGGAAATAAAACCCTTCAAAAAAACGAACCTATCATGTGAATTGTGATCCATTTGAATGAAAAAAAATGTTGAAAATCGATTTCCTCAATCGCATTTAAATTTCTCGAATTTCGATAAATCCCCATTTTTCAGCATCGTTTTTTTTCGCAAATTCTATTAAATTTCTAAATTCGAACTTAAAAATAACAAAGAAAAGCAAAAGAAAAGCAAAAAATCAAAAATTTTCAAGAGATTTTATCGTTATTTTGAGCGAAATCATTGCTGACATTTTCCCAAAAACTTCACAAAAGAGAAAAATGAGCAAATCTTCAAGAACACGACTTTTTTTCGGCAATAGTTTCAGTTCTGGAAGGCAATTGGAAAAATGAGAAAATTTAGAGAAGAGTTTTACGGTTAAAATAACTTTTCGAAATCGCGAATCTCGTTTTCACGTAAAAGTGATGGAATTTAAAAGAAAAGCGAAAGTTTTAAAAGAAAAAAATGCAGATCTGGATGTCATGTAAGCGATTGGAAAAAGAAAAAAGTTGAAAATTTTAATTTAAAATTTAAAATTTTTTTGAAATTTTTGAAATTTTGATTTTTAAGTAAAACTGGTTTTTTTAACCAGTGAAAATCCCGAAATTCATTTCAAATTCAAAATTTTCGAAAAAAAACGATAAAAACTTTGCGCTTTCCTTGGAAAACGATAGAAAAAAGCGGAATTTAGCGAGAAATTTTGGTTTCGAAAAAATTGCGACCGCCCCTGGCATTGTTTATCGGATTCGTGCTAGTGCGAGCCGTTTTCACTCCGGGAAATCCTCCAATGGATCATCTGGTCAAAAGAAAGGCAGTTCTGGAGGTCACACGAGAAAATAGAACTGACAGAACTTGTAAGTCATTGATTCTAAACTTGGACTTTTGGTTGAGTGGTTCGACTCGAGCTACGGACTTGGAAAGGGTCTGGATTGGTGATCTGATCGAAAGAAAAGCAGTTCTGGAAGGCACACGAGAAAATAGAACTGACAGAACTTGCTAAAATCAAAGATACAAAACTTCGGTTTTGGGTGATATGGTTCAGCTCAAGTTCTGGACTTGGAAAAGGCTCGGATTGGTGATCTGATGAAAATAGAATCAGTTCTGGAAGTCACACGATAAGATAGAACTGACAGAACCTGCAAAAATCAAAAATACAAAAAAGTTTTGGGTGATATGGTTCAACTCGACTTACAGACTTGGCTATTGCTCAAATGGCTAATCTGCTCAAAAGAAAATCAGTTCTGGAAGTCACACGAGAAAATAGAAATAGCAGAACTTGTAAATCATTGTTTCTAAACTTTGACTTTTGGTTGAGTGGTTCAACTCGAGCTACGGACTTGGAAGAGGTCCGGATTGGTGATCTGATAAAAATAATATCAGTTCTGGGCACACGAGAAATAGAAACGCAGATGGTAAATCAGTTCTAAACTTTGACTTTTGGTTGAGTGGTTCAACTCGAGCTACGGACTTGGCTATTGCTCAAATAGCTAATCTGCTCAAAAGAAAATCAGTTCTGGAGGTCACTCAAGAAAATAGAAATAGCGGAACTTGTAAATGATTGATTCTAAAATCTATTTGAAAAGTTGAGGAACCGGGTTCAAGCACTCGACGAGAGCCGGCGAGTGGGGAAACAACTGTGTGCCACCGAAAAAAGAGTGAGGGGTTTTCTCAGGGCGATTCAAGTGGTGCTGTTGGACGAGGAAAAGTGTTCAAGTGGTGAAAAGGAGGGTTGGGGTGGGGTGGGGTGGGGTGGGGTGGAGGTGGAGGTGGAGGGGTGGAGGGGGAGACACGCACATCCCAGCTCCCCAATGTCCTTTTCACTCGTTTGTGTCTCTCTCAGCTTTCTTTTTTTTTCTTTTTGAGAAGCCCAAAGGAGCAAATGGAGTGCAGTTGAGCCACTTTCTCTTTACCAAAAATCCTAACTCCGTTGAAAATCAGCTGCTTGTTTTTTTTTTTGGGAGCAAGCTTTTTATCCAAGATTTTTCGCCTTTTTCACCTTTTTATCTTGTAAAAGTGTAAAAATGAGAGAAAATGGCTGGCTTAAAGCTAGAAAGGGAAAAGAAAGGCTGAAAGGCTGAATTACCTGATTTTGCGCATTTCTTTGGCCCAACTGGAGTGCACGAAAGCCATTGGAGAGCACGAACAAGCACAAGCATTAAAGGAAAAGATCAAAAGGCTTAGTGGGGGAAGTGAAGGAGTGGAAAGCCAATTTGTCTCTTGGGTTATTGAAAAATCAAAATGTTAATTGAAAATGGTTATTCTGGAAGTCAGAGCTTAGTTTGAGTTTAAAAGTTTTTTGATTTATTTGAAAATTGAAAGCTAGCTAGAGCTTTGGACAGCTTTGGACAGCTTTGGACAGCTTTGGACAGCTTTAGCTAGCTTTGGAAAGCTCTAGCTGGCCTTGGACAGCTCTAGATAGCTTTGGAAAGCTCTAGATAGCTTTGGAAAGCTCTAGATAGCTTTGGAAAGCTCTAGATAGCTTTGGAAAGCTCTAGATAGCTTTGGAAAGCTCTAGATAGCTTTGGAAAGCTCTAGCTGGCCTTGGACAGCTCTAGCTGGCCTTGGACAGCTCTAGCTAGCTTTGGAAAGCTCTAGCTAGCTTTGGAAAGCTCTAGCTAGCTTTGAACAGCTCTGGCTAGCTTTGGAAAGCTCTAGCTAGCTTCGGCAGAGCTCTAGCTAGCTTTGAACAGCTTTAGCTAGCTTTGGAAAGCTTTGAACAGCTCTAGAGTCAGGATCTCTCGAAGAAGTACATCAAAATCGATTCAAAAGGAATAGTAGCACTGATCTTAACGATTTTTCTTGCCGAGAAGCAGGAGACGAAGAAAAGTAGAAGAAGAAAGGAAAAGGGGATGGGGCTGTGGATAAGTGGAGAATGGGGGGGCATATAGAGCCACGAGGGGCTCGTGGGAGTGGCACGGTCGCGTCGCGTGCTTCCTTTCTCTCCACCTGGGGCATCTCTGCCCCTTTCAGCTCGATCCTTTCATTCAAGGGGGCCACAGAAGTCTCGATTCTTTAGATTCTTTAGATTCCTTAGATTCTTTAGCTTCTTTTTCAGATTCTTCTAGAGGTAGCTTACAATGAAAATTTTGATTTCAAAATGAAATCAGAAATCAAAAAAAAAACGATTGTAAACTATTGTAAAAGGTGTTGTGAGTTCCAGATTGAAAAATTCAAAACTAGAAAATTCTTTGTATTTGTGGATAAATGAATAAAAGCTTTATCAAAAATAAAAAAATGCATTTCGGGAAGTTTTCAGAAAGAATTTTCAAATTAATTATTCTTCCCGAGCCGCGTTTGACTGGAGTCTCGTTGTTGAGCGAGGATTTTCGAGCGATACGCTGTCGTGCGCAACGGGCGAGAGTTTTGACCTGGAAATTGAGCTCTTTGGCATTACAAGGCTTGGGCTTAGGCTTCGGCTAGGCTAGGCTAGGCTAGGCTAGGTTTAGGCTAGGCTAGGTTTAGGCTAGGCTAGGCTAGGCTAGGCTAGGCTTAGGCTAGGCCAGGCTAGGTTTAGGCTAGGCTAGGCCAGGCTAGGCTTAGGCTAGGCTAGGCTAGGCTAGGCTTAGGCTAGGCTAGGCTAGGCTAGGCTAGGCTAGACTTAGGCTAGGCCAGGCTAGGTTTAGGCTAGGCTAGACTAGGCTAGGCTAGGCTAGGCTAGGCTAGGCTAGGTTTAGGCTAGGCTAGGCTAGGCTTAGGCCAGGCTAGGCTTAGGCTAGGCTTAGGCTTAGGGCTTGTATTTCTTTCTACCGTAAACCTTCCTTACCACTTTCCCGTCCGCCAGCCAGTGAACCTGTTGAAACATTTGTGCTGATTTTTGGCTTTCCTCTTAAACCCATCGATGAAAACCCGGAGACAAGAGATGAGGTTTCGGGCTGAAAATTTAAACAGCTTTTTTTTGAACAAACTTTTAAACAAACCTTCAGACAAATCTTTTCATAAATTAATTAAAATTAGATAGATTTTCTTGAAAAATCAACCTGTTCATCCTCTTCAGCCAATGGACTTTCCCGTCCATCCAACGAGTACTGTTCGAGGTAGCGCTGAACGGCATCGAAAGCTTCTGGAAAGGGATTTTAAGACCAACAATGGATTGTAAGTAAGACCAACAAGTCTAACAACAGCAGAATCAATCATTTACAAGTTCTGCTATTTCTATTTTGCCGTGTGACCTCCAGAACTGATTTTCTTTTGATCAGATCCCTAATCCGGGCCTTTTCCAAGTCCCTAAGTTGAGCTGAACCATACCACCCAAAGCCGAAGTTTTGTATCTTTGATTTTAGCAAGTCCTGCCATTTCTATTTTCTCGTGTGACTTCCAGAACTGAATTTTCTTTTGATCAGATTAGCCATTTGAGCAATAGCCAAGTCTGTAAGTCGAGTTGAACCATATCACCCAGAACCGAAGTTTAGAATCAATGATTTACAAGTTCTGTCAGTTCTATCTTATCGTGTGACCTCCAGAACTGAAATTATTTTCATCAGATCACCAATCCAAGCCTCTTCCAAGTCCCTAAGTCGAGTTGAACCACTCAACCAAAAGTCCAAGTTTAGAATCAATGATTTACAAGTTCTACCATTTCCAATTTTCTACGTGCATTCCAGAATCGATTATTGCATTTAAATTTGTCAACTTTTCACCACTTAATCGTTCCAATTGCTCGGAGAGATCCTCGCTTTCGCGTGGCGGCTCGACGGCTGTTGCCAGTAAATCTTCGAGGGAAATCGAGAGACAACCCTGGAAAAGGGGTTCGTTTTTTTTGAATTTGTGAGTTTACTAGTTCAGTTTACGAGTTCACTAGGCTTTTATTTGGTTATCAAATGTCTAACCGACCTTGTTTTGCGATCGAATCAACTCGATACTTTTCTTGCATTTGTTTGAGAGTAAATCGACCGCTCTGGCGAGACCGCTAAAAGAATTTTATTAGAATTTTATTAGAAATCACTTCTGCCAAAGCTAAAGAGCGAAATTAGAGCAAAATTAGAGCAAAAAAAAGTGAATAGATTACGGTAGAAAGGACACGATTTAAAAAACGACTGATTTTGACTCTATGCTGATTTTTTGTTGGATTTAAAGTTGAATTTTAGTTAAACAAATCCCTTTCCTCACCTCAACTCTTTCCCATCGCCTTTCCGACTCCTTTCCGTCAATTTGTTTATGTCTTTCACCACTCCGCGACTATATTCAGCGATCACCTTTTGCGAGGCGGACGTTGTCGAGGCTCCTGCAAAATTATTAGCTTTTTGTTGTTATTAGCTAGTTGTTATTAGCGAAATATTCGCTTTTTTGTGCGATCTGGAAGTCACAGAACACATTCAAAAAAGAATAAAATGTATAAAAGCTGCAGAAAAATGCTGAAAAAATTTCTCTCTACCTTCATACGCCAACGACTCATCTGAGCGATTCCTTGACAATCCCGGGGAGCTTGTCTGAAAGAATTTCATTCAAATTTTACAATAAATTTGCATTTAAAAGGATTTTAATGAGGAAAACGTGGAAATTACGCGTTTCACTGGTTGTTTCCCGGCGCCCACATGAAAAGAAATCGATCGATTCGAAATAAACGTGTCGGCTCTGAAATTTTCGAGATAGAACACGTGTTTGAGGTTTTTTCAAATCATTTTTAGCAATCATGGGTGGCACAGGACAAGACGAGACAACAATTTTTCAGTTTTTTTCAAAAAAAATTTGACTTTGGGCTCCGACCGGGATCGAACCCTCGACCCTGGGAGCGTTAAACAAGCACGCTAACCACTTGGCCACTATGCTTCGATAGAAAAGGGTTTTTTCGAAAATTGAAGGGAAATTCGAAAATTAAATGCAAATTCAAAAATTGAGCGAAAATTCGAAAATTGTCTGGAAATTTGAAAAATTGAATGCAAATTTGGTACTTAAATGTAAATTCGAAAATTAAATGCAAATTTCGAAAATTGTATGGAAATTTGAAAATTGACCGAAAATTCCAAAAATTAAATGCAAATTTGGAAAATTGTCTGGAAATTTCAAAAATTAAGTGCAAATTTGGAAAATTGAATGCAAATTCAAAAATTAAATGCAAATTTCAAAAATTGTTTGAAATTTAAAAATTAAATGCAAATTTCGAAAATTCTATGGAAATTTGTAAATTCACCGGAAATTTGAAAATTAAATGTAAATCGCAAAAATTAAATGCAAATCTAAAAATTAAATGTAAATTCGAAGATTAAATGCAAATTTCCGATTTTTTTAACGTTTAAATGCAAATTTCACAGTTTTTACATCGAAATTTGCCATTTTTTTTGTGTTTTGCTTAGAATAAAAGAGTTTAATCGAGAGAAAAGGCGATTTTCATTGAAATCTATGAATCTTTGACAACACAACGGACACAGACCCCTCTTGTGAATCGACGGACGAGCACGCCTCCGACAGACTCGAATTACTGCAGTTTTTTTTATGAGATAGCGACAGAAATGATAGAAGAATTTGTTTTTTTTTGAAAATCCTGGAACACACAAGGAACATTGGTGAAAGCATTTTAAAGCTTTTATCAAAAAAAAAATTTTTTACAAACTTTTTCGGGTTTTTTAATTCTCGAAGTTGACTAAAATGGTTTTTGATGGGAATTTTAATTGCTGGATTTTGAATTGCTAGCTTTTAAATGTCTAGATTTCTCGTGTGCCTTCCAGAAATAATTTTCTTTTGATTAGATTAGCCATTCGGGCAATAGCCAAGTCTGTAAGTCGAGTTGAACCACTCAACCAAAAGTCAAAGTTTAGAATCAATGATTTACAAATTCTGTCAGTTCTATTTTCTTGAGTGACTTCCAGAACTGATTTCCTTTTGATCAGATTAGCCATTCGGGCAATAGCCAAGTCTGTAAGTCGAGTTGAACCATATCACCCAAAACCGAAGTTTTGTATCTTGGATTTTAGCAAGTTCTGTCAGTTCTATCTTATCGTGTGACCTCCAGAACTGATTCTATTTTGATCAAATCACCAATCCGGGCCTTTTCCAAGTCCCTAAGTCGAGTTGAACCACTCAACCAAAAGTCAAAGTTTAGAATCAATGATTTACAAGTTCTGTTATTTCTATTTTCTCAAGTGACCTCCAGAACTGATTTTCTTTTGATTAGATTAGCCATTTGAGCCATCCAAGTCCATAAGTTGAGCTCTGACTTCCAGCTCTGCCTTACCTCTGTTTCTGTTGTTGAGCTTTTTTTGCCTCTTGTACGGCTTTCATTGGATTGTAGTCCTTTCGGCGAAGCCACGCGGTCATTTCTTGCTCTCGTTGAGCGACGATTTGAGGCTTAAAATCGAGATCAGAAATTTGTTTAGGCAAAAATGCGAAACTTACATTTGGCGGTGGTGGCGGTCGATTGCTGGCTGGTAAACCGGTTCGAAACGGTGGTTTCTTTATAGTTTGTGGGCTTGCTTGTTGGGTTCGCATTGAGAAACGCCCGCCATCGCCTCTTCTAAACGCGTTCGTTAAAACATTTCTTCAAATCAAAGCCAAAAAATCATGCTCGCCATTCCCAAACGACTTCAGATTAGTTTAAGCAAGAAAATGTCGAAATTTCGACATTTTTTCTAGTAAATCATGCAATCTGGAAGTCAACTCAGAGATAGAAAATGGCTAGAGAAGGGTGAGCGCTTGGAAATCTTTTTTTTTTTATTTTAACAACAACGACACTCCGAAATGGGTTTAAAAACAAGATTTTCTAGAATTTTCATTTTTTTCCGGCATTCTGGAAAGCACTACGTTTTTTAAAAAAAAAAAAAAATGGGTCTGCATTGCGGGAAAAAAAAGCTCACATAGCTGTGGTGGCTCGCGTCTCGCTTTGACAACGACATTTCGTCCTATACTCGATTATATTATTTTTTTTCACCCATCTGGATAGCAGGCTTTCTTTTGAAAGAAAGAATTTTTGAATAAAATGAAAATTTGAAAAATTTGAAAAAAATCGATAAACTTGAAATTTTGAAATCAAATTTTCTTCGAATTTCACTTTTTCTTATTCAAAAAATTCTATTTCGATTGTCTGCTAGCCAAATTTTTTTTAAAATTCTTTGCAACATCATTCTCGATGCTTAAATGCCACAAATTGTCACGAAATTGTTTTTTCGATTTACCTAGCGGCCAAGCCGTGATCCGAGGCTGATTGGCTGACTCTGGAAAGAAAAAAAAAGGGTTAGAGAAGGTAAAGAGGGTAAAGAAGATAGAGAAGATAAAGAAGATCAGCTTTTAAGTTCTCGAAGATCAGCTTCTCGAATAGCTCAATGATTAGCTTTTTAAAGCTTTTTTAAAAGCTATAGGATCGGTTCGAGGGCCAGGTTGTCAGAACAGAGATGTTAATCTGATAATATCCTTTTTAAATAATCTCCTACTACAAGAAATTCGATTAACAATTCGATTCGATGTCACTTCAACAAGCACAAACTAGAGTCCTCTTTATGAATGGATCTTTGCCGTAAGATGTTTCCAGCCATCAAGCTACAAGTCTTGTATGCCATTGCCCCCCTGTCAAAGGCTAAATGCCATCAACGTCAGCCCATAGAAATACGAAATTGTTATCAGCTTCCATCTCGTTCTCAATGTTTCCCAGTAGTTTCTTTTTGTTAGTTGACTCGACTGTTCGCCAATTGATAACTCAGCTCAGCATCAATCATCACAGGCTTTTGCGTCTGTCAGAGCCTTGGCTGGGTCGTCTTGCTTTAGAGTCTCGTTGATTGTAGAGGCTGATTGTAGAGGCTGATGGTAGAGGCTGATTGTAGTCGAATTGCCTAGTGTCTGACGAGTGATTGAAACCAAAGACATCATTGAAACGATCTTTCAAGAGACCAAATTGAGGGAAAGAGTCGAAAGGTCACGCAAATCTACAGTAATCCTAGACTTAGCTAGGCAAGCTACCGTAATCCTGAACCAATTTAGCTAGTTACTCTTTGCTACTAGGAATCCAGTTACAGTAAACTGCTAATGCTAAGCTACAGTTATCTTTTCAACAATCCTTGCCGACAACCCCTACAGTCCCTACAACCCATACAGCCTCTACGGCCCCTACAGTCCCTGCAACCCCCAGCAGTACCCTACAACCCCTACAGCACCCTACAACCCCTACAGTCCCTACAACCCCTACAGTCCCTACAACCCATACAGTAAGCCCATAGTGCCCAGTTTAAGCGGCTCTAGAGTTGTACCTTCGCTTACTAAACCCCAGCCTTTTGTACTATTGTACTTGATTGGCTTTTGAAGACTTTTGACGTTGATTGGTTACTGTATTCTTTCTCAAGTTTTTCAGAATCTAAAATTGTTAATAACTTCGTTAGTCTGTAAAGTAAAATAGAAGCAACTCAAAACAGAAAGTTATAAAGAATTGTGCACCTGAAGTTAGGGTTATTGATCGATGTGATCGTGGAGGTGCGCGGAGAGATCAGCGACCTGTTTGCCGTGGAAGTTGATGAGGAAATTGGCGCCGACGGACGAGAGGGTCGATGCGTGGGCGAGATCGGAGACGCCAGCGTTGGAGTGGGAGTGGGAGTCGACGAGTGACTAGCCATTGGGATCGCTGACGTGCTTGGCCGAGCCTGCGCACGTTTTAGCGCGATCAACTCCTTCAAGAGTTGGCTAGAGTCCTCCTGGCGGCCCTCCACCCCGGTGGCGGTGCGGCGAGGAGAATTTGAGCGTTGTGGGCTGAAAAATTGCTTTTCCCTCTAATTCTCTGAAAGTAAAAAAGACTACAATGGAATCTGATTTGAAAATCGGCCATCCTGGAAGTCACAAGAGTGATTTAAACGATAAAATTCGAGTTTTGAAAAAATTGGTTTTTTCGGACTACGGTAGTTAGAGCATTTTTGGAAATGACTATTTTTCATTTTCTATTTTTAGACATTTATTTATTCAGAGTGACTTCCAGGAGGTTTTTAAAATCACCTCCTTTTCATTTTTTTTACCAAATTCTCTTGTCCCAGGAATTGATAAAGTGAATCTGGTTTGAATCTATCCTGGAAGTCACAAGAGTGATTTAAACGATAAAATTCGAGTTTTGAATCGAATTGGTTTTTTTGGACTACGGTAGTTAGAGCATTTTTTAGGAAATGATCTATTTTTCTATTTTTTTATTTTTCTATTTTTAGACTTTTATTTATTCAGAGTGACTTCCAGGATTAGCGTTTTTAAAATCAAAAACTCTTTTTCATTTCATTTTTCATCAAATTCTCTTGTCGTCACGAAAAATTGAAAGTTGAAAAAAAAAGTTGAAATTGAACAGAATTTTCGTGCTTAGTCGACGTTGTGCGTTCCAGAATCGATAAAAAAAACGTACACCGGTTCGTCTTGATCGCTCGATGTGCTCTGATCACTGTCCGAGTCGGATGAGGATCCGCCGACGATCCTCGCTCTCATCATTGCCGCCGCTTTCGACTCGCCGGCTCCTAGAAAGGGTTTTTTTGGCTACGAGGTCTTTGAGAAATGATTAGCCATGCCGAAAAATTAATTAAATCGATTTCGAACAACTCAGCGACGGATTTGCTTAAAAAAAATGCAATTTTACATTTCCAAATTCAGCCACAAGACAATGGGATTTACAGAAAAGATTTGCGAATCGATAGAAAGTAAAAAAGAGAAGATGATAGGGTTTTTTCGATCAATTTCAATTCAAATTCTCAATTCACAAATCCCTTTTTAAAACCTGAATCCTTATTTCGCCATTCTTTCGATTTTAGACGCTCTGCTAGTGATGAAATAAAAAAAAAACTTTAAAAAACGAACCAATAACAAAAGTGCCCGCTTCCGAGACAGCGTCATTGTCTTTTCGAACACCGATTTGTGGTGTGTCTTCGGGTGAGAGTGGACTCGAGCTAGAGGAGAGGGGACCTGCAATTGAATTGAATTCAAGCGAACTCTTTTAAACGAATGCTAGAGCAGTTCTAGATCAATTCTAGATCAATTCTAGATCAGAGAAGATCCCAGAAAGCGTAGTGACTTCCAGAATCGTTCTCTCGTTGCTTGATGCGCTGCTTCATTGTCCTGCGCTGCGCTGCGCTGTGCTGCGCTGTGCTGCGCTGTCCTCCACGCTGCCTAGCTGCCTACCTAGCTGTCTACCTAGCTGCCTACCTAGCTGTCTGCCTAGCAGCTGAGCATCTCTAGTGCTTCATTCTCCTGTACCTTGTAGCAACTTGTTCAACAAGTAATGCTTGGATGAGTCATCGGCTTGAGTCAACATTTCAGCTTTCCTCTCGATCTTCTCGATCTTCTCGCTTTGTTCATTCATTTGCGCTCGACGGCTAAGCAGCCGACGACCTGTACCGGATTTTCGAGCTGCATCCTAAAATTCAATTGATGAGCCTCTCTGAACTCTCTAGAACTATCAGAGGCCAACAAACCTGCAACGAGAGACTCTCACTTCTCGGTTCAGCATCAAATACAACAGTGAATGCAGTAGATGTTTTCTCTTCTCCACTTTTTTTCATTTGTTTCTCCTTTTTCGTCATTTCCTCTTCTTCAGGCATTGTTTTTGTAAAATCAAAATCCATTCGAACAGCTTTCGGAGCTCGTTCCTGGAAATAGAAAAATGAGGATTAGGCTGGCTTAGGGTGGCTTAGGCTGGCTTAGGCTGGCTTGGGCTAGGCTTAGGCTGGCTTAGGCTGGCTTGGGCTGGCTTAGGCTAGGCTTAGGCTGGCTTTTGCTTGGTTTAGACTGGCTTGGGCTGGCTTAGGCTAGGCTTAGGCTGGCTTAGGCTAGACTTAGCTTAGGCTGGCTTGGGCTGGCTTTTGCTTGGTTTAGACTGGCTTAGGCTGGCTTAGGCTAGACTTAGCTTAGGCTGGCTTGGGCTGGCTTAGGCTTAGGCTTAGACTTAGGCCTGGGCTCAGGCTCAGGGCTCAGGGCTCAGGGCTCCGGCTTAGGCTTAAGCTAAAGCTTGTTTAGGAATGATTCTCAATGTTTTGAACATATTATCTTAGAATTAGACCTGTTGTTGCGCTCGTCTTGCTCCTTCATTATCTGATGCGGTTCCCATTTGGATATTTCGTTTTGGTGAGCTGAAAATTTTGTTGTTTGTTGTTGTTGTTGTTTGCAATTTGTTTGCTTCAGTACTCCGACGAACCCTTCAACATCAGTCTGTGCCTCAAATAGCTCTTTCTTTTGCATTTGATTCCTCGGTGACCACCAATTTTGTTGCTGCTGTTGTTGTTGTTGTTGAGAGTTTGCATGAAATTTCTCAAGACTCGTCCCACTGCCCTGTCCACCAGATCTGAAAAAACGCATCGTTAATCAGAAAGTCAAAGCAGACGAGATCAAAAACCAAACCAGACCAAATCTCAAGCTTTTTTGAAACCTTTTGGGGGTCAGAATTGAATCAATTCAAATTTCTAGCCTATCCAATCGCTTACCTCTGAAATGCGTACTCAGAACTAGGATACTGATGCGTGAACTCGTTGGACAGTCTTGTCGAGTCTCTCCTGAAAATTTACTTTTGAAAAAACCCTAAGGAATCACTACCTAAACGCCGGATCGCCTGGGTCGTCCGGCTGTGGAGGGCTGACTCGATGTGAGGCGGGGTTTCTGAAATTTCCCTGTAACTATCAAAGAAATTTCTAATCTGGATGTCAGTCTAGCTTTCTGTCGTTAAAAGAAACCCATATTGTGCAGGAAAGGCAAATGGAGTGATTTGGTGTTGTTTGGAGTGATGAAGAGACGGAGACGGCGGGGGATGATCGCCTGGAAATGAGAATGAGAATGAGAATGAGCCAAGCCAAGCCAAGCAAAGCCAAGCAACGAGCTTACCGTAACGATCGGTGGTCGAATGATCGCCGGGAGCTCTCCGCAAATCCTCGCTTGACCCATGCGAGGTCATTGGAGTGAAAGGTGGATGTCTGAAAAAGTGTGAACGTTTTTTATGTCGAAATCTCTCCAATCTGGATGTCACACAAATCAAATTTGGTTTTAAAACGGAGATTTTATGCAAAATAAATTTTTTGACAAAGATTTTCCGGACCACCCACAAAAAATCCAATTTTCCTTAAAAAGTTCTCGTTTTTTCTTTCAAAAATCTTCAATCTGGAAGTCACAAGGGTGGATTACAATTTTAAAATTGAAATATCTTGCTTTTGATTTTTTTGATCGCATTCTTGATTCGATTTCATTGAAATCTTGAAGAATTTAATTGAAGATGATTGAAGAACAAACCGAAATTGTGGCGGAGTGGCGTGCGGTGGATAGCGAGCTGATTGAGTCGATTGAGCGAACGGTTGAGCATATGGAGATGGTTGACCGTAGCCTGGAATTGAAAGAAATTGGAATTGAAGAAATGGGAATTGGGAAATGGGAATTGGGAAATGGGAATTTACAGAAATGGCAACGTTTTGAGTGTCCCACTTGCACAAGAAAAGTACCAGAGTTGTCATAAAAAGCCATTTTTCTTTCTCCAGTACCAGTACCATTTCTCCAGTACCATTCTAGAACCAGTACCATTCTCCAATACCATTCTAGAACCAGTACCATTCTCCAGTACTTTCCTGTCTCTTTTCTGGTCTAGATCTAGAATTTTTATCCTTTAATAACATCTTACTACTTCTAAAAAGATATTTCTAAACTTTGAATAGAAAAAGGAAAATTTGGAGTCAATGGGGGTTGAACCCACGGTAGAAAGAAGGCGTTGGTTTTAGAGTCTAGCACGCTATCCCCCAAGCCATCGCTGCATGTATTGCCGAGGCTGGTGTATTGCCGTTTTATAGATGGCTTTTACTGGATTAGCTTTTCTAGTAAAACTGGCTTTGAAAAGGCATTTAAGTCCAGCTTTGAGCTTGGGTTTTTTCTGGTTTTGGCCTGGTTTCTGGCTCTCTGGCTCTGGCTTTACCTTACAGATTCTAGGACTTTCTTGGCTATTTGTCTACCTAGCTGTCTGCCTAGCTGTCAGCCTAGCTGTCTACCTAGCTGTCTACCTAGCTGTCTGCCTAGCTGTCTGCCTAGCTGTCTACCTAGCTGTCTACCTAGCTGTCTACCTAGCAGCTGAGCATCTCTAGTTTCTGCAACTAACTGCAACTAACCGGCAATCTGCGGTGAGAAATAAGCATAATGATTGGGTTGATAGTACATCGGCTGAGGGTAGAACATGCCACCGGGAGCCGCTGGTTGAGCTGGGACAATGTAGTGCTGACCGGTTGACGGATCGACGAGAATTCGACCCTCAAGCGGTGCTCCTGAAATCGATATTCCTAGATGAAACCTAGTTATGATCCAAATAACAAGAAAACCCATCAAATCCCAATTCCTAGCCACAGTAAGCCCTCGTGACTTCCAGAATTTTCAGAGCGAAATTCAGATTTGAAAGATTACCTCCCGGTCCCATGACGGTCGGCGTCGCGTGCATTTGCTGTGTAGCTGGCTGAAAATTAAGCTATCAGAGCTTTTTTTAGCAAAAATTTGATTGAAAATCGTCAAACTGGAAAGCACTTTAGTGAATTTTCGAATTCTTAAATCCCAAAATGCAAAATGCAAAACTCAAATTTCTCGACTCACCTGGTGTTTCTCATTCGAAGCACTCGAGTTGATGCTCGCCAAACTCGCTAAACTGCCCGCTCGTGGGCTTTCCGAATTGATGTCAGCGCCCTGGAATCGAAAAAAATAAGTTAATAAGTTAAGAAATTTGAAATTTCTATAAATAGTTGGGTAATCAAAAAATCAGCTTTTCAAAAATTTCGATACCGTCATTTGGCACTCGGACGAAGCAGATTTGGCATAAATTGGGTAAATCGGATACATTTTGATCTTTTTGCGAAAGATTTTTCAACAATGATTGCTCATTTCTGGAAAACAAATGCGGAAACTCGGCAATTTTTAAATGGGAAAAGTCGAATTTAAAAGAAAACGATTCTAGGTGATTTCATTGGACAAATAGATGATATTCAAAAAAGTAATAAAATAAATGGTAATCCTGGATGTCACACTAGAATTTAGAATGGTTTTTGTCTTGTCTAATTGCAAGAAAAAAAAAGCTGTTTACTGCAAATCGATTCTAGGTGATTTCATTGGGTAAATAGATGATATTCATAAAACTAAGAAGATAAATGGTAATTCTGGATGTCACGCTAGAATTTAGAACGGTTTTTGTCTTGCCTAGTTGCAAGAAAAAAAAGGCTGTTGGCTGTAAATCGATTCTAGGTGATTTCATTGGGTAAATCGATGATATTCAAAAAACTAATAAAATAAATGGTAATTCTGGATGTCACACTAGATTTTAGAACGGTTTTCATGTTTGCTTTGTCGAGAGAAAAAAAAGGCTGTTGACTGAATATCGATTTCTCGGGCCTTTGTGCACAGCCCCCATTCAAATGCCTCCAATGCCTCCAATCCATCAAAACCCATCAGAAAATTCAAATATTTATTTGAATTTATCGATTCTTTTCATTAATTTTCAGCTTTTTTCAGAAAAATTATGAATTTCCAATTTTTTAAAGAAAAAACGTCAAAAATTTGAAAATAGAGAATTCAAAAATTTTCAAACGCTTAATTGTTCAGAAATTTTTATTCTAATAGCTTTAGTGACATCCAGGATTATCAAAAATCTTTTTAAAACATTAGAAAATGGAAGAGAACATAAGGAAATCGCATTGAACAGTTTTGCAGTATGCAGTGAGATGGTTTTTGATCGAAAGAAGCGAAAAGAAGCCTCAGATCGGCTTGTCCAGAAGAACAGGCGACTGATGGACGATACGGATCACAGAGTGGTTGCCACAAGACCAAAAAAGGCCAATCGGAAGGCCAGCAACGAGGTGGAGCAACAAGAGGCAGCGACGGAGTGACGACGACGGAGCTGGCTCGAGTGCAACGCACAAGCACAAGCAAGCTGACGGCTCTGGACCAAGATAGGAAACACTGGACGACAATGGTAAGAGAAAGAGAAATTTGGAAACAGTTTGTGATCTAGGAACACTTAAGTGTAAAGACAAATCAAAAAAAAAAAGGAAAAATTTGGTTTCTTTACAGAGATTCTTTATAAAAATCACCATGGAAACGAAAAAAAGGCCTAAAAAAGGAAGCATAAAATAGCAAAACAGAAAAAAAAGAATGCATTTCAAATTTCTCTATTAAGAAAATTTCAAAACTGCAAAAATGAAGAAATTCAAAAATTCAAAAATTCAAGAATTTTCCCCGTCATTAAATCCCCATTTTTAAATCATAAATCATCTGTTTGACATCCAGATTAGCGATTCGCACAAAAATAAACAAGACATTCTTGAGTACGAGGGTTTCCTTTTGACCGATCACCAAAGTCCTACGGTAGGGAATTTGTCGAAAAAGTTTCTATTGATTAAAATTTGCATTTAAACTCTAAATCAGCTTGTGTGACATCCAGATTAGCGATTCGCGCAAAAATGAACGAGACATTCTTGAGTACGAGGGTTTCCTTTTGACCGATCACCAAAGTCTTACTGTAGGGAATTTGTCGGAAAAGTTTCTATTGCATAAAATTTGCATTTAAACTCTAAATCAGCTTGTGTGACATCCAGATTAGAGATTCGCACAAAAATAAACCCAAAATTTTATGTTCAAAGTTGGTTTTTTTGCTTAGCAATGGAATTTAATAGCCCCATTAGGGGGTTTTTCAGTTTTTTTTTTCGATTTCAGCGATCTTTGATTAGAAAAATTGCTACTGATAAAAAAAGCGAAGAAAATTGATGACTTTATAGCATTTTTTTACGATTTCAGTGTTTTTAAGTTTTTGACTTTTTTGGTTTTGGTTTGGCTTGGAGATTGGCCGTTAAACTTCGTCGATTCTTTTGCAAATCAAAAACCTTTATCCAAATTCCGAATTATGGAGGTCATTGGGGTTTTTAAGAGGAAAAGAACTTGGAAAAGTTGAATTTGGAAAAGTTGAATTTTTTTGATGTTTAGAGTTTAAATGTAAATTGCAAAAAATTGAAAAATTAAAAAATTAAAAAATTGAAGAATTTTTGTTTTTATTAAATTCTCATTTTTAAGCTTTCATTCACCCGAGTGCCTTCCAGATTGCAAATTTTCGCAAAAAAAACACGAGAACTTTTGAAGGAAAATAGGATTTTTGTGGGTGAAGATCAAAATCACCTCAAAATCATTCACCTGTTGCATTGTGTGATCGATGTTTGATTGTTGCTCGCCGCGCAGAGACGTCGATTTCATCTCGGGCAAGCAGCTCAAACCGCCGGCTGTAGGTTGGGTGTTGTTTGTAAATGTTTTCTTTTTCCCTTACTTACATGATAGATTAGCAATAGAGTGTCGCTTTTTGGCACATCGATTTCCCAATTTCCCGATTTCCCGATTTTCGAGTGACGTTTGTGCGCGGAGAGCCTGAATTTCTATTTTTTTTTATTAACGATTTAAACATTTTATTACTTTAGAGAAGTTAGAAATAGAAAAAGAGTAAAAAGAAAAAAGAAATCGGCAGTGAGCGGGGTCGAACCAGGATCTACCAGGTCATCAGACGAGGATGCTAACCCTTAGGCCATAAGGTAGTTTTGAGTGGGAGGAAATTTGAGGTTTTTCTAAGCTCTGAGAACAAAAATCGATGATGTTCTTCTTTTAAAGCAGAAAAAGGGAATAGGAATTGACTGGCTGACTGTTACAGGCACGATTTTCTCTTCTTTCTTTCTCTTCTTTCTGTCCCTTCTTTCTTTCTTTCCCTTCTTTCCCTTCTTCTTTCCCTTCTTTCTCTTCTTTCCCTTCTTTCCCTTCTTTCTTTCTCTTCTTTCTTTCCCCTTTTGCTTCTTTTTTTTCTTTCCTCTTCCAAGAGAAAAGAGCTCTCGATGACATAAACGAGAAAAAGAAAAACGACTTTGAAAAAAGGAATTCAATAGAAAAATACTTTACGATTAAAAACAAGAAATCAACTTCAATTTAACTTTTCTGGACAGCATTTCCTGGACATTCAAGCTATTCAAATGTAAATTTAAATAGGCTATTGAAGCCATTCACAAAAATGCAATAGTTGATCGAGAAGGAAAGGGGGAAAAGGGGGAAAGAAAGAAAGAAAAGAAAGAAAAGTAAGAAAAGTAAGAAAAGTAAGAAAAGTTTAAGAAAACTTTTAACTTTTTAAGAAAAATCCTTATTTTGAAAGGCATTTTGAAAGGCCTTTATCTGAAAAAATCAAATTTTTGCATTATTTATTGATTGAGCTTGGCGATGGAGCTGCGGGGTATTTGAGCGGAAAATTTGTTGCTCAATTCAAAGCCAAATTTACGATTGGCTTAGTTCGAGCGCAGAGAAAATGTTTTGGAAAAAAAAAGGAAAAAGAAAATCTTGAATTTTTATAGATTCGAGAGATTTTCTTGCAAAAATTTCGTTTAGTCGAATTGAATTGCGGAATTGAGCGCTTGCTTCAACTTCGGAACAGCTGGGGATTGATCGACGATTGAGACTCGATTAGAAAAGGGAAAGAAATGACCAAGCTGGAGGTCAGCTGTCAAGAAGATCAAGAAAAGAGAGGATTACTATGGTGTGGAAATGGTTATGAACTTGATCACATTTCACTCATCGAACAGCTGACAGATTGCATTGTTTGCCAAGAGATCGATTGCCAAGAGCTGCTTGCCAAGAACTATGGATGTCACAGAACAAAATGGATCAATAACTGAATGATTTTAAGGTGATTAGAAAAATTGGGTTAATGAACCGTTAGGGATCTCATTGATAGATCCTATCTAAGAATCGTTGAAGCCAAGAAATCGATTGTTTGTGCAACTATGGATGTCATAGCACAAAATGAAATTGTATTTGAGCGATTTTCAGGTAAGCAGAGAAATTGGGTAAATGAACCGTTAGGGATCTCATTGATAGATCCTAGCTGGGAATCGATGAAGCCAAGAAATCGGTGCTTTAATCAACTATGGATGTCACAGAACAAAATGGATCGATAACTGAATGATTTTAAGATGATTAGAAAAATTGGGTAAATGAGCCGTTAGGGATCTCATTGATAAATCCTATCTGGGGATCGATGAAGCCAAGAAATCGATTGTTTGTGCAACTATGGATATCACAGACACAAAATGGATCAATAGTTGAATGATTTTAATCAAAATCAAATCAAAACAATAATCAAAAAAAAATGACAAAGCAAGAAAATGATCAAATTTTGAAATGATCGAGATTTGTTCGATTCGAGTTTTTCTTTTCCCCCAAAAGAAAAGTTTGTGTTCCAATTAGCGGATCGGAAAGAGAGAATCAAGAAAAACGAAATGATTTCTCGTTTTTGGATGATTGGAAAGGCTAATTGAGCTAAATCGCCTTTTCGTATCAATCAAAAAAGGGTTCTCTTGTCGTTGGAGTTTAGGGAAAATCGATTGAGCTCGATTAGCTGATCGATTAGCTCTTTGGCAATTTTTGCCGACAGCTGATTTCAAGAAGAAAGAGATTGCTTAAGCAAACAAAGGAAAGCTTGCGAAATTTTGAGAAATTAATCGATTTCCTTGGAAACTGGAGTGCATGAAAGTTATCAAAGATTTGATTTGGAAAAGTTCTGGAGAATAAATCGGTTGTTGAAGTGGCAAAAGTATAAGTGAAAGAGGAGTGCGGGGATGAAGAGGTGTTTGGGGACGCAAAGCCGATTGTTCACCCAACCTTAGTCTAAAGGAAAGAGGGAAAGAGACTAGGGAAGAGGGAAGGGGAAGGGAAGAGGGAAGAGGAAGGGAGAAGGGATGAAGGGGAAGAGGGGAAGAAGGGGCAGAGGGTCAGAAAATCGATTTGTAGAGGGAATGGGGGTAGTGTGAGAGAGGTGAGAGAGGATGAAAAGGACAAGGGGGTCCATGAACGGAAATAGATGTAGTGACATCCAGATTGATGGTTACAATTGTTGGAAAATGGTTTTTTCTGAAAAACAGCTGAGTTTTTCAAGTGGTAAGGGAGAAGGCGTAGAGTCGGGATTTAGAATGATGAAAAAAGGTCTCTGATTTCTCTAAATAGATGCAGTGACATCCAGATTGACGGTTACAATTGTTGAATTGATCCAGAATGAAACTCCTTACAAAATTAGCAATCGAACAATTCAGCAATCGAACAAGAAGCTGAAGTAGAGGCTTTGTGAAGAAGAGAACACGGTTATTATTTATTCATTCAGCGTATTGGATGGCTAGATGAAAGTAGAGCTGAAGAGCCATCAAAGGAATTAATTTTTGAAAGAATAAATTGAATTAAAAGATGTCATTGATAAATGAAAAAATTTCAGAAAAAAATCGGATTCTAATTTTGGCAAAAAAAGAGATAGAGATCATTTGTTTTTAAAAAAGAAATCGAAAATCGGTTTTGTAAACAAAAAAAGGAATACAATAAGGTTATTTCTATGCTCACAATTAGTTAAATTAATAAATAGATGATGACGAAAAAGTCAAAGTCAAAACTCTAGCAATAACGCTTAAAAAACGAACTATTTTCTTTCAAAAGTCTCAACTGTTCTATAGGAAATTGTAGCCGGATTTGTGGGCAAAATTTCTGTACAAAAAGTTTCCCGATTGCATCTAGAAAACTCATCTAAGAAGCGCTTAAATGAGCTCGATGGCTTAACAGCTGAAACCTAGCTAGAACGAGGTAGAAGCATGCCTAGCTAGACAGAGGTAGACCCAGACCTAGCTAGACTCAGGTAGACCTCTACCTAGCTAGACCCAGGTAGACCTATGCTTAGCTAGACCCAGGTAGACCTATACCTAGCTAGACCCAGGTAGACCTATACCTAGCTAGACTCAGGTAGACCTATACCTAGCTAGACCCAGGTAGACCTATACCTAGCTAGACCCAGGTAGACCTATACCTAGCTAGACTCAGGTAGACCTATACCTAGCTAGACCCAGGTAGACCTATACCTAGCTAGACCGAGATAGACCCAGACCTAGCTAGACCAAGGTAGACCTATACCTAGCAGCTGAAACAATTGATTTGACTCATTGTCATTTTCCAATGAAACTCACTTATTTAATGCGAAGATTATCAAAAATGACATCCAGATTTAAACATTTTAAGCTTTAAAATCTTTAACCACTTTTCCAAAGCGATAAAACATAAGGGAAGGGGAAATGCCCGAAACTGCTGGGGGAAATGATAAATGAGGCGGTTTTTTGACCTATTAGAAATGAAGTGTGATATCCAGGATTGAGATTTCTCTTATTTAGACACTTCAAATTAATATCTAAATGGTGAAAAGAGAAATGGAAAGAGAAATGGAGTGAAATGGAAGAGAAATGGAAGAGAAATGGAAGAGAAATGGAAAGAGAAAAGAGAGAAGAAACCCGAAAAACTCACATTTCGAAAGCGGATATCAATCGATGGGGTCAAATTTGTTGTTGAGTTTGTTGATGAGTTTGTTGATGAGTTGAACGATGAGTTGAACGATGCCATTCGTTGTCTCTAAAAGTTGATAAGAGATATTTAAATAGTTGCCAGCGCTTTCCAGCAATCCCTTTCCAGCAATCCCTTTCCAGATCGATTCTCTATAATATGCAAATTCAAAACCGACCATGTGATTGTTGTAATTTTGAAGAGGAGCCAGAGAATCTCTCTCGTCAACAATTCCATCAAATCCCCCGTGATACGAATGACGATTTGGCTCGTTTTTCAAAAATAAATCCTGTCTTGGATCATCTGGACATTTTTGCTGAAAATTCAACTTCGATAAGACAATTCTCCTCTCACCCTCAAAGACCAATTCCAAGTCTGAGCCTTAACACTCAATTCTAAACTATTCACAACTCTCTTCACATCATTTTACCCTTTTTTGGATGTCACACAAACCTTTGCAAACCGGTAAACGACTTTCGGAGCCAAGCTCGCCGAGTGACCCGATGCCGGGACACTGGAGTTAAAGTGAAAATTCTGAAAATTCTCTTCTCACTCAAACACTTCCAAATCCCTTTCAAGACCTACTGTGACATCCAGATAAGCCAAAAATCGACAAACTTTCATTCAATCACTTGCCCTTATCGCTTAAAACCGCGCGCACTCGTTCATTCGCTCACCTTTGGAAATTCTCTCGGTCTTTCCATCATTTCCTCATCAAAAATCGTCAAAATCTAAAAAAATCACCTTAAAAACGAATGAATAAAGAAAAGAAAGCGAGAAATTGGAAATAAAAGGAAATAAAAGAAAATAAAAGAAAATTTCTTTTCCTTAAAAACCCTCTTTTCTTTATCGTTTGGTCGTAAATTAGCCAATTTTTATGCGAAAAATTTTTTAAGGGAAATTTCAATGAAAATTCAATGACAATCATCCCTGTGCACTCCAGATTGGCGAAAAATTTTGTGAACAAATCTCGAAAATCTCTTTTTACCCATTTTTTTCTACCAGCTACCGAATAAAATGCGAAAAATTTTATGAAAAATTTTATGAAAAATTTTTTAAGGGAAATTTTAGTGAAAATTCAATGACAATCATCTCTGTGCACTCCAGATTGGCGAAAAATTTTGTGAACAAATCTCGAAAATCTCTTTTTACCCATTTTTTTCTACCAGCTACCGAAATAAAAGGCGACGATAAAAATCGCGGACTTTTTTTTGTTAAAGGAATCTTTTTTTTAGATCGAATAGATCGAATTCGTAAATCATGAGGGAAAAGGAAAAAATTTTATTAACTAGAAGTAAAGATATTCAGTTGAACGCATCTGGGAGAGCTGATCGAGTGCCGAAATGGGTTCGGCTTGTTTTAAGGTGAAAAAGTTTGTAAATAGGTAAAAGTTTTGGGATTTTTGGCCATTCTGGAGGTCACATATGGATAATAAATCGTTTGAAAGTCGAAAAAATCTAGCTAGGTAAAATTGAAAATTCAAGTCAAGGCAACGGTAATGCACAAAACTGGTGCTGGAAAATCGAAGCCAGCGCTTTCCCAGCTAATCCAAAATCATGTGTGATATCCAGGATTGAGATTTTCGATGGTTAGAGACTCCGGATCGATATCCAGATGGTGAATCATCGGTGGGAATGGAATGTAGAAGTTTGGTGGAGGGTTTGCGGCCCCCTTTCCCCAGTGTACCCAGTTTTCGAGTCTTTCTTGCAGTTTACCCATTTCTTTCGGCTCTCTATTTGTCTATTTTTGTGCGTTTTGTGATTTTCATCGAAAAGACAAATTATTTTTGTTAAATTCTTCAAATTTGCTCAAAAAAAAGACAAAAAAGAAAAAAAAAATTTTTTTAATCAAAAAAGAACCGAAATTCACTTCTCATTTTCACCGATGATGTCCAGGATTAAAGAAAAATTAAAAAAAATTGATCAAAAAGAACCTTGAAAAGCCAGGTGGACGCCGAGTCGACTTTAAGCGCGAAACTCGCCGGAAAAAGGATGAATTAAAAATTTTCGCAAAAAAATGGCGTTTCTGGAAGTCACTAGAGCTAAAAATAAGATATTTAATAGAAATTAATCATTTTAAAATTTTAGATATAGACAGAGACAATCTAGACAGAGAAGAAACAGAGAAATCGCTTTCTCGAGCTTTTTTTTGAGAATTTGTCATGTGAATTGAGAAAATCTCTCAAAAAATCATCATTTTAGAGCTCATTTTAGCCATAAAAGTTTGAAAAATTCCAAAAAAAAAAATCAATTTCAATGTTTTTTCGCGATTTTTGTTTTCATTTAAAATCTTTGACAGAAATTTTTTTCGGAAAAAATCTTTGGAAAGAGAATGGCCTTGAACGCACAGCAATCCTTTTACACCAATCCTTTGACTCATACCGTTATTTTTCAGCCCCTTAAATCGATTCCAGAATCCCAGCTTCACTCGATTCAAGTTCTCGCAAAAATCTCGAGTTCTTTCGCAAAAAAAGTCGAATTTTTTTCTTTTAAAGGAAATTCTGGAACGCATGTTAGCGATTTTCATCGATAAAATCGAGAAAATGATTTTGAGATGGATTTGAGGAAAATGAGCTCGCTCGTCTCCTCCAATTGCTTGTTGAGGCAAATGGGATAGCCAATGGGATAGCCCTACGGCCCCCTACGGCCCCCACGGGGCACTGGAAATCAACAACATCAACTCTTTCTTCAAAACTCACTCAAAATTTACGTATAGTCGGTAAAAGTTCTTAAAAAAAGAAAAAAATGGAGTTCTTTTAAAGGCAATTATTTTCTTTCTTTCTTCCTCTTCTTCCTCTTCTTCTCCTTCTCCTTCTTCTTCCTCTTCTTCCTCTTCTTCCTCGTCTTCTTCGTCCTCTTCCTCTTCCTCTTCCTCTTCTTCTTCGTCCTCTTCCTCTTCTTCTTCCTCTTCTTCTTCTTCTTCTTTCTCTTCCTCTTCCTCTTCTTCTTCCTCTTCTTCTTCTTCTTCCTCTTCTTCCTCTTCTTCTTCTTCTTTCTCTTTCTCTTCTTCTTCCTCTTCTTCTTCTTCTTCTTTAAAGACGATTTGTTCATTGTTCACCTTTTTCCGTATGGTTGTTCTCGAAGATCCGTTCCTCTCAAATCTTTTCCCAAATCCCAAATTGTCACTGAAAAAAATCTCAAGAACTGAACTTCTCAAAAAATCTCAAAAACTGAAGAATCAATTAACGAAATTCCCATCTTAATTTATGATTTTAAGCTTAAAATTCAAATTTTCTCACCAAATTTAAAAAATTTTTAGCTTTTTTTTGTATAAATGATTTTTTTTGATATTTAAAATATAAAAAAATAAAAAATTTTAAAATTTTAAAAAAATAAAAAATAAAAAAATAAAAAATAAAAAAAATTAAAAATTAAAAAATTAAAAAATTAAAAAATAAAAAAAATTTTTATTTTTAGAATCTTTTCTCAAATTTTCATCAAAATTTTCAAATAAGGATGAGAATTTTTTTTTAATAAAACTCCTCGAAATGAGCCTTTTTTAAGGCTAGATTTTGATTGCGCAAAAAAAAGACCAAACATTTGCATTTATTTCCGAAATTTTCTCAATATCTCCTCTCGAAACTTGAGCAAAAATTCGAAACGAAAAAAGACGGCGATTCAAGCAAATTCCCCAATCCGCCACTTCCCTGTGACATCCATGTAAACCATTTTTGAGAATTTCGAAAACTTTCACCCATCACTAGCCGAGTAATAGCGCTGAAAACAGAGCCCGCATCTCCCAGACCCCACCAATTCCTCCTCCCTTCAAAATCTTTTCAAAAACCTACCTTCTGGATGTCACTGCACCTTTTGGCACTGGAAATTTTGTCTTAAAAGCTCAATTTTAATTTCCGGATTTCAAATACTGACATCATTTTTTTTTAAATTTTCAAAAAAATTTTTGAGAATTTTTTTTCGAACTTTCTTGAGACGATAAATTGAGTCGAAAATTGCATTTACATTCAATTGTTGATCCATTCTTGGACTCGATCCAATGAGATCTTCTAAATAATTGATGCTAATTTACCCGTCAGAAAAATTTTCTTTTTTTCTTTAGCCCTTAAAATGTGACCAACTAGAATTTGGAAAATTTCGAAAATTTCGTTTTTTTTGCTTTTTTTGTTTTAAAGATCTTCTGTGACTTCCAGATAGCACTTTGTAAAAATCAGATTTTTCTTTTTTTTCAAAAAAACTGAAATTTTCCAGTGTAACCAAATCCACCGAAACGAAACTTTTATCTAAGAGTCCTTTGCGCGCCCACGAAATGTAAATTGAGATTTTTTTCTGACTTTTTATGTTGATGGGCTTTGATTTTTGAAAGTTCTGTGGTTTGAAAGAGCTTCGAACATAGTTTACTGACCAGTTTCAAGTTCTTGCCAAATAAAACCAAAACCTAACGATTACCTCGCTTTTTGTGAAAATTTTATTCCAAGCTGGATGTCATTAAACACATTAACAACAATTACCGACCGAAATCCCCGAATCCAAATCAGGCACTTCAGGCACTTTCAAGCACTCGCACAATTCAAGCACTCGCACACTGTGAAAGTCTTTTTGTGAAAAACTTCGGTCAAGCTGGATGTCATTAAACCCATTGGCAACAATTACCTACCGAAATCCCCGAATCCAAATCAGGCACTTTCAAGCACTCGCACAATTCTAGCACTCGCACACTGTGAAAATCTTTTTGTGAAAATCCTCGGTCAAGCTGGATGTCATTAAACACATTAACAACAATTACCAACCGAAATTCCCGAATCCAAATCAGGCACTTCAGGCACTTCAGGCACTTTCAAGCACTCGCACAATTCAAGCACTGTGAAAATCTTTTTGTGAAAACCTTCGGTCAAGCTGGATGTCATTAAACCCATTGGCAACAATTCCCGTCTGAAATTCCCGAATCCAAATCAGGCACTTCAGGCACTTTCAAGCACTCGCACACTTCAAGCACATTTTTTCGAAAACCCAATTGTTTTTGACGATTTTTTCCTCAAATTGGAACACATAAAGCTTAAAAAAAGAAAAACTATTGCCATTTATAAATTTTTGATGAAGGCACTTTTTACCCTTTTTTAATTCATCCCCTTTTTAATCCATACCAAACTCAGTATGTCAATTTTTTTTCTTTCAAAATCATTACAACTGGAGTGCACTTTAGTAGTTTCGATGCTTTGGAAAAGGATTTTGCGCTTATCAAAGGAAATCTTCACTTTCTACTCCGACTTCTCTTTCTTCTTTTTCTGAATTTCTTTTTTTCTTTAATTTCTTTTCTTTATATAGATTGATACTACTGGCTTAAAGGGTTTTTAAATGTTTTATTTTTAGATTTGAGCTTTGCTTAGATCAAGCATTCTAAAGTTTTTTGAAAAACACGGAAATTTCTAAATTGTTTACTTCAAAGTTGATTACTTATTCAATTTGTGTTCCCATTCTTATTTATTTATTTTTGGAGACTTTGGGAGAATTCTCACAAGCACAAACTTTACGAAAAACTCCATTTGAACCTCGATTTTTATAGTTTATAATTTTAATCTTTTTCTAAGAATATTCTAAAACTTTTTTTATTTAGAATTTTTTAAATTTTTGATTTAAAAGATTTTTTAAAATTTTTAAAATTTTTGTTTTTTTAAAATTTTTAGAAAGATTTTTTTAAGACTTCCAAAAAAATTTGGAATTGGATTTGGAATTGGAGAATTGAGAATTGGAGAATTGACGATTGGAGAATTGAATTGGACAATTGGACACTTCTGCAATTGTCACTTGAGATTTGAGAATTCTCTAGTCTTTATTAGCAAAGACTGTTACTCTTCTAAAGAATGAACAAAGAACGAAACTCCGATCCGAATAATGCAACGATCTTCGCTTGCATTTCTTCGCCTGCCTAAATTTCTCAAATTTCAAAAAAGAATCAAAAATTCAAACGGCTCATTTTTTTTGAGGCTATCTGTGGATGAGGGGATCTGTGGATGAGGCTCCAATTTCCCGCATGAATTTTTTTTTTGAAACTTTCTTCACCTACTCCTTTTCGATAGAGTATCAAAAATTTCAAAACGCATATTTCCTCAAAAATTTTGGGATATTCAGTCTATTTCCATTTTCCTATAGACTCTCCATTAGTTCATTTCGTTATCCATTAGCATTATACAACAAAGAAATCTTTTTCTCTTTCGCCTGTTCTTTTTCGCCTTTTCTTTTTAAGTCCTGGCTCAGATTTCGCCCAAATTTGCTTTCTTTCGAATTTTTTGTGCTGCTAATTTCAAAATTTAGTAGGTCTGTGTACCAGATTGGATAAAAATCCTAAAATTTGAACACTTTCCTGACTTGAAACCTATTTATTAGTTAGTGCCTGTTTTTCGCAAAAAAACACCTTCACTCAATGTTGACTGCGGGGCGATTTTTTCCCCAAATATAGTGCGCATGTGTTCCAGATTTGATGAAAATTTTGCAATTAGAATATTTCGATAACCATTTAGCCATATAAGTTGAAGTACCTGACTCCAGAAAAACCGCCTTCGCTCAATATTGACTTCAGACCAGTTTTCTGCTAAATCTAGTGCGCATGTGTTCCAGCTTTGATAAAAATTATGAAATTAGAATACTCTGATGGACATCTGTTGGCATAAGTTGAAGTGCCTGATTTCGAAAAAACCACCTTCACTCAATTTTGGTTTAAGACCGAATTTCGACCAAATTTAGTGAGCATGTATTCCAGTTTTAATAAAAATCATGAAATTAGATTGTTCCGATGAGCATTTTTTGATATAAGTTAAAGTGCCTGCTTTTGTAAAACCCACCTTCACTCAGTTTCGGATTGAGACGGCTTTTCGGTCAAATTTAGTGAGCATGGGTTCCAGCTTTGATAAAAATCATGAAATTAGAATACTCTGATGGACATCTGTTGGCATAAGTTGAAGTGCCTGATTCCAGAAAAACCGCCTTCGCTCAATATTGACTTCAAATCAGTTTTCTGCCGAATCTAGTGCGTATGTATGCCAGCTTTGATAAAAATCATGAAATTAGATTGTTCCGATGAGGATTTTTTGATATAAGTTGAAGTGCCTGATTTTGAAAAAACCACCTTCACTGAATTTTGGTTTAAGACCGAATTTCGATCAAATTTAGTGAGCATGGGTTCCAGTTTTGATAAAAATCATGAAATTAGAATACTCTGATGGACATCTGTCGGCATAAATTGAAGTGCCTGATTTCGAAAAAACCACCTTCACTCAATTTTGGTTTAAAACCGAATTCCGGTCAAATTTAGTGAGCATGGGTTCCAGCTTTGATAAAAATCTTGTCATCAGAATATTTCGATGATAAATTACTGATATAAGTTTCAAGTGCCTGATTTCAGAAAATCCACCTTCCCTCAATGAGCCTTTGAAGCTGCTTTCTGGCATGCCGCGGTGTCCGTGCCTTCCATAGTTGAGAAAATTTGAGTAATAAACCATTCAACTATAGTCTGGGTATAGAAAAATTTGTTCGATTTTAAAAAGTTTTTCTTTTTTATTGAACTGATCCTCTACGAAATCCGATACACGATTTCAAATCTCCGTTTTTTGCAACTAAACTAAGGGATTCTTTTAAAAGAGACTTTGCCAAACGGGCCAAACGGGCCAAACGTGGCCCCAGATCGTTTCTCATTCGCAAAATGTCGCCAAAAAGGAATATGATCCTCTCGAAAAGTTTGGGCATTTTTAAAAAGTGACTCCGATCCGCCCACATCCCTTTCATTCCTTTGTCATCGCTTGAATCGAGCGTGTGAATTTTGTGCATTTTCCTAGATTCATTAAAGCCATTGACTTGATGACCGAAAAAAAAATTCATAATTTTTCATTTGAACTTTTTTGTTGAGAAAAATTGACGTACGAATTTTTGGTCTTGATTCAAATTTTCCAAAGAATTTCCATCATCTCCTTTTTCTTTAAAACACTTCAAAAGAACCCAGTTGAATTTCAGGTAACCCAGTTGAATCTCTTTTTTGGAGATCGACTACAAGAAATTGCAATGAAAAGTTCGTCGATCTGTTCTTTCCTTCTCCCGCTACTCATCTCATTTCTCGTCCTCTTGCCCACAGAATGCAGTGCTCAAGCGTGTGAGTTCCAGCTTGAGCATCGAGTTTGGCCATTGATTGTTTGGCCATTGATTATTTGACCATTTCAGTAGAAGAAGATACGGAGAAGCGGTCAGCGCTTGAGCGCGACTTGATGGCGTTCGGAAAGCGGGCATTTGATCGGGATTTGTTGAGCTTCGGCAAAAGGAGTTCTATGGTTTGTGATTTACAATACAACTTTCCAACGCAAACATTACAAATTTTCCTTTTTCCATTTTCAGATCGATCGAGACATGTTGTCGTTTGGAAAAAGGGCTGCTGTAAGTCTAAATTCTAATTTCTTTCAAATTTCAATTTCAGTATGACCGAGACATTTTGAACTTCGGAAAGCGATCGGCGGTAAGATTTAGATTACTGTAGCTTTGGTTTACTGTAGCTTTGGACTACTGTAGCTTTGGATTACTGTAGTTTTGTACTACTGTAACTTATCTTACCTCTTGTCAATCTTTTTCCTAAACCGTTTTCCAGTTGGATCGAGATTTGCTTGCTTTCGGGAAACGGGAATCCATCGATGAGCGATTCAAGGTTTTAAATTTAAAAAATCGAAAAATTCTGAAAACTCTCCAGAAAGCGATTGACCGAGATTTGTTGTCATTTGGAAAACGGAGCTTCTACAAAAGAAGGTGAAAAGAAAAACCACGCGCGCGCTCAATTTGTGCACTGAATTTTTCGAAAATCCAAATTTAGATGATTCCCTGTGCAACTCAGAAACCAACTCGAGTTCTTTTTTGAATCTTTTTTCTTTAAAATTTTGTGCCAATGATTTTTGATCGACTTTTTTTCATTCTCGGAGATCTCGAAAAACGGTGCGGCTGATCTCCAATCAATTTTCTCTCTTTTATCCCATTTTTGGCGTTTTTTTTGAAACTCTTGATTGTGGAATAAATTTTTGTGAATCGCCATAAAAATTAAAATTGCAAAAATCGCAAAAATCGCAAAAATCGCAAAAATCGAAAAAATCGAAAAAATCGAAAAAATCGCAAAAACATCATTAAATACAATATTTGAAACGAAATTTTCATGGAAATCTGTACATTTTATCACATCGGAACAGAAGAAAGGAAGTTCAAGGTTCAAGGAAATTTTTTAAAGTGAAAAAGAGGGGATAATTTGAAGGGCTTGGGAGAAATTGGAAATTGACTGAAGCGGGAAATTGACTGAAGACTGAAATAGCTTAAATCTTCTTAGATCATTCACTATTTTTTCAAAAAACAAAGTTCTGGAAGTCACTCTATCTTTTGACATCGAAATCTTGCCAAAATTCACAAATCCAGTGAAGGCACTTTTGTGCCTTCAATTTTGTGCCTTCACTGGAATTGAAGATATCGCTGAGATCTTGGTCCCAAAAGACAGGGTGCCTTCCAGAACAACAGAAACAGTGAATGATTTTTGATGAAAATGCTTTGGCAATTATTTCTGCTGATTGAAGAGAATTTGCAGCGAGATCACGGCGATTCGCTGCTTGTCGCCGTCGAGACTTTTCTGCATTTTTGTCGCAACAAGGTAGTTGCCGAGGATGCTCGTTTTGGTGTAGCCAAATCTGGAAAGAGCACAACTAAGCCAAGGAAAATTTTCTGGAACTCACTCGGTGACAGCATACTCGAATTGGGGTTGAGAGGTGGCTGAGTAGGATCCGATGCCGAGATCGCAAAGGGTCATCTGAACTTTCGTTTAGTTTAGACGCGTCTAAAAGACTCACATTTGAATGCAGTGTACACGGGATTTCGAGATGTCTTCGCTCTCTTCGAATCACTTCTGAAAAAACCGACAATCCACATCCACATAATTCCCAACTCACCTCCAAGATTTGTGATCAGTGTAGCTTCGCGTAAAATCTCATCGCGAATCGAATCCACAAAATATGTTTCCGGTGTCCAAATGTGCTGGGTTTTGGGCAACTGAAAACATGATTGAAAAAACCATACAATTGCAACAGGTTGTTCCTGCAAACTGTTAAATGGTAAGCTTATATTCTAAATTCCTTCTGAAATCTTAAATTCTGGGTGTCACACTAGAAATTAAGCACATCAAAACATGAAATACATAGATTTTTCTGAAGGCACTTTTTGATAAAATCAAGACGCTGCTTGAAACCTTTTGAATTGAACGTCTATATGTAAAAGTATCATTGAAATCATAGCTTCTGGAAGTCACACTAATAGTAAAATATCTCAAAATCAAAATATTTGCAAGTATTCTGAAGGCACTTTTTGATGGATGGAGACAGAAGAAAACAGGAAGATAATGAAAAATTTTGAAAGGGTGGCTTTTGTTAAAATTTTTTTCTTGAAATCCTAATTTCTGGAAGGCATGCTATTTGTTAAACTCGTTAAGATAAAAGATTTGCAAAATTTTCCAAAGGCACTTATACTGAAAAAGGATGAAGCCAAGAATTGCTGATTTAAGTGGTTGATGTTCAAAGATTTTCTTGCGATCCTAATTTCTGGAAAGCACACTAACAAATGTCCGCTCCAGAATAAGCAAATTCACAAAATTTCCGAAGGCACTTACTGTTGAAAAAGGATGGAACTAAAAACTGTTGACTTGAGTCCCTGTGTTCAAATTTTTTTCTCGAAATCCTAACTTCTGGGAGTCACATAAATGTTTGATCACTTCTAGAGGGTAAAAATGTTGACTCTTCAGAAGGTACTTATTGATTAAACAGAGCGCCACTTGAAGCTACTTTTAAATACTATATTCAAAGGCTGCTAAAGTTGAAATCGTGGCTTCTGGAAGGCACACTAGCAATGAAACATCTCAAAATAAAAATATTTAGAGATATTCGAAGGCACTTATTGATAAAAGGAGGCAGGATGACGCTAGAAACTGTTGAATGGGGTAGTCCATTTTAAAAATTTTTCTTGAAAACCTAGTTCCTGGAAGGCATACTGTCTGCTAAACTCGTTAAGATCAGCAAATTCTGAAAGCTTTTGGCATCGACAGCATCGATTCTGAAAATCGATGAACAGGATGCTACAGAAAACTCGTAAAACAATGTTCTGCGAGTAAAGTGGTTGATGAGATTCTAGATTCTGGCAAGCACACTAACGACTGACAGATCAGGACTAACAGATCAGGACCAAGAGATCAGGACTGACAGATCGGGACTGACAGATCAGGACTGACAGATCAGGACTGAGAAATCAGGACTGAGAGATCAGGACTGACAGATCAGGATTGACAGACCAGGACTGACAGATCAGAACTGACAGATCAGGACTGAGAGATCAGGACTGACAGATCAGGATTGACAGACCAGGACTGACAGATCAGAACTGACAGATCAGGACTGACAGATCAGGACTGACAGATCAGGACTGACAGATCAGGATTGACAGACCAGGACTGATAGATCAGGACTGACAGATCAGAACTGACAGATCAGGACTGACAGATCAGGACTGACAGATCAAAGAATCCTCTACTCCTCACCAAGACTTTTGCCTCCTTTTCCTGAAATCTCAAACGCGAATCCGTCCACCGCTCGAGCATTTCGAAATCCAACGACAGCACCTCGCTTTGCCATTTCGCGTTGAATATCCGAATCGAGACGTAGATCTGAATATTTTCGTTTATCGTCGTTTATCGTTGTTTATCTCGTCGATCTTTTCTATTCTCACCGTATGGTTGTCGATTGGTGTTTGCGATGGATCATACTCGAGCATCACATCGCCCCATTCTACCTGAGAAATCTTGTTTTTTGATTTCCTAAAATTTGAGCGAACCTTATTCTGTGGCCTTTCAATCACAATCGGATCATCAAGATGGAAAGCCAAGATTGCTGAGACGAAAACGCTTACAAGCGTATAGAAATAGCTCATCTCTTTTTTACAATCACGAAATTTTCATCGCATTTCTCGACTAAAAGCTTCAATAGACCCAGAAATTGTAGTAAAGCGTAAAAGTAAAGAATAAGAATAGCAGAAGAAGAAACGAAATAAAAATAACGAACATCTAGGAAACCTAATTTCCATCGCTGAACGTTTGAAGAAAAAAAAGGGTAGAGTAGTGACAATTTTTTTTTTTGCGAGAAAGACTCAGAGGAAAGGGGTTTGATTGAATTTTTTGAGATGGAAATGGGAACACCTTCGGGCAAAGGGAAAGAGTGAGAAAATAGCAAATGGCAACAAGATAGAAAAATAACAGAAAATTGTGAAAAACGTTGTTGAAATCTTGGCTTCTGGAAGGCACACTATCAATAAAAAATCTCAAAATCAAAATATTTGCAAATATTCTGAAGGCACTTTTTGATAAAATCAAGACGCTGCTTGAAACGTTTTGAATTGAAAGTCTATATGTAAAAGTATCATTGAAATCACAGCTTCTGGAAGTCACACTAATAGTAAAATATCTCAAAATCAAAATATTTGCAAGTATTCTGATGGCACTTTTTGATGGATGGAGACAGAAAACAGGAAGATAATGAAAAATTTTGAATGGGCGGCTTTTGTTAAAATTTTTTCTTGAAATCCTAATTTCTGGAAGGCATGCTATTTGTTAAACTCGTTAAGATAAAAGATTTGCAAAATTTTCCAAAGGCACTTATACTGAAAAAGGATGAAGCCAAGAATTGCTGATTTAAGTGGTTGATGTTCAAAGATTTTCTTGCAATCCTAGTTTCTGGAAAGCACACTAATAAATAACCACTTCAGAATAAAGAAATTAATCACTTTTCCGAAGGCACTTTTTCGAAGGCACTTTTCCGAAGGCACTTTTCCGAAGGCACTTTTCCAAAGGCACATTTCAAAAATGATCTTTCAAAAGGAAATCTGCTTGGAGGGAGTTGAGAAATTTCTTCGAGAAAGATTTTTAAGTTAGATTTTGCCATCGCGAAAAAAAAACCTGGAAGAAGAAAGGTACCCAGCTGGAAAGAAAAGAGATCGTTGAGGGGAAGTGAAGAGAGAAAAAATGGAGAAGAAAAGGGGACACAACGGATTGCCGTGTCGACGATGAGCGAGGGAGAACTCCCCAGCTCTTCTTTTGCGTCTTTCGAGAATCTCCCGTTGTTCCATTTCCAACTGCTTCATAATTTCTGACCGGTTTGGGAAATTCTGACCGGTTTTGGTCGATTTAAACTTAAAAAAGCTCGAATCTGGAACGCAGAACAACTTTTGAGAAACAAGATAAAGCAAGGAAAGCGATCCAATAAAATATTGGTTACCTTTACGGGGAATTTGGAAAAGCTTACAATTACAAAGAAAGCTTATTAGTAGCGGCCAGTTGTGGTGAAGGTGGTCCGAAAATTTCCCCGTTTCTTTCCATTTGTCCAGGCTTTTCTTTTTCCCCCCAGAAACTCGATTAGCCATTGACTTCAAAAGGGTTGGTCTTTTTCCTCATTTTCTACTTCTTCGGACAATCGCCTTCTTTTTAAAAAGACTCCATTCTTCTTTTTTTCTTTTTTTCGAACAACTTTGTACACCAAATGTTACGAAACGTTGAGAGATTAAGGAAAAATTGTTAGGGATTGATTTTAGCTGTAAAAAATCGAATCATTTTCAAAATTCTTTTCCAAAACCCCAATTCTGGAGCGCACATTTTCTTCTGGCGCCGAAATCTCAGCGTTATTCTCAAAATCAGTGAAGGCACAAAAGTGCCTGCGATCGATTTGAAGATTTGGTTAAAATTTTGTTGTCAGATAATAGTGTGCCTTCCAGAACTGAGGTTTTCTGAAGAAAAATCGGGAATAAAAATGGATACGGTACTTTAAAGCTTACGATAGCTTACGATACTCCCTATATACTTATTTTCTCAAAAATTTCTCAGAAAAAAGTAATATTCTATAATATAAGCGAAAAAAAGGCAATCTTCGAAGATCCAAAGAAAAAAAAATGAATGAATGGCTTCGAGGGATGAGAATGGAAATGAGATGGTCTTTGGAGAAAAGAGAAAAGGGCAAAACTGGAATATTTAAGCAGATTTGTCTTTCTTTACAAGAACTGAATAAAAACAAATGAACGAACCTATTTTCCCCTAATTTTCCCAAATGCTGGAGCTCACGAAACGTAAAAGAACAGTTTGTAGTATTGGATTTTTTACTTTTTTCTTTGGTTCATTTTTTTACTTTTTTTTTGGTTCATTTTTTTTTCATTTTTTTTGTTTATTTTTTTTTAATCTTTTTTTATTCTTTTTTTTTTTTTTTTTTTTTATTTTTTAGTCTCGTGAGAATTCCTCTGGACTAATGAGAAGATTTTTTGGGGAAATTTATCGGATACAATATCAGAAATTTGACCCAAACAATTTTTGATGACAAAGTTTGCTTTCAAAAAGGATCCAACTTCATAAAGCCATCAAAAAAGCCATCAAAATTGCCTAAAAGTTTCGATTTTTTGAAAATTTGAGACAAAAACGTAAAAATTTCTCCTCTTTTTTCGTTAAAAATGAGTTATGGGGAAATTTACCCTTTCTTTTCTTGTTGTTAGACAAGAAAAAAGATGAATGGGATGGGGTAAACGAAAAAAAAGACAAGACGGGTTAAAATGCGACAAAAAATGGACCCATTTTTCAAGAACAGACAAGAAATTTAGCCCAACTTTTGGTGAAATGTGGAGTACGAGGAACTACTGTCGTAAAATTTGAGTATTTTTAAAAACGTTTGCGAGAAATCTTTGGTCTGGAAGGCACACTATTATCTGACACAAAAATCTTATCGTAATCTTCAAATCCAGTGCAGGCACTTTTTTGTGCCTTTACTGGCTTTGAGAATATCGCTGAGAGTTAAGTATTTCTAAAAAAGTTTTGCCAGAAATCTTTGTTCTGGAAGGCACACTATTAACTGACACAAAAATTTTATTGTAAACTTCAAATTCAGCGCAGGCACTTTTTTTGTGCCTTTACTGGCCTTGAGAATATCGCTGAGAGTTGAGTATTTTTAAAAAAAATTGCGAGAAATCTTTGTTCTGGAAAGCACACTATTATCTGACACAAAAATCTAATTGTAATCTTCAAATTCAGCGCAGGCACTTTTTCACTTTTTGTGCCTTCACTGAATTCAAAGGTTTGGCTAAAATTTAATGGTAATCAGATAGTGTGCTTTCCAGAACCCAGGTTTCGAGAAAAACTGACAAAAAAATTAAGCAATGAACTCTGAGAATGCTTTCTGAATCAACCACAACCATATTAGTCAAGTAAAAATGAAATCTTTGTGTTTTCCACATTTCGTCTTGCCTTAATTTTATTTTCCACTGAAAAGATAGATTCATTTCCCTCAGCTCTTTTGCGATTTTCAAATTCGATAAAGGACCCGGCGCTAATTTTGTTAAAAACGAATGAAATGAGAGGAAATACGAAAATATCGAATCCAATGCTATCAACAAAAATTTAGCAAACGAACGATTGCTTTTAGAAGCTAATTTGGCTAAGCTGGAACGCACGCTAAAAGGTTTTGCTTGTGAAATGGGTGAATTTTGAGAAAAATGGCTTATCAAAAATTCAACCCCAAAGCCGGATGGTGCTTCGGCGTCTTTAGGCCGATCCTCTTCTTCCAAAAAAAAAAGTGGGACACAAGCCGCTCCACCACCCAAAAGTCTCCCCCCGGGAATTCAGCACACATTTTTTTTTTCACCACCACCCATCGACTGTCCCTTTTCCACGAAAAAACATCCATTTTGAGTCTTGAGTCTCTTCGTCTTTCTTTCTTCGTCTTCGTTACCAAAAAAACGGTGAAATTTTTGAAAATTCTGTCTACCTGGATGTCATCCTAGAAAAACTGACAACTTTTGATTGAGTGGAATGAAATTTTGAGAAGGTGGTTTTTCAGCAGAATGGAATTTGAATTGATTTCCGCAAAGAAATTGAGTGTTTCTTAAAAATTTGAATAAAAATTTCAATCCTGGGATGCACGAAGAGGCTTTAGCCAAGAAAACTTGACTAATATGGTATTTGAAAAAATTTTATAAAATTATCAACGCTGGCATAAAATCCGAGAAATCCTACAGGTGCTATATTTACGAGAGAATACGGAGGGACAAATTGGGCCGTAAAAAGTGCGGTGCGCTCCAGAGAAAAGAGGAAAAGCTGGAAAGGGGAAAGGGAAACCGATATCCCTTCCGGGAATTTCGGTGAGCCGGGGAATGGAGGAAGGGGAGGAAGAGAGGGGCCAACTACGAGACGGAAACCAGGAAAGGACAATGCATATTTCGGGCGCTGGGACTTCCCCAATACCTCAGGTCTCAGCACTTGCCCATTTTCCGCATATTGTACACTAAACTCTCTTGTTCCCGGTTTACGACTAATAAGAATCAAGTACATAAATATTTATTCAATTTTTCGAGAGAAGCGTCTCAATTTTGTTTTATTTTTAGCCAAGCTGGAGCGCACAGCAAATGATTTACGAAAAAAATCAATCAAAATCCAAAAATTCTTCAAGGTGTAAAAGTCAAATTCAAGTTGACTGCGTTTCTAGATTGTCATGACGTAAAAACTAGATTCTCCGAAAAGCAGAGATCTTTCTGGAACACACAAATATCAAAGCATATGTTGAATCCACAAAATCTGAAAAAAAGTCAAGTCCAACTCTCGAATGGAGCCATTGAGACGTGAAATCTCACACAGCAAAAATGAGTGGGTCGCCGAATTTCAAGAAATTTTTCTCTTGACACCCGAAATCTCATTGAGGCCCTCTCATGCATTGTTGATAATCAGGTGGACCGGGGAAAACCTTTCAACTATTCTTGAAACGAAAACTTTCAAGGTAAACATGGATGCTCATTTGAGATACGATTTTGACAACTGAATGCATTTTTTAAGGGATTTTGAAACTGAAAATGACAATCCTGGAAGTCACATGAAATTTCTATTCAAAAACATCTAGCACATGGCTCCACCGGATTACCAGATCTGCGTAACTAAACTGACTCTGACAAAATCGCTTTCCGCAAAGAAACAGCAATTTTTTAAAGATCAAAATCATCAATCTGGAACGCACAGAAACTTTTTAACAAAAGAAATCATCTTATCAAAAGCTTTAAAATGACTGATGCTTTATGGTAGGAAATTTTTCTCGAAAATTTCTCAATTCTCGATCTCTCTTTTTTTTTGTCGAGCGTGTAACCGAAAACCGCGTATTGTTGTCCGAAGCTGTCTCATGGAAAACCCCTTTTCTTTTCACCCATCCCAAATTTCACCTCTTTATTTGCATTGAATGAAGACGAACCTAACATTTTCAGCGCTAAAGTTCTAATTCGAATTTTTCCGGAAAAAGAATTTTGATCAAAATAAAGAAAACAAGACATTGGATTTCGACATTTTAAAGACACTTGTGCAATTCACACCAAAAACAGTTTTGTCACAGTATTACAGCTTCTCAAGGCTGAGAGAGCTGGCCTAAGTTGGCTTTCGACTAGCCCAGAGCTCTCCTGACTCTGCCGTCACCAGCCCTGACACAAATTTTTCAGAAATCTTTGTTCTGGAAGGCACACTATTATCTGAAACAAAAATCTTATCGTAATCTCCTAATTCAGCGCAGGCACTTTTTTGGTGCCTTCACTGGCTTTGAGAATATCGCTGAGAGTTGAGTATTTTTAAAAATTTTTGCCAGAAATCTTTGTTCTGGAAGGCACACTATTATCTGACACAAAAATCTTATCGTAATCTCCTAATTCAGCGCAGGCACTTTTTCACTTTTTGTGCCTTTTGGAAAAATTTGGAAAAGCCGCGCTAACTCTGTCCTGGTCCTAATCTAACTATAAGCCTGATCTTGGCCTATTCTTGGTCTAACCCTGGCCTGGCAGCGATCTACCTTGACCTCGCCAGATCAAAAAGATCAAGTACCTTTGATATTATACTTGGAGGGGATAATGAATATCCGGGTAAACCCTCCGAATCGGCCGTGTAACTCTACCCCCTTCTCTCCACAACCAAATATAGACTTTCCGCATTTTGGGTAAACCTATCCATGCTCTGGCCGGCTCAAAATATTATTTCATTTTCTTATTTATTTGCAATAAATTGATCTAAAAAATTTCCAGGAATCTTTGCTCTGGAAGGCACACTATTATCTGACACAAAAATCTTATCGTAATCTCCTAATTCAGCGCAGGCACTTTTTTTGTCCCCTTTACTGGCTTTGAGAATATTGCTGAGAGTTGAGTATTTTTAAAGAAGTTTGCGAGAAATCTTTGCTCTGGAAGGCACACTATTATCTGAAACAAAAATCTTATTGCAATCTTCAAATTCAGCGCAGGCACTTTTTTTGTGCTTTCACTGGCTTTGAGAATATCGCCGAGGTTTGAGTATTTTTTTTTTAATTTGCCAGAAATCTTTGTTCTGGAAGGCACACTATTATCTGACACAAAAATCTAATTGTAATCTTCAAATTCAGCGCAGGCACTTTTTTTGTGCCCTTCACTGGCTTTGAGAATATCGCCGAGATTTGAGTATTTCTAAAAAAGTTTGTCAGAAATGTTTGTTCTGGAAGCCACACTATTATCTGACACAAAAATCTTATCGTAATCTTCAAATTCAGCGCAGGCACTTTTTTTTGCTTGTTGTGCCTTGACTGAATTCAAAGATTCGGCTAAAATTTAAAAGTGATCAGATAGTGTGCTTTCCAGAACCTAGAAATTAGAGCTGAAAAACTGAGAAACGATCTCTACTTTTTACTCAAAACGAAGAACGCCATTAAAACCTGAAAACTAACACTTTTTGAAAAGTGAGTGCTTATTTTTAGAGGTTTTCCCCTTTTGGCATCATCACAATTTTCTCTCGGCTCGATCGAGCCAATAATTTTAGGGTTTACCCAGCTATAAAGTGGCTCAAGGGTTATGAAAAAGTAATAGTTGAGATTGGATTTTTGGCTTGAGCTATTTTATTTAAAAACTATTTAGCTATGAAATTCAACACTATTTTGACTTAGCAAATTATCTAAAAAGGTCGAACTTTGGTAAGTGAATGAGCCAAAATACCTAGCTGATCTATCCACGAAAAATATTTCTGTTCGCATTCATCTCTCTTTCCACCTTTGAAATGTGAATCCCGAATGAGTAAATCCTTTTCGTTTGGAGGGGAATCCTTGGCGCGGATTGAATCGACAAGTAGATGTATCTTTGGAATGTACCTTTGGCTTTTAGAGCTCCGGCCGAAATTTTAAGATTCACTGAATCGATACGAATCGAATTTCGATCGAATTTTTCAAATTTCATAAAAACCGATATTTTACTTGTTCAGCTTCTACTATGACCTCCAGTTTTAACGTTTTTAAAAATTAAATCAGAATTTGAGATCTACAGGAGATCATTTGCCTCAACCGGAAACACTCCAACTTGAAAATCTTTAAAAAATTTATCTTTTTTGCTTTCAACTTTTAGAATGACATCCAGAATTGACAAATTTTTAGATAAAATTGGATTTTAGGCTCTTGAGCGAAAAAATAACACCGCTGTCAAGAAATCTCGATTTTGGGGGTAAAAATTTACGAAATTTTCCCCATTTTCTCCTTCCATTTTCTAATGTGCGCTCCAGAATGGGGAAAATTTCGAAAATCTAGCCTTAATTCAAATTCCTCACCTCTTTTCACAAAGGCATAAAGTCATGGAGTCATGAGTTCAACTTTTCCCAATCAATCATCCCTTTCTCTCATCGTACAACTACTAGCTGACATCCAGGATTCACGTTGACGTGCTCGAAATTTCTCATTTTTTTTTTCGTTTTCATGCTCAAAGGGGCAGAACTAATGCCATGTAATTGGCGGTGGACAAAAGGCTGAAGGAAAGCAGGGTACCCAAGGGGAAATGAATGCTCGAGAGACGGGAAGTGGTGGGGGTAAAGAAGAGCATCCTGTCACGCACAGAAAGGTTAGATGGAATTGAATTGAATGTGTAGTGGAATGGAATCGAGTTCGTGATTCTGATCTTTTTTTATCTTTTCTTTAGTGATTACACTTTTCTCTCTCTTTTCCACAAATTGGTATTCTTCCATTCTTTCCATTCTCCTTCTCCATTCTTCCCACTCTTCCCACTCTTCCCATTCTTCCCACTCTTCCCATTCTTCCCATTCTTCCCACTCTTCCCATTCTTCCCACTCTTCCCCCTCTTCCCACTCTTCCCATTCTTCCCACTCTTCTCACTCTTCCCATTCTTTCCACTCTTTCTATTCTTTCCATTCTCCTTTTCCCCTCATTTCCCCCTTTCCCCCTTTTCCCTTCCTTGATTAGCATACCTTGTTCGACTTGTTTTGCGGAAATTGCTTTTTGCTTCAATTCATTTTTTCTGTTTTTTTTCCGTCAAAATGCACTCCAGCTAGTAGTCTAAGCAAGATTAGCGCTAAAGTTTTCTTAAATTTTTCGGCAAAAATTGAGATGATTCGATTTCCGGTTGATTTATATAAAAAAAAAATCCTTTTCAGACTAAATAAGCTCCAAATTTGGATATCCTGGAAAGCACAACAGCTTTTTAGAAAAATCCCATCAAATTCTAAAGCAATTTGTGTCGTTTTCTAAAACGTGCGCCTTTCAGCGACTACCGTAACCGCCAGAAAATCCGTTTTGAAAAAACCCGTTTGAAACCCGTTATGAAACCCGTTCGAAAAGCTGCTGTGAGTTCCAGAATTGTTAAATCTCGAGTTATTGAGGTGTTCTTATTTTTCCCTTCCAGAAAATTCTCGGGCATTCAAGTTTTCCCCCAGCTACACTTAATGAATAGGCGATGAGTGATTCGGAGGAGGGAAATGGAAAGAGAAAGAGAAAGAGAAAGAGAACTCTTGAAGAGATTGGATTCTCTTTTCTCAAACCTTACCCTCATATCTGAGATCTTATCTCACTAATGTCTTTTTCTTCATTTCAAAAGACTCTTCATTCATTTCATTATTTTTATGCAACTCTTACTATTTTATTTTATGATTTTTTTTTCGTCAGAAACGTAATTTTTCGGTTTTTTCGATTTTTCATAATTTTTTACCATTTTAGTCAAACAGATTATTGAAAATGCCTTCAATAAATTGAGCATTCATCGAAAATTTCTTTCCACTATGCCCGATGCGAATTCTCAGTGATCGGCGATCATTTCTATTTCTCGTTTGCTCAATCTGGAGTACAGGTGAGGGGTTTAAGAAGGAAATCAAACAGAAAACAAAACAGAAAACTCGACTTTCAGTTCATCCACGTTTCTGCCTAGAGGGTTCAGATTGCGGGATGGTCAGCAATCAATGTCACGTTTGCGAGGGGGCGGCTTGTCTCCGGATATTTAGGTGGGGTCAATTTCTCAATTTTCTAATCAAAAACCCTTTAGAGGATAAGGAACCAAATTTAGAGAGATAAGGAACCAAGTTCAAAGAGATAAGGAACCAAATTTGTAGAGATAAGCATTATTCTAATCAAAAACCCTTCTAGACCAGCTCGTTTAACAACCCGGGGCACTCCATCGGTTGCGTTGACGTGTCTCCCGCACGATTCACTCATTCATTCCTACAATCCCGATGGATGCAGGTGGATGTCAATAAATCGAAAATCTAATTTCCACAACTTTTAGTGTGCATTCCAACTAAGAAAAAATGTTAAAGCAGAAAAAATTCTGAACACTCGAAAAAAAGTTGTTGCGTAGACAGAGTGTCGAAGCTTTAATTTATTTTTTCTTAGTTGAACGAACGCCCACTAAAACTTGTTGAATAAGATTTTTGCATGCAAAACACTAAAGCAAAAGCCAAGTCCAACTCCTTTTCAGAACGACAATGCACGGTGACACGCAATGCCTGTGCTCACACCGGGATTACTGCAATTCGGCTTCACATCCCCCTATGATCACCAAAATATCGATGCTCGTATCAATTCCATTTGCCTTATTCGTTTTCGATAATCGATAAATGATCGATAATTTATTCTCTACTCAAACACAACAATGTCTTTAAATATCAAAATAACAAAAACCTCAAGTCGCAAAATAATAGCCCGTAATCGATGAGAACTTGATGGAATGAATGAGTGGGTGATCGTTTATGAGGATGTCCCTTCACCGAGATATTTCTCAAGCATTTGTTGCTTCTTTGACTCGAGTAGAGCTTCTTCCACGTCCTGAAAGCAAAGAAAATTATAGGCTTGTGAATAAGTTGCCAGAATAGTTCTGATAAAATAGAGTTGTTCTTGAGCGAGCTTTATCAATGCCCAAGTACTTTTTTATAATTGCAACGAGTCTAGTGCGATGCTCAATACGTTGCAATGTGTCGGATTTGTTGCCCAGTCCGGTACCAGATCAGTCCAATATCAGTAAAACAAACACACCTTAAGCGTAGGCACCATTACATGTCGAATGGCCATTTTCCTTCCATCTTCTCCGAGAATTTCGGTGATCTTCACGTGCCAATCGCTTTCGGGATCCTGAAATGAAAAGAAATTGCCATGCGAATAGATCTTGAGCTTTGTCAATTGTTTGGAATAGCTGTCACTAGATCGTATCCTGACTTTGGAAAAAAAGGCCAAGGTATTGCCTTAGTTTAGCTTAGGTTGAGCATGGCTCAACCTTAAGATAGGTTGAGCTTGGTTAAATAGGATTCAATCAAGTTCTTGGCTTTCAATTTTTCAATAGTAACACAATCGGCTTGAAAACTAGGCCAAAGCCATGACCAAACTAGGCTATCACTAGGCTAGCCTCTCACTTACATCCTCAACTTTGTATATATCGTCATCGGCTCCATCCGAATCGCTGTCATTCACATCTTTGTCCCATTTAACTTTTGTCACATCCCATTCCTAAAGCAAATAAAGCTGATAAGTAATGAAATTTTGAATATGCTACCTTTTTGGCTTTCTCCATCGCTCGTGTTTCCTCCTCTTTCTCGAGCGGTTCAAGGATTCCATCCTAAATCGAAACAATCATTGTAATTTTTCTGAACTAACATCATCATCCAGATATCCATAATACGAGGCATCAACATATTTCATCAGTTCAACCCGTGTCTTCCGGATTTTCTAAAGAGAACAATTAGTAAAAGCTTTAGAAATATTAAAGACAAGCTTTCACGTTACCTCAATCTCTCCATCCTTCTCGAAAAGCTCCCGTACACCTAAAAAAGGTAGCATATTCAAAATTATAGATAGATTAAAGTTTATAGAACCAAAGAACTACTATACTACTATAGTTTGAAAAAGAAATCAAGCCAAACCTGGTAAATCCTTGGCGGCACCAAAGTATTTGTAACTGTGATCACCGCCTACAGACCTCCCCTCCTTGTCCAGTTCGCGACCCATCTTCCTAAAATGATCATTGAAATTTATAGCGAGCTTAAGATAGTTCAACTTTTACCAATCCGTAGATCTATCAAAACTCACCGAAAATCCGTCCCACCCAATTCTTGAATCCGCTTCTCCCAAGAGTTTTTGTGTTTGATCGCCTTGTTAATCTCATCGTTAAGGTCGCGAATCTTGAACTCGCCCAAGCCCGGGTTTTGAATGGTGGCGATCTTCTTGGCGATGTCTTTGGCCAACTAAAAGAAATGAAATTGAACAAGGTATTTGTCGTAATCGAATCGCTAAATTAGCTAAATAGCGACCTCATTTCTGAAACGAATCGCGTCCTGAAGATTTCGGCACTCCCGAGTGTCGTGTGGTCGCTTCGCAATCGGTCCTAAACAAGATAAATGAGTAAATTTGTGTAAAAATCGTAAGTTTTCATCATTTATATAAGATTAAGTTGTTAATTAGTCGGTTTTCTATAATTTAAGCTTTAAATTAAGCTAATTTAAGCTAGACAAAACAAAGAAATGAAGCTTTTCTTTTTGCTAAGATTATTGGATTTATTGAATAAGGTTGGATTTATCTAAAAAACAGCTAAGATGTAAATCTTTTTCTTTTTTTTCCATCAAAAAGGATTTAGTGCTTAGACAAACGCTAGTTTATGAAGAATTTAAGTAAACAGCTTAAATACTCACCCCTTTCCTCGTCCTCTTTCATACGACGCCAACGCGCGAGCGCCGTCATCGCCTTTTCAGCATTTCGAGCCTAAAATCGGTGTAATTCAATAAAAAAACCCAATTCCTTACCATATTTCGTAGTTTTTGAGAGGAATTCGCTTGATTTGATGTAAAAAGCTCTCTAAAGAAGAATGATTAACAAATTAGAGCTAAAATTAGAGCTAAATTCAATTCGAAAACGTTGAGAACGAGAGGAAACAATGTTCAGCGAGAAAATGTGTTCTTTTGTGTAAGCCGATGATGATATTTTTCAAATCCTAATGAATCTATTGCAAAGTTGTAAGGAAATCGAATAAAAGGTAAAAATCGTTAAAACTTTATATACCTTTTTCTTTGCTTTAAAGATATTCAGTTAAACAATTAAACTTTAAATCAGCATTGGCCCCAAGTATATAAATAAAATTCTATTGTTTTCCTTATTTTTCTCTTTTCACCACTCGTGATGGGTCATTTTTGTGTAAATCTTAAATTTTCCCATTTTTACGATCAAACTCATGAAATTCTTGGGTTTCCTGATGCTTTCTGCTAACTTTTCTAAACAATGATCAGCTCCTCAAAGCCTAAGCTAACCATTTGCAATGCTGAGTCGATATTTTTAACGTTTGGGTTCTTCGTTTGCTTGCGCAAATCTTAGATTTTCATACATTTTGCTAAAAAGTTCGTGAAATTTCTGCTTTTCCTCCTTTTGTTAGTTTTTTCAAGCAATAACCAGCTTTCTCCATATCTAAACGAACCATTTTCAATGTTGATTTAACATTTTTCTGTTTTACTATTGACTTTTCACCGTTTTCCAGGCGTTTTTCTGCTCTAAATTATCTTATTGCAGATTAAATGACAAAGAAGAACGCGAACAAGTTCTCGAAAGAGGAGGAGATCCTGCTCAACTCGTTTTCACCCGAGCTCTCTAAAAAGGGGTCCGCGCTTTTCGTCGTCAACTCGCTGGTGAGCTCGCTCGCGCCCATCTTTCTCTTCTATGGAGTGCATCAAGTAAGGGCTTTGATTGAAACTTTTAGAATCTTGTTTCTAAAGCTTCTGCTAGTTGAAATTGAGGTTCTGGCAGATACTTTTGCGTGTTTAACTGTGACTAAAATCTTGTTGAGCAACTTTCGACAGCTCTAACAACTAGCATCGACCAAATGTCATTTCTAGTTTTATCATGATGTGTGTTTATGTATGTTCTATCTTTAGGCGTTCTACTTATCTTTAGGCTTTTACTGTTAAGGAATTTGAGGATATATCCACGTGCTAATCAATCAAAAGTTAATCAAAACACATGCTAATTATTCAACTTTAGTTGGAGGTGGACGAAGCGTGGATGGTTTGGACGGCCACGGTGCTCATATCGACCTATCTGTTGACGATGGCGGCGAAGAATGAAAAGCACAAGCTCAAACACAAATTGGTGCAGAAGAGGACACAAGCCATCGAGCGGGAAATCAACAAGAAATACGCGGATGACAAGAAAATGACTCGAAAGGAGAAAGACGAGCGGGCTCTCTTCCGACGCAACGAGGTGGCCGACAATGAGTCGACGTGGCTGTCGATCTTCTACAACAACATGATGTTCTTCGGAATCTTCATCATTCTAGCCTTTTTCTTCTTCGCCAATGTGAGTCCGCTCATCAATTCGGTTGTGTCAATCATCAGCGCCGCCGGATTCGTCGCCTTCATCTCGACGGCCAAGAATTAGAAAATTTTATGATCGATCTTTGTATATTTTTACTACGGGTTTTGTGATTTATTTGCTCGGTTGTCTTTCTTTTGTTTTTGTACCTCGGGTTTTGTGTATATTTAATTAAAATTAAGGGATGGCAAGTCAACAAAATGGCGCCCAGCCACCACAACAGGGCGGGGAGAAGATGGAGACCGATCAACAGGACGAGCAATTATCCGAGGAGATTCTAAAGGTAAGAGTGGAAGAATTTTATTTTAGCTCATCCATAGAATTAAGTGAATCTTGATCAATTGTTTGACCAGTAATCCTATCAAATTGTATTTTCAATTCAAACTGCTTTGAAACTTCATATTCAGTTTTGCAATTTAGATGTCGCCTGAAGATCTCCGACAACGACAACACCTTTTGGACACGGAGATCAGGATCATGCGATCAGAGGTGAGGACAAAATAGACTGATTTTCTATCGGTTTCATTTTTAGGTTCAACGCATCAATCACTCCGTGCAAACACTCAAGGATCGTATCAAAGAAAATACGGAACGAATCAAGGTTGATTCTTCGCAAATTTCATTGACCCTTTTCTTTTAGGTAAACAAAACGTTGCCGTATTTGGTGTCAAACGTGGTCGAGTTGTTGGAGCTGGAGGAGAACTTTGAAGAAGAGGGAGCAAACGTCGACTTGGACGCGCATAAGGTAAATATTACGTGAGTCTTTATCAACTCTTCGTATTTAGACCAAATGTGCTGTGATCAAGACGAGCACTCGGGCCACCTACTTCTTGCCTGTGGTCGGTCTTGTGGACCCAGCAGAGCTGAAGCCGGGCGATCTTGTCGGTGTCAACAAGGTGAGCTCGAATTACAATTGCCTTTAATTTTGTACATTTTAGGACTCCTACTTGGTTCTGGAGAAACTGCCAGCCGAATATGATTCTCGTGTGAAGGCGATGGAAGTTGACGAGCGACCCAGTGAGCAATACTCTGACATTGGTGGTTGCGATAAACAAATTCAAGTATGTTTTCCAGCAATTTATGAATCATCGTAATTCAGGAACTTATCGAAGCCGTCGTGTTACCAATGACTCACAAGGATCGTTTCGTCAATCTCGGCATTCATCCACCAAAAGGCGTTCTTCTTTATGGACCTCCAGGTTTGGATCTGAATGTCAATTGGTTACTTTCGAGTTTTAGGGACTGGCAAAACGATGATGGCACGTGCGGTTGCCGCGCAAACAAAGTCGACCTTCTTGAAGTTGGCCGGACCACAACTTGTGCAAATGTTCATTGGAGATGGTGCTAAATTGGTGAGAATCCTTTGAGCCTTTGAGCTTTGATCCAAGTGTTATTTTGCTTTCTAGGTTCGCGATGCTTTTGCCCTAGCCAAAGAGAAGGCCCCAGCCATCATTTTCATCGATGAGTTGGACGCTATTGGTAGGCTTGTTAGACTTCTTCTGTAGACCCTCGCTTTCTAGGAACAAAGCGTTTCGATTCGGAAAAGGCCGGTGATCGTGAAGTGCAACGGACGATGTTGGAATTGCTCAATCAGTTGGACGGATTCCAGCCAAATGATGAAATCAAGGTTGGGAAAGACTAATCATTTAAACGGCTATTTTCCAGGTTATTGCTGCTACAAATCGCATTGATGTCCTTGATCCAGCATTGCTTCGATCCGGACGTTTGGATAGGTATTTATCATTTCGTCATTTCGTGCCTCTGCAAAACTCAATTTTTCAGAAAGATCGAACTTCCTCATCCAAATGAAGAGGCGCGGGCTCGAATAATGCAAATTCACTCGAGAAAGATGAATGTTCAGTTGGGAGATCACTTCTTGACTTTAACATTTTCTCATTTTCAGCAAAGATGTAAACTTCGACGAGTTGTCCCGGTGCACTGATGACTTCAATGGGGCGCAATGCAAGGCGGTTTGCGTGGAGGCGGTGGGTGACTTTGGGACTAAAAATATAACCAACTCGATTATCTAATTATTTATGCTTTTCAGGGTATGATCGCCCTTCGACGTGACGCTCTCGAGGTGCTGCACGAGGATTTCATGGATGCAATTCTCGAGGTGCAAGCCAAGAAGAAGTCGGCTCTTAATTATTACGCTTAAGTGGTGATTGATTTTCCCCTCTTTTGTATTCTCTATTTATTGTCTTATCTTTGGTGTGATCATCATTTCATTTGCTTCTTTGAGTGTCTCTTCATTGTCTCCCTTTTCTCTAAAATTCCCTTTGTGATTCCCTTATGCGATTTAGTAAGGTAACAAAAACGTGTAAAAAGTTGGGAATGGCTGAATTTTTTTGAGAATTGGCATTCGTTTTTTCGTTATTTGCCTGTGTCTCTTTAAAAATTACTCTTGTTCTATAAATACAAATGCAAAGGTATACAAAAATGGAAACAACAGCAAAGTTAAAAGAAATTACTCTTATGGAAGGCACACGATAAATTAGAGATCGAATGGGGTATTTACATGGCATGACTGCTGGAATCTCGGAAGAAAAGGATTTCGAATGATGTCAGAGTATGGGTGGGAAGATCTAAGGAGGCTGGATTACTCGATTTGGCTCTTGAGCCCGGGTTTGATTTCGGGAAAAAGATCGAGAGCAAGAGCCAAATCCCCTTCTACAACAATTCACCGGTTGGCTGTCGGCTTGACAAAAGGCCGGGCTGTTGTCCCAAGTGTTGCGTCTCGATGATCGTCGCTCTTCGAGACATTTTCTTCTGTGACCAGGGTTGAGCTGAAAGTTTTCGAGATTTTCTTGATCGTAAGTCTAAAGCAAAATTTGGGGCAAAAATTCAAATTGTGAAAATTGAGCAATTCGGCAAAATGTTTACCTCTTTCGTTTAGTCCGGTGAAATTCTTTTTACTAAACTTTTGAGCAGTTGAAAAACTGATAAAATGCTCATTTCTTTTTTGCGTTGTTTCTGTAGCTTTACTTTTTTTTTTGCGAAAAATTACCCAAAAATTGAAGCATCTCTGCGCGCAACAACGGTTGACACGTGGCGTAGATGGGTAAACGCAGAAAGCAGCAAACGATCGGCAGAATCGAGATCGCGTCCACGGAAAGCACATAGAAATCGACGAAACTGGAAATGTCTGGATGTCTTTCACATTTGCAAGTTGAGCTTGGGAAAAAAATATCGAAGGCTTGAAGGCTCAGAGACTAGACTAGAGAGAGTTTCTCGTCAAAAACAGCAACGGATTCGAAATCCTGATCCCGGAAAACCGCCCCGATACAATTTTCAGTAATAAAAAAGTATCGAATTTGACTTTTATCGAAGTTCGATGCATCGAATTTGACTGGAATGTTGAATTGTCGGAAAAGTCGAAATTTACATTTAAGTTTTTTATTTAAACTGGCAAATTTTTGCCGAAAAATCATTTTCTCTACTTATTTCTTTTTTTTTTTTTTTGCTAAAAATGCATGAGTAAGTCAATTTTTCTTATTTAATAACTTTTTGCATATCTTTTTGCATTCCTGGTTCAAATGAATCGATCGATAAATCCTCTGAAAGTCGATTCTGGCATAATGTGAGTCGGTTTTTGGGTTAATATCGTTTTTTCGTTTTTTCGTTTTCTTTTTCGAATCGTTTCCCTTTTTTTTGCGATAAGTGCATAGATTTTTATGTATACAATTGACTTTTGATAGCAAAAAAAGCGTTTTCGAGTTGATTTTTCTTGATGAGATTGATGAAAAATCAGTTTTTTTCGGCATTTTGATCGTGTCATCTCCTTTTCAGCCTCATAACTTTGCTCAGAGATGAGATAACGCTTAATTCTTTATAGCATTCGATAGAGGAGATTTCAGGCTTTCAAATGATACCAAATAGAGTTTGATTGGAGAAACGAGTCCAGAAAAATCGAAGCAAACACTGAGCGAACGAGGCTGAGCCAACTTGAGCGCTGTTTTTGCAAGATTTCTTTGAATGTTTTATTCCATTGAGCTCTATTTGGTGTTAGTCGAAAGTCTAAAGTGTTCTCTAGACAAAGATTTAAATATTTATGAACCCTACTATCTCTAAACAAAGTTATGAGCCTTTCAGAGCTCGACTTGGACTCCATCAAACATCGAGCGCCACGTTGGTCATCCTCGACGCTCCTCCACTCCAAAGGTTGCTCTTTTTGAGTAATATTCTAATGGCTAAGGTACAATTAGGCTTTTGCTTGCTAGAGTGCAACTTTGTTCACATTTTAGTTCCATATTTTAGTCAGAAACCCGATCACCGGCCAATGAAGCGACCCAGAAGCCACATTTTATTTTGTTTGTGTCATTTTCTTTTAATTTTCTCATTCTTGAATCTTTTAGCGAACTTTCTACGACTCCGATAATTGGAAAAACGTTTGTGCTGCGTGATGGGTGAGTTTTTCGTTTATTTCATTCTAAAGAAAACTTTCTAGACCGGCTCCACGAACACAGGGTCGTCAATATATTGGAGTGAGGACAAGAGAGGAGGCTGAGAAAATGGTGAGCTTTGATTGAGATGTTTTTAGTTCTGTACAAATTTTCCTTGTCCCGGATACTCTTATTTTAGTTTAAATCCGATTTGCAGAGGCTAGATTAGAGTTTAAAGCTGATGCTTAAGATTAGACTTGGAAACTGATGCTTAAGATTGGAATTGAAAGCTGATGCTTAAGATTAGACTTGAAAGCTAATGCTTAAGATTAGACTTGAAGGCTGATGCTTAAGATTAGACTTTAAAGCTGATGCTTAAGATTTGACTTGAAAGCTAATGCTTAAGAAAAATGAAGTTAGATTTAGGATTTTGTGAAACTAGATGCTTGCTTTGATAATGGCTTTTGTTTAGGTTCAATTGCTGGCGACTTTTCGCTTCTACCATCAGCTACCCGATGACGGCTGGCCTGTCGAGGATGCTCTCAAGCTGCACGTTTGTTATCGAGCCGAAGACGGGAAATATTCGTGAGTTTAGGGAAAATTGAGGAAAACTTTTTGAGGAAAATTATGGTTTTATAAATTTGCCCAAAGCTCAAGTTATTCTTAACTTTTTATATGATTGGATAGAGGAGAGTTCAGCCTTTTGAATGACACCAAATAGGGCTTGATTAAGGGGAAAATCGAGTAAAACAAGCGCCTAACTTGCTTCGATCGACTTCGATCGACTTTCTTCGATCAGAATTCGTCTAGCGTCTTTGCCTGAAGCCTTCTCTATCCAATAATATTATATCTGAAGTTGTTGTTGTTGCTGTTGCTGTTGCTGTTGCTGTTGTTGTTGTTGAAACTTGTTGAAAATGCTTGAGTGCTTTTTAAAATAGCTGAAAGCTGAAAGATAAAACAGCTCTATAGTTTGTTGATCTTAAAGATCAAAGATGTTGATCAAAGACAAAAGAAAGACACTTTTTTTACCTTTCCCTAGTGCTAGGATCGATCTATATTTTGTTTTAGTCACTTGCGCATCCTCAAGCAGCAATGTGTTGATGGTGGTGTGACCCGAGAAATGTTCTACGTCGAGTCGCGTCGTTTCAATCAACCAAACATCTCCTTTCCGAATATTGACCAGCTCATCAAATATTATTCGTACGTCTTTTCTTTTCCATCACTAATCAAATCTTTTTTAGCACCTATGTTCATCTAAGGAAATCGAGCCAAACGAATAAAGTCGAAGTAGGGGATGAGTTGTTGAGTTGTTGAGTTATAGAGTTATAGAGTTGTAGAGTTGTTGAGTTGTTGAGTTGTTGTTATTTTAGAACCTCGTCCAATGGTGCCACAACGTACTTTTTTAAAGCTATAACCCTTTATCGACTTTCTCAATCTACATAATTTTTGTGTAAATCGCTAGGAAATGCTCTCCCAATGAATGAAATAAAAAAACATGCAAATTGATTAAATCTATGAAAAGTTATAGTCAAAAGCACTTATGGACGTTTGGGGACTTTTTTAGAAGCTTTGCTGGCTTTAAAAAAATTAGAATTGATTTAGGTGGAAGTCTTCGATACGACTCCGTCTCAATCATTTGAAGATCTGCTTGAAGAAATGGCAGAAAATCGAAAGGATTAGAAAAATGATGGTTCAATTTTGATTGTCACCATTTGGTAATAAATTTTTGCGGCTTTTGCTTTTGCTAATGCATTTGTAGCACTACAATAGCGTTTTCGAAGGCATTGTTTAGAAAACGAGTCTGATTGGATGTTTGATGACTATTTAATGACTATTTGATGACTATTTGATTCCTCTTTTTTCATTCCAGAACTCACCCAGGTTTCCAAAGTGAAGCTGGATCGAACATCTCCCAAACGGTGATTAAAACCGAGAGAAAATTCGACATCAAATATGTTAACACGATGATTGCCAGAGTTCGAGTGGCGGCACGGATTCGGGCCTAAAAAGTTGGCTTTAAGATTTGTTTTTCTAAGTTTAGCCTAACTAGGGAACGTTGAGATTTCGCAAGCGCGATTTCCGAAGCAAAGCTAGATGAATTACGCAAGTCCGACACGGGGAAAACGATGGTGTTTTGAGTTTTTCCCCTAACCATCTAGCTTTCTGTGAAAACGAATTTGAAATTTGGCCCTCTAGTGAAATGAGTGACTTTATGAGTTTGTAAGGGCTACCGTCGCTCACTAAAAAGTGACTCGATGATGCAGTGGCAGTGCCGCAGCGGTAATTTTCCATTTTGTTTTTTTAAAATATCTTTAGCTTCGTTTGCAAAGCACTGTCCTGAAAAAAACAAAAAAAGGAAAGGAACTTCTGTTAGATTGGTAATCGTGGAAATCGTTTACTCCAAAAATCGGTAAATTAACACTGGCCATTGCTCAATCTGCCATTGCTCAATCCGCCATTGCTCAATCTGTCATTGCTTAATCTGCCATTGCTCAATCCGCCATTTTCTTTGTTTGTTTCTTTATAAAGCAAAAGCATAAACAATTTTGGGAAATTTTCAAAAAAGTTGGATCTTTTGCACTTTCCAAATAAGTAAGCTTTCGTAGGGTATTGTGAGAATAAAAATGGTCTTTTTTTGCGAAAGAATTCAATCAAAGCTAAAGCGAAAGAGAAAAGAAAAGGAATACTCAAAAAAGGAAAATAAAAATGCAAGAAAAAAAATCGATCGAAGGGGGATTGAACTTGGATGCGAAAAATTGAATTACTCTGCACCATCGAGTCACTTTCTGGTGAGCGACGGTAGCCCTTACAAACTCATAAAGTCACTCATTTCACTAGAGGGCCAAATTTCAAATTCGTTTTCACAGAAAGCTAGATGGTTAGGGGAAAAAATAAAAACGCCATCGTTTTCCCCGTTTCCGACCTGCGTAATTCATCTAACTTTGCTTGGAAAATCGCGAAATCTCAACGTTTCCTAGTAAAATTTGAAATCTTTGAAATTTACCTTGTTTTGCCGGAGATTTTGCTTTTCCCCTTGCATCACTGAGCCCTTCCAACGGCGACTTGTCTAAAAAATTTCGTTTAACTGACTACTGTAGCCTGTAGACAACTAGAGAAACTGTAAATTTGTTTACGCTTTAACTGGATATCACAGCTAAATTTACGATAATTTGGGGTACTGTAGGAATACTTTGGACTACTGTAGACTACTGTAGGATACTGTAGACTACTGTGGCCTACTGTAGACTACTGTAGACTACTGTAGACTACTGTGGCCTATTGTAGACTACTGTAGACTACTGTAGACTACTGTAGACTACCTGTAGTTAGCTATAATTTGACTCAAAGCCTATTCATGTTACCGCTTAGATACTGTAGATAGGTAGCAATTTAGGTCAAGTTTACTATCTAGGATTACTGTGGATTTTTTGGTGGCTAGAGATTGGGTACTGTAATGAAACAAACCAGTCGCAACTTTCCCCATAAAAGCAAATTCAAGATGAAGAGCACCATGAAGGGGAAAACGATTGTGAACAAATTTCGGAACCAAATTCGCCACATCTGGAACGCACAGATTGTACGAGAGTTATAGCGCTTTTCGTAGAAATATCAAAATTTTTTTTTTTGTTTGATAGACTACGGTAAGTTTAGTGTCTTTTAAGGGAAATACCAACTTTATTGTAGATTGCATTTTGCACAATTTCCGCTGGCATCACTTCGAACTCGTTGAAACGACCGATACAGTCGGCTTTCTGGCGAATCTGAAACGATCACCGACTGGATAGGGCATTTTTTAAGAATTGACACTCAATTTTGTTCAATCTGGAACGCAGGGAATGAAAACGAGGGAATGAAAATGATAACTGACTGGATTGGACACTTTTTACTTTTGAGGGGATGGTAGCTAGCTGGATAGAGCTGGATAGAGCTGGATAGGGCTGGATAGAGCTGGATAGAGCTGGATAGAGCTGGATAAAGCTGGATAGGGCTGGATAGAGCTGGATAGAGCTGGATAGAGCTGGATAAAGCTGAAGACTAACTAGGGAAAAGCACGGAATTCCTGTGGGCTTTCATTGTCTAAACCATCTTACCAAAATCGAGTATGGAGTTTCAGAATCTGAAATCAAAATCTACCAAATAAGCTTGCAAATTGCAAACCAAATTGCACGCAATGTAAAGTGTCAAAATTAAAGTGAAATTTCGAAGATAAAAGCTTTAAAGGGCGCTTTTCAATCACTAGAATATGAGCAGTGGATACTGGACGGGGCTCTCAGTCGTAAGATCCTGCTTCGATCCTGCTCTTGGTTTTTGATTCATTTTTCTTTAAATGTAATACTTGAGCAATGAAAAGGCAAAAATCTGTAATTTTGATGTAAATCGTAAATTGAAAAAAGACCTTTTATCAGATTTTGTGAAAATTTTTATTGTTTTTGAAATGCTTATTGATCTCATTTCATTTCATGTTAATATTTCACCTTTTTGCTTTTTTCTATTGAATAGTTACAAGGTAAAGTATTACATTTTAAATGAAAAACAATCAAAAACCAAGAGCCGGATCGAAGCAAGATCGATCTTACTACCGAGAAACCGTCCTACTATCCATTAGGCCATCGATGCTCATGTCCCATTGAAAAGCGCCCTTTAAAGCTGATCTTTAAAGCTGATCTATAAAGCTGATCTTTAAAGCTTATCTATAAAGCTTACCTATAAAGCTTATCTATTTCAATTCTATTTTTACCCATTTGCAAGCTTATTTGGTAGATTTTGATTTTAGATTATGAAATTCCATAAACGATTTAGTAAGATGTATGTGATTTTGAAATGAAAGCTGACGGGAAGGTCGTAGCTTTTCTCTGCCTAAGTCTAAGCCTACGTCTGGCCTAAGCCTAAGTCTAAGTCTAAGCCCAAGCCCAAGCCTAAGTCTAAGCCTAAGCCTAAGTCTAAGCCCAAGCCTGAGCTTTAAATTAAGATTTTGATTCTCCCAGTTCATTCAAAATAGTTAAAATGTGATTCTTAATGCTATTAAGTAATGTTAAACGTTATTTTTGCCTGGCTAAGCCTAAGTCTAACCCCCAAGCCTAAGCCTACGTCTAAGCTATCATTTTTCTTCATTCTGGAACACATTTGAGAGATCTCGGCGAAAATGAACCTCGATTTCGATAAGAATCGTCCCCTTGGACAACACTCCGCACATTACAGCGAGAAAGGCCAAGAATTTGCGATTATTCTGCAGTGGTTGAACGGCTCGAGTGTTCAACGTGATGCAGAATCTGAATTTTCAACAATTCTTTTCTGAATGCTTTAAACAGATAGACAAGGCTGAGACTGGGCATTTCAACCCTTCGATACTCACCTCTCAATGGCGGCAAAAGTGATCAAATAGACAGAGGCTGTTTGAGCCACGTGCGAGATTGTGAGCATCTGGATCATGTACGACATTCTGAAAGTGTGCTAAATAGGAAACAATTTGAGAAAACGATTTTTGAAACCCTTTTTTGGCTGATCTGAAATCTTTTGCTGATCAAAAGTCCTCGGAAATCTTTGTCTTTTTTTTCTTTTCCATTTCCTTCTCCTTCAAAACAAATCCTTCACCCCCAGACAGCGCTAAAAGACTTCAAAGAAAAGAATTACCGTCAATTCTGTAATAGTACCCCATCCGCATAATGACGGTGCGAAGTGTTGCGTAGTCTGGCTTTAAACGAGTTTTTCTCGACACTGGTTTATGCTAGAATGCTCGTTTAAATATCAAAAAATAGCTGAAATTCAGGGCTATTTTTTGATATTTAAATGAGCATTGTAGCATAAACCAGTGTCGAGAAAAACGTGTTCAAAGCTAGACTACGCAACACTCCGCACCGTCATTATCTTTGGTATCAAAAAATAGCCCTGAATTTCAGCTTTTTTTTGATTCCAAAGACGCACTTTTTGAAAGTACGGGCGCTTTGAAAAAGAATGAAATACTAAAAAACTTTTGCGACTACGCGACTGTACGAAGGGGGTGGGGTATTATTACAGTATTTGGTACTATTTGGTACTATTTGGTACTATTTGGTACTATTTGGTACTATTTGGTACTATTACAGTATTTAGTTTCATTTTTAGTTCACCTTTTCTATCAGTTGATCGTTTTTTCTTCTAATCAAAGATTACTTTTATTTATGGGATTTTTCTGAAGCCAGATTAGCCTAACAAAGTTTAAATCAAGCTTTTGGTAAGTCTAAATACTTTTGAGAGTTAGACCAAGCTCGACTCCAACCCTAACCCAAGCTCGATTCCAACCCTAACCCAAGCTCGATTCCAACCCTAACCCAAGCCGATTCCAACCCTAACCCAAGCCGATTCCAACCCTAACCCAAGCTCGATCCAACCCAACCAAGCTCGATTCCAACCCTAACCAAGCTCGATTCCAACCCTAACCCAAGCTCGATTCCAACCCTAACCAAGCTCGATTCCAACCCTAACCCAAGCTCGATTCCAACCCTAACCCAAGCTCGATTCCAACCCTAACCCAAGCTCGATTCCAACCCTAACCCAAGCTCGATTCCAACCCTAACCCAAGCTCGATTCCAACCCTAACCCAAAACCCAGGTTGGACTGAGAAAATTTGAAAACCTCAGCCGATTTTACTCGTCTCAATGAGAATTTTAACAGTTTGCATTAGCAAAAATATTCATTTACTGTTGTTGACGATGCTTTTTAGAAAACGATGGTATTAGGGTGAAATTCATTTCATTTTTCTACTTTAACCCTCATCAAATCCTCCCGAAAGAGAAAGTTTCCAAATCTCCAAATTTCCAAATTTTCGAATCTCCAAATTTCCAAATTTCCAGACTCCAACAACGTTAAATGCTTTGAAGCATTAACAAAAATATGGCTGAAATAGCAGAGTTTAGCTTTCTTTGTAGGTTTTCTCTTGCAAACTTTTTCCAGCACTTTTCAACTCCATCCCTTTTCACTCCTTCTCTCAATTTGTTCTGGGCATTCAAAGCAACTTTTGGATCACTCAAAATGAGAGAAAAGTATGAATGGTTGATGAATTGGAGTTGGGAATTGCGGGGAATTGAAACTGGGAATTGAAGCCGGGAATTACGGGGAATTGAAGCCGGGAATTACGAGGAATTGCGGGGAATTGAAGTTGGGAATTACGGGGAATTACGGGGAATGGAAGCTGGGAATTGAAGCCGGGAATTGAAGCGGGGAATTACGGGGAATTGAAGCTGGGAATTGAAGCCAAGAATTACGGAGGAATTACGGGCAAACATTTGACACCAAAGCACACAAAAACTCTTAAACAAAATACTCTTAAAGGTTTAAACAAAGTTCTCCAAGTTTTCCATTCATAAAAGCGATCTTTTTAAGGTGAATTGTCTTTGACTTAGCGTTGTTATTTCTGAGAATCAAAAGAACTCTGAGAAATAACGCATAACTGGCTGCCCAATTCGTCCAAGAGCTTCTCTAAGCTCTTGGACGAATTGGACGAACTTCTCTAAAATTCTCTCTTCTAAAAAAACACTCACAAGAATCGCCTTAACGCGTAGCTGGCTGTCCAATTCGTTAAAACTCTCACAGCCATGAGTGCAAGGTACGAGATTGAGAGGAAAATGTCGAAAAATGCCAGCAACAACATGTACAAGTTGTACGAGTTTCTGAAACGAGTACAAAACGTTGACTTCTCGTTGCTTTATTCGAAAAATTCTCATTTAACTCTTAATCCTGGATGTCAGCATGTAAAAATATCGAGTTTACTATAGGTAAAAGTATTTTTTAAAAATCAATATTCACAATAATCTGATCCTCGCTCGTAATAGAACAATAGCAAACTAATTACAATTTCTGAAGTCACATTTTCCAATCCTGGACCTCACACTATGTAAATATTGGATTACGATAGCTGGAAGAACATTTCTGTAGACTACAGTACTGTTAGAGTACTCTTAGAGTACTGTAGCTAAGTGACAAGCCTGATTACAGTAATCCTCTTCAAAACAAACCTGTGTTGTTTATTCGTAACGAAAAGCAAGAAAAGAAAGACGTTCTCGAAAATTGAGACGAGAGCAATTGAGCCGCCACCAATCACTGCCATGTAGAAACGCGTGTAAAGGAGATCACTAAGAGTTTGAAGCTTAAATGAAGAGATTCTCAGCTTTAACCGATCGCAAGATGAATTCTGGAACTCACGTGTCTACCCCATCACAATCGAAAGGCGGTAGTGTCTCGACGGAGGTACTCGCCTCAGTGCTGGAGTTGAGTGCTATCAGAATATCACTTTCCATTTTTTTTCTGAAATTCTGAATTCTGTTATTCTGAAATTCTAAAATGACTTCCAGATTGAAGAAATCTTTCAAAGAAAATTAGAAAAAATCTTCAGAAAACCGAGAAAAAACGATGAGAGCAATAGGCCAAAAAGTGCCTTTGTCAAAAAATGACTTTTTTTAAAATCAATCATCCCATTACCTCCAGTGCACTCCAGTTTAGCTAAAAAAATAGCTAAAAAATAGAAAAATGCCGGATGAGGTCACTTTTCTCATCGAGTCGAGCGGGGAAATGTTTGCGACGGGACGCGATGAGTGACTTGCATCAAATTAGCCCCTCCCAACCCTTTTCAACGTCCTTTCATGGCCCTTTCACCAATCCATTTAGACGCGAACTTGGGCGGTGAGTTTAGGAGGAGAAATATTGTTTCAGCGATGGGAAGAAGAGGGGAAATTAGAGATAAAAAGGAGAAAAAAAGTCGATAAATGATTAATTTTAAATGAGATTTTAAATAAGCTAGATGCTGTGCGTTTCCAATTTTCTCTTTACCTTTCAGAAATTGAAATAAAAGATACACTACTGGACAATGAAATATGATATTTGAAAAACAACTAGTACAAGTACAACTAGTACAAGTACAAGAAGAAGAAGAAGTACAAGAAGAAGAAGTACAACTAGTACAAGTACAAGTACTGAGTACTGGACAATGAAATATGATATTTGAAAAAAGATCGTCACTTTCGCGCCTCTGTAAATCCCTTGTCTTTACCGTATTTCTAAATATTAATATTACCATTGTGTAGCCCTTGAAAAGAGCTTTCAGAAAATGTTGAACACTAATAGTTTAAACGCAAAGACAAGGGAGTTACAGACGCGCGAAAGTGACGATCGTTTTTCAAATATCATATTTCATTGTCCAGTACTCAGTACTTGTACTTGTACTTGTACTAGTTGTACTTCTTCTTGTACTTGTACTTCTTCTTCTTCTTGTACTTGTACTAGTTGTTTTTCAAATATCATATTTCATTGTTCAGTGCTGTATCTACTGGATAAAACGAAATTGGAGTCGACGTTGGAGTCGACATTGGAGACAAATGAATGACTCAAAAACGATTTTTGTATAGAAAATGCTACCGAAATACCGAAATTCGATTTATATAGAAAAGACAAAGGAAAGGCTACGGTAGTTGGGTCACGGTTTACTTCTTGATCTCTAGATTTCATTCTTAGATCATTTCAAATTGTTAGAAACTTATAGTGCGTTCCAGATTAGCGAAATTGTTTGTAAATTCGATCGGATTTGTCGGGAATTTGTCGAGAAATCATAGGGAAAGGATACGGTAGCGAAAGGGGCTTTCGAATTTAGCCGATAGTTGACCATTTTGAAACGCAGAAAAGTCAACTGTGACTTCCAGATTGGAGGAATTTTGAGAAATAAAATGTGGTCGACGTGCTGGAACCCAGCTTTTCTCTAGTGTACCCGCCCTCGATTCAATTAGTTTACGAAAAAGAGGATTTTGGATTTGTGAACGAAAAACAGAATTTTGAATAAAAGAATGAAATGAATAGATTTTTGAAAACAAAAGAATGCTTTCTTTTCTCATTTTTTTTAAAAAAAATGATCAGATTACAATTTTGAAGATTTTTTTGAGAAAAAATTGAAAAAACAAAAAAACAAATAATTTTTGAAAGATTAAATTTCCAAATTTTTGTCTTTTATCTTTGGAGATTCGAATTGGAGATTAGAATTTGAAAAAGAAGAAAAACTGTACAATTGTAACAACAATTGTACAATTGTAACAATTAAACAAAACAATTGTACGCTTTTGATTTGATTTACTCTGAGATTTCTGAGATTTCTGAGATTTTAAACCCGAAAAAACCTTTGAAAGGCTAACAGAAATTAGCTCGAAAAAAAAAATGCGGTGAACGACGAAGAGGAGACAAATAAATAATTCCGCTAAATGACCGAATTTCCAATGAAAAATTGAGAACATTCGCTCCGGGATTGATCGGAAATTGAGGACAGATTATTGAGGGCTCAAAATTGAGGCTCAAGATTGAGGCTCTAAATTTGAGGGAATCCTTTCAACAACTCATCACCCGACAATCACCCAACAGTGACAACGATCCTCAACATTTGTGCCGCTTAGAGGACTCATTTTTTTTCAAACCTCCAAAAATGGAGATCCTGGATGTCACACCATATTTTGATGCAAATTCTAAAGCTACCAGACAAGATTTAGGAAATTGGGTTACGGTGGTTTTACCCAAGCGTTAGAGAACAGACTTTGTGAGGCGCCAACTCGTTGATCTGCCCTCAAAAATGGAGATCCTGGATGTCACAGGACATTTCTAAGCTGATAAAAAGCTGCTAGACAAGATTTAGAAAATTGGGTTACGGTAGTTTTACCCAAGCCTGAGAAAACAGGCTCGTCAGCCACCCAACCGAATTTCCAATGAAAAATTGAGAACATCCGCTCCGGGATTGATTGGAAATTGAGGAGAGATTCTTGAGGGCTCAAAATTTGAGGGAAATCCTTTTGAACAGTGACCTCAACAATCACCCAACAATGACAACAATCCGGGGTTCCCTAATTTTCGTTAGTAATCATTTTCAAATAGTTGTGTGCGTTCCAGGATTTCGAAAATGCTCAAAACAAAAAGCTCTTTGCTTAAAATGAAACGAGAAACGGGCGAGCTCTGAAAACGAGGAGTTGGAGCGAAAATTTTCGTTAAAAATCTTTTTCTAATCATTTCAAATAACTAAATGCCATCAAGGATTGTGAAAAAACGAAAAATTAAGCCAAAATATAGCCATTTTTCCAAAAAAAACGCGTAACCCAATGACCCTCATAGCCCAAAAAATTTCGATCAAATTTCCCTAATGCCCTTTTTTTTTTCATAAGCAATCGAGCAAAGTGATCGCTTTTTTTTGAGGAAACTCTTTCTGAGGGAATTTTCGGGAATAATGGGTCAGGTGTGCGGCAAAAATGCACCCAAAACCCCGACATTATCCGGTGATTTCGAGTCCCCAACATTTTTGCCGCTTAGAGAACTCAATTTTTTTTCAAACCTCCAAAAATGGAGATCCTGGATGTCACACCATATTTTGATGCAAATTCTAAAGCTACCAGACAGAATTTAGGAAATTGGGTTACGGTAGTTTTACCCAAGCATTAGAAAACAGGCTTGTCAGCCACCAAACTCGTTGATCGGCCCTCAAAAATGGAGATCCTGGATGTCACAGCAAATTTTTAAGCTAATAAAAAAGCTGCCAGACAAAACTCGGGCAACTTGAGTACGGTAGTTTTATCCAACTTTTAGCAAACAAGTTAGAATTTATGAGTTTCGATAAAATTTCCCATTTCAGCGCTAGTGTGATCTCCAGAATCTCTGAAAACTTGATTTTTGTGGTTTTCGGGAGCTTCCCCTTTCGACAAACGCAACGGAAACCGTTTTGTTGGGGAGAAGAGAGCCTAATGGAGTCTAAATTTTTGGCGAGTCTTTTTGAAGAAATTTTTTGGTTTAAAGAGTTGAATGCTATCGAGGATTGAGGAGAAAAAAAGCGAACAATACATAAATGTTTTTAGAGGGATAAGGGCTATGGCTAAGGGCTATGGCTAAGGGCTATGGCTAGTTTTTAGAGGGATAAGGGCTATGGTAGCTATAGGTATCCTTTGGGAATTGGGTTAAAAAAGGTTTTTGGAGAATCTTTAATTTCAATAGGATTACTGCAATCCAGGACTGAGATTTATGAAAAGGGTTTCCGATTTTCAAGTAATTTTGATTGTTGTTGATGTTGATCGTTTTTCGCGTTTGATCGTTTGGCAGTAGCTCGGTTGGCAGTAGGTTGGCAGTAGCTCTTTTGGCGTTTGATCGTTGGCAGTAGCTTGTTTGGCAGTAGCTTGCTTGGCAGTAGCTTGCTTGGCAGAAGCTCGTTTGATAGTAGCTCGGTTGACAGTAGCTCGGTTGACAGTAGCTTGTTTGGCAGTAGCTTGTTTGGCAGTAGCTCTTGTCAGAAGCTCTTTTGGCAGTAGCTTGTTTGTCAGTAGCTCGTTTGGCAGTAGCTCGCTTGTCAGTAACTCGCTTAAAACAACAATAAAGGAAAGGGGAAAAGATTCAAAAAGCTGCAAATAAGCAAAATTGATTAAAATTGATCAAAATGAATCAATTTAGATGTGGAGAAGATGGGAAAATGAGAAACTTTTGAAACTTCTTTTTTCAAAGTCCGAAAATCAAATTATCGTCGTTTATGTGTTCGCTTTTTTCGTTGAGAAGGAAGTAAGAGAAATGCTAATTTTGCGGCTCCGGTTTTAATGAACTGAATTAATTTAGTTCTAGAAAAGGGAAAGGTTTGGGAACTCTTTTGAGATTGATTTGGATAAAATTTGAGTTGAGAAAATTTTTGGAGAACCGAAAAATTCCAAAAAAAACAACAAATTCAAGAGAAATTCAAGAAAAATCTATAGAAAAACGTTAATTTTTAAGAAAGTTTTTTAAGAAAAAAGCTTTTTTGCTTCTCAAAAAACGCTTTTCTAATTTTTTCTAATTTTGATTTGAAAGCAGGGAGAAGCTGGAAGAAGCAGAAAGAAAGAAGTAGGAAGAAGTAGAAAGAAGTAGAAAGAAGTAGAAGTAGAAGGAAAGAAAGAAAGAAAGAAAGAAAGAAAGAAGTAGAAAGCAGAAAGAAAGAAATGATTCCTTTTTTTTGAAAAAAAATTAATTGAGTTTCCTCGAGATTTTTCTGAAGATTTTACTAGAAAAGAGAAGATTTTTTTTCTTTATTTAAAAATGATGAAATTAAAATTATAAGAATATTCTGTGACATCCAGATAGAAGAAAATCGGGCAGTGGGACAAATGCGACCTTTGTTTTTGCGCACCCGGACATTTGCGCACCATTTTTTGCGCACCTTGCCCATTAGCGCACCTTTTTTCGCGTTTTAAAAAAGCTCTAAAGCTCTAAAAGCTCTAAAAAGCTAAATATTAACCAATTTCTATTTCAAAAGTTGTTTTTCTAGGTAATTTTAGGGTGTAGAATTCAAAATTTTGGCATAACAGAGCTTCTGGAACCAATTTGAAAGACAAACGAAACGGCTAGATCAAATTGTCGATTTTTCTCTTTGTATAACTCCGTCTGTTCGCTTCCACACGCTCTGATATGTCAAAATTTCGATTCTACACCATAAAATTACCTAGAAAAACAACTTTTGGAATAGAAATTGGTTAATATTTAGCTTTTAGAGCTTTTAGAGCTTTAGAGCTTTTTTAAAACGCGAAAAAAGGTGCGCTAATGGGCAAGGTGCGCAAAAAAAGGTGCGCAAATGTCCGGGTGCGCAAAAAAGGTCGCATTTGGTCGCAAAAAAGCTCGCATTTGTCCCACTTCCGAAAATCGAGAAAAAAAAAGAAATTCGAAAAGTTTTTAATGCGAAAAGTCGAGAGTGAAATTCGGATTCGAGTCGAAAAAAATTTAGAAAAATTTCCCTATTCTTTTTTGAGATTTTAAAATACTAAAACAATAGAGTGACATCCAGATATGAGAAAAATAGCATTAAAACTTTTTGAAAATGCTAAGAATATCGAGTGACATTGAGATGTCTCTTTTCAGCCTACCATAACCCTTAATTTCATTGATTTTCTTTATGAAGATCCCCAGATGGACGAGTATTAAATGAATTTCGTTATTTCAAAAGCAAAATAACCCATCTGATATAATAAAATAAAAGAAAAAGAAAGGAAAGCAAAGGAAAATTTTTAAAAATTAAAAAAAAAAATTTTTCAGAAATAATACCAATTTTAGGTCAAGTCAAGTCAAAAAATTAAGCCAAAAAGCCAAAAAGTGAAGAAATTTTACGTCAAGAATCTTCTGTGACATCCAGATATGAGATTTAAACGATTTAAAGGCCAAGAAGATGAGAAAATTCTTGCAGAATCGAACTCAATCTCTTCTGTCGATGAACTCTTTTTTTCCTCTCTAGGGTCCCATTTAAAAGGGGAACTCTAAAGACAAATTTGTCACCCCAATTCTTTCATTCTTTTCTTTCTTTTCCGCTTTTCCTTCTTCTTCCTCTTCTTCTCCTTCTCCTTCTTCCTCTTCTTCTCCTTCTCCTTCTCCTTCTCCTTCTCCTTCTCCTTCTCCTTCTCCTTCTTCTTCTCCTTCTCCTCTTCCTTCTCCTTCTCCTTCTTCTTCTCCTTCTCCTTCTTCTTTTTTACTTCTTTTGTGCCATCATCAACAAGTCGATTATTTAAAAAATCGAAAAAAGTCGAAACGAGAAAATCAAAAGAGCCATTAGCTCTTTAGGTAAAGTTAGGAAAGACAAGAAAAGAAGACAAGACAAGCAGTACTGGACTGAAATATGATATTTGAAAAAAAAGGTCGTCACTTTCTCGCGTCTGTAAATCCCTTGTCTTTACCGTATTCCTAAATATTAATATTACCATTGTGTAGCCCTTGAAAAGAGCTTTCAGAAAATGTTGAACACTAATAGTTTAAACGCAAAGACAAGGCAGTTACAGACGCGCGAAAGTGGCGATCTTTTTTCAAACATCATATTTCATTGTCCAGCACTGTAGGTTCGATTTTTTTTTAAGTTCGCCTAACGAATGTTTAAAGATGTTCATTCTCTAAACTGCACTCCAGAATGATCGAATTTTTTGTTAGTGATTGAAAATTTGAGGCATTAAAGCCGAAAAATCAACCAGCTCTAAACACAACGTTTTTTCAGTTTTCTTCGATTCCAGCACTTTGAATTGTAAGAAAAAAAAGCCAGATCTTACTAGGGAACTGTTTTAACTTAGCAACCGATTTTAGAAACCGAATCTAGCTACACCCAGCTACACCTAGCTACTAGCTACAACTAGCTACACCTAGCTACACCAAGCTACACCCAGCTACACCTAGCTACACTTAGCTACACCCAGCTACACCTAGCTACACTTAGCTACAACTAGCTACACCAAGCTACACCAAGCTACAACTAGTTACAACTAGCCACCCAGCTACACCCAGCTACAACTAGCCTACTACTTTCATCCAATTAAATTTCGTTGATCGAAATGTGGACTCACTTTGAAAATGTTTCTTGTGTGACTTGTCGACTTTTCTTAAGCGAAAATTGATGAGGATTCTTTTAAAATGAACCATAAATCGAGATATTGACAGTTTCGTGGACATGTTGAAACTCCTTTTCAAGCCCCAACCCGTTCCTTTGTTAGCTCACCCCTAGTAGGGGTTACTCAGAGGAAATCACACGGAAGCCAGGGACACTTTCCCTTCCATCATCTAGCTCCAAGGACACTAGAACAATGGGCATTTGGATGATGGGTATTTGGTATTTGGGTAGATAGTTGATTCAAGAACATTCAAGGAAGTGAAATGTCAGCGTGGAGATAGTTTATTATTTTTTGAACATTTAGTGAGCATTTAATGACTGGATATTAGAATCGAAGTGAGATTTGTTTCTTTAAACGATTTTGATGGTGAATATCGTTGTTTTAAAGTTTTGGTGGTCTCAAAATGTAGGCCAGTTGTCAACAATGAGTTCAATGTTGGAGAAGTACGTCATTATGTCAGAAGTTTCTTTGTTATAATTTGGCTTCGGTAATGTGAAGGTTTATCGATCGGCATATGGCTTTTTTTCAATTAGCTTATCTATAATTGACTTTGTCAAAGACATTTACAAAAAAGTATCTTTAAGAGAGTTTTAAGAGAGGTTTAGGAGAGGTTTAGGAGAGGTTGAAGAGAGCTTGAAGAGAGCTTGAAGAGAGCTTGAAGAGAGCTTTGAGAGAGCTTGAAGAGAGCTTGAAGAGGGCTTGAAGAGAGGTTTAGGAGAGCTTGAAGAGAGCTTGAAGAGGGCTTGAAGAGAGCTTGAAGAGAGCTTTGAGAGAGCTTGAAGAGAGCTTGAAGAGAGCTTTGAGAGAGCTTGAAGAGAGCTTGAAGAGAGCTTTGAGAGAGCTTGAAGAGAGCTTGAAGAGGGCTTGAAGAGAGGTTTAGGAGAGCTTGAAGAGAGCTTGAAGAGAGCTTTGAGAGAGCTTGAAGAGAGCTTTAAGAGATCTTTAAGATCTTTAAGATCTTTAGGAAAGCTTTAAGAGAGCTTTAAGAGAGCTTTAAGCTCTTTAAGAGAGCTTTAAGATCTTTAAGATCATTAAGAGAGCTTTAAGAGAACTTTAAGCTCTTTAAGAGCCGACTGAAATGATGGGCGCTTAATTGTTGGCGCTGACCTCCCATAAACCTCAATGCCTAGAGCAAATAATTTATTCAAACAAAAATCACTTTTTCTTTTCCTTTTCTTTTTGTTTCTCTTTTTCCTCTCTTTCTAAACGATCTTCTTCTTCAATTTGCTTCAGAATTTCTTCTTCCCAATTTCGACGACGACGCGGTTTCTGTAAAGATTTTAATAGACAAATCCGTTTCCTAAAAAGAATCGATTTTCAACAATGAAAAAAACGATCTCCTTCTTTAATTTGCTTGAGAAAGGAACGAAAAGTAGAGTCTAATTGAGAATTTTGAGAATAAATGTGCAGGGTTGAAGCCTTTGCGGTTTAAGCCAATTTCTAGAAACTCACTTGACTCTCCTGATCCCTCTCATCGTTCCCCTGTCCGCGGTGATCCTCTTCACTCAAATTTCCCAATGATTCGTCTGAAATTTTTGAAAATTTCATTTCTTATACTTTGAGCTGGAGCACACAACAGCCTTTTATCAAGCTTTGACTCACCGATGTGCTCATTTAGGGTTTCACTGGGGGAAGCGCGTGTCGCTCGCCGCCGCTTTTCTTGTTTCGTCTCGCTGAAACCAGTGAACAAATCGACGCAAACGATATCCTGGAAGGCACGAGAAATGAAAATGATCGGAAATCGATGCTTTGTTTAATTTGAGACTATTCGGGTACGGTAACGGTTGAACTCTTACTCAACTCTTACTATCAGGGTATTGTGCCTTACTATCAATGGTCAATGATCTCACCGTCTGTCGTGTGCTCGAGCGTGGCCTTAAAACGGAAATGTTCTTGATTTGTACCCAATAAATGCCATCAACGACGTTCACGTTGTTCATGTAGCGACAACATCTAGAAAAGAAAAAAACTAGAAATCGTAAACGGCAGGTTTAATCAGCTCAATCAGCTCAATCAGCTCAATCAGCTTTTCTATAGGATTACTGTAATCGTTCAGACAATAGAGACAGACGGACATCGTTCAGAGAACGCTAATCTATCAATATCAATCTATCAATTTCTTTCGATCATTTAACTGTTCAGCTAAATCCCAAGCAAATCCCTGCACGTGTTCCTCGATTTTTCGCCATTTTCCCTCCTCGAACTCTTTGTCGAGCTGAAATTGAACTTTAAATTGAACTTTAAATTGAACTTTTTCTTCAGCTTACAATTCAAAGCTTCAAATTGCACTCCAGCTTGGGAAATTACCGTATTTGTTCGAATAGAAGACCAGGTAAAGAGTATGATCGCGTACTCCTGCGTAGCAGCCCTTTTTAAAATCTCTTTCAATGAAGTGCTATAGGGCTGGAAAATGGCTCAAAAATACCACAAGAGCTAACAGATTTTTTGAGCCATTTTTGAGCCATTTTCCAGCTCTATAGCTCACTTGTTTGAAAGCTTTTATGCAGAAAAAGGGCTGCTACGCAGGAGTACGCGATGATACTCTTTACCCGGTTTTTCTATTCGAACAAATACGGTATGCAAATTTTAAATCAATTTTTCAACAGAATTCCGTCGAAAATTGACCAGCCCAACTCGAAAATCTTAATTGTTCGATCAGTTAACGCGAAAGCGATCGCAAATCATCTCATGCACTCCAGATTGACGGATTTATGTGATTTCACCGACCGTTGCTGGCGGGAGCGCTCGATTTTCCATCTCTTCCACTATCGATGCCGATCGGCTGAGTTTTCGCTGAAGTTTCTTCTCACCTAAAGGTTTTTTTTTGAGATTTTTCGTCGATCTGGAGCGCACATTAGCCAGCTAGGCTGCTAGAATTGCAAAACTCACCGATTTTCGTGTTCCCGTTTACATCGGTTTTCTCTTTGGCGGAGGCGCCGTTTTCGGTGGACTTTTGCGCGCTTGGTGATTTTGATTTGCTGGAATCGGGTCTTTGAATAAAAAGCCTGGATACTGTACCGTAATCTTGGTTATTTTACAGACAACTTACTCCTTTTGTGGCTCGGAGACGCGTTTCCGTTTGGGGTCGATCGCCTCTTGGATATGCAACCAGCCGCCCTGAATTTTTCCAGCTCAATGACAGCAATGACAGCAATGACAGCTCAATGACAGCTCTATGACATCAATGACAGCTCAATGACAGCTTAATGACATCAATGACAGCTCGAACTCTAGCCAAAGCTCTAACCAAAGCCTAAGCCCTGTCTAGCTAAGACTAAAGAGCTCAAGCCGATCGGTTGCTGGAGATTTCTGAACTATTCAAACGATTCAAACGATTCAAACGATTCAAACGATCCAAACTCAGCCCTGGACTTATCAGTCTCGATTCCAGCCACCGCTCTAGCTCTATGGAGATGAGGGAGGCATCCCCATGACTCCAAATGGTCATGGGGATACCTTTAAACACTGTTTTTTTTTCCACAGGTATCTCCATGAGTCTTCGGAGGTATGGGAATACCTCCAGGCATTTCATTTGTGGCTGGAATCGGGACTGATAAGTCCAGGGCTGAGTTTGGATCGTTTCGATCGTTCAGAAATCTCAAGCAACCGGTATGGAGGTAGGTACCTCACTAGGTTGACTCACTTTCTCCTTCAGACATTTACAAGCGGTCATCCAGAAAGCCTTCGACGAGGGCAACAAAGCCATGTAAACACGATCAGCAATGCCAGCTGGAGCGCACTGAAAAGTTCAATTGGCTCTGTTGCTGATCTGATGCCTGATTCCTGATCATCTCTAATCTTTCATTCAACAATTCAATTTGATTCACTCACCTTTCGTGCCTCACCCGAATGTACGGTGACTTTGTCATCTAAACGGTTGGCGGTCGTCGTACGCACCTAACAATCATTGCTTAGATCTTTGTTTAAAGTAGCTAGCACTAGCTAGCACTAGCTAGCACTAGCTAGCATGTTTGAAAGTTTTCTCAAGGACTCACAAGTGACTCAATGGCCTCTTCGTCCCAATCGACTGCATGCACGTGTCGAGCGGCGGCTGGAAATCTTTCAATTCTTTTTTTTTCTGTTTTTGTCATTTTAAAACTTTTTCTTTTGTTGTGCTTATTTTATTATTCGATTTATTTTTTGGTTTTAATTTCTCGGTTTTAATTTCTCGGTAAATTGCGTACGGAAAGTTGCTCGCGGATTACGAGAAAAGCCAGATTAATGCGTGTTTTATTGGTAGAGAAACAAAATTAATAAAAAAAAAATGGCAAAAGATTTGAGCCAATCCGACTGCGATTGAAACTGCGATTGAAATTATTGGGTTGGGGAGAATGAGTCGGCGCCAAACTTTAAAGGGGACTTTTTGCACACATAAAGCCTTCTTTAAACATACGTTTGGTTTCATCAAAAGGATCCACTATTTCTCTACAAAATCACTTTTGAGAGATTCCACAAAGCTTTTCTTTCGTGGAGTTTATGAACTTCCAAACGCAGCTGGTTAAAATGGCAAAGAGTCCGACTCATCATTTGAACAGTTTCTTTCACATAAACCTTCTTTGGTGTTTATATAAAAAAGATAGAGCACATTCAATTACTTAAGTTGCCAAATTTGCAGGAAGATCCCACCAATGGTTTTTTCTAGATCACAGTTTGTAGTTTTTGTGAAAAAATGGCTTTTTCTTGAGCGGAGGCGCTGTTTGAATTTTCTTTTAAATGTCATTTTGTAGAGAATTAGTTTCTTTTAAATGTCATTCTTTAGAGAATTAGTTAACCATTCTACTCATTTCAAACGCATATTATTTCACGAAGTCGAATAGAAGTTTTAGACATTTTTTTCATTTTCGGCGCCGACTCATTCTCCCCAACCCAATATATCAAGTCGAAGACCGTTTCTTGATCAAAGAAGAAGTCAAGACCAAAAGCAAGACCAAGACCAAGATCAAAGCCAAGACCAAAGCCAAGACCAAGACCAAGATCAAAGCCAGACAAAGCGACCAAAGCCAGACAGACCAAAACAGACAAAAGCAAACCAAGACCAAGATCAAGCAAGACACAAGACCAAAGCCAAGACCAAGACCAAGATCAAAGCCAAGATCAAAGCCAAGACCAAGACCAAAAACAAGACCAAAAGCAAGACCAAAACCAAAACCAAAACCAAAACCAAAAAGCAAAGCTTACACCACGAGCTAGAAGCCATATTGTGAACAACATTCACGGAAAAACGATCGATAAAGTGAAAACGGAGCTGAACGGTTTAAAGTCGCTGAGGAGGAGGCTTCAAAGGCAAAGGCAAAAGTTTTCAGAGGCAAAAATTTGGTGAACCGCCAAGAAAAACCCATATATCGATCGACAATTGAAAAGCAACCGGTTGTAACGCTCTTGCACAAGAGATTCCGATTGGAGTCAATGAATTGAATGAATCAGATGAATTAGGATTGGTCTAAGGTTAGAAAGCAACTTATATTCTATTCATTTTTCTTGTTTAGATTCTGATGAGGATGGCGTTGACTACGATTGGAGGGGATCCATTCACTAAGCCCACTTATGGCGGACCTGCTTATTACTTAAGCTTCGACTACAGCGACGCCCGTGAGAGCTTGCAGGCCGACCACCGCCCGACCTCGCAAATGCCTATAGGGATGCGCCAAACACCATTGGAGGGGATCCATTGATTACCATTGGAGGCGATCCAATGGTGTTTGGGACTCGAAACTTTGACGGTGCTTTTGTGCTGATCGAATGGTCGCTCTGAAGATGGTTTTGAATTGGGTGAATTGTTTTTGACTATATCGATGTCTTGGATGATTGCTTGCCGCCGTTTTTTCTTGCCGCCGACGTTTAAAATGAGTTCTCTATGTGTTTCAACGTGTCAATTCATCGATCCACCAGAGACTGGCTGAACAACAACAAACTGCAACTTTGGACTTTCCCGCTCGATTTCTTGATCTCAATCCAATAGAGAGTTTAGAGGGAATACTTGGTCGAGCTGTCTACAAGAATTGGCGTCAATTTCAAAATTTCAAGACGTTTCTTTCTCAACTTCCCCAACTTTCTACTTCCCCCCCCCTCTCTTTCTCTCTTCTCTTTCTCTTTCTTTCTCTTCCCTTCCTCTCTTTCTCAACTTTCTCACCTCTTGCCACCCATGGGAAAGCGTAGTATCCAAGGCCACTCATCAGATTAACAATCACCTAAATAACATCAACAATTAGCATTTCTATATTCCATAATTTTATTGTGCTAAAGAAAATAGCTCTCACTTCTCCATGAGCATCGATTTGAGCGATTCGTGCGATCTCTTTGCCTCGCCAAATCTCGAAAACTTTTTTCGATGCATCGTAGATGTAACTGAAATTTGCATTAAATCGGAATTTGCATTTAACTTTGTGACATCCAGAAAGCTGAAAAAAATCGATCGTTTAAGCTAAACAATAGTTTTTAAAGCTTAAAATTCGTTGATCAATTTTTAGAGAATTTTCAAGAATTGCCTTGGTGTCGATTTATGATCAAATTCCCAGCTAGACTAATCCCGTGCTTTCCAGCATTGACATTTAGACTTTAAAATCGAAATGTGAGTCTTTAGCTTCTTTAGATCACACACCTAAAGCCATTCTCGTCTTGATGCTCCACCCAACCGTGTCCTCCATAAAGAATGTCGACATGCGGGGTTCTGTCCAAATCGTTGGCGATCAACCGCTTCCGACCGAGTCGCTCGATGCTCAGCGAGGTGGCCACGATTTCCCAAAGTTCTCTGCCTAAAATCCTTTAGTCAACGCTAAAGTGAGTGCCGAAACGCAACCTTTCTGAGGCACAGAAGAAAAGGTTTCTCGCCTTTCACTTTACCAATTAATCTCCAATTATTATGCTGAAAAGAGTCCTGCGGGAAAACGATCATGTTCCCATGTTTCTCCCATCGTTTCGGCAAATCCTTTTGCATATCGTCATTCCACAACGACAACTCTGAAGCGCGGTGACGAATCTGAATGAAGAGATTGAAAGTAAAAGTGAAAATTCGTCAATCCTGGATGTCAGGTAACATGTTTTTTTTCTAATAAAACATCAGAAAAATTTTTAGAAAAAAAATTCATAATGCGGAATGTTTTGTTAAAAATTTTTGCAAATTTTATAAAATGATGAAATTTTGGAAGTAAAATTGTTTATTCTGGATGTCATTTAACAAGAATTTTCGCTCGAACTCTTAAGAAAACTCACATTTTCAAGCATCGCTCCAAACGATGAGGAGAGCGTCACCTTGTTCTCCTGCAATGACCGAGCTTTCTCTGAATTCAATAGCTAGCTAAGCTCGAGACATTTTTCGAGGCGTTATTCAAGTGCATTAGTTGCATTAGTTGAAACTGTTCAAGTTGAAACGCTCGAATTCCATAGTGAGCAAAGATTTTCTCTAATATTAGTGCACCCAGAAATTGCAGCCGTTGCACCCGAGTTGAGGACGATTTTCTCGTTTCTGTTTTCACAGAAAATCAACACTCAAATCCCCCGAAGCTCAGACAGTTTTGAGTCTGGCTCAAGACAATCAGACAGTCTTGAGCTTGGCTTCTGACCTGGCTAACTGATCTTAGGCTTAGGCTTAGGCTTATTCGATTGTCAAATCCGATTGGCAAATTTCTGATGATCAACAATAACACCGTGTTTTCTCTAATCGTAGTGCACCCAAACGAGCCGAGTTGATGACGATTTTACGGCTTTCAAAGCTCTCACAGATGCTCAACACTCAAACCCTCCACTAGATCTGATCGTCAGCTCCATTTTCCACCCTCACATCGATAGGTTTTGATAAGCGGTTCTCGAGTTTTCGAGGAATTTAGGCGCCTACTATTAGAGGCTACTAATAGAGAAAAAACGGTAGATCAAATTTGGGTTCTTTAGTGAAATTCTAGAGTCTAACGAATTAGTGAAGTGTCACCTTTTAAAATCATTTGCTCACGATGATCAATGGATGCCGAAGAGGCGCGACGATCACCGCTAACTGATGGGATTGATGAAGAGGGACGGGACATCTTCAAAAAAATTACAATTTTATTCCGCATCTTCTCAACGATTCGATCAATCGCTAATTGAAAAATGATAAATAAAAAAGAGAGTTAATTTTCAAATAATTTTTGCTTTGCTTTGGCTTTGCTTTGGCTTTGCTTTGGCTTTGCTTTGGCTTTGCTTTGGCTTTGCTTTGGCTTTGCTAAGCTTTGGTTAACGCTAAAAATATTTGTTATCAACACGAAGGTAAATCTCAAAAATTCCCTGAAAATTGATCAACGAAGGACCAGAGCCAGTTTATAGAAGCTGACCCAAAGGAAGGAAGGAAGAAAGAAGGGAGGAAGGACCAGAGCCAGTTTATAGAAGCTGACCCAAAGGAAGGAAGGAAGAAAGAAGGGAGGAAGGACCAGAGCCAGTTTATAGAAGCTGACCCAAATCCTTGGCTTCATTCAATTCTCATGAACCCAAGAAAGCTTAATTGTCAATCCTGGAAAGCACGGGATTAGTCTAGCTGGAAATCTGATCATAAATTGATAAGGGGACAATTCTTGAATTGCCAATTCTATTCCCTGAAAATTGATCAACGAATTTTAATTGAAAATGAATGATATTATTTGTGCATAATTTTTCGATCGTTGTTTTCGTTGATACCCTTCGCAAAGAATCATTTCGGTGAAGGAAGGAGCTGACAACTGCCTCCTTGTTCAGCTGACTGAACAAGGAGACAATTCTATTAGAGGGAATAGAGTTATTGCTAATTTAAGCCTTTTTTTTAAGCGAAATGCCTCAAATTTCACGAGATTCCACGAGATTCTCGTCTTTGACGAAAAACAAAACCAATAATTGGTACTTTTCGCTTAGATCCTCCACAAAGACTCATCTCCGGGAGGTATGGGGATCACATTTCATATTGATGTCCTTGCCTCACCGAGTTGAGTCTTTGCGAAGGGTATCACCGAAAAGAACCGATTATGTACAACCGAGACTTCTCGGTTATCGATTTTCGTTCCACTGGTCGAATGATCACTTCAGACGAGCTCTCTATTCAGCTCAGCTTCACTTCTCCGCTTCACTGAGCATAATCATCGCTCAGAAGTTGTCAGGTTCTTCCTTAGCTTCTTGCCTAGCTTCTCCTTATCTTCCTCCTTATCTTCCTCCTTATCTTCCTCCTTATCTTCTTCCTTATCTTCTTCCTTATCTTCTTCCTTATCTTCTTCCTTATCTTCTTCCTTATCTTCTTCCTTATCTTCTTCCTTATCTTCTTCCTTAACCCGAGTTGAATCTCTGTGGATTTACAAGTACCTAAGATCGTTTAGATAGGGTAGGGTCATCACCTGAAGATAAGGATTGATAAGGATTTGGTAATTGAATTGCTTTCTTAGAAAAATCTTTATAAATCAAGTTTTTTGTCAAAAAAAAAGTGTAAAAAGGAAAAAAACGGTTTGAATGTGAAATTTGAGCGTTTTTCTCTATTGAAAAATGAAGCAAAATGAAGGGGGATTTGTTGAGAAAAGTAAACAGAAATATCACTCAAACTTTTGAGAAATTCTATTTCAGAAAAAAAAGACAAAATTGTGTCTGAGGAGTACGAGGGATACTATTGACAATCAATAAAAGAATCGTCTAAAAATCATCTAAAAATCTCAACCTCTACCTCGCGTGCCCTCCAGATTAAAGGAATTCGAAAGCGGAAATGAATTTGAGGAAAGATTAGCCGATTTAGGGGCTTGGTGGCTGTTGATTAAAATGCTGGCTTGGTGGCTGTTGATTAAAATGCGGGCTTGGTGGCTGTTGATCAAAATGCTAAAAACTCCCCACAACAATTCCCTTACAACTTTCTACACTTTAATGCACTCCAGATAAGCCGAATTTTTAGAAAACATTAAATTTAAAGCAAAATAGAAAGCAAATAGAAAGCAAATAGAAAGCAATCAACAAAAAAGAAAGCATAAAAAAAGCAAAACATAAACAGAACTATAACAGAACTTTGGTACGATAAAATTCGATTAAAAGCGATGAAAAGTAATCAGAAAAGAATCCATAACCCTAGCTGAACTCGAGTTTGAACAAATTTGAGAATGAAATGAAATTTCAATAAAAAAATTTGATCTGAATATTTATGCTGATTATGCAGTCATAAAAAAAAAGCATAAAAGTGATAAAACAAAATTAGCGTCAAATTTTAAGCATTTTTAGCTAGCGTGCGATCCAGCTGGCCTCAAATGAGTGATTGTTTGCCGGGCTGGGGGTGGCTCTCAAGAAATAAATGGGGACAGTCTTGTCAAGTGGGGGTCCAAGCTTGAGACACGACTGGAAGAGTTGGGGGGAAGAGAGAAGCTGAGGAAAGGTGGGGAAAGGTGGGGAAAGCTGGGGAAAGCTGGGAAAAGATGTGATGCCTTTCAGGAAACCCTGGGAAAATGTTTGCGCAATCTGAAAATGATTATTTCAGTCGAAACGATCAATCCTCAAAAATCGTCAAAAAAAAAAAAACTCAAAGCTGTGTTCCAGGATGAAAGGGAAAGCTGTTCTGTTCTCTGTAAAAGCTCTGTAAAAGTTGGAATTAATATTTAGAAAGCATTTAAATCAATGGGATTGGCAAAAGAAAGAGTCAGCTGGTCGAGTCGAGTCGAGATCGACTTTCAGAGATTTTCAGCAGATCAGAGATTTCCTGAAAAGTGTAACAAACGTTTTTCGGGCACTATGGAACGCATTTTAGACTTAGAGATGAGAAACAAAGAGCTTAGCGGTTTGGGGTTGGCGTTGGGGAGTTGCGGAGCGTTGTCGACCCGAAGCGGTCAAGATTTTGAGTGATTTCCGGTGAAATTTGAGAATAATTCTGTCATTCTAAGCTTTTTTTTCGTCCTTCTGGAGGTCATTGTAGCTTTTTAGAATTGAATTTCAAAGGAAAAGTTTGTTTTTTTGAAAAATTGATTCTTTATATGGGTTTTTTTTTGCATATCTTTATTTAAATAAAAGAAAAAAAGGCAAAAGAAAAGAAACAGATCAAAAAAAATAAAAAGAAATACAAATTGAGATCATTTTTTTGGAAGAGAACATCGTAAAGGATTGTAAAGACAGCTCTAGACCGAGATTGACAAAGAAAATTCGAGTTTTTGAGAAAAGATTAACAATTTAATGATTTGGAAATCAATTATGGAAGTCATTGATATGAAAAATAATGTAAAAATTACGAATCTCTTGATTTGATTAAAATCGAAATTTTTGGAGTGGAAAGCATCGCGGTTGGATTGCTCAACTCAAGACGATCCTAGAATTTCCATTTATTTATTTCTCATTTGTTTACGGGAAACAATGATCCTTGAAATGAAATCAAATGAAATGAAATGAAAAAAGCCTAAAAGTTGCAGGAATTCATTCACAGAAAAGCCAATATGGTTCCAATATGGTTCCAAGATGGTTCCAATATTGTTCCTTCCAGGAATTTGGGTCCAATATGGTTCCAAGATGGTTCCAATATTGTTCCTTCCAGGAATTTGGGTCCAATATGGTTCCAAGATGGTTCCAATATGGTTCCTTCCAGGAATTTGGGTCAAATATGGTTCCAAAATGGTTCCAATATGGTTCTAATATGGTATACGGCTCTAATACGGTTCCAATACGGTTCCTATTTTGATCTAATACGGTTCCAATACGGTTCTAATACGGTTCTAATACGGTATACGGTTCCAATACGCTTCCTATTTTGATCTAATACGGTTCCAATACGGTCCGAATCATTAGTCTATGAAATAGAAACTTTAATAACAATAGAATCGATTCGATTTTCTTTTCTGAATTTCCTAGAGTTCTAAAGCTTTTTAGTGAGCTTTTTTTAGTGATTCACCTGAATTTCTGGACTCAACACAATCTGAAATCTGCTCAACGTTCTCGCCAAAACGATCTGAAAAATGAAAGCTACACTCTCGATTGACTATCGACTCTCTAGCCTCCTCTCCTTACGGTACAGCAGAAAAGTCTCCAAGCAGAAACTAGATCCTAAGCGAATTTCCATTTAGAATCATCATTTAGAAGTTACAACTCTTTCTATGCTCATCCTGGATGGCAGTGTAGAAAATAAAATAGAATGCAAACCTTGAATTCCATTTCGGCGAATCGTTGCCCCACACAGCCTCGAGGACCTGCCCCAAACGGTAGCCACGTAAACGGCGTTTGCGGTTTCCCCGACAGGAATCTGGAAAATTCAATTTCATCTCTTTAATCATAATTTAGGATTGAACGGAAGGAGGGAAGGAAAGAAGGAAGAAAAGAAGAAGGAAGGAATGGAGGAAGGAAGGAAGGAAGGAAGGAAGGAAAGAAGAAGGAAGGAATGGAGGAAGGAAGGAAGGAAGGAAGGAAGGAAAGAAGAAGGAAGGAATGGAGGAAGGAAAGAAGGAAGGAAAGAAGAAGGAAGGAATGGAGGAAGGAAGGAAGGAAGGAAGGAAGGAAAGAAGAAGGAAGGAATGGAGGAAGGAAGGAAGGAAGGAAGGAAGGAAAGAAGAAGGAAGGAATGGAGGAAGGAAGGAAGGAAGGAAGGAAGGAAAGAAGAAGGAAGGAATGGAGGAAGGAAGGAAGGAAGGAAGGAAAGAAGAAGGAAGGAATGGAGGAAGGAAAGAAGGAAGGAAAGAAGAAGGAAGGAATGGAGGAAGGAAGGAAGGAAGGAAGGAAGAAAGAAGAAGGAAGGAATGAGGAAGGAAGGAAGGAAGGAAGGAAGAAAGAAGAAGGAAGGAATGGAGGAAGGAAGGAAGGAAGGAAGGAAGGAAAGAAGAAGGAAGGAATGGAGGAAGGAAAGAAGAAGGAAAGAAGAAGGAAGGAATGAGGAAGGAAGGAAGGAAGGAAGGAAGGAAAGAAGAAGGAAGGAATGGAGGAAGGAAGGAAGGAAGGAAGGAAGGAAAGAAGAAGGAAGGAAGGAGGAAGGAAGGAAGGAAGGAAGGAAGGAAAGAAGAAGGAAGGAATGGAGGAAGGAAGGAAGAAGGAAGGAAGGAAAGAAGAAGGAAGGAATGGAGGAAGGAAAGAAGGAAGGAAAGAAGAAGGAAGGAATGGAGGAAGGAAGGAAGGAAGGAAGGAAGGAAAGAAGAAGGAAGGAATGGAGGAAGGAAGGAAGGAAGGAAGGAAGGAAAGAAGAAGGAAGGAAGGAGGAAGGAAGGAAGGAAGGAAGGAAGGAAAGAAGAAGGAAGGAATGGAGGAAGGAAGGAAGGAAGGAAGGAAAGAAGAAGGAAGGAAGAGGAAGGAAGGAAGGAAGGAAGGAAGGAAAGAAGAAGGAAGGAAGGAGGAAGGAAGGAAGGAAGGAAGGAAGGAAAGAAGAAGGAAGGAATGGAGGAAGGAAAGAAGGAAGGAAAGAAGAAGGGAAGGAATGGAGGAAGGAAGGAAGGAAGGAAGGAAGGAAAGAAGAAGGAAGGAATGGAGGAAGGAAGGAAGGAAGGAAGGAAGGAAAGAAGAAGGAAGGAATGGAGGAAGGAAAGAAGGAAGGAAAGAAGAAGGAAGGAATGGAGGAAGGAAGGAAGGAAGGAAAGAAGAAGGAAGGAATGGAGGAAGGAAGGAAGGAAGGAAGGAAGGAAAGAAGAAGGAAGGAATGGAGGAAGGAAAGAAGGAAGGAAAGAAGAAGGAAGGAATGGAGGAAGGAAGGAAGGAAGGAAGGAAGGAAAGAAGAAGGAAGGAAGGAGGAAGGAAGGGAAGGAAGGAAGGAAGGAAAGAAGAAGGAAGGAATGGAGGAAGGAAAGAAGGAAGGAAAGAAGAAGGAAGGAATGGAGGAAGGAAAGAAGGAAGGAAGGAAGGACAGAAGGAAGGAAGGAAGGAAGGACAGAAGGAAGGAAAGAAGAAGGAAGGAATGGAGGAAGGAAGGAAGGAAGGAAGGAAGGAAAGAAGAAGGAAGGAATGGAGGAAGGAAAGAAGGAAGGAAGGAAGGACAGAAGGAAGGAAGGAAGGAAGGACAGAAGGAAGGAAAGAAGAAGGAAGGAATGGAGGAAGGAAAGAAGGAAGGAAGGAAGGACAGAAGGAAGGAAGGAAGGAAGGAAGAAGGAAGGAAGAAGAAGGAAGGAATGGAGGAAGGAAGGAAGGAAGGAAGGAAGGGAAAGAAGAAGGAAGGAATGGAGGAAGGAAAGAAGGAAGGAAAGAAGAAGGAAGGAATGAGGAAGGAAAGAAGGAAGAAGGAAGGAAGAAGGAAGGAAGGAAGGAAGGAAGAAGGAAGGAAAGAAGAAGGAAGGAATGGAGGAAGGAAGGAAGGAAGAAGGAAGGAAAGAAGAAGGAAGGAATGGAGGAAGGAAAAGGAAGGAAGGAAGGCAGAAGGAAGGAAAGAAGAAGGAAGGAATGGAGGAAGGAAGGAAGGAAGGAAAGAAGAAGGAAGGAATGGAGGAAGGAAAGAAGGAAGGAAAGAAGAAGGAAGGAATGGAGGAAGGAAAGAAGGAAGGAAGGAAGGACAGAAGGAAGGAAGGAAGGAAGGACAGAAGGAAGGACAGAAGGAAGGACAGAAGGAAGGAAAGAAGAAGGAAGGAATGGAGGAAGGAAGGAAGGAAGGACAGAAGGAAGGAAGGACAGAAGGAAGGAAGGACAGAAGGAAGGAAAGAAGAAGGAAGGAATGGAGGAAGGAAAGAAGGAAGGAAGGAAGGACAGAAGGAAGGAAGGAAGGAAGGACAGAAGGAAGGAAAGAGAAGGAGGAATGGAGGAAGGAAAGAGGAGGGGAGGAGAGGAAGGACGAGGAAGGAGAAGGAAGGAGGATGAGGAAGGAAAGAAGGAAGGAAGGAAGGAAGGACAGAAGGAAGGAAGGAAGGACCAGAGCCAGATTATAGAAGCTGACCCAAATCCTTGGCTTCATTCAACTCTGATGAAGGCAAGAAAGCTTAAATGTAAATCCTGGAAAGCACGGGATTAGTCTAGCTAGAAATCGAATCATAAATCGACACAAAAGTTAAATGCAAATTTCAGTTGTGCTCAAGATTTGGCAAGAAGAAGCTGTACAGGCGAGCCAACCTTTCCGGACGAAACTCGTCGGGCTCAGGCCAGAATTCAGCATTTCGGTGCACATTCCAAATCGGGATGCCCACCTGAAACGAGGCTTTATAGTACGGTCGACTGTCTACGATATTTTTAGATAGATTTTTGCTTTCCTAGCTCGTGCTGTGTTCGAATTTGGAGAATTTGAAAATTTGGAGAATCTAGCTGACCTGGGTGCCCTTCTCGTACCGCACACCGCCCACCTCGCACTCGGCAACACAGGTTCGATTGACGAAACTGAAATTGGAGGTTATATAAGTAAATTGGCTACAGTGTGACATCCAGAATGCTGAAATTTTTTGATTACAAATCTTCAGGGTTTACGGTATTCAAAGAATGTTGCCAAGAAGAAAAATGAACATTCGGAGACACTTAATAGGCTATTTAGGGTGATTTAAAAGACCGAAGCTACAGTGTGACATCCAGAATTGTTGATTCTTTGATAAAAATCTCGCGACTATGTACAGTATTCCGATTTTCGACTCACAATGTGATCGGCGGGTAGAGTCGGAGCGCCTCTTTGTAGACGGCGTTTAGATAGGGTAGAGTCATCACCTGAAGATAAGGATTTGGTAATTGAATTGGTTTGATTTGATTTGATTTGTAAAAAGTCGACCTGATCATAGTAGTCATTCGTTTTTTGATGATCGGGAAGGGTTTTCAGTTCATTGGCAAGTTTTTCTTGAATATTCTCATTTTTTCCGAGAAGCCACGTGGCAAAAGCTGAAAATTTAACTGAATATCTTTAGTTTTTATATAATTTTAGCGATTTATTTAATAGAAAATGACAGTTCTTTAAGACAGGAGTCGAAAAAATGGCAACTATCCAGTCTACCGTAACCCAGTCTACCGTAGTCTACCGTAAGCCAGTCTATCGTAGTCTACCGTAGTCTACCGTAGTCCACCGTAGTCTACCGTAGTCCACCGTAGTCCACCGTAGTCTACCGTAGCCCAGTCTACCGTAGCCCAGTCTATCGTAGCCCAGTCTATCGTAGTCTACTGTAGTCTACCCTAACCCAGTCCTACCTAGCGCTGTCGACGTTGTCTCGTAGCCGGCGAGGAGAAAAGCGAACGCGTTATTCACGATCTCGTTTGTCGGCAAATTTGAGTTGATTAGCAAAGAAATGACATCATTTCGATCCTGAATTTTTCATCGTTTCAATGAACCACTCCATCAACATCAACCATCAACATTCTCCATTTCCATACCGTTTCCATTCCCCGAATCCGCCCCTCAATCACTCTCCTCAACGCCTCGCTCATCCACGCCTCCGATTTACCCGCATCGCTCAACCGACAATGAAGCCATTCACAAATCGGTGCCACCTCAGGAATCACCACTGAAATAATGAATTAAAAAATAGCTGAGTCCGTTGGAAAACAGAGGTTTTAAATGCCTTTTAGCCTAGCTTTGGCTTTAGTTTAAATTCAGCAGATTCAGCAATTCAGCAATTCAGCAGACTTCTAGATTCTAGAACAAGGAAACTGACTGACCTGAAATGCCCATAAGCGCACTATTTTCCGGGCTTGGCATCTGTCGGAAGTAGTTCGCTGCGTGGAAAGCGAAAGGACAATCCGAATTTCGCAGGCAATCCGCCTCAAAACCGAAAGCACAGTCGGCAATCACTGATAGAGTTAAACGCTTGTAGAGGCTGAAAGGAAAAGGGTTTTTTTTTTTTTATTTAGCTGGCTGGATCATCCGCGATTTGGATCTGGGTTGAACTGGAGAACTGAACTAAGCCTAAGCCTTCCTGAGCCTGCCTAAGCCTTCCGATTTGATTTTTTTTTCTGCAACTCATTCTATAGAATTCTATAGAATTTTTAGCGAAAACCAAAGTCGAATTTTATCAAAAAAACCAGAGTCAAATCGTCATTCTATGAAAAAAATGAAAACAAAAGAAGTTGGTAAAGTTTTAAATAAATTTAAACCAATTTAAATCAATTTAAATCAATTTTTTAAACAATCTGGAACGCATTGAGGGTTTTTAAAACAAAAACTTTTCAAATATTTCGGTTTTTTTGATTTTTTTTCATCCCGGACGCTCACTTTTTCGATTAAATTCGATTTCAAAATTTTGAGAACCTTTTTTTGAGCAATCTGGAAGGCACACTAGCTTTTAGAAAAGAAAGAAAAACAACTTACTCATAGATGTCAAAATAATTGTTGTTGAGTGCGTCGTCGTGGAGGAGTTCGAGGAAAATTTCCGAGTTCCGGTGCACCGAGGCGCTCATCTGAAAGGCGGAATCTGGATCTGGATGGGGATCTGGAGGGCATTACGGGGAAGCATTCAGGCTTAGATGGGTTTAGATGGGTTTAGAATGATTCTGGGAAAATGGGAAAATTGGAAACTCTCGGAAGACCTACTGCTCGTATTTTGGCTGTCGTAAAAGCTGGGGAGAGTTTGGCGCGCGAGTGACGCCAGATTTGCCCTGAAAAGTGGGATTTAAAGTGGGATTTTTCAATTGTAAGCACTGTAGACTGGTTTCGTATGTAAATTTCAATCTTGCCATTTCAATCTTTCCATTTCATGGCCATTTCAATCTTGCCCTTTTCTTCAAGCTCACCTTTTTGATTGACGATCGCTTCGCGGAGTGAGTCTGAGAGGAAATTCATTTCCTAGAAAGCTCGAAAATTTAATTTATCTTTATAAATGCTTATCCTGGATGTCACTTTATAAAATAAAAAATAAAAAAATAAAAAAATTGATTTAGAATGAATTTTGAAAGTGAAAATTGAGGACTAACTCAATTTTTAGCGATTTTTTATTACGGACGGACAGGCTAAACTACACGAAAACTTTCTACGGACAAGCTGGACTACACGAAAACTTTCGACGGACAAAAGGCAAAACCTTTTCCATTTCCAGAAAATTCGACTTTTCAAGGGCATAATTTTACGTGAAAAATCGTGTACTTATCTGCCGGGAGGAAATCGAAAGGATTAGAGCTATTCTAGGATGGATTTACATTCACATTCAACCAATAATCCCATAGGGTCCAGCCCAGTCAATCGAAACCGAATGTAAACGAAAATCGAAAATTTTAAAAGTCAAAATTGAGGACTGGCTCAATTTTTAGCGATTTTTTATTATAAAAATAAAATTTACATTTAAAAATGGTCATTCTGGATGTCAGTTTATAAAATAAAAAATAAAAAAATTGATTTAGAATAACTTGAGATTTTTGCTCGGATGGCGCAGTGGGTGAGAGGCCGGTTGTATGGGGGGCCGACACCACCCACACAACCCGGGTTCGATCCCGGTGACAGTCAATTTCTCCCTATTTTTGCTATTTTTTCGATTTTTTAACTGTTATTCAGTCTAGAAATGTGTACTTATTTCATTTAAAAAATAAAACTTTCAAAAGTTCATTATTTTTCATTATTTTCATTCAACTCACTTGACGATCAGAAAAATGATCGAATTTTTTGACAAGAATCTCTCGAATGTCTTCTAATTCCTAAAACAAGCTCAAATTACAGTAACCTGCTAGCTTTTCAGCTAACCTCGGTGATGATGAAGAGTCTGGGACCGAAAAAGAGCGAATAGCGGCCACCGTACCGATCCCGTAGCACCTCGAACACGTTGTAGAGGAGGGCACCGTTCTAAAAGTTACAAAACTCAATTTTAACTTCAGTATTACTCAATCTGGAGCGCACAGAACCAAATGAAGTCGAAAAGCAAACAAATCGCAATTGTTTTTGAAAGCAGCACTCGACTGGCTCAATTTTCAGTCATTTTCCCCAATAAAAACGAAATTTACATAAAAAAAGGCGATCCTGGATGTCACTTTATAAAATTAAAATCTTAAAAATTGATTTGAGATAATTTAAGATTTTTTGCTCGGATGGCGCAGTGGGTGAGAGGCCGTTTCGACACCGCCCATACAACGCGGGTTCGATCCCGGTGACGGTCATTCTTTTTTATTTCTTAGATTTTTCAGAAAAAAACGAACTTTATTCATAATATCGCCAATCAGCTTTAGATTTCCCAACAAAAGCAATGGATCGGGACCGGGAATTCCAAGAGTTTTCCTCTTTGCCATCGGGAAATAGCGACTTCTAAAAGAATTGATTTGAAAACCTTAAATCTTTAAATCTTTAAATCTTAAATCTTTAAATCTTTAGAGATATTACCGTAAATTCTGTAATAGTACCCCTCCCGCAAAGTTTTTAGTTCAGTATTTCATTTTTCAGCACCCCCTTTGGTACAAAAGATTCAGGGCTATTTTTTGATACCAAAGATAGTGACGGTGCGGAGTGTTGCGGAGTGTTGCGTAGTCTAGCTTTGAACGCGTTTTTCTCGACACTGGTTTATGCTACAATGCTCGTTTAAATATCAAAAAATAGCCCTGAATTTCAGCTATTTTTTGATACCCAAGCGAGCATTCTAGCTTAAACCAGTGTCGAGAAAAACTCGTTCAAAGCCAGACTACGCAACACTCCGCCACCGTCATTATGGGGGTTGGGGTACTATTACAGTATTTACGGTAGGAGTTAATAAAGCTAAAGCTAAAGCTAAAGCTAAAATAATAAAAACTCACAAAATTAAATAGACAAGTCCAAGACAAACGAATCCCATAGCCCATGTTGAAAGGGTTCTAAAATAAGAAAAATAATTTTTTCTAATTTTTCTAATTTTTATCCTATTCTATATTTATCGTTTTATTTGAAGAGTGTGACCTCCAGTTTGGTGATTAGCCTTTCGACAAAACCCATTCACTTTAGAAAAACAACAAAAAATCGTGTCGACAAATTTTCGCTATAATATGCCTTTTGCTAAAAGGGAAATTTCCCGTATAAATCCCCGAAATTCTTCTAAAATGCGTTCCAGCTTGAAACTTTAAACATTTGAAAATGGGGTGCACTTTAGGAAAAAACTCAGCGCAAGCCCGAACCCGAATGACGATAAATTGAACTTTGCTAAAATTCAAAATTTCGCTTTTTTCTTTTTCGCTTTTCTTTTTTCTTTTGCTGTGCCTTCCAGATCGTTGAATACTTTTTTCAAAAACATTCTTTTAATTCTAGAAATTTGCTAAAATTTGAGGGTCAAAGAATTTCACGGTTTCGGACTTTGAAATCATTGTTGTAAAAGGGAAAAAGTCTCTGAAAAGTCTTTAAAAATCCCAATTTTCGATTTCCAAGCGATCCAAATCATTGCCGCGTGGCTGTGCAAAAGAAAACGATTTTCAAAATTCTCTCTCATTTTTTTCGGAGCAGCATCACATCATTTATTTTCGGATTTTCGGATTTTTTTTTTCCCCAAATTTCTCCCCAAATGATGAGTGATCACCGTCGATCATCGCTGTGACATCCAGATCGACGCTGGAGAACACCCGAAGAAGCAAAAGACGCAGGAAAACCATGTATTTGGGGGTGCGCATGTACCCAGCTCTCCCTGGCAACGATGTTGCTGCTTGATGCCATCCTTTGATCTATCCCCTGGCTACCTAGATTGCTGATCTCGATCTGATCGTGATTTCAGTTCAAGGACGGCCGGGGGGAAATCACGAACTTTGCGCTTTGAACTTCGGGATTCGGGGATTTCCGTTTGACGACAAGAAACGGGAATTTTGGCGCAAAAATGAGTAATCTTGAAATGAAATAGTAAAAGCTGGAGTGCACACTAGGTAATGGCTTTTAAATTTTTGCTTTATTCTGCAATATCGTTTTTTGCTCGTATCCCTAACATAGCTGGACCCGGCCGCTGGGAATGGTTGTCGATTTTCAAATTCCCATCTAATATCCTTGCGATCTGGATGGCAGCATAGAAATCGAGTACAACAGTGTGCCAGTAAGTGCACGTTTATGTTTAATCGGGGTTACTGTAGGCCATAGAGGTGTCGGAGGGTGGCAAATTTTCGTAAAATCTTGCAAAATCTTGCAAAATGTGGCAAAATGTGGCAAAAAATGTGTCAAATTCTCCCAATCCCCTCTTTAAGCGGTTAAAGCCCTTTTATAACGTAATTTGAATTGAATTACAAGAAAAAGACGCAAAAAAAAAATCGATTTCCGATTATCATTCAAAAAAACTTGATTTTTCCCAGATTTTTCTTCTTTTTACCCTTTTTTACAATCGGATCTACAAAAAAAAACCCATATTAAAGCAGAAATAGTTAAAGCTATTGTAGTTAAGGCTATTCTAGTTAAAGCTACTGTAGTTAAAGCCATTCTAGTTAAAGCTATTCTAGTTAAAGCTACTTGTAGTTAAAGCTATTGTAGTCAAAGCTACTGTAGTTCTAGCTACTGTAGTTAAAGCTACTGTAGTTAAAGCTACTGTAGTTAAAGCTATTCTAGTCAAAGCTACTGTAGTTCTAGCTACTGTAGTTAAAGCTACTGTAGTTAAAGCTACTGTAGTTAAAGCTATTGTAGTCAAAGCTACTGTAGTTCTAGCTACTGTAGTTAAAGCTACTGTAGTTAAAGCTATTGTAGTCAAAGCTACTTGTAGCTCTAGCTACTTGTAGTTAAAGCTATTGTAGTTAAAGCTACTGTAGTTCTAGCTACTGTAGTTGAAGCTATTCTAGTTAAAGCAAAAAAAAGGAAACAATTGAAAAGGCAGGAAAGGGATCGAAGAGAAAACTCTGATAAATAGAAAAATGAATCGTTGAAAATGAAAGAGTGCACTCCAGGATGATGTTAAAATTGCTCAATTTTGCTGCTTTAATCATAGACCGGCTGTAAACTGTTCAAACTTGTACTCACAGTACGAGAGGCATCTTCGAGATTTGTTGCTTGCTCCTTGATTACTGCAGAATCTCAACTGACACCCAGATCCACGAAATAAAAAGAAAATTCGCAAAAGGGAAGTCTAGAAAGTCTAGAAAGTCTAGAAAGTCGAGAATACGGTAGAAGAAGAATAAACGAAGCGGGGAGTACTGTAACCGGAGCACCAAATAGGATGCAAGGGAAGTAAATAGAAGAAGGAGAAAAGGCTGTGTTTAGGGCTGTGTTTAGGGTTGTTTTTAGACAGAAGCTGATTACTGTAGCTGATTACTGTACAGCCGAAAGGAGCTGATTACTGTAGAGTACAGTCGCGTACTTGGAAAGTGATCAGTGGACAGAAAGTGAGTGCTCTGATGGCCTTGATGCCCTCCATATATAGCTCTAGGCATCCGAGTGGATTGATCGGCAAAGGGGTTGGATTGAAAAAAGGGGCATACTTCTTTTTTCTGGGGGTGGAAGAGATGAGTTCAAGTGTACCCAAAAGCCGGCGAAAAGTGGATGAACTGGGGGATTTCTCAGGGAAACGAAAGAAAAAGGGAGATTGCGGTGATTTGTGGGATGACGTAGTCACCTTGTGGACTGTATGGCGATCACCTTGTCGACTGCATGGCGAGGAGGGGAGGAGATCACTTTTGGGGATAGCGGAGTACTGTAGCACTGAGATTTCTGCGCAAATCGAATTTTAAATTCAATAAGTACATATTTCTAGAATGTTTTGTGAGAATAACAGTTAAAAAATCGAAAAAATATCAAAAATAGGGAGAAATTGACCGTCACCGGGATCGAACCCGGGTTGTATGGGTGGGGGTCGGCCCCCCATACAACCGGCCTCTTACCCACTGCGCCATCCGAGCAAAAATCGCAAGTTATTCTAACTCGATTTTTTTATTTTTTATTTTTTAAACTGACATCCAGAATGACCATTTTTAAATGTAAATTTTATTTTTATAATAAAAATCGCTAAAAATTGAGCCAGTCCTCAATTTTGACTTTTAAAATTTTCGATTTTCGTTTACATTCGGTTTCGATTCACTGAGCTGGACCCTTTGGGATTATTGGTTGAATGTGAATGTAAATCCATCCTAGAATAGCTCTAATCCTTTCGATTTCCTCCCGGCAGATAAGTACACGATTTTTCACGTAAAATTATGCCCTTGAAAAGTCGAATTTTCTGGAAATGGAAAAGGTTTTGCCTTTTGTCCGTCGAAAGTTTTCGTGTAGTCCAGCTTGAAAGTCGAGCTTGTTTCTTTGTTTAAAGAGGCCGATTTATCCATTCTCAGCCACTTTTTTTTCAGCTCGATACCTCTCGAGAAAGTACGGGGATTTTTTTTCTTAAAAGTCTTTCCCCATTTTCCCGTTTTTTTTTTTGGTTAAAAAGTGATTGAAATCATTGACGACAAGAGAAAAAAAAAATAGCGAAAATTTGTGAATGATTTTTAAAAATGCACTCAAGATCACTCGGCGTTGATTTGATTTGATTCGATTTGTAAAGAGAAAAATTGTGGGAAGATTTTTCTTGCTAATTGTCATTTTTTTAAAAATCCAATCCCTGTCCTGCATTCCAGCATTGAGATTTTGTTTTGCGGTTTTGCGAAAAACGAAAACCCTGACATCAGAATGGTTTCGTCTTGAAAGTGACGTCATTAATGGAAATGCTTGAGTGCATTGTATCCAAAAATTTCGATCGCAAAACTCTAGCCTGCACTCCAGGATTTAGATTAGTGAGATGAGTTTTGGAAAATGTTGGAAAGAAACTGGAAATAATGTCGAGATCTTTGTTTCTGAGATTTCTGATGTTTCTGAATCGGTTTCAGAAGTCATTTCGACTTCTGAAACCGATTCAGAAACGTTAGAAACATCAGAAACGTCAGAAACGTCAGAAATCTCATTTCGATGGAGTCCCTCAGGCTGTGCTCGTCATTTCTTGTAAATTCCACTTTTATTAAACAAAACAAGAAAGAAAGGAACGAATTTGGCAAAAGGCAAAAGCTGGCAAAAGCCATGGCATGGCAAAAGCTGGCAAAAGCCTTGGCATGGCAAAAGCTGGCAAAAGCCTTGGCATGGCAAAAGCTTCCATCATCGATACCGTATCTGTTGAGCGCCATTGAGTTGTCTGAAAATTTGGGAAATCAATTTTTAGACATGTTTACATGTTTGGACAGTTTCTCATTTCTACAAAACCCTTCATTTATCCACTATAAAAAGCCAAGCTAACTAGTTTTTAGAATCGTTGAAAAGTTCAGATTTCCCTCTCTAACTGTCCTGATTTCAATAACTTTGTTCTCTTTGAAAAAAATAATGAAAAATTCATTCAAACGCTAACTTAACACTAAAGAGAATACAGTTCTGTTTTTGGCTCTGTTTCGATTCAATCTCTTCATTGAGCTTCTTCATTCAGCTTCTTCATTCAGCTTCTTCATTCAGCTTCTTCATTCAGCTTCTTCATTCAGCTTCTTCATTCAGCTTCTTCATTGAGCTTCTTCATTGAGCTTCTTCATTCAGCTTCTTCATTCAGCTTCTTCATTCAGCTTCTTCATTCAGCTTCTTCATTCAGCTTCTTCATTCAGCTTCTTCATTCAGCTTCGATTCAATTTCTTGATTCAATATTGGAAAGTATTAGACAGACAAGTTGAAAGAAAAAAAATGAAAATAAATCCTGACTATCTTCATCCTTTTCAGCTTACTGTAGATGAAGCTAATAGGATTGTAGTGAAAAGCAGGGATAAACTTCGATTTTTCTAACACTTTTTTGACTACAAGAGTTGCCTTTTCTCCAGAGAAAAGCCAACTCTTGTAGTCAAAAAAAGGAATCAAGAAATCAAGGATCAATCAAAATCAAGGAAAACCGGGAAACGCTTCAAAAATGAACTTCAAAAATGAAATTCAAAAATTCAATTAAACTGAAAATTTGAAATTTCAAAAGTCCAATAATAACTAGAGCTTTTAAAGCTTTAAAGTAAAGTTTAAAGCTTTAAAGCAACCTCAAAATCTTCGCATTTAAGCGATAGGGTCCGATGAACAAAGAGCGATTCGATTTTCGAGTTTTTTGTTTTGTGCTCGTCATTTGTGGCCACCATTTCGGAATGAGGCGTTTATTCATCATCTGGAATGGGTTTTTGAAAAGAAGGAAACAATTTTCAGTGATCCTGGAGTGCATGTTCCAGGATGACGCTGAGAATTTTTAAAAAATCAGCTTTTTAAAAAACTCAGCTTCAACTCTGGAACTTTGAAATTTGAAAATTTTTCAAATTTCTCTAATCACTCGACAAATGCATTTATTTTCTATTGTGACTTCCAGGATGACCGATTTTTGATTTACCGTACCCATTTCGTCGAGTAGATCCCCGGCAAAAGTACAGCAACGGCACCGATCAAGCACAAAAGCCACCACGCGCCAAGACGCATTCCCCCCCTCGCAATCCCTAGCGTGCCTTCCAATTTGGCTAAATTGTTGAGGAAAAAGCTTTCTCATCGTTTAAAAACTCGAAATTTTTGTTCAATCTCGATTCTCATACATAATTTATTGCGAAAGTGTAAAAAAAACTTAAAAATTAAAAAAATTAAAAACGAGATCAATGGAGACGATTTCTAAACATTTTAGAGAGAAAATAAATGCAAATTTGTTAAGAAATACACGTTCAAATTAAATCCACAAATAAAAAAAGAGACCTGAGGAAATTTACATATAAAATTAGCATTTTTTTTTTTAAAGCTAAAAATTCTAAACGAAAATTCGAAACTTTTGAAAGTGTGCTTTAGGCTTTGTGACATCCAGTTCCGACGAAATGAGTGTCATTTTGGGGAAAGAACGCTTCTCGGGCCTGTTTGCACACGCCGATTTCGACTCGTCCCCCTTTCTCCATGATCACTTCCATTTCCTAAGCCTAAGCAAAAAATTCCACGGATCTGGATGTCACCCAAGCTAATGAGCGAGAAAAATGAAAGAAATTACGCAAATTTCGCGACACTCCAAATGACGACTCTCTAAATGACGACACTCCAAATGATAATAGGGAAAAATTTAAAGAATTGTCGAAACTATTTTGCACAAAGTGTTCACTGACTTCCAGATCACAAAATGACAAGTGGAAACTTTCGGAAAATACCCTTATTGAAAGGAAATCGTTGCAAACGTTGCAAAACTATTTCACTAGTGACGATACTTGAAGAAAAATGATTGAAAAGGGGTGTCTTGATAGAGAGTGCTGTATAAATCGAGATTTGCTTGAAGCATTAGAATCCCATCTTCTAGTGAAATGATTGGCGACGAGAGGCGAAGAGGGAGGCTGAAAAGAAGGTGATGGTATATAGGCTTAGGCTTAGGCTTCGAGAATCAGAACTAGACCGCTAGCCTAAGCCTAAGCCTAAGCCAGCCTGACCAGCCAGCCAGCCAGCCAGCCTGGCCAGCCAGCCAGCCAGCCAGCCTGGCCAGCCAGCCAGCCAGCCAGCCTGGCCAGCCAGCCAGCCAGCCAGACTCAAGCCAGCCTGAACCAAGCCTACAAAAAGCTGTCTTTTTGTCAATCGCTCTAGTTCGAATTCTCGAATGACATCCAGATCGGCTTACTAGCTAAGCATTGATCTTTTTAAGCTTACAGACGTCGAGCTCGGTCGTAGATCTCTATTTCTATCTTGACTCTGTCCCTTTTCATTCGATTTGCCATTGGCAATCTACGAATTTTGATCGTATCTTAGCCAGATTTTAGCCAGGCTTTAACCAGGCTTTAGCCAGATTTGTTTAATAAACGAATTCGTTAGAAAATTCGAATCGAAAATTCGATTTGGAAAGTGAATTCAGCGTTTTTAAACAAAACTATTTAAGAAACGATCCAAAATTCGTCGATTTCCAAATTGGGAAACGAATTGAAAAAAGGGTCGTGGCTTGGAATAGTTCATTGCTTTACTTCAAATCCTCAGTGCTTAGCGATATCCCAGCATCTAGAGCTTTGTTCACCATGTTCTCCATTGTTCCCTAGAAATTTGCTCATATCATTTCAATCCCTTTTTTTCTAACTTTTATCGAATTCTTAAACCCTTCCAAATCCTCGACTTTTAATCCGAAAAAGTCAACGCCTTTCAAGAATCGAAAATCCTCGATTTTAAGGCTACCTAAAAATTCTCAAGAATAACAGAATTGATTTAAAAAAAACCTTTCACTGTTGAGCCGTGGCTGTTAATTTTGACGAGAATTTTAGCGGCAAATGGAAGCACACCAACCTGGAAATGAATCTGGAAATGAATCTGGAAATGAATCTGGAAATGAACATGAAATGAACAGAAATCTTTACGGTAAACGACTGAGGGTTTTGGACGATGATTGGTTTCATTTTTAAGTGAATTTTTAAATGAAAATGAACAGAAATCTGTTAAAAAGCTCGTAGTTGGATCTGGATGAGGTTGGTTGAAGGATTTGAAGACAATTAAAGCCTAAGCCGAAGCCTGAGCCTGAGCCTAAGCCTAAGCTCAAGCCTAAGCCTAAGCCTAAGCCTAAGCCTAAGCCTAAGCCTAAGCCCGAGCCTGAGCCTGCCGCCTAGCTAAGCCTAAGCCAAGCCTAAGCCTAAGCCTAAGCCAAGCCAACAAGCCTAAGCCTAAGCCTGAGCCTGAGCCTAAGCCTAAGCTCAAGCCTAAGCCTAAGCCTAAGCCTAAGCCTAAGCTAAGCCTAAGCTCAAGCCAAGCCTGCCTAAGCCTGGCTAAGCCCGAGCCCAAGCCTAAGCCTAAGCCTAAGCCTAAGCCTAAGCTAAGCCTAAGCTCAAGCCTAAGCCTAAGCCTAAGCCTAAGCCTAAGCTAAGCCTAAGCCTAAGCCTTTGGATACGGTTCACCTTTGTGTGATACTGGATCCGGGGTTAAATTCGTCGGTTCTCCGGCGAGAGTTACTCTGAATAAATCAGAGTGCTCAAAACAAGCGCTGAGGGGTTTTGGGGCGGTGATTGGTTTCATTTTAAGTGACATGTAGTTGTAGGAATGTCCTCCGAAATGTTTAAATGAATGTTTAAGTGAATGTTTAAATGAATATCTAAATGAATGTTTAAATGAATTTTAAAATCAAACCTTTTCCCGAGTGCCTTCTAGAAAAAACAGTGTCCGTCCCTCCATTGTCATTATCGCTTTTTCTGTAAAAAGTTTTCATACTCAAACTCTTTTATGACATTCAGAACCTTTAGAAATGGTAATATTCGGCGGCTGAGTGGTACGAATGATCAATTCGAGTTGTCGATCCGGGAATTTCTGACCAACCTCCTCGATTTGATCGGATAGACAAACCTAGACAAAAAATAGCATCAAATTCTTTGTTCCATTGCCTTTCAATCCATCAAATCCATCAAATTCCCCAACCAACCTCATCCAGAGTACAAGTCGTTTTCAGTAGCGCTCCTATTTTCGGTGTTTTTGAGTCCACATGAAACAGCAACGAGTTCGTGCTGAAATTTCGCAAATTTCAACAAGAATTTCGGGTTTTTTAAGGCAAGAAACGGCGATCTGGAGCTCACTAGACAAATTTCGAACAAAATATCCGCAAAAAAAGCGAACTTGAATTTTGGTTGGGGTAATAGGAGCGCTATTTAGGTGGCAGCACCGGGGCACTGTATATCCGATTTTTTTGCAATTTCACCCACCGATGTGCATGCCATAACATTGAATTCAGTGTGTATTGAGCGATTCCGATCTCGAGCATTCGTTCCCTCGAGGATCTGGGTAAACGGTAAGGGAATGGCGGCAAGAAAGGGTTCGGGGACTCTGAAAAGGTCAAATCTCGTCTACTTGCCTAATAATCTAATTTTTTGGCTATCCTGGATGTCACGACAGCTTAAAAACCACTTGGCATCTTGTGCTTTGATCTTTTTTAAATGGTGACCCGAGTACCGTAACCCGTTTCGAGTTCAAGCAAAAATCTCGACGAGTAGGAATAAAATCAAAATTTTAATCAAACTTTTGGCTATCCTGGATGTCACGATAGCTTAAAAACCACTTGTTATTTTGCGTTTTGATTTTTTTTAAATGGTGACCCGATTACCGTAACCTGTTTCGGGTTCAATTCAAAATATTGTCGAGGAAAAAAGGGATCGAAATTCTATCCGATTTTTTGGCTATCCTGGATGTCACTGTAGCTTATAAATGGAAGAAGATCAAGAAAAACAGCAATCTAACGGTTTGGACTACGGTAGGCTGGGAGACGTTTTACGAAACCACAATAATTGAGTAGTTTTAGCACAAAAACCCACGATCTTTCGTCGAGAAGACATTTCCGCTCATGCCCACTGAATAATCATCGTAACTTGCCGCCGCGTCCAATAAATTTGCGTCGACAAAAAGGTGCTTTAAGCGATTCTGAAAGAGAGAAGTGATGAAATTGATTTAGAGAAAATCCAGAAATGCTAAACAGAGCTAAACAGAGCCCAGTCGGTCTAGAAGCTGTCCTAGACTTGGCCTAGCTTGGCCTTTGACTTCTCGCTAGACTTTTCACTCACATAGTTGAAGAAGCGGGAAACCTCGTCGCTGCTGAGACGGACGGCGCGAGCTGAATGGCCACAGATACGTTTAGACGAGAATTTTTTCAGCTCAATGCCAAGCATGACATCCAACTTAATATATGGCAACTCAGGAAATTGATTTTAAAAGCAAAATGGCGACGAAAAAGCGACGAACTGATTTCACTCAATGGCGTGTGCCCATTTTATAGCAATTCAATTTCTGCCCTTCTAGCAGTCTAGTGTGATATCCAACTTAGTTTCTTGTTGGCCCGGAAAAGAATTTAGAGGCAAGGTAGCCCATAAGAAGCGGTGAACTGAGATCTGAGCTTTTGCGGGGCTTTGCGGTTAGCTTTCCGGCTCTGAAAGTCACCTTGCTCTTCCTCCTGGTCGGCATCGCGTTGTTTCCGCTCGTCATCTTGCATGCCAGCCGACTTTCCCGAATCGTCATTTGGAGTGTTTCGTTGTTTCGTCATTTCGGGCATTGATCGTTTGAAGCGTGCTGAATTGAATGCCGCGAATTTGGGGCAGATTTTAGAAAATGAAAGGGTTATGATTTTAGAAAATGAAAGGGTAAATGAAAGGGTTACGGTAGGTTAGTGCAAAGCTGTGAGCTGGGAAAATGAAGAAAAAAAATTGTACTTACCTTCTCCACTCTTCGAACTTGGCTGAAAACTTTAACGGGTTACGGTATCTTTTATTGAATACAGTACCTTGAGCATCATTTCGACAAGGGTTTTCGCTGAGACACTTGTCGGAAATCTGGAAAGCTACAGTAACCCCTGCGACAGTCTACTCGGAACCCACTTTTCCATTCGATCCGAGAAATGTTGTTGGGTCAAGCGGTGAATGTTTGCGCAAATAGCTTCTTGGAGTAGTTGCCGGGTTTGGCTAGTCATTTGACCCTAAATGCTGGCCGGGTTACTGTAACAGTTTGTGTTCAGCTCAAAATCTCAACGAGTAGGCTTAGAATTGAATTTTTAGGCTAATTTTTAGCCATCCTGGATGTCACACCAGCTTAAAAACCACGCGGTATTTCGTGTTTTGATCTTTTGGTGGTCCGACTACTAACAATTTGTGTTTAGCTCAAAATCTCAACGAGTAGAATCAGGATTGTAATTTTAAGCAGATTTTCGTCCATTCTGGATGTCACGACAGCTTAAAAACCAGTCGGTATCTCGACCCTAAATGGTGACCCGATTACCGTAACCTGTTTCAAGTTCAAGCAAAAATCTCAACGAGAAGGATTAGAATTGTAATTTTAAGCAGATTTTCGTCCATCCTGGATGTCAGGACAGCTTAAAAACTACTTGGTATCTCGACCCTAAATAGTGGTCCGGTTACCGTAACCTGTTTCGAGTTCAAGCAAAAATCTCAACAAGTAGGATCAGAATCGAAATTTTAATCAAATTTTTGGCTATCCTGGATGTCACGACAGCTTAAAAACCACTTGCCATTTCGTGCTTTGCTCTTTTTTAAATGGTGACCCGATTACCGTAACCTGTTTCGGTTTCAAGTGAAAATATTGTCGAGGAAAAAAGGGATCGAAATTCTCTCCGATTTTTTGGCTATCCTGGATTTCACCGTAGCTTCTGCTCACCCGATATTTCGTGTTGATCGTATCGGTGAAGAGGCCCATATTGGCGACTCTTGTATCAATCGTGCCACCATCAATCTAAAATCGAGATTTCCCTTAATTGAGTTTTGCCCCTCCTGGAACGCACCTGGCACGATAAAAATCTGAGATACGGCCGATCGTCGACCGATTTCTGCAGGTCCAAATAGGCTGAGATCGAGATGGAGCGGCCTGCAATTTGGGTACTGTAGCTGGGCTTGAAATAAGTGCGGGCTACTGTAGCTGAATGGATTACAGTAACCCTTTCGAAAAGCCCTTACCCGATGTGTAAACGGTGCCACTAACTGGAAAAGTTAAAATGACATTGATTGAACCGCCCAGCGAACCGGTGACACTGAAAAATTTGAGAATATAAAAAAATCGTAAGAAAAAGCTCTTTATTTAAATGTTAACTAAGGAAAAATTCGATTTTTTCCCAAAAAGTTAAATGCAAATTTTGTTAAAATGAAAAATTTAGGAAATCATTAAAAAGCCCCCAAAAGTTTTTATGACCTCTTTGACTTCTTTCATTGGTAGACAACGTCTCTGATGTTTATGACATTGAACAAGCTTTTTGTCAGCTTCTGTCAGCTTCTGTCAACCTCTGTCAGCTTCTGTCAGCTTCTGTCAGCGTCTGTCAGCTTCTGTCAGCTTCTGCCAGCTTCTGTCAGCTTCTGTCAGCTTCTGTCAACCTCTGTCAGCTTCTGTCAACTTCTGTCAGCTTCTGCCAGCTTCTGTCTTCGTGTATGTCCTTTGTCTCTTTGTTTGTCTCTTTATTTGAAGCGCCGTTCTGATCACGCTGTTTTAACTACTCTCTAGAAATTTAGCCCTAAGAATCCCAATCAATTTTCTGAGACTCACAAGAAATCGAGATCCTGCACCCGGAGGAGCATTTGATTTGGTGGATAGGGAGCAAGTGAGACGAGCGACGGTTGCCGGAAAGAGGTTACCCGAAATGAGTGAATCTGAAACATTCTAGATGCTTCTTTACACTGAATCCATCAATCCTGGAACGCACACAAGGCATTGAGACCAGAAAATTCGGATTTCTGCAACATTTAGCTCGTAGTGCACTGTAGTAAATAAAGTTTCCTTTTAAAAGATGATCATATAATGCAAGGGCTAAAAGCTAGAGTGCCTTTTTGTGGATCCTGGAAGGCACAGCGCTGAAAACAGCGCTGAAAAATGCGTTCACCTGCACACAACCCTCGGCGAAACATTGCTGAGTGCTGGGGATTCGGATTCGCGGCGTCTCGTACTCGACCAAGCCGGCTAAAATTTCGAATTTTTGAAAATTCTTTTATTCTGGATGTCACTCGAGATATTGGCTTAAGAAAATTTGCAAAATTTTCAAAGCAAAAAAATTTTATTTTTCCGATTTTTGATTTTTTTTAAATTTTCCTTTAAGGCCATCATTTTGTCGGGATGGCTCTTTGTGCATTCCAATTTTTTCGAATTCTTCAAAATTAGTTCTCATTTTTGTTTTCTTTTACGGAAAAATGCTTGAGGTTGGAAAGAGAGCCGATTCTGGCGATTTTGGCGATTTTGGCAATCTTGCCGATCTTGCCGATTCTTTTTGGGAGAAGGTCTTAAACTTGTTCAATCTAGACGTGTAATAGCTCATTTAAAAGCTAATTTAAAAGCTAATTTTCTAGGGGATTTAGATAAAAACCCGTTTTTTAATATATCAATTTTCAAAGTTTCTCCAGTCTTTTTTACTGACGTCGGGAATTCCAAAAAAATCAATTTTTTCGTGTTTTTTCTACGAAAACCTAAGCTAGAACCATGTTTTTCGGAATCAGCGTTAAAAATTACTCTAGAAAACGCAAAACTCGTTCCTTTAGCGACATGTTTTCAAAAAACGCTTGCCGCGCGCCGGAGTCGAACCCTCGACCCTCAGATCACCGCTTTTAGGGCTCTAAAAAAAGCTCTACTGGCCCCAAAGTGATGCTAACCGGAAAAAGTTTTCGGTTAACAAGGTAGAATCGATCAAAACAAGGTTTTGATCGCTAACAGGTCCAGAGCCGGATTCATTCCTGCGAATCAGTAACTTTATAAGCTGACACGGTAAAACGTTTTGATTGTCTACGGTTGTCGAAAAAGTTGACACGTTTTGGAAAACGCATTTTCAAGAAGCCCATTCAAATTACAGCGCCAATAATTTCGTTTAGAATTATCTTGAAACAGTCGCACGCTGGAGGCGAACCCTCGACCTGAGGATGGAGGGTTCGACTCGGAGGGTCGAGATCGAGGGTTCGACTCGGAGGGTCGAGATCGAGGGTTCGACTCGGAGGGTCGAGATCGAGGGTTCGACTCGGAGGGTCGAGATCGAGGGTTCACCGACCCTCAGATCACCACTTTTAGAGCTCTAAAAAAGGAAAATTTGTTAGTTTTTGTCTTTTTTTTTTGTTTTATACTACTCTGAAAATGAGTTTGTTTATTTTCTTTGTTTTTCTTTGTTTTGTTATTGTTGTTTTCCTTTTTTAGAGCTCTGAAAGCGGTGATCTGAGGGTCGAGGGTTCGACTCCGGCATGCGGCAGTTTTTTTCAAAAGTTTTCCTAAAAGAACTAGTTTCGCGTTTTCTAGGGTAATTTTCAACGCTGATTCCGAAAAACATGGTTTCAGCTTAGGTTTTCGTACAAAAAAAACGAAAAAATTCATTTTTTTGAAATTTTGGATCTGACGTCAGTAAAAAAGACTGGAAAAACTTTGAAAATTGATATATTAAAAAACGAGGTTTTTTATCTAAATCCGCTAGGAAATTAGGGTTTAAATGAGCTTGGAAATTTGCATTTAAATAAGCTTTTAAATAAGCTTTTAAATTAGCATTTATGAGCTTTTAAGTTAGCTTTTAAATTAGCTTTTAAATTAGCTTTTAAATTAGCTTTTAAATGAGCTATTACACGTCCAGATTGGACAAGTTTAAGAGCTTCTCCCAAAAAAGAATCGGGAGAAGCTCATAAATCTTCTCAAAAATCGGGGAAAACTCTTTCCAACCGAATAATAATTCGGAAATTTAAACCGAAAAACGTATGATTTTTGCTTTTTTTTCTTTAAAAAACTCTTAAATCTGTGGAAATTTTTTGTCGATTTTTTCGCTATTTTTTCGAAAATCCTCTAAAATAGGAGAAAAGCCTAAAGCTATTTGCTTAAAGATGAAAGAAAAGTGAAAGAGAAGTGAAAAGAAAGGGGATGGGAGTGTGTGTGTGTGAAAAGTGGATCCAGGAGGGATCCAGGAGAACGGACTTTAAAAGAAAACGAGAGCAACGAAAAAAAAAAACGAGAGCAACGAATCCAGTTTATTCCCCAGTTTATTCGAAAATCTCAAAGCTCAAAGGAAAAGCGATTTTGGTTTCATTTTTGGTTTCATTTTAAAGTTTCCAAAAAAAAAACCGACCAACAATATTGGAGGCTTGCTCGAAAATCCCGTGATTCATCCGCACACGAATCGCTGGTTTCGGGATCGTTTCAGCGACGAGAAAAGGAGAGAAAGCACATATTGACAACTAAAAATTGCTCTTCTAAAAGCCAATCAATGATTTCAATGATTTCAATCATTTCAATGTTTTCAATCATTTCCAATTGCGAACTGCCATCCAGCTTTGCCAGTTTTATATGCAAATTTCCATGAAAACCCTTGAAACGTCTGAAAAATCAAGTAGCTACGGTAGTGTGGCTTAGGCTTAGGCTTAGGCTTGGGTTTAGGCTTGGGCTTAGGCTTGGACTTAGTGCGTAGGCTAGCGGCTAGCGCCTAGCACTAAGTCTATTTGGGTTTGGGCTGAACCCCCATTTTCTGCCAGAGCCAAGGGACACCCGCTTGGCGATGCTCATGCGCCCCCCATAGGAGCATCCTGGCAAATTTTCAGGTAGTTCTCGTGTCTGGAAGTTGATTAGGCTTAGGTTTAAGCTTAGGCTTAGGCTCAGGGCTTAGCTCAGGCTCAGGGCTTAGCTCAGGCTCAGGGCTTAGCTCAGGCTCAGGGCTTAGCTCAGGCTCAGGGCTTAGCTCAGGCTCAGGGCTTAGCTCAGGCTCAGGGCTTAGCTCAGGCTCAGGGCTTAGCTCAGGCTCAGGGCTTAGCTCAGGCTCAGGGCTTAGCTCAGGCTCAGGCTATGCTGAGCCTGGGCCTGAGCCTTCAAAGTAGCGTCAAAGTCAATGTATCAAGTAGCGTTCAAAAGTCTCGTTTCTCATCATTGAAATGATTTGCCCGATTCTCGATGACATCCAGTTGGATCGATTTCGATCACCGTTTTGCGAGGAATTAAGGAAAATACTGAGAAAACGAGAAAACAGGTTTAACGCGATTTTTCTCGTTTTCTTTGTCAAGATTGGGGAATTGATTGGAGGAAATTCGAGAAAAGAACGCTTTTTGTTTTCAGAAAATCTTGGAAATGTTGGAAATTTGAAAGGAAAACAATTTTTTTTCCAATTTTTTATCAAACCTTGGAACAATTTCATTGAAAAAAACATCGAATTCACTCAAAAACAAGTCCCTCAAAAAATTTCTCCGAATTCGTCATTTAAAACGAGAAACCCCAAGTTGTTTCGGGTTTCCTGGAGGTCACGCCAGGGAAAGCCGCTTGCCGGGGGCATTTCGCGACAAAAACGCGGTAAGGTAGAAAAGGAGAGGATTTTATGCTACCATTTTGACACCCATTCATTGAAGATATCGATTCAGCGATAATTTCAGAAGTCAAGCTGGGTCGCACAATAGGTGATGGGTAGAAGAAAGGGGTAATAGAGAAATGGAGGAAATTTATAGCTGAGGGTTGCGGCGTTGCGGCGTTGAAAGAAGTCTAAGGCTTGAAAGGGTGGAGATTGGACTCAATGGGGAAATGAGCGATTGGAAGAGGCAAGCTGGATGTCACAGTAAGTGATAAATCTAAAAAATTAGGGAAACAAGGGAAATGGGGAAAGTGGGTAGAGTGGAACGAGTTCAAAGCTTTAGAGGGCTTGAATTGAGCTGAAAAGTGAAATTTGCTATTGGAAGAGGCAAGCTGGATGTCACAGTAGGTGATAAATCTAAAAAAATGGCACTCACCTTTAGAAGAAATAAAATCATCGTCGAGGTGGACAGGGAAATGGGCAATTCAACCGAGGCAGGGGGAAAGGAAAGCAAAAAAGCAAAAAAAAGAGGGGAAAGGCTCAGTCTCGTGCTCTCTTTCTCTCTCAAATCAGGGGAAAGCGATTGTTTGGGGTGGGGAGTGCAAGAATTTTTGAGGGGGAGGGAGAAACAGACCGAGTGGAGGACGAGACAGGAGTGGAGGCAGGACTGAGGCTCTCCTCCTCTCTCTGAGACAGCCGGTCACTCCTCCTCACTTCCATCATCTATCCTGTCACGCAGTCGAGTGTTCTCTTTTGGCAAAAAGTGTCGAGAGTTCTAAAAAGTGCTCTAGTGGGGCTCTAGTCTACCGGGCTATAATCTGGGAAAGCTACTGTAACCCGAGGATTTCGAAGTTGTCGGTTTTATAGATTTTGTGATAAAATTATTTTCAAATCCTGGAATGACCTCCAGATTGAAAGTTTCAAAAAGAAAAACTAGGGGTTGGCTTGATTTTTTTGATTAAAATGAACCAGCTATGAATGTGGTTTAATTCTGAGTTGATTAACTGAAGGTTCGCTTTTATCTTTACTAATCCAACAAGTTTAAATAGGTTAATGATATTTTCTGAAAGCCTAAGACGATTCTTTTTCACTTTCACTAAAAAGTGCTCTAGTCTACCGGGCTATAATCTGGGAAAGCTACCGTAACCCGAGGATTTCGAAGTTGTCGGCTTTATAGATTTTGTGATAAAATTATTTTCAAATCCTGGAATGACCTCCAGATTGAAAGTTTCAAAAAGAAAAACTAAGGGTTAGATTGATTTTTTTTGATTAAAATGAACCAGCTATGAATCTGGTTCTAGTTTGAGTTCATTAATGGAAGATTCGCTTTTATCTTTACTAATCCAACAACTTTAGATAGATTAATAATATTTTCTGAAAGGCTGAAACGATTCTTTTTCACTTTTACATCACAAATAGACAACGAATAGACTTTTTCTGATTCGAAAATTTCGCTGGCAAATGTCAACACATACAAAACCGTCCAAATGATTTGTAAAGGGGTTTTCGCGTGGCGACATTTGCCATCAAATTTCCCGTATGCTCTCCGGCAATCATAAAAAATAAGAAAATTTCGAAACTCGAACAATTTTAAGCAATTTTAACGAATTTTAACGAATTTTAAGCAAATTTTAAGCAAAATCAGAAATTTCAGATTTTCTGGACGTTGAAAAGATTGAAAATGAGTTGCCCATTCGCTTGTGTGCCATCCAGGAAGCCCCAAAAGCGATACAGTAACCAGAGAAGCCTTTTGAATTTAATGCAAATGCGTCTGATTAGGAAAATCTCGTTATCAACGCTTTTTTTCGGGTTTTAATGAGTGAATCGATTCTCAAACTTGCACGATCTTTCAAGTTGGATGTCACACTACCCAAAAAAAGCCTCGAGGTCATCGCTATTTAGCTATTTAGCTATTCAGCTATTTAGCAGGTGGGGGGCGGTCGAATCCACGGCTAGATATTCGATATTCGACTAATCCCCTTTGCTTGGTAAAGAAGCCGGCCAGGGTATACGGTAGCTAGATCTTTCTTTGGATATTACCCATCCCCAAAGCAATCAAAGCAATCAAAGCAATCATCTTTCACAAAAGAAGCCCTTTTTTTGAATTTGAGGATACTGTAGAATTGAAAATTCAAGACCAACACTTTTTTTTTAAAATTCTAAAGCTCTTACTTCAAAGCTCTTGTTCCAAAGCTCTTGTTCCAAAGCTCTTGCTACAAAGCTCTTGTTCCAAAGCTCTTTCTTCAAACCTCTTGCTTCAAACCTCTTTCTTCAAGCCTTCAAAGCTCTTGTTCCAAAGCTCTTGTTCCAAACCTCTTGCTACAAAGCTCTTGCTTCAAAGCTCTTGCTCTTGCTTTCATTTCTCAATCTGGAAAGCATTTAAACGAATTCGCATTTTTTAAACAAAAATCGCTTTTTTGGCGTTGTTTTTGGTTTTTCGGTTTTCGACTTTTCTTGTTTAACCAAAATTTTCGCCTCTACTATTCGCTGAGATGTAGATTTCATTTTTAACGTTTATCCTGGACAGCATGCTAGCCATTTCGTAACGAATTCCAGCTGAAAGACGATTTTTTTGATTTTTTTTTTGCTCGCACCACCTCATTGATTTCCACAATTTTCCACCAAAAAGAAACTCGAAATTCACTCGAAATTCTACCGTATTCTAAGTTTAAATGCAAATTTTTCGCTTAAAAGATTCAATCTAGAGCTATATTCAATCATAGGATCCGATTTTTAATTGATTTTGTTTCAAAATAAAAATTTCAATTCTCTATTTTGAATCCGACCGCTTTTCTACCGTATCCTGACTTTAAAATGGAAATTTTCTTGATTGAATAACTAATCTGGATGTCACAGTATTTGATTTTGTCTTAAAATAAAAATTTGAGTTATCTGTTTTCCCAAAAATGAGTCCGACAGCTTTTCTACCGTATGCCGACTTTAAAATGGAAATTTTCTTGATTGAATATCCGATCTGGATGTCACAGTATTCGATTTTAAATTGATCCTCTTTTAAAATAAAAATTTGAATCACCTGTTTTCCCAAAAATGAGTCCGACAGCTTTTCTACCGTACGCCGACTTTAAAATGGAAATTTTCTTGCTTGAATATCCAATCTGGATGTCACAGTATTCGATTTTAAATCGATTTTGTTTTAAAATAAAAATTTGCATTTTTTTGCACTTTAGCTTTTTTTTCGCACTGCCAGCAAAGGAAAATCGATTTTTCGCCAACCTCGTCCCCATTTTTTTTTCCATTTTCTCTTTTCCTCAAAACTTTCTCGATTTCTCGATTTCTCCTTTCTATTCCCTCTCTAAAAAAGCCACAAAAAAACGGCTGATCTTTTCCGACAAAAAAAAAAGACTTTTAATGCAAACACGGCAAAAGAAACGTGAAAAAAAATCGAATCACGCTTGTTTAAACGCATTTTTTAAATCAATTTTCATCAATTTTCATCAATTTTTATCAATTTTTCATCAATTTTTATCAATTTTCTTTTTTTATTTCAAATTTTATTGTTTTGGAGTGCACAACGGAATTTGGGGTTTTTAGTTTTTTGAATTTTGAATTTTAAATTTTAAATAAAAAAAAAATCGAATTCCTCTTCTTTAAGCAAAGTTTTTCTTATGTAAAATTTAGTTTAAATGGCTTTTTTTCGATTCCGGAATACACTAGAAAGTTTGGGTTTATTTGAAAATTCTTGAATTGATTTTGAAAAAAATTATTTTTTCAATTGACTTTCGTAGTTTTTTTTGGTAATAAAAACCCGATTTTGAGTTTTTTTTACAGGGAAACGTTTAAAGTTGAGCTTTTTTGATTTCTCGGAATTTCTTTCTTTCTTCCTTCCCCATTTCTTCCTTCCCCACTTCTTCCTTCCCCACTTCTTCCCTTCCCACTTCTTCCTTCCCCACTTCTTCCTTCCCCACTTCTTCCTTCCCAACTTCTTCCTTCCCCATTTCTTCCTTCCCATTTCTTCCTTCCCATTTCTTCCTTCCCATTTCTTCCTTCCCATTTCTTCCTTTCCCTTTCTTCCTTTCCCTTTCCCTTCCCCATAAAATAATGTCATTTTTCAATTTTCGAAATTTCCATTTAACTGTTCAAATTTGCATTTAACAACAAACAAATTGTCAATCCAATCCAAAAAAGACCACTTCTCAAGGAAAAAGTGAAATTTTTCAATCCCAAATATTTCTAAAACCTATAAAAATTATAAATTAATCATTTCTTTAACAGAAATTCTTCGAAATCCCCTCAAAATTTCACTCAAAATGAGATCAAACGAATTTAGTGCTGAAAAGTCGAAAAGCCGATCGTTTCCCCCGGGTATACGGTCGATCTGGGTGTCACTGAGTGGATTGGTGCCTACGATTGGTGCCTAGCATGACTCCGCCCACTACGAGTTGGATGTCGCGACTCGACGCGGCGATCTCCGAGCGACCGATTACCCAATTGGCCATCCCTGGCCAGTTTTTTAACCTATCTGGAAGGCACATTATCTAAATTTCTAAAAAGAATTATTTATTTTAGGCTCCCATCACTCAGCATCAGCCGATGTGGACCCAAAAAGTGAGGTTGGTGGATTTTCTTTTCTAGAAAACGCTGATTACCAAAATAAACCCCTCCAATTCCCTCTGTGATATCCAAATTGGCAAAATCTTTGCAAAAACACCTATTTGGTAGTAAAGAAGTGATTCTAAAGCTTTAAACTCTTCTGACGATTAACGATAACGAAACTCTTCGTCTAGGTCGAGTCGAATCTGTCGCCAATGCTGCGCGCGCTCGGAAGCACATCAATGATTCGCGAAACGATGGCCAAATGGATGCAACATCAGAAGATTTCCGTTAAAGAACAAGTACAGATTTGGAAAAGTTCAGATTTTCAAAGATTTTCAGATTTTTAGATTTTTAGATTCTTAGATTTTCAGATTTTCATAGTGGCTCAGTTTAAAGCTAAACTCGTGCTTAATTTTGTCGATTGGCTAAGGCTGCTAGAGCTGATAGAGCTGCTAGAGCTGCTAGAGCTGCTAGAGCTACCAGAGCTGCTAGAGCTGCTAGAGCTGCCAGAGCTGCTAGAGCTGATAGAGCTGCAAGAGCTGCTAGAGCTGCTAGAGTTGCTAGAGCTGCAAGAGCTGCTAGGGCTACTAGAGCTACCAGAGCTACAGCAAATTACTTGACTATTACCTTTTTCCATTTTTCCAAAGCTAGATTGAAAACGGGAAAGTGTTGAAATTTTTGAAAGAGACTAATCTGTATATAATCTCAAAATCTCCACTGTTTCATGCCGTGGTTAACGTTCAATAGCCGAGTGGTTAACAGTCTAGAATCTAGTCGGAGAGGTCGGGGGTTCGAAGCCGGCCTTGGTCTTCTTTGACTTCCTTTTTGAATTTTTGACTGACTTCCCTACTGACTTCCTTTTTGACTTCCTTACTGACTTCTTTACTGACTTCCTTACTGACTTCCTTTCCTTTTTAACCAAAATATGAAATATAATAGAAACAATCTTTCTAAGCATAAAAAAGGAAAGAAATTTTCAGCTTGAATCCGGCATTCGTTATTTCGATTTCTCGATAGAGCACACCGCAAATGATCGCTTTTTTGTGGTAAACGGATTGCGATGCAATCAAATCGATGGTCGGTTTTTTTTGCTTTTCCCTTCAAACAGACTCATAGTTTAGACAAACTCATAGAACAAGGGAAATCATTCATTTTCAGATTATCTAGATGATCTCTATCGTTTCCTTAGCGAGCAAAGCCGTGAAATAGTCATTGTGAAAATGGACAAGTTCTGAAAGTTGAAGAATTAAATAAAAAAAGAGAAAAATCTAGATTTACGAGCTTCTCCTCAGAAAATCTAAAAGATTTCGAGAGGTTTATCGAGCAGAAATTCGGTGATCTCATCGTTAAACAAAAGGCAACGTCACTGGTTTGATTTCACTAGAAAATAGCCTCAAATTCGAGCTTTTAACCTCAAATTTGAGCCTTTACAATAAAAATAAGAAAACGATCAATTGCAAAATAAGTTTATAAGAAAATCTGGAACGCAAATGACTAATTTAAATCGATTTCTTTCGGAAACAACATCGTCTGCATCGTCGGCTTATTGTAGCTTACTGTAGCTTGCTGTAGCTTACTGTAGCTTGCTGTAGCTTACTGTAGCTTACTGTAGCTTACTGTAGCTTACTGTAGCTTGCTGTAGCCTACTGTAGCTTGTCCAGTGTTTACGAAAATAAGATCTCATCGTTAAACAAACGCCAATGTCACTGCTTTGATTTCACTAGAAATTAACCTCAAATTCGGGCTTTTACCCTCAAATTCTAGCCTTTACAATGAAAATAAGAAAACGATCAATTCAAAATAAGTTTATAAGCAAATCTGGAAACCAAAACGATCAATTGATCAATTTAAACCGAAATTTCTTTCGAAAACACCGTTTGCTCGTCGGCTTATTGTTGCTTTCTTTAGTTTTTTGTTGGTTTTTGTTGTTTTTTTTTTGGGTTGTTTTTGTTTTTTGGTGTTTTTGGTTGGTTTTGGGTTTTTTGGTGTTTTGTGGGGTTTGTAGTGTTAAGAAAAAGGTATGTCTTTAGAAAAAGAAAAAGAATGATAGAAAAAAAGTTTTTATCCCTTTTATAAGCAAATCTAGAACCCAAAATGATCAATTGATCAATTTAAACCGAAATCTCTTTCGGAAACAACATCGTCTGAATCGTCGGCTTATTGTAGCTTACTGTAGCTTACTGTAGCTTGTCCAGTGTTTAAATAAGAATTCTTTCTTTCTTTCGAAAATTCGAAAATAAGATTTCTTTCTTTCTTTTGAGTTTAACAGCTTTTAGGCTCTGAATTCAGTTTTTATGGCTATTTGAGATGTTTTAAAGGGAATCTGGAACGCACGTTTCTTGTCTAAAAAGAAATTTTCAGCAAAACGCTGACGCCGAGTCGCTCGCCGAGTGGTCGCTCGAACGATGTTGGCGGAAAAAGAAGCAGGTGTTTGAGGGATTTCATTTTTCAACACTGTTTTCTAAAAGCTGGATGTCACAGTGGAGATCTCGATGGTTAAAATGGAAATTCGAATCTTTTCAGATAATTTTCCTCTTCGACACTGCATTTCCGTTGCGAATCGCTTGGCCGATCAGCCGTTATGCAAAGGTTTGTTCAATGGAAAGCTGTAACACTAGATATTTAATTTAAATATATTCTAGATTTCAGGTAAATCAATCGGGAAGCGATTGCGTTGAGGAAGTGATCGATCGACTCAAAGACACAACACTTTCAAGGGAGCTGGAGGTTTTGCAGGTCCGAAAAATTGCCACCTAAAGAAATCGCCTCACTTTTTGCTTATTCTGGAGCACACTATGGCTTTTGAGAGGCTTAGAAAGAGGCATTTAATTCAGATTGACGAATCGGTGCTGAGCTTGCAATTGTCGGATGCTTTACGCAATCCGATGACCACTTTCGAGAAGCAATACGGACGACAAGCTACTCGCGAGATCGTTCAATTCATTCGAAAGGTTTGCTAATTTAGAAATAGAGCTCTTTACAAGCAAATTCATCATGGAAAAAAGCCAAGCTAGAAACCGTAATCTGGCTAGGGGTCAGGAAAAGATTGGGCTCATAGGGCTTACTGTAATCAAGTTTCTAAGAAATTTCCAACAAATTCAAGGGTTCTGGAACGCACACGAGAAAATAAATAAAGAAAAAAGCCGTAGTTCGCCATTTGGTGCAAGGTGGAACTTTTGATAAAGAAGAAAATTTGCATTTAAAGTCAAAATTTGCATTTAAAATCACCACCGATTTACCGTGGCTAAGTGATGAATTTTGTAGAGAATTTACTAAAAGATTTCCGAATTTTTACAGAATTCCCCCAAAAATCTCAACGTGGTGGCTGTCGATTTCTGCGAGGAGGCCGACTTTGCCCAATCCATCATCGCGCTCAACAAATAGAATAGAAATAGAAATTTTTTCTTTAAACCTTTGCAAACTCGAATTTGATCTTTTCCTTATCTTCAGTGACATCCAGATCCGCCAATGCTGACTTTAAAACCAAAAATTTCTTCATAATACTTTACGTTTTCCTTTGCACCAAAATTCTGCTCTTTCTTTTCTTTTTCTCTCTCTCTCTTTTCTCTCTCTTCTCTCTCTCTCTCTCTCTTCTCTCTCTTCTCTCTCTTGGCTTTCTCATCTATGCAAATTTGTCAATATTATGCTAATCAATATTATGCTAATTTCCACGAAAAGGTTTAATTTCGATAAAAAGAATAACACAAAATGTGAAAGTATTACATAAAATAAAATATACATAAAATAAAGAAGAATGGGGGTTTTAAAAAGGTTAAAGAGTGGATAGGCTACCGTCCTTCAAAAAAGATTATGCGCTTTTTCGGGACGCTAGAGAGGGGAAGCTTTGAGAATTACAAGAAAAACAGCTATTCTGGATATCATGTTTTGAGATTTTCGGGAAATCGCCTTGAAAAGCGCTCAATTCTCGTGGCCTGGCTGGGGGTCGGAAAAAGATTGGGCTCATAGGGCTTACTGTAATCGGGTTCTCAAGAAAATGACAACAAATTCAAGGGTTCTGGAACGCACACGGGAAATAAATTGGGAAAAAAGCCGTTAAAAAACCGTTACCGTAATCTGGCTGGGGGTCGGAAAAAGATTGGACACCCAGGGCTTACTGTAATCGAGTTTCTAAGAAAATTTCAAGAAATTCAAGGGTTCTGGAACGCACACAAGAAAATAAATAAAGAAAAAAGCCGCAAAATACCAGTCGAAAATTTTAGGAATAATTTAAGAACAAAGAAAATTTGCATTGAAGTTACCACAACCGAATTACCGTATGACAATTAATGGATGGGGGAATGGAGGAGAAAATTCGTGTAGTCGGGAGAGAGCAGATGCCGCAGATAGGGGCGCAGGGCGAGGAATTGACGAAATTCCCGGAGAGGGTGGAGGACGACGTGGCGCAGCTCGTGCCGAGGCGAGAACACCACGTGTCTAAGCTGCCTGAAAGTTGAATTTTCGAAAAGTTTTCGATTTTTCGATTGATTCGATCATTCTGGAGGGCACGTGAAAGTTTGGCGCAAGTTTTGCAAAATTTAGAGCAAAAGGGCAGGCGCCAAATGTGGTGAAAGCTGTTCGCTCGATTTTAGACTGTTTATAGTTGAATTTTCGAAAAGTTTTCGATTGATTCTTTCATTCTGGAGGTCACGAGAAAGTTTGGCACAAGTTTTTTCACAATTTAGAGCGAAATAAAAATTTTTGAAAAACGATCAAAAAGTCTTAAAAAACTAAAATCAAAAATTTGTCGATTTTAAAATTCTAACAGCTTGGGGACGTTGTGTGCCTTCCAGCTTGGCCAAATCTCACTTCAATTTTGGTCCCGAGCGGAATAAAAGCCTCCCATTTGAGGCCAACATCCATCGACTGTCGACCTTGTGGTCGCCAGCCACCCGCCAGCTCTCCACACTCTGAAATGACCGTTAACTCTCGTCTAGGCACTAGAAATGAAATTCAGGCTAGTTTCAGGTTTCGATTAATGAATGAACAGCAAAAATTTGAAACGTGGACACTTATGGAAATTTTGTTTTCCGAATTTTTTAGAAGCGACGAGAGTTGACGGTCATTTGCACTCGTGAAAGCATTCGAACTCTATTTTCTCTTAGAAACTCTTTCGATCTGGCATGCACTAGACAATTCTCAGCAATAAAATTCAAATGCTTTGATTAGTTTAACACTTTTGGTTTGATTTGATTAGGGTTTTTGTTTTTTTTTGTTTCTCCGATTTTTCTGTAACTTCTTGGGGTAAATGAAACAAAAATTTTTAGCTAAATAATCAATCTGGATGTCACATAAGAGAAGGAAAGGAAAATCGGAGAAAAAAAACGCCGTTTTCGAACAAACCCGTTTAGCTGCTGGAGCACCGACGGGATCGGTGGCTGGTCGCTTGGCGGCGCCGGTGATGCCCATAAAACTTTGGTAGACCTGGAAATTGCAATTTTAGCTTCATCAGTTGGCTCTGTTTAAAATTTACCGTCACGAATTGTTGCGGGGTCATTGCGCGAATGGTGTTGGCCGCCTGGTAGAGTCTCGCCGGCTCGGTGCGGATCACTGAAATTTTAAAATGAAAATTTCATTGATTTTTGACGATGAAATGGTGTTGTGACTTCCAGATTGCTTAAAACTTGTTGAAATTTACAGAACATTTCGGAAAATCATTGAAATATTAAGGAGAGTACGATTTGTACTATGTACACTAGTAGTAGTATTAGTGTTTTTCCAAAATCTCTGTATGAATTCGATCATGTGATTTCCAGATTGCTTAAAACTTGTTGAAATTTACAGAAAATTATGGAGAATCATTGAAATATTAAGGAGAGTACGATTTTTACTATATACATTGGTAGTAGTATTAGTTTTTTCCGAAATCTCTGTATGAATTCGATCATGTGACCTCCAGATGGCCTAAAACTTGTTGAAATTTACAGAACATTTCGGAGAATCACCGAAATTGCAAGGAGAGTACGATTTTTACTATATACACTAGTAGTAGTATTAGTTTTTATGCAAAATCTCTATATAAATTCGATCATATGACTTCCAGATTGCTTAAAACTTGTTGAAACTTACAGAACATTTCAGAGAATCATCGAAATTTCAAGGAGAGTACGATTTTTACTATATACACTAGTAGTACTACTTTTTCTCCAAAAAAACCCCCGATTTCTCACCGGAATCCCGAATCTCGTTCGATTTGAGATCTTTGAACGGTCGTCGAGCTGAGCGACGCAAATTCAGCACCTCTTTCGACACCAATTTGCGCGCCAGTTTCCCCAAAACATTTGTGACCATCGTGAAACCGATTCGATTCTGGAAAATGAGAAATTTCAAGCGTTTAGCGAACCGCCAGCCTCAGCGGTGGCTCTGGAAAGCAGTCTTTTTCTTAAACCCACTTTTCCAGCGCCTTTTGGATCAGCAGCCGATGAGCCCGAAGTGGTCAAATTGAGTGCACCCTGAAAGCTCGATTTTGGGTTACGGTAGCGACTTAATTCTTATAGATTTCTTCAATCTGGATCTCACAATGGTCTATGAGTTGGATATTATTTTGTTTGGTTGGCTTTACCTCATTCGATGCGGCTCCTCGCAGCATCGAGATTTGAGCGGCGGTGGCAGCAGCGATTTGAGCGTTTAGCGAACCGCCAGCCTCAGCAGTGGCTCTAAATTTGTTATTTAGTTGATAGGTTGAGAGGTAATTGAACGATAATCGCTTACCTTGACGCTTGTAGTGCTGGATGGTTGGATGGAACGCTTGCGATAACTAATCCGCTGCCGCCTCGGTTTAGTGGTTGAACGCGCTGGAAATCGAGGGAAATTGAGGGAAATCAAAGGAAATCAAGGAAAATCAAAGGATATTCCGGCTAATATCTAATAGAATTTGTTTTATAATATTCAAATTTGAGCTCATCTGCACTTACCGATGCTCCACTTTTATCAGCGTTTGCGAGCGCGGTTTTCGCTGCGACTTCTCTTTCTGGCTCTTTCATATCGTAAATATCTAAATGTTTAATATTATAATTGTTTAAAACCGAAAAAAATCTAAACTTTCTTTTCTAAATCTTAAAATTTAAAAGAAAAACTGTCAAAACCGAAAAAAACATCAGAGTCAAAATATTCAAACAAAATGTGCACTTATTTGGCCGGATTTAGCTGCTGTAAAATGGCTCTTAGTTAGCTAGGCTCTTAGTTAGCTAAGAGCTTAGTTAGCTAAGCTCCTAGTTAGCTAAGCTCCTAGTTAACTAAGCTCTTAGTCAACTAAGCTCTTAGTTAACTAAGCTCTTCGTTAGCTAGGCTCTTAGTTAGCTAAGCTCTTAGTTAACTAAGTCCTTAGTTAACTAAGTTCTTAGTTAGCTAAGCTCTTAGTTAACTAAGTCCTTAGTTAACTAAGTTCTTAGTTAGCTAAGCTCTTAGTTAACTAATCTCTTTCCTCACCGTGTTGATGTGGTTGATTGATCGAGGCGAGCTTCTTCCAAATTCCCTGACAATCCTGACAGATGAACAGCGATGCCGACTGGGGACCCCATTTAAACCATTGCAACGATTCCTCTTTCTGAAAAAGCTTGATGACTTCCAGATCGCTGACTTCCAACCTGACAACTCTCGCACGCTTTCGGCCCCTTGATCGGCACACCGGTGGTCGAGTTCGATTGAAGATTTTGATTTGGCTTGCTGTACGCGGGGATGTAAACCTGGAAAAAGGCGATCTGGATGCCATTGAAGATTTTGAGCTAAGCAAATTCACTGGAATTGCATTTTGAAAGAGCCGGATTTACGGGAATTCTGTTGTCAACTCTAAAAAGCGTGTACTCTAGCGGAATTAAGAATTTCGAGCAGCCCTAGTAGCTCGTAGCAGCCCTAGTGGCTCGTAGCAGCCCTAGTGGCTCGTAGCAGCCCTAGTAGCTCGTAGCAGCCCTAGTGGCTCGTAGCAGTGGGCTTACTGTACAAGACCGTCGATAAAATGTCAATAAACAAAATCTGTTTCTCTCAAATTCAACTGTGATATCCAGCTAAGCAAAAGCCCGAGTTTCAAAAAAATCTGATTATTTTTAAAAAAGTTATTGCGACGAGACTGATTTGAAGCCAGATTTTAAAGCCTCCAATCAGCCTTGCAGTCTCGAATCAACTCGAATCAGTGAATGCGAAGGGCCAAAAAGAAATCAAAAGCATTCTCTTTTACCTGTTTCAATTTGCTTTCCTGATCCTGGGTTTTTTGCTTTTTACTTTCTTGATAACGATTCGTTGTTTTCCACATATAATAATATTCAACAAGATCTCGAACCGATTTCCATGGAAGCTGAAAAACAAATCTTCTTTATCTTCTTCTTATCTTAACAAATCATACCGTAAATACTGTAATAGTACCCCCTGCGCCATCGTACAGTCGCGTAGTCGTTTTTTAGTATTTCATTTTTTTCAAAGAGCCCGTACAAAGCGCCAGTACAAAGCGCCCGTACAAAGCGCCCATACCAAGCGTCCGTACAAAGAGCCCGTACAAAGCGCCCGTACAAAGCGCTCGTACAAAGCGCCGGTACAAAGCGCCCATACAAAGCGCCAGTACAAAGCGCCCGTACAAAGCGCCTGTACAAAGCGCTCGTCCTTTCAAAAAATTCGTCTTTTATATCAAAAAAAAGCCCTGAATTTCAGCTATTTTTTGATATTTAAACGAGCATTGTAGCATAAACCAGTGTCGAGAAAAACTCGTTCAAAGCTAGACTACGAAACACTCCGCACCGTCATTATGCGGGTCGGGTACTATTACAGTATTTACGGTAGGCTAATTTCAGCTTCTACACCACTCACATAATCGTTTCGCATATCGTGAAAATCTTTGCCATATTTCTCTAAGGCTTCCTCAAAGAGATTCGACTCTGCCGTCGACCACTCCTCTAATTGATCCCTAAAAAAAGTGATTGTTTTGTGATTTCTCGCTGAAAAAAGTGAATTTTCAATAATCCTGGATGTCACTCTAGAATCTAGTATGGTTAAAATGAAGAAAATTGGTTAAATTGATTTTTTTCAAGAACCCATATAACCATCTACATTTTGACTACGTTTTTGTAAAAGAAAGGCAGAAAGGACAATCGATTCTTCAATCCTGGATGTCACTTGAGAATTTTGAGGGATTAGAATTCAACTATCGACACTTTTTTTCCCTTACCGGCACAAGATCGGTCCTCCTAGCGATGTCGTGTGGAGACCGGTGGCCTTTTCGGCTTCGAATGGATATGTGTCTTTGTTGCATGGTGGGCACAAGTATCGAACTGCCTAGAAACCGAAAATTTATTTATTTCATTTATTTAATTTCATAAAGCTTAAACTAAATTCATCAGCCAAACCCTTCTTTTTTCTGTTTCCTAAAACGTGTCCTTTTTAGGTGAAAAACTATCGTAATAACGTGTTTTATACAAAGCATTCGTTAATCTGGAGCTCACAAGGCATTTCTAGGCTATCATCTCAATGAAAGGACCAAAATGGCACCTCGAGGTTATCCCACAGCAACTCCGCCATGACTCAAAACCAATGCCCGTATCAAAAACGATTCTTGTTTTTATCTGATTCATCAATCTGGAGCTCATAAGGCATTTCTAGGTCATCATTTCAGTGAAAGGACCAAAATGGCGCCTCGAGGTCATTCCACAGCAACTCCGGGTGACTCAAAACCAATGCCCGTATTAAAAACAACTCTTGTTTTTAACTGATTCATCAATCTGGAGCTCACAAGGCATTTCTAGGCTATCATCTCAATGAAAGGACCAAAATGGCACCTCGAGGTTATCCCACAGCAACTCCGCCATGACTCAAAACCAATGCCCGTATTAAAAACAATTCTTGTTTTTATCTGATTCATTAATCTGGAGCTCACAAGGCATTTCTAGACCATAACCTCAATGAAAGGACCAAAATGGGCATTTCGTGGCTACAGCAACGGGTTATTGTGGATTACGGTAGCCGTGTTTTCTAGTCAATAATTCAAAATCCCCTCACCTGTCCCAAATCGTATTTCGCTTGATGGAGAAGAGCTAAAGCGTGAAAAAGAGTGACATCTCGACTGGCGGCGGCGGCAACCATGTGAAGAGTTGGGAATCGAGTCGAACTGTTCGTGTCCAGTGCTCGCGAGAATGTGCCAACGGCTCTGAATTGATTCAAATTCAGTTTCTTTCTTTATACTGCCTTCCAGAAAGAGAATTTAGTTTAGTTTTCAGTTTATTTTATGTTTCTAATCAAATTAAAATTCGTAGAACTCGTTGAAAACCGAAATTTGCTAAATTGAGTTTGCTTGAATTTCACGAAATTCGTTTTTCTCTTTATTCGATTTTCTGTCGTGCGTTCCAGATCGTTCAAAAAGTTTAACCAAATAAAAGTATTCACCTAGCGATGATGAGAAATTGATCGATCTCTTGATCGGTGAGCGAGTGTTTCGGATGGAAGATGATACGCTCTCTCTCGGTGAGCGCCATCTTGCGATGAGCGCCATCTTGTGATGTGGCTTCTTGTGCTTCCTCTTGCGCATCCTCTTGCGCTTCCTCATCAATCACCAAAGCGTCACTGAAAGAGGAAAGTTTCTTTATTTTGCTCAAGAATTCAACATTTCTAAAAACTCACCCATTTTCTTTATTTTCGTCCTCTTCTTCTTCCTTTACATTTTCAGGAATCTAAAGCAAAATAAAGTATTATCTTGTACTCGAATGGTTAAAAGTATTATCTTGTACTTGTCAGCACCTCAGCTTGATATTTGTTTCCAACTCGAATCGTTCCTTTATCAGCCAAAAGTGTCAAATTAGCCGCATCATAGACAAGAGAATAAAAAAAACAATCCTAAAATTGAGCTAAGCGAGTTTAAAATCTTATCTGCCTTCCAGATCACTCAAAAACTTGCATCTTTTTGATAGCAATCGAGATCTTCGACCTCGTTCAGCAGTGTCACCATACAGCGTCCACGAATCCAATTACACGAGACCGTCTCTTGGTGACGAGAGAGGAAAAGCTCGCGTTGTCTGAAATTATCGACGTTGATGAGCTAGATGAGACGTTGATGAGAAGATAAATCTTTTACAATCCCCGAAGAATAGTATTCTGTCTAAGTCGGCTTTTTCAGAAGCAAGGTTGCTTAAAAAAGCCGAAGCACAGACAAAAGCTGGGTTGGCTTTGGTTTTTGGGGAATCTTGGAAAATGGGGATCTGAAATCTATCGAAATCTTCGTACTGCGTTCCAGATTAAACATAAAATCTAATGGCTAAGGGTTTAAATGAACGGGGAATTCGGAAAGTGCTTGAAGTCGTTCCAGTGGTGATCAAGAAAATTTTAATCTTCTCTAATCGATTTGAAATCTATCAAAATCTTCGTACTGCGTTCCAGATTAAACAAAAAATCTAGTAGCTAAGGGTTTGGGTGAGCAGTTTTCTTGTTTCCCGACCGTCACCTGAATAAGTGTCGTTGTGTGCCATTGAGTTTATCAGCTCCTAGCGGCAATCCAGCATTGCCCCATTCTCTCCTCAATTCCTCAACTCCATCATTCTCTTCCTTATCTTCTTTCGCTTTCCCTTCATCCACCTTCTTCTCTTCAAGTTCATCTAGAAATTGCATTTAAATTACAGTAATTCTTCTCTACAGTAACAGACGTCTCTACAGACTTTTCTAGACGTTTCCTAGACATTTCTACAGTAATGCTTTAAGGCTTACTGTAGTTTTCTATAAAAGTGAGTACCTGTTTTCGATGAGGATCCATTTTGAGGAATTTCCTCCGATTTCTCGATCTCTTCTTTCTGAAAAAAATGTTTTAAAGACTTTTGAAAGGGCCTTATTAGCTAGCTAGCTACAGTAATCTAAGATCTAAGCTCTGAGATCTAAGCTCTGAGATCTAAGCTCTGAGATCTAAGCTCTGAGATCTAAGCTCTAAGATCTAAGCTCTAAGATCTAAATTCTGCTAAGTACAGTATCCTGAACAGCTCCTCACCTTGACCCCCTTTTCTGTCTCGCCATTTGTCGTCGGTTTCACCTCATCTTTCTTCTCCTCCCGATCGTAATCTAAAGCTTCAAACTTGTATTTTCCAAAACCCAGCCACTCACATTCCTCGAATTTCCTCTCTGCAGTGTCGGCGACTTTCAACAACATCTTCTCAATGTCTCTGCGTCGATAAAAACACGTCACCCGAGCCTCCACCGAGTTATTCGCATTCTAGAAAAGTTCTTGTTTAAGATTTCATCGATCTGGATGTCACAAAGGGTTTTACGGGGATTTGAACTGACCTTGACAAGCTCCTCGATTCGCCGGATCGCATACGGCGCATCGTTGCTCGTCTCGATGTAGACGTAATCTGGAAAGGAATGGAATGAAAAAAAGAAAACTAAAGCCGATTCTGGAGTGCACTTTGCATAAAGACTTTACTATTTCGTTAATATTATTTAAAATTCCTCCGATCGGTACCAAGAGTACTACAGTTAACTCTACAGTTAACTTACCCACCCTAAACTTGTCTTAATATTTAAATCTTTAGTTTTAAACGCCTATCTGGAGGGCACAGTAGAATATAAAAATGTAAAAATTAAAGGATAATTTCAAAATTTGTGATTCGAGATTTTGGAGGGACGAATTTTCTCTAATAGTAGTGCACCCAGAGCGTCGCCTAAATTGCTCGAAATCTCGAAAAGCGCTTATCAGAACCTATCGATGTGGGGTCGGAAAATGTAGCTGACGATGAGATCTTGTGGGGGATTTGAGTGTTGAGCTTCTGTGAAAACTTTGAAAGCCGTAAAATGGTCACCAACTCGGCTCGCTAGGGTGCACTACTATTAGAGAAAATACGGTAATAGTTATCTAGGTCGGTCAGCACTGAAAAGTTTTCTAATCTAATCTAATCTTTTCCCCAGCCTCACCTCCAACTCTGTACATATTCTTGGCGGTTTGCGGATTGGTGGTGCCGGTGGTGGCCATTCTTTGTTTTTCTCGTTTAATCTGATCGATCACCCAAGTCGCGTTCGGATCTGGAAAGGATTAACAAATTCAGATTAACAAAATTCGCTTTCAATTGAAGAAATGTTGAAGCTGGATGTCACAGAAAAAAATGGGATCAAAAAATGAGTGAAAAATTTGAAAATGAAAAAGTTGAGAAAAGTGAACGAAAGGGTTTGGCGTTTGATTTCAATAAATATAATGCTAACAAAACATTTCCATCAGAAAAATTCTCAATCTGGATGGCACAGAAGCAGTTAAAATTTTGAAAAGGGTTTAAAAGTTGATTTGGAAAAAAATTTGGAAATTGATTTTGGTGGTGATGGGATTGGAGAAGAGAAAGGTCGATTAACCTTTAATAAACAATCAAATTGCCTAAAACGATTTTAAAAATGGGTTTATTCGTTAATCTGCTCTTAATTAATAAATAAATAAAATAATTGCCTAGAATAATTGCCTAGAATAATTGCCTAGAAAAGAAAATCTGCTCTAGCTGGCTTGGTGTGCCTTGAATTGTTTTCTGAGTGCTTTAAACTACACAAAACAACAATTACATATGCCGTCCAATGGTGATATGGGCTAAGTTGGAGTGCACAAGAAAGAATGAGATTCAAAAAAACAGGGTTTTTTCGATTTTAAAAAAAAAACTCGATCAGCTAAGACAAAGTGAGTCTAAAATTTGAAATTTACATACAAAATTCGTTAAAATTAGCATAAGAAACTCGTTTTGGCTTTTTTTTGGCTTTCTTTTGTCTTTCTTTTTGTCTTTCTTTTTAAGAAAAGACTCAAAATTACAAAAATTCAAAATTGACAAATAAAAACAGCTAAAAGAAAAAAATGAATTTTAAATTTAATGCCAGCTATTTGAAACATATCGAAATCGTCCTACTGCGTTCCAGATTAAACATAAAATCGAATAGCTAAGCGTTTGGATGAATGGGGAATTCGGAAAGTGCTTCAAGTCGTTCCAGAGTTGATCAAGAAAATTGAAATCTTTCTAATCGATCTGGAACCTATCGAAATCTTCCTACTGCTTTCCAGATCAAACATAAAATCTAGTAGCTAAGGGTTTAAATGAACGGAGAGATGGAGAGAGGGGGGAGGGATGTTTGGGGTGGAGAGGAGAGGAGGGGGGATACAAAAAGACGCGAGTGAAGGGAAGGGAGAGGGGGAAGGGGTCATCCACCAATCGATTTCCCATCTCTCTTTCCTTTTTCCCCATCGGTCAAAAGTATGTACCCCAGTAGAGTGAAAGAGCCCGTCACCTATTTGAGAAAAGAATTAAAGAATCAAAGAATTGGGAGTCCGAAATGGTCCGAATTTTCAATTTTTGTTTAATCTTCAATTCAAGACATCTACAGTGCTCCAACTAATTATAGAGCCACTTACATTTTTTAAAACTCAGTAGCGACTTTGAAGCGAAATCAATTAAATTCAACTTTGGTCAGTAGAGAATTTTTGTACTGATCTTTTCTATTCATTTTTATTTAGAAGTTGCTAACCGTCGTGACGCTTTATCTTTAAATTCAAAAAAATGACACTTTTCCGCTCCAACTAATTATAGAGCCACTCTGATTTTTGTTTGTAATTGTTTTTTTTTCATTTCCATTTATTTATAATTCGATTGACTTTACTTTATTAAGTTATTTTTAGTTATGGCAAGAGGTAAAACGCTTTCCGACTTCGAGAAAGGACAGATCGAAGCATATAACCACGCTGGAAGGAGTAATCGAGAAATTGCTCGACTTTTGGGTAGAAGTCATCACCTCGTTGATAGTTACCTTACTGATCCAGCCATATATGGCACTAGAAAATCAACAGGACGAATTCCGCAAGTATCAGACCAAGATAAAAGGCGAATTTGGCGAGCGGCTTCCAACAGCACAATTACATGTCGCCGAATCAAACGAGAATTGGGATTGCGAGGCGTGCTCCAACGATAACCGCTCAAAATAAAGAAAAACTTTTGAAATTTTGTCAAAGAAACATGCGTCAGAATTGGTCTAAGATTAGCAAAAGCACCAAGTTGAATTTTTCTTACGTTTCATAGTTTAGGTAATCTGGAGCGATGAAAAAAAATTCAATCTTGATGGTTGCGATGGTTTCAAAGCATACTGGCACGATATCCGAAAAGAACCAAAGCTTTTTTCACGACGAAATTTTGGCGGTGGAGGCGTAATGGTCTGGGGGTGATTCACATCAACTGGAAGGATCAAATTAGCGTTTGTCCCAAAGAAAATCAATTCCGAAAGGTATCCGTGGATACTCCGACGATGTCTGTTGCCATTTTATCGCAAGAATTCCACTCAAAATTTTATTTACATGCAGGATAATGCGCCAATTCACGTTAGTGAAAGTACTCGAGGCTGGTTCCGGAGGCGCCAAATTCAACTTCTTGATTGGCCGCCAAATTCGCCCGATATAAATCCGATGGAGATCAGTACAAAAATTCTCTACTGACCAAAGTTGAATTTAATTGATTTCGCTTCAAAGTCGCTACTGAGTTTTAAAAAATGTAAGTGGCTCTATAATTAGTTGGAGCACTGTAGATTCTAGAATGATATCCAAATCAATGAAAAATTAGATTTAACTTAGCAAAAAAAGTTTCCCATTGCTTTTTCCTAGCCCACAAAGTTTCCCAATTTTGTTAACAATGTTTACAGTAGAGTTAGATAGGGTTAAATACAGGGTAGCTGAAATACAGGGTGGCTGAAAATTACGTGCGCCAAAACGCCATAAAACGCCATAATTTAATTTTCTAGAAATTTTCTAGAAAATGTAAAAATATTTATTTATATAATAGTTGTATGAAAAGCATTTAATAATCACAAGAAATTTTCGAAGTGGCCTCCATCCGCTTTGATACAGGCTTCAATTCGCTTCTTTACAGAATCGACGGTGCCGCGGAGATCATTTGCATCTAAGTCGTTCCAGATTTTGATCAATTCTCGACGTAAATCATTCAAATTGGTGATTTTCCTATTTCTCAAGTTTTCTTCCATAAAGCCCCAAACCGAAAAGTCCAACGGATTGAGATCCGGGCTGTTTGCAGGCCGTTGATCCTTCGTCAAAAAAGAGCCAATGTTGGTTTTGAGAAAGCGAATTGTTGTTTTGGCTTCGTGGGCCGGCGCCCAATCTTATTGAAGGGTCAAATTGGGATGGCTCCTCTTCCATGGCACCACAGCTTTCTCGAGAATCTCTTTTTGATAGACTTTTGCGTTAATCTTCACATTTTTATCGTTAAAAACCAACGGGGTCTTGCCCGAAGCACTGATTCCACCCCAAACCATCAAACTTTTTGAAAACAGACCTTTTGTAGCGACTTTTCGTTTACGAGTGCTCTTGAGAACTGGACTGAGAAGTTGACGGTGATTTTGTGAGTTTTTAGCCACTTCCAAGGTGAAAATCTTCCCATCTGACCATCAGAACATCGTCAATGCGCCGCACCTTGAAAAAAGCTCGCAATTTCTTGCATTTCTCCTTCCGGTTTTGCTTGGCTTGATCGGTGAGCACTTGCCCGTTTAACAGTCGATAACTTCGAAGTTCGAGCTCATTTTTCACTATCGATTGAACCGAGAAACGCGAAATTTGAAGCTGTTTTGCCATCTTGTTCAAACTACGACCGTCTTTTCGCTCGATCCTCCTCTTGATTCCACCCCAAACCATCAAACTTTTTGAAAACAGATGCTGATGCTGCGCGCACGTAATTTTCAGCCACCCTGTAGAGTTTAGATAGAGTTAGATAGAGTTTAGATAGAGTTTAGACAGTTAGATAAACTAGTTTAGATCAAATCTATCATATTCAGTTCAGAAAACATCTCCTGCATCCCAGTTTGAAAAGAATTAAGGCTAAATTGGCTAAATTGGCTAAATTTGATCTTGGCTTAACCTAGAACACTCGACTCTGAGAGGGAACTCAGGAAGAGGAAGGAAGAGGTTTTGGGTTTTGGGTAGGAAGCTACTAGTGAGTGCAAAGTGCAGGCCATAGAGCTGAAATCGTGTCCTGCTTTCCAGCTAGCCGAAATCTAACATTGGTTTTGCATTTCCCATTTGTGAGACGGGAAATTTGGGAGTGAAGTGGAACCACGAGAAAGTGCTTGATGCTAAAAGTCGTTAGGGGAAGAAAATTTTTGAAAGCGATTTCATTTTGTGTTCCACTTTAACATTTGAGCCACTCATTATTGTCGATTTCTTTGAAATTCTTTGTTGAAAAATTTATTCCCAAATTTTCCTTCATTTACATCCGCGTGTGTGTGAGGCGAGAATCCCGTTGATCAATGTGTTCAGCGGGTTTTCTAAAGTCATGGAATTGAGGAGATTCATGGAAATTCATGGAAATCGCCTCTTTTACTTACCATCATTTTTTGGGCATTTTTCGCATGTTTTTGGGCAAATAGTGCTCACCAAATTATATAAAATAATCCGTTTTTCGTTACAAGTGTGAGAACCTGAAAGAAAAGTGATGAAAGCTATTGTAGAATTAAGCTATGAGGCTTTCTAGGCTATTTGGGCTAATGCTTAGCTCTGTAGCTTTTAAGGCTTAGGTGGCTTAAAGCTACAGAGCTTAAGGCTTAGGTAGCTTAAGGCTTAGCTAGCTTAAAGCTTAGGTAGCTTAAGGCTTAGGTAGCCTTAGGTAGCTTAAGGCTTAGGTAGCTTAAGGCTTAGTAGCTTAAAGCTTAGGTAGCTTAAGGCTTAGTTAGCTTTTAGCTCTGTAGCTTTGAAGGCTTAGGTACCTTAGGTAGCGTTTAATAGTTAAACCAGAAGCCGAACTTATTTCAATTTATACCTGAACTTTTCCTTGAACATTCTTGACCGAAAAGTGACTCACTTGTGGCTGTCATGTTGTCAAAAGGAATCCTAAAATTCCACGAGTAAGCAGCTCACCTAAACACCTAGCCAGTTTCAGATTCTTGTTGCAAATCCAGATTTCAAAACCCAGATCTTATTGCTCAGCCTAGAAGCTAGAAAGGCCCAACTCAATTCCTAGCCTCTCCTAGCCTCTCCTAGCCTCTCCTAGCCTCTCCTAGCCTCTCCTAGCTTCTCCTAGCTCAATTCTAGCTTAGCCAACAAGCCAACAAGTCAACTGACTTGCCTGGAATCCTTACAATTGACAATGAATGTCAAAGTCGTCACCAACCTTTCCATTTTCCCTTTGATTAATTGATGCACCCTTTCTTGTGCTTTCTTTTCGACTTTATTTATCTCCAGAATCTGCATGATCTCTCCAATTTCATCCAATTTCCCCTTTTCGCGGCAAATCAAACTCAATCGTGTGCAAATCTGCTCGTCCAAATGATCCTTGCAATCAACTGAAGAATTGATAAGTGACTGTTGATCAGTGAAAAGTTTTACCTTTCTTGATCGTAGCGGTGGTTGGGGCTTTTGTCTAAATTTGTTGTTTTAGAGAATCTCGGTTTAGCCATGACCAAGCCAGCCAAGCCAGCCAAGCCAGCCAAGCCAGCCAAGCCAGCCAAGCCAATTCAAATCAAAGCTTTCACTTTTTAATTGATATTTATTGGTGGATTAAAATGCCTGTAAGCCTTCCAAGCCATTCCAAGCCCGACAAAAACGTTGCCGAAATCACCTCGTGATATCTCTTGCGGCTTTTAGAGAACGAGTTATGACCTGTCAGTTCTGGTAGGGATCTTGTTAGCTTTGTTTTGAGACTCCGAGAAGGTACTGAGCATCGCTTTTGATGCACATGAGCATCGCTCTTCATCGATAAGGGTTTGGCGTTTGATTTCAACAAATATAACGCTAGCAAAACATTTCCATCGGAAAAATTTTCGATCTGGATGGCACAGAAGAAGTTAAGATTTTGGAAAGGGTTTAAAAGTTGATCTGGAAAAAATCTAGAAATTGATTTTGGTGGTGATGGGATTGGAGAAGGAAAACGTCGATTAGCCCTTAATTTCATTTTAATAAACGATTAAAATGATGATTAAAATGCCTAATTTAGCCTAAAAACGATTTAAAAATGAGTTTAACCGTTAATGTGCTGAAAAAATGAAACCCGATCTTTAATCAAAGCCTAAGCCTAAGCCTAAACGTAACATCGGCTCATCGACGTAACATCGACATATCTCAACTTCTAGACACGATAGCGATCTGAAATTTGGCAAGGATACTCCCCTTGGGTTCCAAAGCACAAGGGCAATCGCTTGTCCATTAGCTAGAGAACTGGCCGAGGTCCAGAAAATGGGGGTTGAGCCCAAACCCAAATAGACCTAGCTAGCCGCTAGCCTTCGCACTAAGTCCAAGCCTAAGCCTAAGCCTGCCTAAGCCTGTCTAAGCCTGCATAAGCTTGCCTAAGCCTGCCTAAGCCTGCCTAAGCCTGCCTAAGCCAAGCACAGCTGACAAGCTGACTGCTACAGCTGACTTACCGTTTCTCTGATGTATTGCCCTTGTCCTTCACCATCAACAGCTTCAAAATCAGCAGAAATGAAACCAGCTCTTTCCTGGAATACGACAATTAAAAGCGGATAAGAAAATGGATTAAAACCGCTTTCTCTTTCCATGCTTTCATCTCGATTTCGCTCAATTTCCGGGCAATATACTCGTTTCCCTGAATATCTTTTTGTTATTCTTCTTTTAATTAGTCAAATTTGTGTTATTTATCGTAAAATTGACTAGAAAATGTTTAGATTTCGTCTCGAAACTCGTCTAAACGTCTAACTAAACGTCTAACTAACTAACACTTTAAACTCATACTTTCAACTCGCATTTGATAACTTCTTTGCCAATGGCTTGCGTCTCACCAAACGCCAATCGATTGCCCCGATATAGACAATCTGAAATAGATACAGTAATCAAACAACTATTGCACTTACAGAACATTACTATAGACATTCTGGAAAGCATTGTTTCGTTTGGGGAACTTTTTATAGAGATTTACTAACTAGAGCTTAGGGAGAGCTTAGGGAGAGCTTAGGGAGAGCTTAGGGAGAGCTTAGCGTCAAACGTACTTTCATAATCTTCCTAAACTTCCGTAAATAAACTATCCAAGCTTTTCATATTCCTTCGTGACATCCAGGATTCACAAAAAATCATTTGATTTCTCGTTTTCGACTTTACAATTCCGTAGTTTCACTTACAGATCTGTTGCACGAAAGCCGAGACGACGCCGTTGTCGACGCGGAAGCGGCAAAGGTTCACCTGGAAATGGAAAGCGTCACTTCCAGATATGCGAAAAGTTTGTGATTTTTGAATGGATTCGATTGTGGTTTTTGCTTTTGTGATCACGATAAAGTTTCAGTAGAAACGAACCCTGTCTTCTGTGTCAAATTCGTGAAAAAACTCGACAAGCGTTCCATTAAAAAGAGTGCAACCCTCTGAAAGTTTTTTGAATTTTAAATCCTCTAGATTTTATCCTCTAGATTTCCTCTAGATTTTAAATCCCAAAATCGATAAACTCTTTACTTAAATTCCCGAAATTCACTGATGATTCGCCGATTTTTTCGCCGCATTGATAGCCAGTGCCTGAAAAGTTGAGAATATTTTTATTAAGTTGATATAGAATGATTTCTACCGTAAATACTGTAATAGTACCCCACCCCCAGAATGACGGTGCGGAGTGTTGCGTAGTCTAGCTTTGAACGCGTTTTTCTCGACACTGGTTTATGCTACAATGCTCGTTTAAATATCAAAAAATAGCTGAAATTCAGGGCTATTTTTTGATATTTAAACGAGCATTGTAGCACAAACCAGTGTCGAGAAAAACGTGTTCAAAGCTAGACTACGCAACACTCCGCACCGTCATTATCTTTGGTATCAAAAAATAGCCCTGAATTTCAGCTTTTTTTTGATATAAAAGACGCATTTTTTGAAAGTACGGGCGCTTTGAAAAAAAGGAAATACTAAAAAACTTTTGCGACTACGCGACTGTACGAGGGGCATGGGGGACTATTACATGTACTATTACATGTACTATTACAGGTACTATACAGGTACTATTACATGCACTATACAGGTACTATTACATGTACTATACAGGTACTATTACATGTACTATTACATGTACTATACAGGTACTATTACATGTACTATTACATGTACTATACAGGTACTATTACATGTACTATACAGGTACTATACACGTACTATACAGGTACTATTACATGTACTATTACATGTACTATTACATGTACTATTACATGTACTATTACAGGTACTATTACATGTACTATTACATGTACTATTACAGGTACTATTACATGTACTATTACATGTACTATTACATGTACTATTACATTATTTACGGTAGGTTTTATTCGTCAAAACCGACCAAATGTCGGCAAAATTTAGATAGAATAAATATAGAATGATTTCTAGGTTACTAAAATTGTAACATTACGTAGCTAAACGGTACCTTTTATATAGCGAAACTCGTTCACCGGAATAAACTCGTTTTCAACAAGACAACCTGTAAAGAAAGGATTTTGAATCGAATTTTTTTTTTTCAATTTTTCTTCAATATTTCCTTCAATATTTTAATGAATTCCATTTTTTTGTCAATTTTTTTTAAAGTCATTTACTTTTCTGGAAGTCACAAAACCTTTTTAGCTTAAAAAATTTCAATATTATCTTTAAATCAAGACTACGGTACTTTTTGCAAGCTTATATATTAAAAACTATAAAATGAATAATAGTAATTGAAAATCGGAGATCCCCAAAAGCCGATCTGGAACTCACAACTGGTTTTGAGGGCAAACATTTCGCTTTTAGCTTTAGAGCTTTAGAAATTGAAGTCAAAGCTAGAGAGGTTGACGAAGAATAAGAGCAGGCCAACAATCAATGTCAGCTCTACCACCACAAATTCATCAATATCAAATTTGAATCAGCTCAAGGCAGGCAGGCCTAGTCAAGCCTTGTTTTCTGTCGATTTTTCTAAAACAAACCAGCTTTAATGATTTTCCCGTAATGGCAAAGTAATCGCTCCTTTTTCTCAACGTCATCCCACTCAGTTTCAGCCGTTACTCGTTTTCCATTAACTTTACAAGAAACTACTGAAAATTTGATTTAATTAGTAAAAATTTGTTTTCAAAAGTATTCTATTGGATTGGTGAATTGAAAACTGCCGGCTATTGTCATATGAGACATTGACAAGTCTGAGACTCAAAAATCGAGGACTGGAGATGTCCCAGTGTCCCAGTTTGAGCTCTAGATGTCCCAGTGTCCCAGTTTGTCCCAAGATGTCCCAGTGTCCCAGTTTGAGCTCTAGATGTCCCAGTCTTCAAAAGAAACCCATTTTGGTGTCAATGGGAAAGTTGTAGAGAATCAAAAATCAAGCTTATATCCAGAATTTTCAGAACGATTCAAAAACTGGTTTTTAAGAAATGCGAAATTCACGAAAACTGCAACTATTTTCACAAAACTTGCAATTTTAAGCGAAACTACTAAGTGTTTCTTTTTGGAAATTTCGCTATAAGCCTCATTTTTGATTCTCTACAACTTATCCATTGACACCAAAATGGATTTCTTTTGAAGAAAGTGCTCAAACTGGGACACTGGGACATCTCCAGTCCTCGATTTTTTGAGTCTCAGACTTGTACTGGGAGTTGCTGGATAGCAAGACGACCGTTAATGCAATCAAATACAGTGAACAGTTGGGAAAGGTGAATGAATTCATGAAGAAGAATAGGCCCTCCAAGTCAAAGATCTCCAGTCCTCGAGTTTCGAGTCTTACACTTGTCTCACACACAAACCAAAACCAAACCAAAGTCCCACCACGAAAGAGGAATCCGCAAATTGCCTGTAAAATGGGCAGAAGTCGTCAATAATAATGGGAATTATTTCGAATGAATTCATGATTTTATGTTCAATAAATTTTCGTTCAAAGTCAGTTCAAAGTCCGGCATCTTTCAACTCACCGACCCAATAAAAGCAAAGCCAGCAATTCAGCTTGGCTTTGAAAGATTCACTCTCGATTCATCGAATTTATATTTAATTACGCACCAACGCAATATAATCGATTATTGTACAGTCGAAGTAGAAAGAGTACAAAACAAAAAAAAACCCATAACCCAAAGACAGGTAAAGAAAAAAAAAAAAGTGAAATGGGACTCATAAAAATAATATGACGTTGTTGCGGTAAGTCTTGGTCGCTCTGTAGTTAAGAATCAGTCGGTTAAGTTTCAGTCGGTTAAAATTCAGTCAGTTAAAATCAGGTCAATTAAGATTTAAATCTAAAGTTGTTTACGTCAAAATTTCATTCCAAAATTGAAAAAAAAATGATGCTGAATGATGTAATATAATGGAAATTAAAGTAGAGAAAGTCGAGAAAATACTGTAAAATTATTGTACTCTAGAGGGGTTATCCTGTAGCTATAGAAGTACTGTAATTGGATGGTTAAAAGGGCTACAGTACTGCCAGCAAACTGCCAGCAACTACAGCCTACAGTACTGCCAACTGCCAGCAACTACAGCCTACAGTACTGCCAACTGCCAGCAACTACAGCCTACAGTACTGCCAACTGCCAGCAACTACAGCCTACAGTACTGCCAACTGCCAGCAACTACAGCCTACAGTACTGCCAACTGCCAGCAACTACAGCCTACAGTACTGCCAACTGCCAGCAACTACAGCCTACAGTACTGCCAACTGCCAGCAACTACAGCCTACAGTACTGCCAACTGCCAGCAACTACAGCCTACAGTACTGCCAACTGCCAGCAACTACAGCCTACAGTACTGCAAACTGCCAGCAAGTCACTACTAAATCCTTTTCAAAAGCAAGGATCCTTTTCAAAAGCACTTACAATCCTCATTTGCGAGCTCAAAGTGCAACTTCTCGTCCCGGCCCTTAACACATCTAAAAAAATGAAAAAAATGAAAACTACAGTACTACAGGATCCAAGGCAGACTACAGTACAGTACTACAGGACTACAGACTACAGACTACAGACTACAGACTACAGTACTACATTCTAGAATTAAAGAGATTTCTTCGACTCACTTCACAACTTGCTTATCGACCACCCCATAACCGTCCGGTTCAACGCGATGATTGTCGGCTGTGATGCAACCTGTAAAATCATAAAGTGTGACATCCAGCTTGACCAGAGATCACCTTATCGACCCCCTTACCGTACTCCTTGGCATAGTATTTCCCGTCCGCATCCTTCAGGCAAGTTGTCGCAACACCGACCCCAATTTGCATACTTTTCCCCTTAGAGATCTCGACCTGGATGGCGGGTTTTTTGGCTTTTTTGGCTGTAATTTGGCTGTAATTCTATATCTTGCCTCAATCGGTCGATATCTCATCCAGGTGGCTCGCTCCTTGTAGATCCCGACTCCCTCGACGCAGCCCGGATTGCCTGAATGCCAAATGTCAAATGTCAAATGCCAAATGCTAAAAATCTCAGCTTTCAATCAGAGAAATGCGAATTTCAATGTTGGCTTATCGAAAACAAAGGACAAGGCTTTGAATGGGAAAACGAAGCTTCGGAAAAGCCGATCTGCTTTTCTTTGCTTCGGAAAAGCTAATCTGGAACGCACAGCTAATTTTGGTGCTTAGGTTTTGCATTAGGTTTCAAATTTGAAAGATTCAAAGTACTTAGTACTTAGATTGGAAGAGCTACAGTACTTAGCTGAAATTGAAAGAATTGCTTTTTTCTTTAATATTTAAAAATCTGAACAAACTTCCATCAATGCTTAGATGAACGTCCATCTCTTTATCGAAGAAACACCTGAAATTGAAATGATAACTTTCAAAGTGGGACCCAGAAATGGACCAGAAATGGCCCAGAAATGGCCCAGGAATTCAATGCTGACATCCAGGCAATCCTACAGGAAGCCTGGTCTGTCTGGCATTCAAAAATTCTCTTCAGAACAACATAGAAATTCCCCTACTTATACGTCGATCCATCTTCCATTTTTCGATTCTCGCCGGCTTTTAAAACTTTCAAATTCGAATCAAGACAGTCTAAAAGGATCAATTAAAGAATCTTCGAACATCTAAGCTCAGATCGCAACACTGAGATCAGCTGGTTCTTTTACGATTGAATAGAGTAGAGTGGGGACTTCTGGCTACAATATTGTAATAACCGTCCGGCGATCTGGAGCACACGCTTTCATTTCTTGACTTTAGCAGGACGCTTTGCCCACTATACAAAACCAGTCCCTATCCTCCTTCCATTCAAATGCCTTCCCCTCCCCTCCCCTCCTCATCCAGCCATAGCTCAGTTGGTAGAGCGGAGGACTGTAGAGCGAGCAGCTATCCTTAGGTCACTGGTTCGAATCCGGTTGGCTGGAAGTTTTTGCAAAAAACGAAGGACTAGTTTTCTTTTGAAAACCTTAACTTTTTAAGTTTTCAATAATTTTTAAGCTTTCTACATGAGCTATAAATTGCTATTTGTTTGCTGTATTTTCCTCCAAAATTTAGCGGTAATTCTAGAAGGCTTGAAAGAGAAAGTCAAGAATGAAGCTGCTCTTTTGACTCGAGATCAGTATCCACTCGTACTTTCGAAGGTTCCAGCTTATTTTTTAAAGTTACAAAAAACCGTTTATAAAACTCGAGTCAATAATTCAATGTAAGGAAATGGTTTCCAAAAAAAGCAAAAAAGTTTGACGAGAGTGACGAGAGCTCGAGGGTAAAGGAGGACAAGCTCTAGCACACTAGAGCAGTCCTCTAGCTCTAGCAAACTAGAGCAGTACTCTAGCTCTATTCTAGCTCTAGCACACTATCCACGAGACCATCGAGGCAGTTCTGAGGGGAATTTAGATAGCTCGCGTTCTGCAAAAGACTGATTCGAGATGGAATTGATCTCGAGTCAAACGACCAGCTTGACCAGCTTGGCCAGCTTGACCAGCTTGGCCAGCTTGACCAGCTTGACCAGCTTGACCAGCTTGACCAGCTTGACCAGCTTGGCCAGCTTGTTGCCAGCTTGGCCAGCTTGTTTTTCCTCGGTAACGAGCATTGGATTGAAATCCTGTATTATCTTAAAGGGTAGTTCAAAGGTAGTTCAAGAACGGGAACAGTCTCAGGGCGTACGGCACGATCAGAAACTCACTGATCGGTTTGAAAGTTATCACCGAGCCTGTTTCGAGTTTTGTCTTATTGCAGAGGTACGTGAAATGGGAATCTGTCCACGTTGTTCCGTTCAAGATCACTTTCCCATCTTGGTGATTATCCGGTACGCAACCTGAAATAAAGATAAAGCCACCATACCATACAAACAGAAAATAGTGATTGAAATAAAGCTACAGTATTCTGCAGACACATTTTGTCGACCTTTAGCAGGGTTACGGTAGCTACTCCAACTAGCTACAGTAGCTTACAAATGTGAGTAGTATCTAGTGCTAATAGTATCTAATGTCTGGTGTACGGTAGCTTTCTCAGAGTACGCTTGACTGGCTTTCGATAAGGGTAGAAAGCCAACTTAACCCATAAATGTCAATGATACGCTCATGTATGGATTAAAGTCTCTAAAAATTCCCTGAGAGACGTAATTTTTGCATTCTAGTGGATTCTGGAGAGCACGATGCCCTTTTGGCTCAAAAATTTTCAATCAGCTTTCAAAAATTTGAAGGTGGAACTACGGTAGCCGGGGAACAACAACTATCGTCTTATAGGAATCGATTTGACAGAATTCTGAGGTTCGGAAAAGTCGATCTGGAAGTCACAAGGGTCAATTAGCTCAAAATTTTATATTGTCTTTAAATTTGACGATGTGGAGCTACGGTAGCCGGGCAACAACAACTATCGTCTTATAGAAAACGATTTGACGGAATTCTGAGATTCGGAAAAGTCAATCTGGAAGTCACAAGGATCAATTAGGTCAAAATTTTACATGGCTTTCCAATTTAAAGTCTGCGGGGTACGGTAGCTGGGGTACTTTTTAGAGTATTGTTTCAGATTACGGTATCGAGAGTTGTTCTTTAGGCTGACCGATTGCTCGGATTCCTTTCGTGATCCCGCCGTCTTTGTTCAATTGGAAGCACTTGAATTTGATGAAATCGATCACCCACTCTTTGCCTGCAATTCATGAATTCACTTCTGCATTTCTCAGCCCTCTGAGCCCTCAGAGGGCTGAGAGATGCCGAATTTGGCTCAGGCTTAGGCTTAGGCTTAGGCTTCAAGGCTGGCTTCAAGGCTGGCTTCAAGGCTGGCTTCAAGGCTGGCTTCAAGGCTGGCTTCAAGGCTGGCTTCAAGGCTGGCTTGAAGACTCAAGCTTGAAAGCCTAAGCCTAAGACCATTTGATTGATTTTTTTCTTTCCACTCACTCGCAATTGCCCAATTAGCACTTTTAAACAAAAGTGACAATGTAATTTAAGGGTTTTAAATCGAATTCACTTACCGAAATTTGCATATCAATCGATTTTCGATTTTACTCAAAAAAAACCCATCAAGAATGTGCCCTCAGAGGCCCTCAGAGACCCTCAGAGACCCTCAGAAGCCCCCAGAGGGCCCTCAGTTGTCTAATCAGCAGAATTCTCTCTTGAATCAATGTCGTTGATTGTCGTTGATTGTCGTTCATTTGCCAATGTCGTTGATTTTCCCAATCCCTATCCCCATTCACTTACCCAATTTGCATTTATCAGCAGCTGGCGGAACATAAATTGACGCGATTTCCCTTGCTGCAACAAAATCGAGAACGAAAAAGAAAATGAGAAAAAGCATTGCTTTTCAAAATCAAAATCACAAAAATCTTTCAATCTTTATAAAGGAAACCACTTTTTTTTGACTTTTTTGACTTTTTTTTGATCTTTATCGGATCAAATTTCCGTTCTGAAACCTTTCAACGATCGCTTGACCACGTTGAACTCTTTTATAAACAAACGACACACGATAAACGATAAACGACACTTTTTTTTTTGCTTAGAGTTCAATTTAGCCTTTGATCATCGAGAAATGACATCGCTTTACAAGCTATTTTGCATAGAAAGTCTCTAGAAATTCCCTGCAAGACGTAATTTTTGCGTTCTAGTGTATTCTGGAGTACACGATTGCCTTTAGGCCTAAAAGATTTCAATAAATTTGCAAAAATTTGAAGGTGGAATTACGGTAGCTGAGCCAACAGTCAATTGTCTTATAGCAAACGATTTGACGGAATTCTGAGCTTCGGAAAGTTCAATCTGGAAGTCACAAGGACTAATTAGGTCAAAATTTTCTATCGCTTTCAAATTTAAAGTCTGCGGGGTACGGTAGCTGGAGAACAACAACTATCGTCTTATTGAAATCGATTTTTCAGAATTTTGAGCTTCGGAAAGTTCAATCTGGAAGTCACAAGGACTAATCAACTCAAAATTTTACATCGTTTTCAAATTTGACGATGTGGAAGTACGGTAGCCGGGCAACAACAACTATCGTCTTATAGCAAACGATTTTTCAGAATTCTGAGGTTCGGAAAAGTCAATCTGGAACGCACAAGGACTAATCAACTCGAAATTTTACATCGCTTTCAAATTTGAAATCGGCGGGGTACGGTAGCTGGAGCACTTTTTAACGTCGCAGATCAGTTGACAACTATACAAAGCCAAATAGTATACTCCTTCAAAACTCTAGCGCACTTTTAGGCTTTCTTAAGGCTCTAGGGGGTGTCGAATTGCATCCTTCTTCAAGGGGTTACAGGAGTCGACAATCAAGCGAATCTTTAGCCTTTGAAAGAAGCACTGAGCCTTTTCAATGCAAGAAAAGTGAATGCTGGAACACACATCGAATTCCCCTTTCAGGAATTCATTCCCCAGGCACCACTTCTGGGGAAAAGAAGAATGAAAAGAAGTCCTTCCCTCCAGAGAAGGACTCTGCCGGGGGGAATCTCGTTACCCGCACTTGTACCAATTCTTTTGTGAGTGAATTTCGAAATGCTGGATGGCAGGCAACGTGCTGGGAATCGCATTTTCGTTTACTTTTCTTCATTTTGCCATTGCCAGAATCATTGCCAGAACCCTTAAAAGTCATCGATGAAATTCTCAGAAAGGGAAAAAAAAGAAAAAGGCCATCTGTCTTCTCGAGAAATCAATTCAAAAACTCACCAGGAGAGCTATGCGAGGTGCCTGGTTGATCCGTTCTGAGATGGCTCATTTTTAGAATCATTACCAGAACCCTTAAAAGTCATCGATGCAATTCTCAGAAAGGGAAAAGGGCCATCTGTCTTCTCGAGAAATCCCTTCCTTATGCAAATGAGTTTCCGGATGAGAAAGGGATTCTCTAATAGGATTTCGTTGAATAAAAAAACCACACAAAATAGACGAAAAGAAAATTTAGCGCATTTGCAACCAAACAAAAAGTTTTGGAAGCCGAGGGCTCGAACTCGAGGACAGCATGGATGGCTCGCTTTGTGTACAAGCTCCTTATCCACTAGGCCACCGGCTCATCCCGATCGGGGGGGAGAAAAGGCTTTTAACCGAGATGTTCTCTTTTAACTGTAAGATCTCTTGCAGCTAGTTTTTACCATTTTCATCAGCATTCTCACTTCTATAACTTCTCTTTTAAGCTACGGTACTTCCTTTGTACTTCCCTTGTAAGTTACAGTACTTCCTTTGTACTTCCCTTGTAAGTTACAGTACTTCCTTTGTACTTCCCTTGTAAGTTACAGTACTTCCTTTGTACTTCCCTTGTAAGCTACGGTACTTCCTTTACACTTCCCTTGTAGGCTACGGTACTTCCTTTGTACTTCCCTTGTAAGTTACAGTACATCCTTCGTACTTCCCTTGTAGGCTACGGTACTTCCTTTGAACTTCCTTTACACTTCCCTTGTAAGTTACAGTACTTCCTTTGCACTTCCCTTGTAGGCTACGCTACTTCCTTTGTACTTCCTTTGTACTTCCCTTGTAGGAGTTTATTTCAGTGAATTCAGGGTCGACCATTTTTAAGGCACACAATCCTTATACTTTTCTACTTTTACAATCGGAACCTCTTTTCTGGAAGTGACAAGACTGAAAGGCCACTCACTCAACGCTAATCCCTTGAACCACCACAGCTAGGCCTAGCTTGGCCCCATTTCCATTCTAGTGCTCCAATTCTATTCTCAAACTATAGCATGCCCTCCAGAACTAAAAACGAAATCAATATTTTTCTAGAATGAGACGTCCACTAAAAAAAAGTCGCTCAATCGAGTCGTGGTCAAAAAGTCTTTAGCTAGCTTTCACCATTTCGCTAGATTTCACCTTTTCGCTTTACTAAATGCTTAAATGAACTTCAGAATTTGCAAATTACGAAAGATTTCTGGATTTTCAGCTCTAAAATGGAAATTTTCAGCTCTCATTCAAATCTCGGCTTTCGATCTCTCGTCAAATGACAGAAAAAAGGGGAAAAAGTTTGGCTTTTCTGAAAAAAACATTTCTTAGCACTGATACTCTTGATGTTTACTATTAAATTTGATTGATTTATTTATTTATCTAGATTTAGAGTCTCCCTAGTTCACTCCAGTCCATTCGTCAACACTGACATTTGAAGAATTGACTGACTAACGCCTTAACGATCAATATAACGACCAACGACCCATATAATCATGTACTTGAGAAATGTTTCTTTTAACTTGCTCGATTCTTCTTCCAATCCAATCTAAAGCATTCGATTCTTCTTCCAATCTAAAGCCACCGTAAATACTGTAATAGTCCCCCACCCCCTCGTACAGTCGCGTAGTCGCAAATGTTTTTTGCGTAGTTTTTTAGTATTTCATTTTTTTTCAAAGCGCCCGTACTTTCAAAACATGCGTCTTTTATATAAAAAAAAGCTGAAATTCAGGGCTATTTTTTGATACCAAAGATAATGACGGTGCGGAGTGTTGCGTAGTCTAGCTTTGAACGCGTTTTTCTCGACACTGGTTTAAGCTACAATGCTCATTTAAATATCAAAAAATAGCCCTGAATCTCAGCTATTTTTTGATATTTAAACGAGCATTGTAGCATAAACCAGTGTCGAGAAAAACTTGTTCAAAGTTACACTACGAAACACTCCGCACCGTCATTATGGGGGTGGGGTACTATTACAGTATTTACGGTATGTGGAAATTCTAGATATCTAGGATCTAGAGATATCTAGATAATTATTTTTTTTATATTAAAAGCTGTCTCATAGAGTGCCCTCAGAATTTCGCAATTCTATCCAATTCGGCAAAAGAGAACAGGCGAAAAAAAAGCCACCAAAAGCGCGTTTCCAAGTAATTTTCTTCTCATTCTGCTCTCATTTCGTTATTTTTCGTTTATTCCCGTTTATACATTGAATTTTAGAAATACCTGACATTTGATTGACCCCAGAAACACATTATTGAAGCTGTTCTTCTCATGGCCTAGGCTCAGGCTCAGTCTCAGGCTCAGACTCAGTCTCAGGCTCAGCCTAAGCCTAAGCCTAAGCCTAATCCTAAGCCTAAGCTCTAAAATCCAGCTTGAAAAAACCCAGATCAACTCCGGAATCGTGGACAATTGCTAGGTAGCAAAGCTTGTCTTAGTTCACTCGAATCTGGTAACTCTTAGTCTTTTGAATCGTTACTACAACGGGAAAAACCCATTTTGAGTTATGGTGCATTTCCAGGGATTTCTTTTCCCCTTTCCAGGATACCCCTTGATGGAGACGAAATGAGGGGTTCTCTTCCCTCTCTTCCCCACCCTTCCCAATGGAAAAGCATGGCTACATTTCCACATCGATCCCCCATCCTTTCCACCCTTTCCCAGGGTTTTTCCTCTAACAGCCCATCATTTAAAGATAATACAAACTTTCGATATCAAACTGGTCGTGGTTAGGAACGGAGTTTAAGAGTTTTCACTATCAGGCCTGAAGGCTTAAAGGCTTAGGCTTGAAGGCTGGCTTCAAGGCTGGCTTCAAGGCTGGCTGGCTTTAAGGCTTAGGCTTGAAGGCTGGCTTCAAGGCTTAGGCTTGAAAGCCTAAGCCATGGGCTTGAAGGTTTGGAAGCCTAAGCCTACGCCTAAGCCTGAGCCTGGCCTAAAGCCGTCTAGAACCAAATCTAGCTATCGATCCGGCCTCACGATAATCCAAGGGATCTATTTGATCACGGTAACTGGTTAGAGCCTTGAGGCCCAGTTTGAGCGACAGATCTAGGAATTTGCACCATGAAGCTCTAGCTCTAGCTTTCCAGAGGTCAGGGTACCCCTGGTGCCCCCATAGGCTCATCGATCTCCCCTCCCTTTCCGGGGACACCATTGGGTCCTGGGGTCCCCGTGGGGGCTCTCCCCTTTCACCCGATGAACACACGAACCATTTATCCAGCACGTTAATCCCCTTCACTTCACTTCAATGAAATCCTTTTCTTTTTTCTTCTCAATTTCTTTCAAATGCTTGACTATACAAGGCTATTTCAAGGCTTTTATCGTCAAGCATTTGACTATACAAATCTCTAACTTCTCGCTGACTTCTGGTTCTTCTCATGGCTCAGGCTCAGGCTCAGGCTAGGCTAGACTAGGCTTGGCTAGGCTTGGCTAGACTAGGCTAGGCTAGGCTAGGCTTGGCTTCAACCTTCAAGGCTGATTGATTTTTGATTTTTGATTGATTTTGATAAACCAAACCATCAATTTTTCCAAGCAATCTAATGATTTTTCTCACTTTTCCTCCATTCTCATCTCGACTTTTCTCAACTCCAAAATGATCTCAAAGGCAAATAGTTTAAGAAAATTTTTTCACTTGTTTAAAGAAAAAAATCTCTGCACGGTCTTGGTTCATTTTTTTGAAATAACAGAAAAAATAATTTTTTATGTTTAAGCCTGGGTAGCTGGAAACCCCAAGCAGCCAATTGAATCCAATTTTTCTCTCCCTTCCTCTCTTCCTCTTCCTCTCTTCCTCTCCTTTTTCTGTGAGGGTATTTGGGTTGATGGGTTTTTGGATGAAACGCAATCTTCTCCCAATGAAACCACGGGAGACTCTGGACCCTTCAAGGACCCCTAAGGGCCAAAGGACCAAAGACATCGTTTGTATTCATTTTCCTGAAATAAATGCACCAAATGGTTACATGACATCCAGCTAAGAGTCTCTTTTTGCAAAAGCCGCTCAAACTCAATCTGGATCGCTCTGGACCTGGACCTCTGGACCTGGACCTCTGGACCTGGACCCCTATCGACCTTGAATTCATCTACTTGCTAATGTTTCTAAAAGTTTAGTAATCTAGCTAGTTATCTAGTGTGACATCCAGATAAGAGATTTTGTAAGTTAGAACAAAGATCTCTGAAGTAAATGACTAGAATTAAGCTCAACCTCGTACCCAACCCCCTATCCACTCTAAAAGCCATCCAGTTCCCTTGTTATCGATTTCAAATATTAGCATGACATCCAACTAAGAACTTTCAGCCACTAAAACAATTCCTTTCTCAAGTGTGTTTGTGTAATTGAGCTGAAACTCTTCTCGCACTCTTTCCTCCCATTCTCGACCTTCTGCTCTTTCCCATTTCACTTAGTTTACCCAAACTGGGAGTCATTCTTTTGCCCTTTGTCGCCTAAATTGAGCCTCCTTCTCATTAAAAGTTGATGCTGTTTTCGGGATGCTTCTTTAGCTTTGAGAAGAAAAGAATAGAAAACAAGAATGCAAAAAACATCAATTGTATTCTTTTTTCTCTTTTTTGGATGTCATTCTTGATGTTCTTTAAGGAATTTTTTAAATTTGCTAAATTTTTCTGTTTTTTGGAATATTTTATTAAACCGAAAGCCCTAATCGCTAAAGTTTTTTGTCGAAAATTTAAATTTAAATTTTAGCTCTTATTTTATTCAGATCTTATTTTGTGCACTCCAGCTTGCACATTGACGTTAATTGTTTTGTGGATTTGGCTGGATTTGGAGACTTTTCAGCTCCAAACTTGATTTTAAACGGATAGGGAAATCCGAGTTTCTACAGAAAATCCTCGATTTTTGAAGCGATTTCATTTTTTTCTTTTATTTTCTTTCATTCTTTTTCATTCTCTTTCATTCTCCTTCAATATTCCCCCCTTCAATATCCTTTTTGATTTACCATTTGTGATTTACTATTGCCAGTGGGTCAAATTTCATTTCCTCCGGGAAATTTCATTTCCCGATCGCTGTCTAAACATTTCCCTCGGGGTCACCACCAATGTCTTTCATCTCACCGCCATTCGAGTCCGATTCTTTCGGGAAATGGTGCTGTGACCTCCAGAATAGTTGAATATTTAATCATTTTCTTCATAACTTTTTCTATGACTATTTCTATGACTTTTTTTTCCTCACCAACTCGTTTCAGGGTTCGATAGAGGCGGCGAGATGGATGCCAGTCAGCTCGCCGGCACTTCAAAAGGCTCGAATAGCTTGATTAGGTATTCAGAGAGTTTTATAAAGCTTGCAAAGCTTACAAAGCCTCCAGAAAAAGATTATCGATCAATACAGCATTTTAATTTTGTTGATTTTTATCTAAGTCATTATCTAAATGAAATTAAATCGAAAATTGTTTTTCCATTGGAAAAAGAGGTTTTTCAGATCACCAGATGATGAGAAAGTGATGGCAAAAACGGCACAAATAAAGCAATGGGTCGTGCATCGATTAAAAGAGGTTAGATAAAAGACTCTCTCTTTCTCTTCCTCTCTCTTCCTCTCTCTCTTCCTCTCTCTCTTCCTCTCTCTCTTCTCTCTCTTCCTCTCTCCCTTCCTCTCTCTCCATCCAAATAATCAAAATCATAAGCGGAAAGCAAAAATTAACATAATCCCCGCGTTCTCTTCATCATTAAGCGCCGATAATGCGATTAGTGCGTTGATGAAATTCCCCGTAAAATGATGGCTGTAAAATGGGGAATGCACTCCAGGATCTCGTGTGGAATCACCGAAAACCGGTGCCACTCCCGTTCTAACGCATTTTTATGAAGGCATCGATTCGCTCGGAAACCACCTCTCAAATTTCTCTCTTGAAAACTCAAGAATTTTGTGCTCTCAAATTGTGTTGTGACCTCCAGCTTGAACTTTCCAAATTCTAGTTCCCGATTTTTTTTGCGCCCGGCCTTCTCGGTGAGCGCTGGTTCATTTACGCACTTTGCCCGGGTCACGAAAGCAGCCGATTTGCATGTAAGTCCCCGGGAAAAACGCTGTGCTATCCAAAACGCATGAATACTCAGTCGGGGAATGCATACACGAAAAGATGGCCGAGAAAAAGCTAGCAAGTCATTTTTGGTCCTCTGGGGGGCGATTTTGGGCAAGTCTTGACAAGAAAAAGGCTGCTTTTACGCTTCTTGCTGCTTCTTTCAGCTTCTTGCTTTTCCCGAATGTCAAAACAGCCATCAAATGACCTAGAGAGGAAAGCTATAGCAAATGAATGACCGTTGTTTGAGGGAAGAGAAAAAGGGGATGGCTCTCATTTTTCGATGACTGCTTTTAGCTGAATATCTTTTATGAAGTCATATTTTTTAAATTCTAATCTCTATTCTGGAAGTCACTCTAGAAAACCCGAATAACAGATTTAATGATTTTTTCATTTTCGATTTTGACTATTCACAATTTTGTTGTCTTCATTTTAGCTGAATATCTTTTACAAGGTCATATTTTTTTTGATTCTAATCTGTAATCGGGAGGTCACTCTAGACAATGCAAATCATAGATTTAATGATTTTTGCATTTTCCGATTTTCACTATTGACAATTTTGTTATGTCTGCATTTTAGCTGAATATCTTTTATAAAGTCTTAATTTTTAAATGGTAATCTGTAATCTGGAAGTCACTCTAGAAAATCCAAATCATAGATTTAACGATTTTTGCATTTTCCGATTTTGACTATTGACAATTTTGTTATGTCTTCATTTTAGCTGAATATCTTTTATAAAGTCTTAATTCTTTTATTCGTTTTCTTTAATCTGGAGCTCACTTTAGAAAGCACAAATAAAAAATTTAACGATTTTTGCATTTTTTGTTATAATCGAATTTTAGCTGAATATCTTTTGTCAAGGGAATTTTTTTTTTGCTTAATTCTTAAAGTAAAGCACTTTTTAAAAAGCTGTGCTATCCAGATTGGCGGAAAAAAAGCGCAAAAAACGAGAACCACTGTCCAGTTTTTCGAAAAACCGACAGAGATCAGTCGAGCGAATGCAAATTTCAGCGATTCACCAAAGTCAATCGATTTCACGCCAGAAAAGCGAGCAAAAATGTTTCTGTGTTTATTTTTCTTTTCTAAAACCTTTAATTAAGCATTTTTTATGAATTGAGAATGAATTTTGAAGGAATTTTGAATGAATTTTAAACAAATAGAAAATCTTTAACTTTTGATCGTTGATTTTTCGATTTATTTATTTTTGCTTTTTTTCTTTCACTAATATCTCAAAAAAAGTATTCAATTCAGTGCAATTGAGAGAAAGAAAGAAAAGAAAGAAAGAAAGGAAAGGAAAGAAAGGAAAGAAGGAAAGAAAGGAATGAAAGGAAAGAAAGGAATGAAAGGAAAGAAAGAAGGAAAGAAAGAAAAGAAAGAAAGGAAAGAAAAGAAAGGAAAGATAGTAAAGGAAAGAAAGGAAAGAAAGAAAAGAAAGAAAAAAAGAAAAGCTTTTCTCAGTTGTTTTTGCGTTTTTTCAGTGATCAAGTGGCCCACTTGATCTCAATTAAAAAAAAAACTCACTCTTTTCTCGCTTTTTATTGCCCTATCAACACTTGTGAGATCCAGGAATACGATTTTTCATTTCTGATCAGCACGTTTTTCGTTTCATTTTTGAAAGCTCGTCTCAAACACGATCGAGCTATTAAACCTGTAGGGGAAAACTTCCAAAACTTCAAAAACACGAAACTTATCCCTCAAAATCTTTCGTGTGCCTTCCAACTTTGACCTTGACTCATTTTCATCAATGAAAAACTTTGGAGAAACCAGGTGTTTTCAGGGGAAGTGAAAAAATAAGAAACAAAGGCTTCGCTTAATTTTAATTTCTTTAATTCCCGCCTTTTCGCTTTGTGAATTGACCAAATCGTCTTTTTTTCGTCTTTTTTTTTTTGTCTTTTTTTTCGTCTTTTCTTTTAAATTTTCTCATTTTTATGAGCATTGTGTGTGCTTTTTGAGTGCCTTTCTTTTCAGGAAGACGAGAAAATCTTCGTCTCTCTTAATCCGAGTGAGCGATGGTGGCTAAGGGTGTTGCCGCTCAGCCATCATCCTCAGAATGTCTAATTTGAAAAATTTTCAACTTTTTGCAAAATCTGGAACGCACGACAGTAGAGAGCATAATTTCAAAAGAAAAAAATAAATAAAATTCAAAAATTTCCATTTTTCCACTTTTTCAAATTCTCGATTTTTGACGCGATTTTTCTCGGTAGCTGTGTCATGCGCTCCAGAATGGCAAATGAAAACAGTTTCCACCTCATTAGTGCATTTGTGAGCCTGGGAAAGCTTTGGTAAGCGGCGCGCTCGGGTGAACCTGCTCCGACCACTCCCCTCAGCTCGACGGCCTTTCGGCTTTTCGGCTCTTGTCCCTTTTTTGCCAAAATTTGGGTCTCTTTCCCAATTTTAGCTAGCTAATGTGAGAGCCTCTCACCGTCATTAAAATTTTTCTCTTTTTTTCAGCAATTGTTGTCAGACTTGAAGTTGTTTTTCAAAATTTCTATTAAAAAAAATTTTTTTGCAATTTAAAAAAAATCTCATTCTCATTATTTTCTGTGCTCTCCAGATTGAAAGTTAGCAAATTTTCGAATCGAATTTCCTTGGTAGATTCTCCGAAAACAAGGCGATCCTCAAATTCTCGCATCGTCATCCTCAAATTCGTCACATTAGGCAATAAATCTCGAGGAAAACGTTCGAAATTGATGATGGTTTTGATGGGCTGGCTAGAGGGATACCCTGGGACATTGCTGAGGACAGTCTGACCATCAGAGTGAACAGTCAGAGTGGCTAACCTCAACAACCGCTAACCCGATTTTTCACCAATTCTCTAAATCGTTCACACAAAAGTTTTCACCCAACTTTTCCCAAGTCTGACATCCAGCTTGACCATTGTCACTTCTAGATGCTGATTTCATCGCATTAGGGAAAAGATTTATATTAGAAACAGTTCCAGTCTCAATCAACATTTTGTCAAATTGATAATTTTGAGTATTCAGCTATTTCTGAATATTCTGTGCTATCCAGTTCGACTTTTCTTGCTTTTAAATGCTAATTTCAATTACGTGAAACTTTCATTTGAGTGCCAATTGCATTATCTTTAGAATTATCTTTAGAATAAAGGGATTAAAATTGACGTAATATCCCTAGGGTCTTGGCTCTGGTCTTGGCGGTGATCGATCTCCTGGCTAAATGACATTCATAAAGAGAGTTTGGCTTAGGCTGAGGGATTGGGGGGAAATGCTAATTATGCGCGCGCGCGTCTTGGGATTCATTTCCGAATGCGTCGAATGCCAACGTCCCTCCACCGGGTATCACTTGATTTTTGGCTAATCTGGAGTGCAGAACACCTTTTGCACGAGTTGAATCGCAAAATTTCAAAAAGAATTTGAAGGCACTTTTTTGAAGGCACTTTTTGAAGGCACTTTTTTGAAGGCACTTTTTGAAGGCACTTTTTTTGAAGGCACTTTTTGCTACTATTTTGTACTCCGTAATATCCCTAGGGTCTTGGCTCGGGCGGTGATCGATCTCTTGGCTAAATGACATTCATAAAGAGAGTTTGGCTTAGGCTGAGGGATTGGGGGGAAATGCTAATTATGCGCGCGCGCCGTCTTGGGATTCATTTCCGAATGCCCCGAATGCCAACGTCCCTCCACCGGCTGTCACTTGCCCGACCGCATTTATTGGCCGTATTTCATAAATTCCCGCATTTCTCTCAATTTCTTTCATATCTGGATGTCACTGCAGCTATTGAATTAAAAAATTTTTTGATTTTCGCAAATTCAATGAAGGTGGTTTTTGAGCTAAAACGTTAGTGGAATATTTTCCGAAAAAAAATGCTTTTTTTGCGCATATTTTCGCTGAATCCTCCTTTCTGGCAGTCATCAATTCGATCGAGGCGAAAATATTTCGAGGTTATTGCTTTTTGGCGTTAAGGTGGAAATTAGACCCCGAATTGGGTAATTCGCCCAAAATTGGGTTGGTTGAAGGGAAAAAAAATGAAAAACGTAATTTCTAAGGCTAATCCTGGAGGTCATGCTACGAGAAGAAGTGGGTTTTATCTTTCAATTCTCAACGTATAAGTTTTACATTTTGCTGGTGTTGAAGATGGTGGAGGGCGTTGAGTATTTGTTTTCAATTGGATCCCCAAATCCGTATTGGGATCGCTGAGATGCCAGAATTGGCTAAGGAAAGCCGGGAAAGCCCGGAAAAGACGAATTTCTGATTTCCGAGGCAGGGGGAGGAAGAGGGATCAGCTTTCAATGGCCACCCATCCCCCTTAAACCCTTCCCTAGTACGTAAATGCCCGACTTTGCAAGAAATCCCAAATTATCACTTCAAATTCGCCAATCCTGGAACGCAGCCTACGCATTTTTTTAAAATTTTAGCAATTTTAAACCAAAATTCCGTTTATCTACTTTTTACACCTGCACTATTTATGGATTTTTTAAATCTAATAAACTCAACTTTCATTATGCTCTCCAATTATTGTGACCTCCAATTTACAAATTCCGCTCGGTTTCCCCAAATCGTGCCTCACCAAACTCGAGTTTTTTTGCCATTCTTGTTTTTCCCCCTCTCGCATACCAATTTCGTTTGAAGAGCCTTCAAAATCCCTCTTTTTCCGTTTCCCTCCCTCCCCCCGTTCGTGTGCAAGTCGCAAGAAAAAGAATAGATGGAATTGAGGGAGAAAGAGCTGCTTTCCTTTCCCCTCCTTTTGTCTCTGTCATTTTTTTGTCTTAGCGGCCCCTCGAGGATTTCACTCGGAGAGTTAAAACACTCACTCGAACTTTATTTCCCCCCGATTTCATTCGATTTTTGCCTTTTCTGTAATGCACCAGAGCCTTTCCAGCGCTTTTCAGCTTTTCTATGCTAGTGTGCGAAAAAGAAAAGTTGGCGCACATCGAGTATACCCCAGAAAATTAGCATAGGGTTTATTTTGCATTTAATTTTTTCGATTTTTGGCTAATCTGGAGTGCAGGACACCTTTTGCACGAGTTGAATCGCAAAATTTCAAAAAGAATTTGAAGGCACTTTTTTGAAGGCACTTTTTCAAAGGCACTTTTTTGAAGGCACTTTTTAGAAGTCACTTTTTGCACCAGGGCGTCTTGCTGCTATTTTGTACTAGTTCGGGTCCATAGCCCGTGCCCCGACAATCAGCGCAACTTTACACAATGTCGGTCATAATTCCCCGCGAATGGGGCTCAATTTTTTCTCATTTCTCCCGTCTCCTTCGCGCACCATCTGTGATCGTCGCTTTTTCTGCTAGCGTTCACTTTTTTTTCCGCCCGAAATGACACGACCCGAGCCCCATCCCTCACTCATTCACTCACCCCAGTCATACAGATGTGCTTTGTTATTTTTGGGAAGCATTCATTTTCTGCTTAAAACTCGAAAATTTCACTGCTGTATCAGAAAAAAGTTCATTGTTGGACTCCGCAAGGCTACCAGAGCGTTTCCGGAAAAATTCCCGAGTCTTGTCGAATTTTTTTCAGTTTTTTCGTCCATCCTGGAAGGCATTCTTTCGAAAAAAATGGGAATTCCTTTGAATTTTTGCATTTTCGATTTTCTTAATTCAACTCTGAACCAGTTCATCATGATTTTTTCAAAAATTTCAAATTATCATCAATTTTTTTTGACTTCATTGTCCATTCTGGAACGCATTCTATCTAAAAAACAAAAAAAATCGTCTAATGCTTTCATTTTTCAATGATGCAAAAAGTGCCTTCAAAAAAGTACCTTCAAAAAGTGCCTTCAAATTCTTTCAGAAATTTTGCGATTTAACTCGTGCAAAGGGTGTTCTGCACTCCAGATCGGGCAAAACTTGACGAAATTCGGAATGAAATTAATATTAAATTCATATTAGCCTGTTGGTTGGAAATGGTGCAAAAAGTGCCTTCAAAAAAGTGCCTTCAAAAAATGCCTTCAAAAAGTGCCTTCAAATTTTCTTCCAAATTTTTCTCAATCTCTTTCTTTCATAACCGAATCCGAGAGCCATGTGTGACCCTCAGGATTCCCTTTTTCGACTACAATTTTGTCTCTTTTTAGGCACGGATTGCCAAAATTAAGCCCCAATCTGCATTGGGAGAGACGGGGAAAAGAGAGGGGAGACTGTGGCAGCCAGCCGTAAACAAATCCGCCTGTCCATATGTGTCCTGTACCAAACAACGTTGATTTATCAAGCCAATTTGCGGCCGGGCGAACATTTTGTTGTTTTTATGGGCGATCCTGGAACGCACCGGGCCCAAAAATGCAATTGTTTTAGACTTAAATGGAAATTCTCAAAAATCGAATATGCTAATTTTTCGAATTTCGAATTTTTAAAAATTCAAAAATCGATCTTAAAAACTTTAGCCAGGCCTAGGGTGACCTCCAGATTATCCATTTTTTTAAAAAACTTTCAAAAGTTGTCACTTTTCTGCCACTTTTTCGGCCCATTCTCAATTCCATAACCGATGCCGCTGAGCGCTTCAGCTTTTTTCCCCATTTCATTTCGATAAAGTTATCCTTTTTTCCCCTTTTCCCATCGAGTTCGCTTTTGGGTAAAGATCCAGCAGCTTTACTACTTTTTTTTCTTTTTCCTAACGCTCGTTCACTTTACAATTTTCAGGAATATGAAATTCCATGACGATTTTTTTCGATTTCTTAAAAATTCAAAAATTCGTTTTACTTTTTTCCAGCCTTCCATGTGACCTCCAGATCGTTCATTTTTAAGAAAAAGTTTCAAAATTGACACCATTTTTGTCATTTTTCTGTCCCATTCTCAATTTTACAACTAAACGCTTTAGCTTTTCTTTGTCTGAAGATTTTACGAAAGATTTATCCCACTTTTCATTCTATTTTTCTTATTTTTAACCATTGGATAAAGGTGGATAAAGCGCTGAATTCTTTTTTTACCATTTTTTGCCATTTTCCCCATTTCTTAATATCAAATCGACCATTTTGTGAATTTTTTTTTTGCCCAAAAATGGTGTTGAATTTCTGGCTTCGAATTGGCCTCTTTCTCGCCAGTCGATTCAGCTATTCAGCTATTGCTTTTCGGGGGGGAAGGGGAAATGGTGGTGAGGCACGAAAAGGAGCACTGAAAGAAGAAGAAGACAAGACAAATGTGTTCTCGATATTCCTCTTCATCCCATCCCCACCAAATTCGGAAAATAGAGGTCTTTTTGGCGGATCTGGAGCGCACAAATCGCATTTTCATTTTCAAAAATCGAGATTTTTTTGTGCCTAACTTTCCCGAGATCGACGCTGACAAAATGTTGCCTGAATATCTTGATTTGACGTGTAATTATTCGAATTAAAGCTTTTTTTGGCGAATCTGGATCTCACAAATAGCTATTTTGATAGAAAATTTGAGAAATCGCTGAACAATTTACTTTTTTATGCACTTTTCAAATTCTTCCCTGGATTTCTTTCCTCGTTATTCCAATATTCTAATTCGACTTTTTTTTGACCCATCTGGAAGTCACTTGTTGAAAAAATTACTTTAAAAAAGTGTCTTTTTTGAAAAAATTTTTACATCTTTTTCTCCCGTTGAAATCGTGCAAAAAATACGGTGACTTATCGATTTGTTAAAAGATTTAAACAAATTTTTGACTGATCTGGAGTGCAGAACACCTTTTGCACGAGTTGAATCGCAAAATTTCCAAAAGAATTTGAAGGCACTTTTTTGAAGGCACTTTTTTGAAGGCACTTTTTTGAAGGCACTTTTTGAAGGCACTTTTTTTGAAGTCAATTTTTGCTCGATTTAAACAAATTTTTGACTGATCTGGAAGGCACAGAGGCAGGATTTGCCGGAAAAAGTAGCACTTCGCAAACGTTTTACATTCAGCATTCTTCCATTTTTCCATTTTTCACTAGTCACCAAATTTCCTTTCACCTAATCACTTTTTCTTTTTCAGTTGGAAGAACAAAACGAGCGGCTGAAGCAGCAGAATCTCCGATGCACCACACAGCTGCAAATGCTCAAATCGATGAGTGAAAAGAGTCGCAATTGGAATAACAAAAAGACGAACAGCTTCGACGTCATGAGCCACTCGGTGACGGTTTGTTTTTGAGCAGAAAAGCTGTAAAACTGGCTCTAGCCTTTGCCTGAATCTCAAAAATGATTTCAGGGTGCTCTCCCAGTGTGTCGCGAGCTCGAGAATCGCACCTCTGATGACAGCGGCTTGACAAGCGATGAGCATGAGAGGTTCTCGAAAAAGACATTTTAGAAACTTTTCAACAATTCGAAAATAAAGTGTGACTTCCAGGATTGCCAGTATTTCGATTAAAAAGAAAATCGATCAAATTCTAGAGGCTGCACGGCGCTGATCACTGACAACGCCGTGATGAGCCGCTCGATCGCCGGCGAGTCGACCCCGAAAACGTTGCGAAAGAGTTCGTTATCTATTTTTAAACAAAAAGATAGAAAAATAAAGATATTCAGCTATTTTCGTTAGCTGAATAGCTTTATTTTTCTTCTTTTATTTAACTGAATATCTTTAACAAAAATTTTTAATAAATTTTAAATGCAAACTTTGCAAAAATTTTAAAATTTAAAAAATGCTTTTTTAAATAAATTTTGCTTTTTTTACGCCCAGTGACTTCCAGAATTGACTTTAAAATCAAAAAATTTTGAAAATTTCAGAAATGACACGACAAAACTCGGCCGATTGCGCTCCACAGGCTCCGGTGACTCCATCATCGGATGGGTCGCCTGTTTGGGAGCAAAGCCGACCAATACCCACCCCGAGGAAACCCAGGAACACGCCAATAAATGTAATTTTACGAGTACAGTACAGTACAGTACAGTAATTCGAGTACAGTAACCCAGTCAAAAAAAAAATTTTGTCAATTTTTGAAATTTTGACTATGTGAATTTCTAAAGTGCACTCCAGAATGGGGATTTTTTAAATTCGAAACTCTCTAGGTTGAACGAGACTCGCTGAATTCGTTTCGTGACGAGTACGAGTTCGACTGTGACGAAGAGGAGGAGGAGGAGATGTTCGACGAGGTGGTGGAAAGCCCGTCAGAGCACAGAGCACCCGCAAAATACGCGGACTATGTGAATCTGGCGGACTTTTGCGCGATTCGGGACGACGAAGTGGTTTACTCGGATATTATCAAACCGACAACGTCTCAACCACCCGAACCACCGCAACACAAAACGAGGCCATGGGTGAGTGGAAAAAAAAGTCAGACTAACTAGTGAGTGGAAGTTGATAAAAAGCTTGGCTAGTTGCTATTGCGGGATAGGAGAAACCAGGATCGACTGGTGCCTTCAAAAAAGTGCCTTTGAAAAAGTGCCTTCAAGAAAGTGCCTTCAAAAAAGTGCCTTCAAAAAGTGCCTTCAAGAAAGTGCCTTCAAAAAGTGCCTTCAAATTCTTTTTGAAATTTTACGATTCAATTCATTCAAATAGTAGACTGCACTCCAGATTAGCCAAAAATCGAAAAAATTAAATGCAAAATAAACCCTATGCTAATTTTCTGAGGCATACTCAATTGGTGCAAATTTTTCTTTTTTTTCTTCGCATAGAAAAGCTCAAAACCGCTTGAAAATCCCTAGTGCATTCCAGATAGGGTAAAAAAATATAATAAGTACCAGTTGAGCTAATTGGTGTATCACTTTTGGTTTTATAAAATTGAAATCGCTTCCAGGAGTCGCGTCTGTTGGACGTGGCCGAGAAATGCTTGTCGCCGATCGACTCCCTCACTTCCGATTCCCCAAATCGTTCATCTTCACAGAAAAGAGAGTCATTCGATGGGCAAAGACCGTCGAATGCCTCGGCGAGTCCGTACCAAGTGACGCGAATATCGCTGGATCGGGTTCGTTTTTGCTGCGCCTTTTGTCTACCGTATGAATTTCTAACCCTCCTGTGCGCTCCAGGATCACCAAATCGATTTGAAATTTCAGGTTTCCTCTTCGCCGAGGCGCTCAAACGGCGCGTCGAGCAATCTCTCGACTCGTTCCCCTCGCATTTTCTCTAACTACTCGATCGCTTTAGTGAATAAGAGATCTTTGATTTATATATTAGATCTTTGCAGAGCGATCGTGACTCAAAGGACTATCAGAATGGTTCAGCGGAAATAAAAACTCGACCGCTCAACATTCGAACTTCACTAATACCAACAACCGACTCGGTACAAAAAAAATATTTTTCTTTTTACAATTTCAATTTTCTAATCATTTCATTTTCTCTTGTGACATCCAGGATTGACATTTTTTTGATTTAAAAGATTTTTCAGCTTGAAAAATCCGGTTACTGGAGCTTGGTTTCGGAAAGTCGCTTGAAATCGTTAAAACGAAGATTTGTCGAACTCCGAAATGGTCAACTGAGCTTTTACCGGACCCAGGTTTCGAAAGTTTCTCGGTTTTAAGAAGAAATTGAGTCTTTAGAAGAATCAGAGCCGAGATGAGGAGCCACTGGCTCGAATCGCGCTCACCGAGATCAAGAGCGTGACAAGAATGGCGCAATGTGGTGGGAATTACGCTTTTCTGGTGAGTGCATTCGGCGATCTGGCACAAAATGGCGTAGAAATCGAGTCATTTCTAATGTTTTAGCTGGTAACCGGCACGCAGAAGTTCCAGTACATGACGGAGAGTGAAAGGGCGACAGAGGAATGGATTCATGTGTTAACCCAAGCAATCAAAGGTCAGCCAAACAATTTTTGAGACCAAAAAAATCTGGAGACCCTTTTCGACAAAACTTTGAGGCAAAGCTAGAAGGAAATTTTGGCTGATTTTGGCTTGCACCCCATTGAAAAGGGTCAAGTTACGCCCTTTCTCTTAGCAGCGGATGGCTGAGTGGTTAGGAGGCCGGGATGGGGTTCGAGAGATCGAGGGTTCGAATCCACCTCCACTTGGACTTTTTCGTTTTTTACTAAAAGCTCATAGATAGCCTTATAAGTAAAAACTAACTAAGCCAAGCTCGACTAAGCCAAGCTCGACTAAGCCAAGCTCGACTAAGCCAAGCTCGACTAAGCCAAGCTCGACTAAGCCAAGCTCGACTAAGCCAAGCTCGACTAGGCCAAGCTCGACTAGGCCAAGCTCGACTAGGCCAAGCTCGACTAGGCCAAGCTCGACTAGGCCAAGCTCGACTAGGCCAAGCTCGACTAGGCCAAGCTCGACTAGGCCAAGCTCGACTAGGCCAAGCTCGACTAGGCCAAGCTCGACTAGGCCAAGGCTATCCTTGATATCCTTCATATCCGTATTCTACTTCAGGAGCGACTCTCCGCGAGCTAGCCACCCGAACAACCCGTCTAGAAGCCTCGATATCAGGCATTTTGCAACGAGTTCGATGCGGGCATTCAAAGCGACTTTTCGCCTCACTTTCCCAGCATAAACTCATGTTTTTCAAAAGCCCTGATGATACGGTTTGTTGCTAGATTTTTGACTACTTAAGTACTTGTAATATTAGTCTAATTTTACAGGTGCCAACAAGTTTCCTCTCATTGCAAGGGGCACACATTTGCGAGAAACAGAAAACCGAAAGCGATGAGTACTCGGGAAGCTCGGATGAGCAACAACAGAAGGAACAGAAGGGAAATAATGCGAACAAAAGGGAATACACGATATCGATTGAGGTTTGTCTGGGTTTTTTCATCAGAAAATGACAAGCTGGAGGGCAGGGTAGCTAAAGAATTTGTCATTTCGTCAAATCCTGGCAAAGTTAATCGATCAGTGGTCAGGGCTAAAGCCAGGACCTGCCCCAGGGCCTGCTCCAGGACCTGCCCCAGGACCTGCCCCAGGACCTGCCCCAGGATCTGCCCCAGGACCCCAGGACCTGCCCCAGGACCTGCCCCAGGACCTGCCCCAGGACCTGCCCCAGGACCTGCCCCAGGACCTGCCCCAGGACCTGCCCCAGGACCTGCCCCAGGACCCAGGACCTTTTTGAAAGATGTCAAGCGAAATCCTAATCTTAAATTCAGCTTGCTAACGAGGATCCACTCTATTTGGTGTTACGGTCAGCTGAAGAAAAAGAGAAATGGCTGGTAAGACACTTGACCCACTGATTCTAGTGGTTCTAAAGATCTAAAACTATATTGTTAAACTTTTCAGTACTTTCTCCGCTCGGCTGCTGGCGATGCGACGCTTTGCGGAACGCCTTTTGAGATTCTAATGCAACGAATGTTGATTGATGGAGCTAGACAGGGTGAGTTTCAAAAAAACGTTGGCTAAACGTGAAAAAACTATCGAGATAAACACTGTGCGTTCCAGTTTGAGCCTTTAAAATAATCGAATCGCAAATTTGCAGACTCACCTTTCTGGAATGACCTCTTACTTGTTTCGGCCGAGGACCCGAAAGATCCAATGGTGTCTATAAATGCGCAGGAGAAGAAGAAAACGATTGAGATCGCTAAGGTGCGTTCCAGATTGAACGTTTTTCGAAAAACATTTGTGAAAAGTCAAAGATTTGAGTCAGAAATTCGTTCAGCTTTGTTCTGTTCAAACTTTTGACTTTTTTAAGAAGCATTTAGACTACCGTAACCCTCTAATAGTTACAGTAGTTTAATGGTTACAGTAGGCGCTTATGCGAAACAGTAGGAGGTGTTTTAGGCTTGCCACCTCTTCGTTTCGGTGTTGATGCGACCGTGCGCCGTGCAATACCATATCGATTTAGCGCAAAACATTCTCTCGTCAGCTATTCAGGTACGGTGCGCTCCAGTTTACGAAATTAAGTCGAAATTTTCAGTTGGAATTCGTGCGAAACGAGCTCTACGCTCAGCTGATCCGAATGACGTCCGGCACGATGCCGTTCGCTTTGCAGGTAACAGCATTTAAGCACCTCCAACACGCACCGTGACATCCAGGACTCACAAAAAAACGATTCAGGGCTGGAAGTTGTTGGCGTTAACCCTGCCACTTTTTCTCCCAAAGCAATACGCGTTATTGTGGTTGTTGAAGAGACACATTGCAAGATGGGCGGCCAAAAGGTGACTCTTACAACATTCTGGAGGTCACACTAGATTTAGAATTTATATAAATAATAGATTTCTTATTTTAAAGCAACTTAAAGCACACCAAGGCGTACGGTAGAAATGGTGCATTTTAGTCGAATGTCAATGTCTGAAATCGTTTTTAAAACTCATTTTCGGGCATTCTGGATGTCACACTTGATACAGAAGCTTAGAAATCTATCGAATTCTTATTTTTAAAAGATTCGGATTACTGTAGGAAAGGTCACTTTTTAGTGGCGATGAGGCGAATATTGCTGCGTACTGTGAGGGAACGTTGGAGAAAAGTCTCCAAACGGGCGGAAGAGACGAGGGACCGAGTCGACTCGAGGCCACATCGATTCTCACAAGAGATCCGTCGTCAACGAAATTCCCCCATTCGATCTCGGTTCGATTACCGAATGGGGACTATCAGGTGGATGAGATACCGTAATCCAAAACGTGTCTCTTTTCCTTTAGGTGGTCGAATTTGACGGCTCCACCGAAGTGGGCCAATGTCTGTCATCGTTGTGTCTCAAATTGGGAATGCGACCGGCGCTTCTTTCTGGGTACGCACTCTACATCGATCATCCGTCAAACCAGGGATTGCATTTGTTGAAGGGGAAGCAAAAGGTGGGTAGAAGGCTAGCTGATACTTCTTCCTCGTCTCCTTCCTCTTCTCCTTCCTCTTCTCCTTCTCCTTCCTCTTCTCCTTCTCCTTCTCCTCTTCTCCTTCTTCCTCTTCTCCTTCTTCTCCTTCTTCTCCTTCTTCTTCCTCTTCCTCCTCTCCTTCTTCTTCTCCTTCTCCTTCCTCTTCTCCTTCTTCTTCCTCTTCTCCTTCCTCTCTCCTTCTTCTCCTTCTTCTTCCTCTTCCTCCTCTCCTTCTTCTTCTCCTTCTCCTTCTCCTTCCTCTCCTTCTTCCTCTTCTCCTTCTTCTCCTTCTTCTCCTTCTTCTCCTTCTTCTTCCTCTTCCTCTTCTCCTTCTTCTTCTCCTTCTCCTTCTTCTTCCTCAATTTTCGTCGAAAAACGTTCAAAATTATTTTTATGCCCTTTTCAGCTCTGCGACTGTTTAACCCTTTGGGAACGACGTGAGCGAGACTCGAGACGAGGCAGGATATCGGCGGAAGGAGTCGCCAAATTGGAACTCCGATTGCGACACTATTGGAGACATTTGGCACACACGGAGACACTCCTGGAGAGAGTAAGTGCAGTGGAAATAGACATTAAACGGGAATTAACCACTCTATCTTCAAAGCTGGATGTCACACTGAAACTAGAGCAAGAAATAAAAGAAAGGAAGTAATTTTTCGATCCGCCACATATGTCGAAAGCCGAATTTCATACTGTAACTTGGATTCTCTACCGTAATCTTATCAAAATCTCTATTGAATCTTTGAAACTGGACGTCACACCGTAACTAGAGCAAGGAAAAGATTTTGAAATAGCCAAAGATTCAAATTCCCTCTAAATTCTCCTTTTCAGGGTTTCCTCGTTTGGCGACAAGCCGAAGAGATTGTCGGTGGCCGGGTGCCGGTTTCCTCCGAGCTCGCCGATCATCTGATGTCTCTGTATGCGCAGTTGAGCTTCGGGGATTTAGATGGAGCGCCGACCGATCAACATTTTCAATATGTGACCAGCAAGTGGGGGGGATTTCATCAAGAAAATACTATTTGGAGTAGATTTTTTTTGCTCTGGTCAAGCTAAAGTAAAAAAAAAAGCAGATCTGAGAAGTCGTTTCTAAAAACACCTGTCTATCTTTCTCTGCCTCCCATCTGCCATCCAGGGATTCCCGATTTTCCAGATTTTACCCCCGCAAGATGTACGAGGTGGCGAATTTGCGAACGCTTCGCGCAAATTTGGAAACGAATTGGCGTCAAATGGGCGGAATGAGCGAAAACGAGTGCATTCGAGTGATCCTACAGGTGAGCTGTGAGAGCTGGGAGCATTTAGGTGCTTCCATGGCCAACCCGTGGGTGCTTAGGTGCTCCCATGGCCAAGCTGGGAGCTCCAGTTTCAAATCTCTGGCATTTAGGTGCTCCGAAAATGGCCTCTATTCGGTTGCTCTTTATGGGAAGCCGGCATGCGCACGTCGAACGATCGAAGCGTTTTCGTGGCCGTTCACGATTCGGGAGTGCACATTTTGGATCGCCGGCATTTGGTGGGGCGGAATTTGGTGCCTACTGTAACTGTGAACGTTTAGGAAACGATTCGTTCTTTTCCCTTCCAAAAATTGGTCACTTTCGGCGGCTTTCACAACGATTTCATGATCACGGTGAGTGGATGAGCTCCAGTTTGGGCAAGTTAGCGTAATTCTCGAATAGATCTTGCAAATTGGATGTCATACTGTAAGCGTACAGTAATCCTAAGCCTACAGGCCTACAGTAAGCAAAAACACGCTCTAGGTGGAGCGCATTTTATCGCCCGATTCGCATCCGGAGGAGACGCCAAAAGAGCGGATCACATTCAGCATGGAGCCCGCGCAAATCGAACAGGTTAGTGTTGTCATTGGACTACGGTAAACCCTAAAAAAGCTACAAAATTGACCTTACCCGACAAGTTTCAGTTGACCACCCATCTCGCCGAGTACATCAGATGCCAGAAATTGGTTTTCAACATCTCGAAATAAGCCTACTCTAGACGCTTTTTGTCAAACCTCAGGTCCAGTTTCTAGTTACACCGGAAACATTATCGTAACCCTAGCCTATCAGTTCCCCAAATAGTACTCCATTTACCGTAATCTTCATCCCAAATAAAGCCAATTTTCCGGTGATTGCCTTATCGTTTCGCTTATTCTCTCGAAAAGTTATAAATTTGTGCATCTGCCCTTGCAAACTTTGTATAAAGTGCAATTTGCTCATCGGTTTCATCTCAAAAACACAGTTGGCCCTACATTCTTTCACTGCTTATTGAAGTTTCGACTCCATTTGATCATTTTATATTGTTTTGAATTGTTAGAGATGAAATAAAAGTGATATTTCTGAACAACAAAGTAACATTTCACTAAACGAGTAACAATTTATCATCAAAAAGTTCCGGCTTATATAACTTATTTAAGTTTCTTCTTGATGCGGAGGTCGTTCGAGTGTCCGCACTTCTTCTTGCGACAGTTGGTGGCACGTGGTGGGAGACGAGCCTAGGATACAAGAAGAATATTTTGAGATTGGGAAGAAACTCACATAGCAGCGACGGCAGATTTGCTTCTCGCAGTTGTACTTTTGGGCGAGCTGACGAAGCGACGGCTCGATGATACCTAAAAAGAAAAAGATTTAGACTTTCGAATTACAAATAAACATTTTTCCAAGAACTCATTCTTGAAGTCTAGCAGTCACTCAAATCGTATCAAGCTAAATTCAAGCAATAAATGCTCTCTCCTGTAAGCAGAACAGAGCTACAATCTTTAGTTGGAACAACTTTTATCTAGCATAGAACTCTAATCGTTCAAAGTCAACTATCAAATCTGCCTCTGAAAATTTAAACAACTTTGACTCAACAAATACATACCTCCACGAAGTCGGAGAACAAGATGAAGGGTGCTTTCTTTTTGGATGTTGTAGTCGGCGAGTGTGCGTCCATCCTCCAATTGTTTACCTAAACAAATCAATTTAATTAAATGCGTTTTAAAATAACGAAGAGTGTTAATTTTACTAGACGAGGACTATTGCTTTAAACCCTAATCAATTACTAGACTTTTCATCATTTATAGTCACTAAAGAGCTGGGTTCACATATACAACTTTAACATCAATCATTGCTATTCTTGTCTGAATACTAGATTACAAGATTACAAGAATACAAGTGCTTAACATATTACTTAACTACTTTTTAAAAAGTACCAGCAAAGATGAGACGTTGCTGATCAGGTGGGATGCCCTCCTTGTCTTGAATCTTGGCCTTTACATTCTCGATCGTGTCCGATGCCTCAACCTCAAGGGTGATGGTTTTGCCCGTCAGAGTCTTCACGAAGATCTGCATTATCTGAAAGCAAACAAAAAAATTAACTTGTCAAAATTTTAAAGAAACAACAAATTATTGAAACGAGATCAACATACAAAGATTGGTTATCACAAAGAGTTTAAACAACACAATAGAAAATCGATCATTTCTTCTTTCGTTTCGCACTTAGCAAACTGAAATCTTGATCGCCGGTTTGTGGTGGTTGTTCGTGCGTCTTTTCAACGACATCCGCTGTTCCCACATCATCGAGTCCATCCAAAAGATCCATCACTTCCGTGTTTTCCTTCTTCCTTGATCCAGGGGTCTTCTTGGCTTTCCCCTCTTCTTTATTCTCCTCTTGCACCTTCAACGATGCGGCGATCTGTTCAGCTTGCAGTTGGATCTTGGCGTCATCCATCTCGTCATCATTGCACGTTGCATCATTGAGATCCAATTGTGCGCTTGTTGATGCTTCGTCTTTTTCTGCTGGTCCAAACTTGTTAAGCACAGCTTTCGGGATGGCTGGACCAATCAATTCGTTTGGATGGTTTTCATTTGTGTGCAAAAGCTCATCGAAAACCAATGAAAACCCTTCGACAACTTGATTCTTTGAACGAGTCGCCGCATCGTTTGCGCAAATCTCTGTGATAAGATCGGTCAAATCGGAGACCCGCTGAAACGATCGATTTGCGCATGCTTCGATCATCGCGGTGGTCAAAATGAGGCGACTCGTTTGATGCAATCCACAGATCTCTTTCCTCTTGTTGACAGACAACCACAGACATCCATCGAGATAAAGTTCTTCTCGCGAATCAGGATCAGTAATCGAGATTTCTCCGTCACGAATGAACCCGTACATCACACAAAGTGGCATATGATGAATGTTGAGTGGCACTGGGGCGTATTCCCGCTCTGAATGGATAATCGTTCGTTCAGGTTCCACGGTGATCATCGGTCGACGATAGTGATGCAGAGCTGCGGCGGCGGCAACCGATGCACAATCCAACAAACACCCATCATCATCCAGCACTTTGATGTTCACTTGCACTTTCCACACTTCTTTGCCTGCTCGGATGCAGAGTGATTCCACATCAATGCATCTAGAGTCTCGAATGACCAACTCTAGCATTCGCCTCAGCTCGAATCCCTTGCTTCCTAGGCGTCCGTGTTGAAAAGACGGGTTGGCCATGGGGCTCATGTCGACATCGACAAAAACAAGGCCTTTCGATGGACGATTTCGCGTTGGTTCCCCGATTTCTCCACTCACTGTGCAGTATACTTTCGTGTTTCCCAGCGTGCACAAGGCGGTGCCGGTTTGCGAGCCAAGGAAGAGTTTCACCGCCCGAAAATCGTCTCTTGAGCGGCCGTCCAATCGGAGATTCTCGACGATTCCCTGCACGACGAACTCCCTCTCGCACAAAGTCGGCGGCTCATCTCGCATTGTCTAAAAAATCGAATTAGTAAGAGTAAAAGATGTGGAGAAAACAAAAACAAGGCTAAAACAAATTTTGGATAAAGAAATGGCAAGGAATCGGGGAATTTTCAGGCTGAAAAGGTGAACTATTCAATTTTTACTGCAATAGTGCAAAATTTGAAGCTTTTTAAGGCCAAATTTCCCTAAACTTTATGAAAAACTGATAAGGAATACAGAAAATGAGAGGAAAAGTCAAAAATCAAGGACTACTGACAATCGCGAAGTTTGAACAAATGGTATTTTGCACCGGGAAACTCCATTATATAGTAACTTCCTACTAGAAACGAATATTCGATTGACTTAGTTGAATATCTTTACAAAAAGCTTGTCTTCTATAAAATAAATCACTTTTTTGGCTGAATATCTTCGTTTTGTGAATGCATTTTCGTCTTTTTGCACTACTTAATGGCGTCGTTTGTATGGCGATGGCGTTTTGTGGAAATTATTGAAATGAAAGGACTTGAATCGTTTAGTCTAACGAAAAACGGCATTTTCATCCCGTCATTGCACGTCTCCGCGTTAGATAAGCTTTAAAATTCGACTAACTAGTGCTAAAATTAGAATTGATACGCTAAAAACGCCATTTAAACCTTAAAATTTGGAAAAGATTAGCTCACCGGAAATGCTGTATTAGAGCGACCGATATTATCCCTTCCCTCGCGATACTAAACAAATATCGTTATAAATAAGTCGAACACTCGATTTTGATCAAATTTTTGTTTTTTTCTCCTCTGCCTCTCAATGATCTTGAAATTTTAAGCTTCGTCATGGAAGTCGAAGTGAGAAACGAACAACGAGATGCTCAAGAATGGATGCGATCGGCGAAATTTGTCGAGATTCTCGCCAGTGATTCGACTTTTAAGGTAGACACTTTTAATTGTGCTTTAAAACTAGACCTGGAGCCAATTTGGAGAAGATAACATCCTTAGCTTTTGCACGTTTTTTTCCATGTCCTTGCCACTTTGGCCTATTTTGCCCATTTTTGAGACTTCAAAGTGAGCAGCTGCCCGTTTTACACCTCAAAACCCATTTTCTGAATGTTCAACCTGGTTAAAGGGCCGAAAATATATGTTTGAAGTTGCAAATTATTCGCATCTAGTTCGTCTTTCTGGAAACTTGAAAAAAGCATTTTCTAGATGCTTAGCCTGTTAACTGACCAGTTAAAGTTGCAAATTATTTCAATTTAGTCCTTATTCATCCTCCTGCAGCACTCAAATGGCGAGGAGGGGATTCTGCTGATGAACAAATCGTCGTTTCAAGAAGAACCCGATTGGATCTCGTCGGTAATGAGCCGATTTTGTGCGCTTTTTAATTCGTTTAGCTGTGCTCTGCTGCATCACTGAAGGAAATCTCGAGAAACGACATCTTTGGTAACTACGATCTGCACATCCCGCCCGAATTTAATGGTTTGGTGTCGCTCTCTTTCAACAATTTTCATGTTTAGTTGTCACTTCTCAACTTATCTTCCCGGCTAATGAGAAGCTGAAGGCAAAATATCGATCGGAAGAGAAATTCGTCATTCACGAGACGCCCGAAGACTACCGAACGATCACTTTGGGGTACATCGAGAAGTACCAACTTAATCTGAATGTATTTTTTATGATTTTTGACTAATTTTCACCTTTTCTAGTGGGTCTACAACGTTTTGAACAAAGAGGCCGAAGCTGAGCGAATCATTTATGAAGATCCGAATCCAGAAAATGGCTTCATTTTATCGCCAGATATAAAGGTTTGTGAATTTTTACGATCTGTGTTTATTTAACTTTAGTGGGACGGGAAAACGGTTGAGACTTTGTATGTTCTAGCGATCATTCACCGCAAAGGTGTCAGAAGTGTTCGGTAATTGATGAATCTCTTTAGCATTTCAAAGTTTTTTAGGGATTTAACAGCAAACGACTTGCCACTCTTAGAGAACATAAAAGAAAAGGGATTGAAAACGATTGAAGAAAAGTCAGTAAACATTTTTGGATTATCTAATCCCTAAATTTAGCTACGGTCTTCGCAGGGATCAAGTCCGAGTCTATTTCCACTATCAGCCGTCGTTTTTCCACTTGCACGTGCATTTCGTGAATGTCAGGTTGTCTTTAGCTGTGATTTGTCTATATACAACTCGATTCAGATATCTACCCGCTGGATCGAATGTGCTAAGTGCAATCGCGCTCGATGATGTCATCAATAATATAACATTGCTTCCCGACTTTTATCAGGTATGACGAAACAGTTTAAGAGCTACATTATCATTTTAGAAAGCCACGCTAACATTCACACGAAAGAAGTCCGACAAACTTTTGCAAATGTTCGTCGAAGCGGGCAGGATGTCAAAAATCGAATGAGATCTCAACTTTTTGTGCTCTAATCAATGAAATGATCGGGTCTTTGTTGTGATTTTATAGTTTTTCACTATCATTTTGTTAAATAAACGTTTCAAAATTTTAGATTCAGGCTTAAAACGTCGGATCCGTCGCCTATTTCATGCTCTTTTTGTATTTTGAAAGTCTTTCGTTGCAGGACCTCACTTATCCGCCCATTTGCTGCGAATAATGTCCTTTGAGACTGTTTTCGTCATTTCTTCAGCCTTGTCTCGTTTCGAGAAATTCCAAAGAAAACGAAATTTTGTACTTTTTGGTTGGGAAAATGTTTTGAAATGACGTTTTGTCTGTGTACTTATGGTGTTTAGTTGATGTGACTAGACATTTTGCGCCTTTTATCAAATTTATTTCTTTTAAGCTAACAAATCTTCTAATTTTTCCGAAGTCTGAGATTTTGAGATTCTAAATTGCTTTATCGGTGAGTTTGACGGTTTATCGTAGAGCTGAGCCAAGAACGGCGAAATCTTAGTGCACATTGTGGCAAATTGAACAATTTTGTGGGAAAGTTGATTGTTAAATTTATAGTCTTAAGCTATAAAGATTATTTCTTGGATAGTTTGGATTACGGTAGTTTTTGTCACAAATACTTACTACTGTATTTATGATAAGGAGGGGATTTGACTAAATTTTTCATTCTTGTCAAGTCACTGGTCTGACTCTTTATGTGTACGATTCAAATACGGTCAAGTTAACCAGTTTAACGTTCAATTGTAGTTTCTGTACTTGGTTTTGGCTTTTAATAGCTCTATCTTCTCGTTTTTAACTTTGTTTCGTAGAGTTAAATCGTAATTTTCGTATTTCCAGGTAACCCCGAGCATCACTTGTTCATCAACAATGTCTGAAATCCCCGAGGGAGATTACGAGAAAGGAAAGAAGGTCTTCAAACAGCGTTGGTTCGTGGCATTTCTGGAAATCAGTTAATTTTGTATGCTTTAGCTTGCAATGCCACGTTGTCGACTCAAAGGCCATGAAGACCGGCCCGACTCTTCACGGAGTCATCGGAAGAACTTCAGGAACGGTGCCTGGATTCGACTATTCCCCAGCTAACAAGTAAATTTACACGCTTTTAAGCTAATCTGTTGAATTTCTAGGTCAAAGGGAGTCGTCTGGAACAGAGAGACACTTTTCGACTACTTAAGGGATCCAAAGAAATACATTCCGGGCACAAAAATGGTGTTCGCAGGATTGAAGAAAGTCGACGAGAGAGCCGATCTCATCAAGTTCATTGAGGTATGCCTTTTATTGATATTGTGAATGATTAAATAGGGTGCTTTATGGACAACGAGATTCTACGGTGACTAAAGCTGTAGTGTTGCTAAGAGCTTTTTTTAAAAAGGGTTTCACATGATCATACTTGTAATAGACTTAGCTATGACATGACAAGGCCAAAAGTTATTTGTCTCTTTTTCAGGTTGAGAGTGCCAAGCCCGTCTAAACGAGCCTCCCAAAACATCTCATCCGTCATCAAAATCCACTCAGGACTCAGGACATGCTCGTCATTCATCTGCCAACCAGTTCAATTCAATCGTGTTTTGAGTATCGTCGCTTTTTAGCCGATATCTTGATAAGTAGTCGTAAGTTAGTGTGATTTAGGTTTTTTTAATTATCTGTTTTGAATGTTTTGATGTTTTTCATTTTGTTCTACACCTGTCCCGGCTTTTTGTTACTCTCAGAGATTTATTGATCGAATAAATGGATTTTTATTGTCGAAGTCTATCAAAAAGCGTTTGAATCGTTGAAAATATCGCACACCTTGGGGTAAACCAAAGGATCTATTGTAAATGTTGTGGTTTGAGAGTGAAACAAACAAGCTAAATTGCATTTTAGAGATGAACGCTCCATCGGCTTTCGAGTCTTTCATCATTTTTGAGGGTGAGAAGAAAATTGAGTACGAGGTTGACACGAAGGTGCGTTTGTTGGGTTTGGATGGACAAGGATGTAGCACACCAAAGCTTGAAACCTTAAAGGCCAAAGCTAAACAATGGCAGATTTGATTCCGAAATGTAATTTTGCCGCAGTATATCCTATAGAAGCTGCAAGGAAATGTAATAAAAAAGACCCACGAATCAAAAAGCATGAAAGCCAACTGTTTAGTGTGGTTAGTAACGCGTTTCTAACTCTAACTGTTTGTCTTGAACGAAGAGACGCGTATTAGCGGTGCTAAATTCAACTTTTCAGTTGCAAATACTCATACACACGTTTTAGGTGCCCAATTGCGCGGTTTTTACGATCAACAAAGAGGATCACACGCTTGGAAACTTGCTTAAACAGTGGGTGATTTGTGTTTTTTTGCTACTAATGACTCGCCAATTTAGTCAATTGTTGAAGGATCCAAATGTGTTGTTTGCTGGCTACAGAAATCCCCATCCATTGGAGCACAAATTTCACCTAAGAGTGAGTTATTTTCGGTTTTCAAATTTCTGTAAGCTGAAGTTTCAACATGCTCATTCGTACATTTTAGATTCAAACAAACGGCGAGTGCACACCGAGCGACGCGTTGAGTTTGGCGATCACTGATCTCATCTCGGAGTTATCGCTGTTCTCGGAACGATTTGAAGTGGGATTTGAGTTTTATCATTAACAAAGTTAACCGAGTTGGCTAACGGCAGTCAAACTTCTTCATGACGTTTGACTTGCTTAATGCTAGCAGTAGATGGGTAAAAACTTGAAAATATTGTCTTTTTAGCAGAAAATATCATGCAAAACTTCTAATATGGCCTATCTGGATATACTAGAAGCTTATATGCAGATTTGACTGCGATTAAAGCAAAATATTTGCACTGATAGAGCAAAAAAACGTTAATTATAGTTATTTTTGAGCCACACGATGTATTTTTAAATGAGAACACAAAATTTTTAACTTCTTTATAAGCTTAAACTTTAAATTCTATGGAAATATTAATTTTTTAGGAAGCCGTCCGAGAGCGACAGGATAATCCGATGGATTGAGGAACCAACAAGCCCAATGCAATGGCTTCTTCACTTTTCGTCCATCTGCATCAAATCAATCAGCCAATCGCTTAGTACATGTACTTATTTGATCTCTTTTCTTTTCACATTTTGTTGACTTTATTAATTTATTCTTGTTCGTTTTGATGTTGTTTTTAGTACTGATAAATAAATATTTAATTCTAAAAACATGGATATGACAAGCGATTTTCACTTTACAATCTCTAAATACGCGACAAAATTTATCAAATCGAGATTTCATCTTTGTAGATGTCGTTGCTGATTTGTTATGCAACGGAGACGGGGAATGCCGAGGATGTCGGTGAGATGCTTTGGAGGGAAGCGAGGAGGAGAGGATGTAAATCACCGAGAATGGCATCCTTTGAGCAATTGAGTCTGGAAGTGAGTGCTTTCGCGTGGGGTTTATCAGTTAACTGTAGGCTGGCTTGACGGCGCCGTCAAGGTCGATAGGGGGCACCTTTCGTACGTATATCTGAAATAATTAGAGTTTTGGTTAGTCCAGGTTTTAACGATTTAACGATTCGGCATTTGTTATGACTAACGGTGCCTTGCTTGAAGTTGTTCTTATTAGTCGACAGTGGGCTTAAAATTAACACCGATCTCGTTAAACGCCCGAAAATGTAAGCTCTATTCGTTTAAGTTCGTTAGCTAAGTCCATTTTAAGTGAAAATTTAGCTGAAATTTTTGAGAATCGATGCACTAGAGAGTTTTTTAGTGCTATTAACGTTAGCAAATCAAATTTAAATTCTTCATCGCTTACTACTGCTTTCATCACTTTCATTTTAGTCACTTGCCTCCGAACGAACGGTGGTTTTTCTGATCGCAACGTCCGGTCAAGGAGAGTTTCCCACGTCGGCTCGCTCGCTATGGACGTGTTTCCGGCAGAAAATTCTACCCAACGATTACATGGATAAGGTTGAAAATCAAGCTTTATTTAATGGAATTTCTCTTTAAATATGAAAGCTCTTGTTTTAGATGCACTTCTCGGTTGTGGCGCTCGGCGATTCGTCCTATCAGAAATACAACCGAGCCGGACGATTATTGAGAGCGTGAGTGTTTGACTTTTAAATGAGTATAAGGCGATCAACGAGAAAAAAAATAGGAAAAGGGAAGGATTGAAGACAAGTTTTTCAATGCAATTGCGTAGTAGAATTTATTTGAAAAACAGCATTTTAGTCTGATAAGCAAATTTGACAAAACTACTCAACTCAAGCAATCTTTTTAGGCGCTTGGTGCAATTGGGCGCTCATCAACTCTGCCCACCGGCCTACTGTGATGATCAACACGAGATCGGAATCGATGGAGCGTTTCAACCGTGGAAACACGTGTTTTTCGAGGCTTTGAAGGGTGTTGAGGGATTTGAGGTGGAGTTTTTAATGGTTTTTTTAGTAAATTCGCCCGATTTATCGTGTCAAAATTGTCACAAATGCTAAAAGAAACGTCTGATCACTTTAAAAACCTCAAATTTTAGAGAATCCTCGACTCGAAAGATCCCGAACTGAGTGAGCGTCCGTTCGTTTCGAAATTTCGTTTACGTTTCTGCGATGGGGGTTAGTTTAAGACGATTGCCTAGTTAAAATAAAGGCTTAATATGATAGATTTTAAGGCTTAAGTCGGAATAAGTCAAGCTTGTTTTAAAGAAAACCCATATTAGTTTAGAGCACATCGACGAGCCGTCGGGTTCAGCGGAATATGTGCGAGTCGAGACGATTTCCAACGAACGACAAACGTCGATCGATCATTTTCAGGTGAGATTTTAGAGAAAAAAAAGTTATTTTAATGATATGTAGAAGTTGTGAAATTATTGTGTAAGCCTGAAATTTTCTCCAAAAAAATTTACGTTTTAGGACACCCGCCTCATCACTTTCAACATAGGAAACCATGAAGAGGCGTTGAGGTGAGAGGATTTGTTGGTTTGTAAATTGTAATTTCCTTTAGATACCGATCCGGTGATGTTTTGATGATTCAACCTGAGAATTTGGATGAATCGATCAAAATCGCTGTTGAGGCGCTGAAATTGAGTGATGAGGTTTGTTTGGAATAGGCAAAACGACTTTTTTTTTTTTGGTTAATTCAAACTTCAATTGGTTGTAAAATTATTGGTTTTGTTATTGATTTATTGGTTATGGAAAAGTGCGTAATTGTAGCTTTTTAGACCCTCGACCGACCGTTCAAACTTGAGCCAACCGACTCGAATATTCGTTTACCGCCTGGATGGCTGATTGGGAGTAAGTTTTGAAATTGTACAGTTCAAGAATGGTCTTTAAGATCAATCCTTAAAAAGTTTGATAAAGTTTAAAAGAGCTAATGGTTATGTAAGCGTTGTTAAAGCTTAATTTTAGCAAAAATTTTTAGAAACTTTTAACTGAATCTGTTAATTTTTTCACTTTTTAGCGACAACCTCGCTTCGATATTGCCTTAAACGAGTGCTTGACCTACAGCACATTCCGAAGAAATCGTTTTTCGAGGTTTACTTTTGTTTTAGAGGCTTTGGTGACGAGTTAAGAGTACTGTTTAAGCGTACACATTTCCAGATTCTTTCGCGCATCTCCAAAGATGAGGACGAAGCAGAGCGCTTGGCCGAGTTTTGTCAACCAGAGAACTTGGTGGGTTTGAAAAAAATTCGATTAACTACATTAAAAAAAAGAACACGTTAAATTTAGCTTAACAAGTGTAAGCCTTTCCTGAAATAAAAATTTACGAAATTCCTTAATTTGGGCACTTTTTAGGATCTTTTCCTCGACTACACCCTCAAAACGCGACGAACCGCCGCCGAGGCTTTTCGTGATTTCTACAGGTACAAGATTTTTGTAATTTCATTTTGACCATTTTTCAATTCGTTTTGTTTAGGACCGCCTCGCAACTCTCTCACGAGCAGCTCTTTGACGTTTTACCGCTGATTCGACCAAGGTTTGGGATGAATGAATTCTTGGAACGAAACGGGGCTAATCAAAGCTCTTTAGAGCCTTCAGCATCGCCAGCTCTCCGATGGCCCATCCGGGTGTGATTCAACTTTTGGTGGCCAAGGTTTGGCTTTTGAAATCGGCTCTGACAGACTGCGATCTTCTAGGTCGAATACAAGCCACCGATCGCGAAAATGGCCGATTTGCGACGGGGACTCTGCAGCTGTCATTTGACTCGACTTCGACACGGCGATATGGTCGGTAATTTGAAATCGGCCGAATACAAGCCACCGGTCGAAATTAAAAATTTCTTATTTTGTTTCAGGTGTTTGTTCGAATTCGAGATGGCACTTTTCATTTCCCTTCACCTGAAACGCCGATAATTTGCATCGGACCGGGCACAGGAGTGGCTCCATTTCGAAGTGTCATCAATGATCGATTGAGGTTTGAGCTTTTTCAATTTTTGATTGCCTACTTACTTAAAACCCACAAGCAAGGGTGTTCCAACCAGTCCCAGACAGTGAGACCGAAGCCAGGTGCAAGCCTGGCTTCTGATGGGACCAGGTTCTTTTGTGAACCTTTTGTGAGCCTGCAAGGCTAAAATCTAGGCCATGATTTTCAATCTAGGCTTCTGGCCTGATTCTCGTTGAATTGACCTGAACAAAAAATAGTTTGGAACAGCCCTGTTCATTAGTGTTTTACATCTTTTTTTTGTCAACTATCTTTTTTAGAATTCACCCCGACTCGGAATCGCTTCTCTTTTTCGGATGTCGTGGCCGTTTCTCCGATTACTATTTCGAGATCGAGTGGACTCATTTGGAGAAACCGAGGATTTTTGTGGCGTTCAGTCGAGATCAAGAGCACAAGGTTAATCTTGAAAAAAAAAGTTTTCGTATCCTTTTAGAAATTTAGATCTACGTGCAACATCTCCTCAAAAAGGAAGCAGCTCTCATTTGGAGATTGTTACAACAAGGCGGTACGATTTTTTTGAAAAATTGCTTTTTTAATCTTTTAAATGCAAAAATAGATAATTTCAGCATTTAGTGCCCACCAGTAGTTTATTCATTTTTTAGCCTACATTTTCGTGGCGGGCAGTGCTGGTGAGATGCCGAATGGAGTGTGCGAAATGTTGGGAGAAATCGGGAAAGAGATTGGTGAGTTAATTGATTTCAACTTTTAAAATAGTAAAGCCATTGAATCGTGTCCTAGCTACAGTAGAAGCTAGCCTAGGTGCCGGTCACGGTAGCACTCAGGTTAAAACAATTGTAGCGCTGGATACAGTATCCACCTGGTGACAGGCTACGATGGCGAAGACGCGCTTAGTACGAAAACCCAACCCAAATTGTGGTTCGAAAGATAAATTAGCTGTTTTTGCTGTTAAAGCGTGCCCGAGCTACTGTAAACATCATTAAAGTAACCGAAGCAATCGTTTTTCGGCTAGACAAGAGGTTACGGTAGCGAAAACACGCGAAAACAGACTAAATTTGAGTACCGATGTTTGGTTTTAAGCTAAATGCGTTATTTTAGGTGGTGAAGAGAATCTTGTGAAAACCCTCGAAACGCAAGGACGTCTTCAATTCGAAACGTGGAGCTGAGTTGGGAATATTTCGTTGTTGCTGCTATTTTTAGTTGTTTTCCTTTCGTTTTGGGTGAGCTTTTCGTTTTGGGGTCTCAAGATAAAGCAATCTTTATTGTTAGAAATTTTGTCATTTTTGAAATCATTTCGCGAAAAAGCATTGTTCCTCATCGGAGATGTACTGACCGGAGAGAAATGAAGCCGTTTCTTCTGCACAATCCTCCCAACGAGCGGCAGATGACTGAAATCGGATTTGGGCTATCAAAAGGTATTAAGCTAATTGATAGCGTGAGTGGGAGTACTGTAGCTACAGTAATTTATGCTTACAGTATTCTCTAAAATACGACTACAATGTAACGTCCCCCCGGTTACTGTAGCTACAGCGATCTTTTACAATTTGGCAAGTCGACTACAGTAATCCGGTCTCTGGTTACTGTAGCTGTTGAGAAATTGGTTTTTTTTTGTAGAGTTACTGTACTCGATTTATTTCAATGTAGCTACAGTAATCTTTAGAGGAAGCTACAGTATAGCCCTCAGGTTGCTGTAACTACCGTACTCTATTTGGGCTAAGTACAGTACAACTCACCCTCTTCAACGCATCATCGACATCGGAAGAAAGCAAATCCAAAAGTGGCCTCAATCTAAAGAGTTTTGAAAGTTCAACAGTTTCGGCTTTTCATTTTTTTACCCATTCAAGAGGATTTCGCGGTGGAAGCGTCGAAAAGAACTAAAATATGAAAAATTCCCGAATTTCTCTCGTTTCTCAGCATTTCACTCACGTTTTTAGGTCGCTCAACTTGAATTTCTGGGCTCGAATGTCGATTAGCGTGTAGAAATAGGTACGGAAAACCTGGAAGTGAGGAATTTTGAGCTAATCAAATATGGAACTGATTGAGTTGAGATCCAATGCTAGCGTTCAAAAGTGCACAAAGTACTTTTGTGATTTTTGTGATTAAACTTTTTAGATTTTCGTGATTTTTGACGCGATTCTAGAGGAAATAATCGATCGCAGTAAATCGCAGTAAATCGACACCGAAAAAGTCTGAGGAATGAGACTTGTTAAGTCAAAAAAAAAAAACAAATCGTAAACACAGACTTTCATGAAATGATTCCTTCTGATTTCTGGAGAAGCTGAGGTGATGATCAGATGAGACAAATCGAAAGCCGGATCCCCGAAATGTACGTTCTGCAATCGAGTTTCTGTTTTTCCAAATCGAAACCTATTTTTGAGATTTTTTGAGATTTTTCCCTTTCCTGGGTGTCACGCTTGAGACTCGAGACAAGAAAAGGCAAGTTTGGTGGAAGAAAAGACGTTATATAGTTTGGTGGAAAGTTTTGATGAGACTGGGACTACTGTAGCAATTGGCGATTTTCCGAAGAAACCCCCCACCTCCCAATCGACGATCGACACTAAATGCTCTCCGTCTTGTGTGAAGCGAAGCGATTCCGCGGTGAGATTCCCGTGGCAGAGAACCAATGCCCCGAGTCCTGTCTCGTCCTCCGTCGACCGATCCGACAACCATTGTGAGTGCTGCTCTAGCTAGAGAAATTTTGAAATTTGAAGCAAAAACCCGCAAATTTTCACTCACTTCACCCGAAATCCAGTCGGGTTTCTGGAAAAAGTGCTTGTGTTCGCCTTGGAAAAGTTGACGCGCCTCGTTCAGTGTTGAGCGCAAGACTTCGGCTCGATATTCGGAGATCACCTGAGTGGAAAATGAAAATTCTCAAAGAAATCGACGATCTGGAACGCACCTGATAGTTCTCCATGACCGTTTGGCAAAATTCGAGATTCGGGTCGAAGACGCTGAAAGTCGAGCAATGAGAAGGAGGCGATTTTTCAGAGATTTTCGAGTCAAAAGAATTTTCGGATTATTTTTTGGACGTTCTGGAGCTCACTGGACTTGCCTGATTGCGTGTAACTTGGCTAGTTGCTCGGCGACATTCGCCAGATGTTCGGTGCTTAACTCGGCGAGCACGAAACCGTCCCGGCGGGTGACGGCGAAAAGCTGAATTCAAATCGGCGCTAGGATTACTGTAGGATTACCGTAGGACAGTAGTAAAGAAGTAGGATTTAAATTCATTAATGAAACTACTCACCGATAGATTCCGCTCGCTGTCCTCTATTCGAAATGCCGATCGGTACTCGCCGACTTTCACGTCCGCTTTATTCATTTGCACGTACTCATGGAAAAAGCGAGAATTGTAGAAGCCGGCCTGGAAATCACGAAAGCATTTAGAAATATAAAAATTTGAGTTTTACAGAAAAAAAAATGAAATTTTGATTTTTTTGTAGTTTATAGTTTCGATTTTTAATTTTTTTTTTTTACAAAATTTTTAAAATAATTAAAAATTGTTAAAAATTGTTTAAATCATCTTGCTGACTTCCAGATTAGAGAATTTTAACGAAATTTCCCGGAAAATCCCTTTTCTAGAGCCTGTAAAACGCACCATAGTGGCCGCTTGATGTAAACTCTCGGCTTCTTCAGTCTCCTCGATCACATAAACCTCGTAGGAGTCGTGCTCGTTCTGGAAATGTTGTTGTTGTTTTTCTTCTGCTCACTGCTGCCTACCTTCAAATTGAGAATTGGTAAACCGATTGGGGTTTCTCTGGGTGTTTCCTCTTCGTAATGCGGAAGGCCGAGTTGAGAAGCGGCCAGCTCACCAACGCTCATCGTTTCCATCTAAAGAAAAGAGATAAAAACGAAAAGAGAAAAGAAAAGAGAAAAGAAAAGAGGAAAGAAAGATTTAAATTTTAAATATAGAATTTTAAAGAATAACGATCGATTTTCGGCTTTTCGCCTTTTGACTTTTCCGAGTTACACTTTAAAGCCCTATAACTTTGTCTAGAGATTAGATAATTCTTAACTTTTATTACCATTGGATAGAGAACATTTCAGGCTTTCAAATGATACCAAAAAGAGTTTAATTGCTTTTTTCCTTCTCATGCAATAAGCAAAAAAATAAGCTAAGGTGATTCAGGCCACTTTGAAAGCCTGTAACTTTCTCCAGAGATTAGATAATTCTTAACTTTTAATAGCATTGGATAGAGGACATTTCAGGCTTTCAAATGATACCAAATAAAGCTTTATTGGTACACAGTTCGTCTAAGAAAGTTCATGAAAGTCAGAGTCAACTCAGATTTTCGTGTCAGCTTTTTTTTATGGGTTGCCTCTGACTTCCATGTACTTTCTTAGACGAACTGCTTATCCAATAAAGCTTTATTTGGTATCATTTAAAAGCCTGAAATGTCCTCTATCCAATAGTAATATAAGTTTACAATTATCTAATCTCTAGACAAAGTTATAGGGCTTTAAAGTGTGACGATTTGTTGAAAGTCGGGAATTCTCGAGAATCGTCTATTTTCCGTTTTTTTGCTAACAAATCGAATGCTATTCTATTATCTAAAGAAAGTAGCTTAAGAAGTAGCTAAAAAGTTAACTTTTAAGCCTTTTAAGAGTTGAAAAAGTGAATTCTGAGAGATTGAAAAATGAGAAATGATTTTGAGAAAAATTTTGAGAAAAAAAATTTTTCTTGTACTTTTGCACAGGTTTTTTCTTTGGATTTTGCCGGGAAATCTTTGAGAATATGCAGCTTAAATGAATCAAAATAATAGCTAGCTTTAAAGCTTTAATTCTATAAAAATTTAAGAAATCCCTTTCAAAAAAAAAAAAAAACTTTTTGATCAACGAGAAAATCTGATCGTATTTCCTTTTTCTTTTCGTTTAAAGATTAAATTTTTAAATAAAACTTGAAGCTTTTTAGTTTCTGATATCCAGAAAATAAAAAAAGAATCAATTTTTAAAAAAAAATTTGAAAAACCGAAATTCTAAAAAATTGAAAAAAAATTCGAAATTCTGATCAATAAAATTCGAAATTTTGCTTTGGAAAACGGAAAAAAAACGATTAAACGCTGTTTTACGAGCAATTTCTTTGCCATTTTTTCGTGATAACACTTTAGTCGAACCTTTTTACACTTTATTTTCCCCATTGCCCGTGACCGGACTCGAACCTGAGCTCCACCCGCTAGTCGTTCGGCTGAGAGCCTAGCGTGCTAACCACTTGACCATCGTGTCCAAATTTAAATATTAAGCAAATAAAAAATTTTTGATTCCCAATAGCTCAGCTGACATCCAGGAAAGCCAAAAATGAAATTGAAAAGGCAAAATTGAAACGAGAAGCGAAAAAACTGGAGAGAAATCGTTACGACCAAGTTTCTCAACTGAATTTTGTTTCTTTCAAAAGCTGAACTGTTTCGTTCGCTATGCTGGACCTCACTGCCTCTAAAGGAAGCGTTATCAGCAATAAATGGGCAAAGGGTTTCTTTTGTGCAGCTCTTCCTCTCCACCTCTTCAAGTCGAATCACCAAAAATAAAAAAAAAGAGAAATTCTTTTGCAAAAAGGCACTAAAGCCGATCCGATGCACTCCAAGTTTGCCAAAAAAGCAAATGCGAAAGAAAAAGCAAAGAATTTTACTTTTTCCCAGTTTTTGGGGAATTTCGGGAATGTGAAGGAACCGAAAGAAATACGACTTTTGTAGTTTAGAAAATTTTCGATCAAAACCGATTCCAAACAGCCTACTGCCTTCCAGAAGAGCAGAAAATGTTTGAAATTTTGTAAACTCATCAAATTCTCTTCTTAATTCTACTAGGTAAGACTCGGATGAGATTTCTCAAAACTTTCATTTCGCTCTGAATCACTCAACAACAGCCGAAATGCCTTTCGTGCGTTCCAGTTTGAAGATTTAACTTGCGTAAAAGTCGTAACACTATTAAAATAATGTACGAAATTGCTTGCTTCTAAATCTTCTCTTGTGAATGTCAATTTTTGCTTGATTTTTTGCTCTTTTTTATTTCTTAAAGTTTATTTCCGAAAATAGATAAAATCTCGCGTGAAATTTTCGCTTTAGATCGAATCTTTGGCTTTAGATCGAACCCGAAAATCTTTGATTTTGCTTGATTTTTCGAATTTGCCAAAAATCGACAAATGAAATTCTCTTACGACTTTTTTTTTCTAATAAATTTCGTCTTCACTGCATTAGCTGAGAATTCAGGTAATTCGGGAGGGGAAGAGGGTTTTTAAAAGTTGTTAAAAGGTTGGTAAAAGGTTGGTAAAAGGAACCATATTGGAACCATATTGGAACCGAATTCTTGGAAGGAACCATATTGGAACCGAATTCTTGGAAGGAACCATAATGGAAGCAATTTTTTGGAAGGAACCATAATGGAACCGAATTCCTGGAAGGAACCATATTGGAATCAATCTTATCAAAACCTTTTCAAAAGCTCTATAAGTGAAGGGACACTAAATTAGCGCTGAAAACTGTCGACCAATATGCAGTCAAAGTTTTGATAACCTTTTAAAAGTCGCTTTTGCCGTTTTTCTGTTTTTCTGTTTCTGCAGGCGTGTTTGGTAAAATTTGGTATTGAAATTAAGAATAAAATTATTCAATTAAGATCAAAAATTATGAAATTAAGCTTTAGATTATTTAAATTAAGATTAAAATGATTAAATTAAGATCCATAAAACTTTATATAGTTATTAAATTGTGGAACCTTTTACCCCCCTTTTTATGTTCGTGTTATTCCCACTTTGGCCTCTTTGAATTCGGCTCTCCACGGGCTCTCTCAGGCTCAGGCTCAGGCTTAGGCGCAAGCCTAGGCTCCAGCTCCTCAAGCTTAGCCTAAGCCTAAGCCTTGAGCTCTTTCTACGGCTCCAGAAGGGAACCTTTTCTCATACGCCAATCTTTCGTTTCCACAGTCTCTTTTTTAATCGAGTTATTAAATTGTGGAACCTTTTACCCCCTCATGTTCGTGTTATTCCCACTTTGCCTAGAGCCGCAATTTCTGCAATTTAAAGCCGCAATTTCTGATTTGACTGCGCTGTGATTCTTTCTCGAGGTATCCTATTTATCTTTTGGGGGTATGTTTTAAGTGGTGTCCCGGGTGATTATTGTCATTTTGTTATTGTCGCTATTCAACTGAATAAAGCATATTATTATTAAGATTAAAATGATTTAAATTAAGCTTTAGATTATTTAAATTAAGATCAAAATTATCAAATTAAGAATAAAATAATGAAATTAAGAGCCTCCAAAAACAAATTCTCAATTATATTTTGCTTTATTTGATGTTGAAAAAGGGTAGATTTACCGGGAAATTACGGGAAATTTTACGGGGAAATTCGTTGAATTTTCGAAAGTCTTTTTTTTTTTGTTTACAGCCAATTCTTCTGTTGTAAAAATTGCCTATCGAGCCGCGTGGGAGATCCCGGAAACGGTAAAAACAAAAAGCAAAACAAAAAAAAACAAAAAAAAAGACGGAAAGTTATATAAATTTTTCAGAATTTCTCTCGACTAGGTCTTTTCTATTGTCGAATTCCGAAAAATGGATCGACTTTGATGAAAATCGTCCTTTGTGATCTTTATCGTTATTTCAAGAGGATATCGTTTACGCCGAAATTCACGAGAGATGAGGAGATCAGGTAAAGGCATAAAAGAGTGACCGTAAATGGCTATCGTGCCCGGGAAAACCAGTAACAAGGGGGCCCCTAGATGAATTTGTTCCTTCAATCCCTTCGATCCCCTCGATCAATTTGTCCCTTCAATCCCCTCGATAAGTTTGTCCCTTCGATCCCATCGATCCCATCAATCCCTTCAATCCCTTCGATCAACTTGTCCCTTCGATCCTTTCGATCAATTTGTCCCTTCAATCCCCTCGATCAATTTGTCCCTTTCGCGATATCACAATTTCACTAAGGGGAAAAGTTGCTATGAAGGGAAAAGGTTGCTCAGAAGCTCAGAAGCTCAGAAGCTCAGAAGCCGAGCTCAGAAGCTCAGAAGTGATGTTTTATTCCCGCAGAAGTCACTCGATCTTTGTCCTAAGTTCCTAAGTCCTAGTCACTTGATTCTTTCCCAATGTTCTGATGATGCAATGACGTATTGTGATGCGCAAAATTTGTCACAATTTCATTGATGTATGATCGAAGATGGCTAGAAGCCTTCATCAACCGAATTTCAGCTTTTAATTTAAATATTTGCAAGACTTAGATGTTGATAATTTAATCAAATTATTTAGTTAATTATTTAGTTAATTATTTAGTGAATGCCAGCTTCAGAATTGGTATGAGAAAGTCAAGCTCTTGAAGAAGCCTCGATGGGAATTGAGGCAAAAAAGAGAATTGGTGAAATTCTCAGTGATTCGACATCCAATTGATCGCTTCGTTTCTCTCTACGGACACTTTTGCGAGCAAGTTTTTTGATCACGAACTTTCAGAGCTTTCAGAAAGCTTTTAGAGCTTCTAGAAAGCTTTTAGAGCTTCTAGAAAGCTTTTAGAGCTTCTAGAAAGCTTTTAGAGCTTCTAGAAAGCTTTTAGAGCTTCTAGAAAGCTTTTAGAGCTTCTAGAAAGCTTTTAGAGCTTCTAGAAAGCTTTTAGAGCTTCTAGAAAGCTTTCAAAGCTTCTAGAAAGCTTTTAGAGCTTCTAGAAAGCTTTTAGAGCTTCTAGAAAGCTTTCAGAGCTTCTAGAGAGCTTTCAGAGCTTCTAGAGAGCTTTCAGAGCTTCTAGAGAGCTTTCAGAGCTTCTAGAAAGCTTTCAGAGCTTCTAGAAAACTTTCAGAGCTTCTAGAAAGCTTCCAGAGCTTTCAGAAGCTTTCAGAAAGCTTTTCATGAGCTTTTCAACCTTTCAGAAAGCTCAAATATTGCGGTGAAACGAATATCGAAATTTTTGCGAGAGATTTATACAATTTAATGTCAAATGGATGGAAAAATTCGACGGCAAATGGGAAAATTTTCATTCACGCTCGTCAACTCATCTATTACCATGCTCAACCACAATTCTGGTGAATTCACAAAGAAAGTTAAAGTCAAATTAAACCAAGCCAGCCAATCGAATGCACTCCAAGATTGACAAAAAAGGAAAAATTTCCAATTAAAAGTGGTCGGTTGTGAAATTTTGAGCTAGTGAAGAACTCGAAAGAAATACGACTTTTGTATTTTTGAAAAATTTCGATTAAAACCGATTCCAAACAGCCTACTGCCTTCCAGAAGAGCAGAAAATATTTGAAATTTTTTAAATTCATTAAATTCTGGTCTTAATTCTACTAGGTAAGACTCGGATCAGATTTCGCAAAACTTTCATTTCTCTCTGAATCACTCAACAACAGCCGAAATGCCTTTCGTGCGTTCCAGTTTGAAGATTTAACTTGCGTAAAAGTCCGTAACACTTTTAGGCTTCATTAAATTCTGGTCTTAATTTTACTAGGTAAGGCTCGGATGAAAAAAAACTTTCATTTCGCTCTGAATCATTTAAAAACGGGCGAAATGCCTTTCGTGCGTTCCAATTTGAAAATTCTTCTTCAGGTTTTGCAATTTCCCTTTGGAAATCGAAAACTATCACTTAGTGCATCACAATTTCGATGGGGAAACGATGAAAAGCGAGTTGCAAATGGTTTTTGATGAAGCTGCTGTGCCACGGAAATACTCCAATAAGGTAAGGCACAAAATTTCATTGGAAACCGCGACTTTATAAGAGGGCTCCATGCTCGATGGTTTAGAAGCAGCAGTAGCGTAGGGGATAGTGTGGTAGACGCTAAAACCAACACTCTGACTCTTTGAGGGTTCGATTCCGGTTGCTGCCAAAGTTCCACCAATTTTTGCCAAACACCGACCTATAACGGGGCGTCAAATCAAGGGGCAGCAAAAGCACCGGTGGTCCAGCGGATAGTGTGCTAGACTCTAAAACCAACGCCTTGTTTCCTCGCGGGTTCGATTCCGCTTGCCCCCAAAGTTTCGGCACATTTTGGAAACCGCGACAATAGGAGGACGCCAAGTCATAACGCATCAGACGCCCGAGGCTTTCAAAGCAGCCGTGGTCTAGGGGATAGCGTGCTAGATTCCCAAACCTATTCCATCTCCCGAAACCTCGCGGGTTCGATTCCTCTTGGCGCCAATCGTTTGGCTTTTTTTGTTACAGATATAAGAAACATTTTTTGTGAGTATTAAGCAGGGTTACAGTAGTTTACTACAATTCTGAACAGATTTTAGGACTTACTAATCCCGCGGTTGCTGGTAGCCGGCCTGGTTGGCGCTTCGACAGCACGGTCGACGCCCAGCATAGCTTGTCTCTTTTGTTTTCCCTTTTCTCTGCTTAAACCATCGAGAAACGAGTTTCAGATTGGCATTTTCTGTAGCCTAGTTACTGTATACTAGACTTCGGAAAACAAAACTTGACCAAAACCAAAACAAACCAAAACTCGCCAATATCTCGCGACTGGGACGAGCTAGCGAAAATCTGTTTGCAGATTTGAAATCAGCATCCAAAAATCGATCCCATAGGCTATTTTTTGTTTCGAAATTTCGACGTCGTGTTTTGGTCCTTTTTTCGGTCGCCAGATTTTGAAAGTGAAAGGCAAATTTGCATTTTACAATTTTAAATTTATATGCTAATTTATATGCAAATTGAGTTTTGGTTTTGGTTTTGTTTGGTTTTGGTTTGGTTTGGTTTGGTTTTGTTTGGTTTTGTTTGATTTTGTTTGGTTTGGTTTTGGTTTTGGTTTTGTTTTGGTTTGGTTTGTTTTGGTTTGTTTTTGGTTTGGTTTGGTTTGGTTTTGGTTTGGTTTGGTTTTGGTTTTGGTTTGTTTTGTTTTGGTTTGGTTTGGTTTGGTCTGTTTTGGTCTGTTTTGGTTTTGTTTTGGTTTGTTTTGGTTTGTTTTGGTTTGGTTTGGTCTGTTTTGGTTTGGTTTTGGTTTGTTTTGGTTTTGGTTTGGTTTGGTTTGGTTTGGTTTGGTTTGGTTTGTTTTGGTTTTGGTCTGTTTTAATTTTGATTTTGTTTTGGTTTTGTTTGCCGAACTCTACTGTATACTGTATCTAGTATCCCAGGGTTACTGTATCTAGCTAAATCTTTAGTTCAAATCTTTAGTTCTTTTTTTCAAAGTTTTTTCAGAATCCGAAATCCTTTCATTTTCAGGTCCTTCAACATGTCACCAATTCGACGACGGGAAACGCGATGCGTGATGGGAAACGGAGAAATGATCACCGAAAGAATGTTGAATCAAATCTCGAGACAATGCGATACTTGAGAGCAATTTATCATTCAGATTTTGAGCTTTTCGAGTACTCATGAATAAAAAGAAAACCACTGGATGAAATGATGAAATTCGCCTCGTTTCATCGGTCCTGGAAGTCACTAGGAGTATTGCTTTCGTTTTAATTGCCCTATGATCAGCTCTTCGATTTTGGTTCATTTACGCACTTCGTGAAAGCCCCTAAAAATCATGCTCAAATCTTGAATTTCTCAAAAAACAGCCTCTTTTCATCGGTCCTGGAAGTCACTAGGCGTTTTGCTTTCGTTATAATTGCTCTATGATCAGCTCTTCGCTTCACGTTCATTTACGCACTTGGTGAAACCCCCTAAAAATCATGCTCAGATCTTGAATTTCTCAAAAATCAGCCTCTTTTCATCGATCCTGGAAGTCACTAAGAGTATTGCTTTCGTTAAATAACGAATAAATAAAGAATATAAAATTTGAGCCTTATCTAGAATGATATTCGAAATTTTCATGAAATTCGCCTTTTTTTTGCTGAACCGGAAAACTTTTTGTTCTTTTTTTGAAACAAAAAAAGAAACGCAGAGATTTGAATTGCGAGAATCGGTGAGAAATGTTTTATCGACAATGGGCATGCTCAGGCGAGTCTGTCCGCTTTTTTCGCCCAATCAAAGCGAGACTGGATCTCCGAGACGATCACCGGAGTGAGATCACCGCAAAAACAACTACTCATTTCATGAAAACCCCAAGAATCGGCTTTTTTTTCTTCGATCCTGGAAAGCAGTAGGGTTAATTTTTCAATAAAATCAACGATTTTTTGAATTCTGAAATTTTTTTTTTTTTAATTTTTTGTTTTTTTTGTTTTTTTTTTAATTTTTTGTTTAATCGTGAAATTTCTGAAAAATTATTTCTTTTCAATCCTGGAAGTCACTAGGTTAGGCTAGGCTTTTTGAGCTTATCACTAGACTATCCTTATCACTAGCCTTATCACTAGGCTTATCATTTTTGTTTCAAAAATTTTTCGACTTTTTCGGCCTCAAAATTTTTCTTTGAAAAATGGATAAAAAACGATTAAACGCGGCTTTACGAGCAATTCTGTTTACCGTTTTTTCGTGATAACATTTTAGTTGAATCTTTTTAAACATTATTTTTCCCCATTGCCCGTGGCCGGACTCGAACCTGAGCTCGAACGGTCGGTCGTTCGACTGAGAGCCTAGCCTGCTAACCACTTGACCATCGTGCCAAAATTTAAATATTTAGCAAATAAAAAATCTTTGATTCCCAATAGCTCAACTGACATCCAGGAAAGCCAAAAATGAAGTTGAAAAGGAAAAATTTGAAACGACAAGCGACAAAACTGGGGAGAAATCGTTACGACCAAGTCTCTCAACTGAATTTTGTTTCTTTCAAAAGGTGAACTGTTTCGTTCGCTATGCTGGACCTCACTGCCTCTAAAGGAAGCGTTATTTTTTTGTTTTTTTTTGTTTTTTGTTTAATTTTTTCTTTAATTGCCGCTTCATTTACCCAAAAAGATGCCGAATTTCGTGAAATTTCTCAAAAATTATTTCTTTTAACCAATCCTGGAAGTCACTAGGCTAAGCTTATCACTAGGCTAGGCTTTTTGAGCTTATCATTAGACTAGGCTTATCACTAGGCTGGGCTTTTTGGGCTTATCACTAGACTAGGCTTATCACTAGACTAGGCTTATCACTAGACTAGGCTTATCACTAGACTAGGCTTATCACTAGACTAGGCTTATCACTAGACTAGGCTTATCACTAGACTAGGCTTATCACTAGACTAGGCTTATCACTAGACTAGGCTTATCACTAGGCTAGGCTTTTTGGGCTTATCACTAGCCGTATCACTAGGCTTATCATTTTTGTTTCAGAAAGTTTTCAAAAAAATTTTTTCATTTTTCGAAGATCCGTCTCTTCAATATACCAAAAAGGGGAAATAAGAGAAATGATTTTTTTTGATTCTGGAAGTCACTAGGCTAGGCTTATCACTTTTGGGCTTATCACTAGACTAGACTTATCACTAAGCTTATCATTTTTGTTTCAGAAAGTTTTCAAAAAAAATTTTTATTTTTCGAAGATCGATCTCTTCAATATACCAAAAGGGGGAAATAAAGGAAATGATTTCTTTTGATCCTGGAAGTCACTAGGCTTATTGCTTTTGTTTCGGAGAGTTATTTTTGTTCTAAAAAATTTTTTGATTTTTTTCTGATTTCTCGAAGATCGGTCTCTTCAATATACCAAAAATGGGAAATAAGGGAAATGATTTTTTTTGAGTTTTCCCTTTAATTACTCACCAAAATCACTAGCCTGTTTGCCAATTGGATGATCGAAACGAAAATCTCCAGCTCTCCAGCTCTTGGAAAAAAAAATTCGATCCACAAAGCGATCGTCCCTTTTTTTGCCGTCCCTTTTTTGCCGCTCACAAAGAGATCCGATTTTCTCGATTCGCCAGCGAATTGCCATTGGCCAATTTGCTATATGCTGTCTATTTTTGTCTTTTTTCTGATATTTTTCTGATTTCTTCTTTTTTTGATCATTAGAAATTGTCCTTTACTCGTTTTTTTTAAAAAGATTTCAGGACTGGTTGATTTTCTTGTGAAATTAGAGTAAATTTGTTGGAAATGATTAAAAAAATCTCCCTTCTGGCATGCATTCTAGCAGGTGAGTGTAAACAATTTCAAGTTTCTTGCAAACAAAAAATTTTTGTTTTTTTTTTTATAGTGACTTTTGGTGAGGTGATCGAGGGATCTGGGCTGGTTGAGGGATCTGGAGAGACGCTCAAAGTGCTCAAAACAACACATTTCATTGAAGGAAGCGGTGGTAAGATCGATTCGATATGAAATTCGCGATCAAATTGATGAATTCACGAGATTTTCCATTTTTCACTTCGAGATTCGAGTTTGCCGTGAAATTCTTGAAATTCTCTTGAAATCGTTGAGAATTTAGCGTCTTTTTGACTGTTCTGGAAGGCACTAGACTCTATTTTTCAATTTAATCAAGAATTTTTCGAATCTGGAAAATGTTCATTTTTTGATTTTTTGGTTCAGTTACGCAATCCGAAATTTTTCAAATCTGATTTTTTTGCGATTTTCTTTAGTCAATGCCTTACGTGCGTTCCAGGATTTGGGAAATCGGCGAGAATTTTCAAATTGCTCAATTATAAGCAATGATTTTTTCAGCAGATCTCCCATTGTTGACTGAGGGATCGGGAGAGATTATGGGAAATTCGATCATTGAGCCAACAACCACACAAGAGACTTTAAGCAGTCAGGAGATTGTAAGATTTATAGATTTGCAAAGTTTTAGAGCTCGAAAGTTTTTCAGGAGATACTTAAAGACATCCGTATTTCGGAGCTGGCCACCGTGGCGCCAAATGCTACGGTAGATTGAATTTGTTTTGAAACTTTTGAAACAAAAACAATTTCTAGCTTGAGTCAATCGACGAGGAGCCACTCTCGCATAATATTATCGAGAAATGGGAGAGCAAGATTGAGAAGTCCGTTTTGGAGAGTTCAAGAGATATGGAATTCAATAGATTCAATAGATTCAATAGATAGATAGGCTCAAGACTCCTTGGACTTTTGATTAGTTCAAATCCGATCAGAAAGCAGTCTTAACCTTGCCTAGACTAGCCCAGCTACTGTTCAAGGCAAGCCAGCCAAGCCAGCCAAGCCAGCCAAGCCAACCAGCCAAGCCAGCCAGCCAAGCCAGTCAAGCCTGGCTTTTTACCAGTCAAATTTTATGCCAAACTTGACCAGCTTCTTGCTTCAGATTTTTCTAGAATTTTCCATCCGTCTTTCCCAACTTCCCATCAGTCAATTTCCATAATTTTAAGTTTATTGCACTTACAATTCTAACTAGTTATGATTTTAGATTTCGTTTTTTTCAAAAATCAACCCTCACGACACAGCCGGGAGTCGAACCCGGGTTGTGTGAGTTGTAGACAAGCGCGCTGCCGACTGCGCCACAGCGACAGAGAGGCGGAATCTAAGCGGCTAAAATAGCACCCTTGGATTTTTTGAAGTTGCTAATTTCAGATTTGATCCTTCTTTTTATCTTTCTTTTGAAAGTTTTTGTTAAAATGAGAATCCAGTGTGCCAGACGTTTTTTCGACATGAAAAGAACGCACAAGAACTTGTTGAGCTCTTTGACAAGAAAATACTATTGAAGAGTTGAATTTATTGAAGAAAACTGATGGCGGAGGAGGAATTTGTAGAAATGTAGAAACTGGAGAAATTGTAGAAATGTAGAAATGTAGAAATGAAAGCTCTCCCTTTAGCGAGATGAAGCCTGGAAATAGTTGGCAGCGCCTGGAGGAGTTGCTCTCGGAGGTCATCTCGACTGAGGTAACATTTTCGTTTTCCTATTTCGATTCCCTTTTCAAAGCGCTTCGTGACATCCAGAATGTTGAAAGAAATCGAAAAATTTTCAGCTTTCCAAAGAAATCGACGAGATCGAGGCCACTACAAAAATTTCAACAATTTCAACGACAAAAACAGCGAAATTATGTGAAAAATCAGCGATTTGTCGAAAAGATAATGATTGCGGGATGGTGAGTTCAGATTTCGAGTTTTGTTTTCGAGTTTTGAAGGGCTATTTCAGAAGGGCAAATGCATGGGAGCGTTGGTCGGAAAATGCAATTGTAACTCGTGTTTTCAAGCGAAAATTTGTTCAAGTGAGAAATTTTGAAAGAAAAAAAATCGAATTTCATCAAATTCTAGATGATAAAGAATGCGGTGGGCTGCAGGGCGCGTGCAGAGGAGGCAAATGCGCGTGTGCACAGGTCAGTGGTTACGCTAGCCTCCAGCTATAGTACCCTGTCGGACAGAAAGCCTGAGAAGCCTTTTAAAACTGTTTTTAATCACCTAAACCAGTACCGTGACATCCAGATTGAATAATTGACTTGTGGTAGTCGAAGAATTTAGACGACAAAGCTCCGACAAGGTCGGTACGTAAGGTAGCTATTAGCCCGGTAAAAGCCATCATAGGTTGAATCATGGCAAACGATGTCCTGACATCCAGATTGAACCATTGACTTGTGGTAGTCGAAGAATTTAGACGACAAAGCTCCGATAAGGCCGAGTACTGTAACGGCAGCTATTAGACCCGAGCGAAAAGTGTTCCTAGGCTGAATCTAATAAACTAAATCGATGTCCTGACATCCAGATTGAACAATTGACTTGTGGTAGTCGAAAAATTTTGACGCCAAAGCTCCGACAAGGCCGAGTACTGTAACGGTAGCTATTCGGCCCGAGTAAAAGACCATCATAGGTTGAATCCAATGAGCTAAATCAGTACCGTGACATCCAGATTGAACACTCGAATTGTGGTAGTCAAAGAATTTAGACGCCAAAGCCCCGACAAGGTCGAGTACTGTAACGGTAGCTATTAGACCCGAGCGAAAAGTCTTCCTAGGCTGAATCTAATAAACTAAATCGATGTCCTGACATCCAGATTGAACAAAAAGACTTTTTAAAACCGAAACTTTTTCAAATTTTCTCCAACTTTTCCAGGTTTTCTCCGAGCATGGCCTCAGCCTCTACATCGACGTTTTGTTGCGTTTTTGCAATGTAAAGTCATGCAATTCGTCCGACGATTGTTTAGGCCTTTCGTGCAATCCCGGGAAATGTGATTGCGCTTAGAAATTCGTCTTTTTCAATCTTTTTCAATCTTTTCAATCTTTTCAATCTTTTAACATTTTGTCTCACTTAATACGGGATTACTGTGCAATTTTTTTTTTCATTTTTTTTTGATTTTTTTTGACTTTTTTGACTTCATTAGAATTTAAATAAAATTTCGAAGGCAATTTTTAAAAAAATGATTTTTTTGCTCAATCTGGAGTGCACAGCATATTTTGAAAGAGTGCTTTTATGCAAATTCGCGAAATTTCCATTTGACTACAGACAGTCCAATTTACGCTCTATTGTACTGTGAAGAGATCTTTGTAAAAGCGACTCCTCTCGCTGCTGTGCGCTCCAGATTACGGTCCAGACAGTCCAATTTACGTCCAGACAGTCCAGATTACGGTCCAGACAGTCCAATTTACGATCTATCGTACTGTGAGAGATCTTTTTGTAAAACCGACTCCTCTCGCTGCTGTGAGCTCCAGATTGAGGGAATTTTTCGAAAATCACCCCGCTTTGCGCAACGAATTTCCTTTGAGAAGACAGGTATTCGAGGCGCCGAGGAGTACACGAGTTTTATGACCTTGTAAAGAGCTTGAGGCGGAGGGTTTCCATTTTACAAAAGTAGAAAGCATAATATGGCAATGAAATGAGCTGAGAGAAAAGTTTTGAATTTAAAATGGAGAAATGATTTTGAAATCATTCGAAAAAAAAGGAAAATTGGGTTTCTATTGGATTGGTGAATTGAAATTGAATGGCTTTACAACAGCTTTGATCTAGCTTTGATCTAGCTTTGTTCTAGCTTTGATCTAGTTTGATCTAGCTTTGATCTAAAGCTTTGATCGATCTAAATTTGATATTTGTAGATCTCTTGGTAGCACTTGATAGCAGAATTTGATATTTAGATATTGTAGATCTCTTGGTAACACTTTGACTTTAAAATTCTTAGCCATAGCAGTAGAAACGAGAAGGATCCCTGGCAGGCTTCTGCACGTACGTCCCGAACTTCTTTTTGACAGATTTCTCCTTGTGCGTTGCTGTGTGATGATCATTGGAAGCCGATAAAGGACTTCCAATGCTGACCAGCAAACCGAGTTCTTTTAATCACTCATTCATCATTTGATCAGTCATCATTTGATTTGAAGCTTCAGCCACTCGATCAACAAATTGAAAGACTTGAGACTCAATCTAGCTGCAGTAGAAGTCATTCTATCTACTATATATAAAGCAGAAGAGACGTCTGTCCGTCTGTGCAAACCGAGTTCTTTTAATCACTCATCGAAGTCATCATTTGAGAATGTTTGAATCTTCGGTTTCTATTGGATTGGTGAATTGAAATTGAATTGAATTGAATTGAATTGAATTGAATTGAATTGAATTGAATTGAATTTAATTTAATTGAATTGAATTGAATTGAATTGAATTGAATTGAATTGAATTTAATTGAATTGAAATTGAATTGAATTGAATTGAAATTGAATTGAATTGAATTGAAAAACGCGGGCTATTGCCGTATTTCACAATTTGAGCGCTTTCTTCAAAAGAAATCCATTTTGGTGTCAATGGGAAAGTTGTAGAGAATCAAAAATTAGGCTTACATCGAAATTTCCAAAAAGATACACTTAGTAGTTTCGCTTGTCCTTTGTGGTCTTTGTGCGGCCGCGTAATCGCTCGTCGTCTGGCGCAGGGCTTTTACATAACCCCCTTCCCTCTCGCTTTACCAAAACTAATCTGGCCGACTACGAATCTTCAAATTGGACATTGACCTCTCCTCAAATCAAGGCTAATCTCAATCTATTGGATACGAAAACTACTGGAGACGCAAAAATGGAGGACTGAAGATGTTTCAGTGTCCCAGTTTGAGCTCTAGATGTCCCAGTGTCCCAGTTTGATCTCCAGATGTCCCAGTGTCCCAGTTTGAGCTCTAGATGTCCCAGTGTCCCAGTTTGATCTCCAGATGTCCCAGTGTCCCAGTTTGACCTCTAGATGTCCCAGTGTCCCAGTTTGATCTCCAGATGTCCCAGTGTCCCAGTTTGATCTCTAGATGTCCCAGTGTCCCAGTTTGATCTCCAGATGTCCCAGTGTCCCAGTTTGACCTTCAGATGTCCCAGTGTCCCAGTTTGACCTTCAGATGTCCCAGTGTCCCAGTTTGATCTCCAGATGTCCCAGTGTCCCAGTTTGACCTTCAGATGTCCCAGTTCTCAAAAGGAACCCATTTTGGTGTGAATAGAAAAGTTGTAGAGAATCAAAAATCAAGCTTATATCCAGATTTTCAGAACGATTCAAAAACTCGTTTTTAAGAAATGCGAAATTTACGAAAACTGCAACTATTTTCACAAAACTTGCATTTTAAGCGAAACTACTAAGTGTTTCTTTTTGGAAATTTCGCTGTAAGTCTAATTTTTGATTCTCTACAACTTTTCTATTCACACCAAAATGGGTTTCTTTTGAAGAAAGTGCTCAAATTGGGACACTGGGACATCTCCAGTCCTCCATTCCTCTTCCTCTTCCTCTTCCTCATCCTCATCTTCTTCCTCTTCCTCTTCCTCTTCCTCATCCTCATCCTCTTCCTCTTCCTCTTCCTCTTCCTCTTCCTCTTCCTCTTCCTCATCTTCTAGATCTGGTTCTCGATGAGAAAACTGATCACTTTCCTTGTCTCTCATGATCCTATTTCAAATTTCGTTAGCTGGTTGCTCGCCTCAGATCTTCAAAAGAAAAAGATGGCTATTGCTTGGAGGGAATGCTTGGAAGTAAGCCTAGTGGAAACAAGAAGATGTTGATCCTACCGTGGTCGGTGGAAATTGCTATGGCAAAGCGGAAGAACAAGGGCAAAGAGTTGTGGGTCTTTGGAGGACGAACAAGAGTCACAGTTCAGCTTTCGACTTTTGCTTTCTTTGTGGTAAAGGAGCGGAACGACTGGAGGCGGCAATTATCGTCTCATCCCTTTCTCCAGCTCTCTCCAGCTCTCTCCCAGATGAACTGTGAAGTCCCGAGCGTCTGACCTTGACAAAAATAGCAATGGCACTTGATTTAGGTTGAGGTTGAGGTGGTGGGGAAACCGGGAAACCGGAAACTCTACAGCTCACTTTTTCGACAATAACCTGCTCATTTTCCCCGGGCTGCTCATTTTCCTCGGCCACACTACATGCGATCAGCCTTTTTATGGTACGGATCGTCGAGCTGGAAGGCACTAGGCTGATCTGTAGTTTTGGTTTTGAGATTTTGAGATTTAAAAATTATTTCATTTTTTTTTTTGCAGAAATGTCGCGTTATTTGTTGGCTATTCACGTTTTTGTGCTAATTGGAATGCACGTTAAAATCATCGATGCTTTTGGATGTCAACGACCGTGCGCGCCTAGACCGATGCCTTATTCTGCACCTCGACCGATGCCCTATGCTGCACCTCGACCGTGTTGCCGTAACGCCTACCAGGCCGGCTACCAGCAACCGCAAGGCTATCAACAGCCGAGAAGTTTGTGAAAGCCAAATTGGGTGTCACTAGGCGTTTAGCCGGCTTTAGACGGTGTTCTGGAGGTTATTTTCTTCCAGAATTCCTATAATTCGTAGCTACAGTAACCCCTCGGCCCTAGCTACAGTAATCCTTTTGATAAGTTTACAAGAGGCTCTTCTGGAGTGCACTAAAGCTGTGTACAGACTACTGTAGCTACTACAGTAGTCTTTAAAATACGACAGTAGGCCAGTAGGGATTACGGTAGGTAAAATGACGATGTAAATTGTAGCTGGCTACGCAGTGGGACCAGGTGGAGGGCTTCCTCATCCGGATGAATTACCCAGTGTTGGAACAGTGCCACCAATCGATCAGCTAGTCAACAAGGAGGTTGAGGTAAGAAAAAAAAACCCTCAAATTAACAGATATTCAGTTAAAGAGGTGATTTTTTTAAATGTCGAAAAATTGAGAAATTTTCGTTGGATTCCCTGGTGTGACCTCCAGAACTGACAAAAATGTCGAAAATTTGCGAATTCCTTAATTCCTCGACGAGAAATGAGAGGCTGAACTAGACGTGGAGTACTGTAGTTGGTGGAAAAGTCGAAATTTCGAGAAACGAAAATGTCGAATGCTCCTTGTGACATCCAGCTTGAAAGAAAAGTGTTTTAAAAAGTTAAAAAACTTTTGAAGAAATCGAGAAATCGTCGCGATCGATTTCTTTGTTCTTTGTGACATCCAGCTTAGACGAAAAGGATTTTACAGCTCGGCTCCGAGTACTCTAACGTCGTCTAACGTATTCTAACGTCCTCTAACGCACTCTAACGTACTCTAACGTCCCCTAACGTCCTCTAACGTCCTCTAACGTCCCCTAACGTCCTCTAACGTCCTCTAACGTACTCTAGCGTACTCTAACGTCCTTCTACAGTACTCCAGTGTACTGTAGACGAGCGATTACCGTATCGCAGAAGATTCTGTGCTAGGAAGATCGTAATTTAATCCATTTCTAGCAACTAACTGCCTCAAAGAATATGATTGAAGATGGAGATTTGCAACAAACGAAAGTGAGCAAGACAAAAATCACTGAAGAAGCTGATCAGACACAAAAAGATGATGCAAAAGGAGTCGGTTTTTTAAAGTTTTAAAGTTTTAAAGTTTTTGAGTTACTTTTTTTTTATTTTCTCTAACTACAGTAAACAGAAAGGAATTGTTGTGCAAAAAGCAACCAAAAAGCAACATCGGAACTCCCCGTAAATACTGTAATCGTCGTAAAGTCGCGTAGTCGCAAAAGTCTTTTAGGATTTCATTTTTTTTTCAAAGCGCTCGTACTTTCAAAAAATGCGTCTTTTATATCAAAAAAAAGCCCTGAATTTCAGCTATTTTTTGATATTTAAACGAGCATTGTAGCATAAACCGGTGTCGAGAAAAACTCGTTCAAAGCTAGACTACGAAACACTCCGCACCGTCATTTTGGGGGTCGGGTACTATTACAGTATTTACGGTATCTATCCCTTAGACGGTAGAGTTACATTAGAATTGAACTGATCATCAGATTGCTCTAATCTAATGCTCTATCAGATCAAAGCATCAGATCAAAGCATCAGTTCAGAGCATCAATTCAGAGTATCAGCTCGGATCATCAGCTCAGAGCAGAGCATCAGATCAGAGCATCAGATTAGAGCATCAGATCAGAGCATCAGTTCAGAGCATCAGTTCAGATCATTAGCTCAGATCATCAGCTCAGAGCAGAGCATCAGATCAGAGCATCAGATTAGAGCATCAGATCAGATCAAAGCATCAGATCAAAGCATCAGTTCAGAGCATCAGCTCAGCTCATCAGCTCAGCTCATCAGCTCAGATCAGATCATCAAATCAAATCATTTCCAATCAAACTCTACCGTAATCTAATCAAAGTTTATGGTTTTAAACGGTTTTAGACGGTCTTCAAAGGTAATGATTGCCAAAAAAGTTTTAGCAAAGTTTAGGAAAGCTTTGATGACTTTGAAAAGCAATTAGCTGAATTGAAAGAAGCTCATGGAACGGAGATTGGAGTGGATGCTGATGGAGACAAAGCTAGTGAGGTGATTGATTTGAAAGAGTTTCTCTAGTTTCACTAGTTTCATAGCCACACAGCTATCCTGTTCTAAAGCTAGCAACCCATCAGAATAGATCAGATCAGAGCTAGAGCTAGATCTAGAGCTAGAGCTAGAGCTAGAGCTAGATCTAGAGCTAGACCTAGAGCTAGAGCTAGAGCTAGATCTAGAGCTAGAGCTAGAGCTAGATCTGATCAGAGCTAGATCTAGAAACTTGTTGATCAGCCAGAAGGCAGGATTCTAGAAATCGCTTATCTGGATGTCACTCTACGTTTTTTAAATCTTATTTGAGGAAATTTGAGATTTCTGACTTTTTGGATTTTTGACGGTTCGACTTCGGCCTCTTAAAGGCCTCAAAATGGCCCTGATTCCAAAAATTCAACAAAATAACTTCAAATTGGATAGCAGGACATGGATTGCATTCAAAAAAACTCAAGAAATACCTCTAAATTCTTTTCCACAATTCACTCCTCTCAGTCACTCCTCTCAGCCACGCAGTCTCCAGTGCCGATCGGCTCCGCGCTCCAGTCGCCGCTCTATCTCCGACCCGATCAATCCGCGCATTTCGCTGGTGGACAGTACCCGGGTGGGTATGCCCAACCGCAAGTCTATGCCCGTCCCGTCCCCTACCGCCCACAACCAACCTACTACGCTCCCCAACCGAGATATCAACCGCAACCGATTCGTAAGCTTTTGCTATCACCATTTCACCTTAAACAATGCTAATCCTGGAAAGCACAGAGCATTTTAAAATTGATTTTCAGGCTGCCCAATGCCCTCTTATCGGCCACCACCACAATCCTACGCCCCACCACCTCGGTAATTTCATTTGAGAATAGCGGCTTGCTTGGCTTTTTTTTTTATTAGGTACTCCGGAAAATAGCTGCGTTATTAATCAACCGTTAGAAGCAATACGCTTTTGTCAACGAGTAGCCAGCAGAGATTCGATCTTTGCCGCAAAAAAGTCGGGTTGCCTTAACAAGAAAACTTGTTAAGGCAACTTTTTAAGAAAACTTGTTAAGACAATTTGTTAAGACAAGTTGTTAAGACAAGTTGTTAAGACAACTTGTCTTAAATCATCAATAAGTCTAGCCGCAAGACTCGTTTGTCATCAAGATCTCATCAAGATCTCATCAAGATCTCATCAAGATCTCATCAAGATCTCATCAAGATCCCATCAAGATCCCATCAAGATCCCATCAAGATCTCATCAAGATCTCATCAAGATCTCATCAAGATCTCATCAAGATCTCATCAAGATCTCATCAAGATCTCATCAAGATCTCATCAAGATCATCATCTCGTTTCCAGAATCGTTTGAAACAAACTTGAGCGATCCGAACAAAAGTAGTTTTATAACCAAATGCTGTTGATGTTTTAAGACTACAAACTACAGAAAAAGCCCACAAACTTCGAAATAAGACTACAGACCACAGAAATAAGCTTACAGACTAAAGAAATAAGCCTGTGGGCTGTAGACTACAGAAACAAGCCTACAAACTACAGAAATAAGCCTACAAACTATATAAATAAGACTACAAACTACAGAAATAAGCCTACAAACTATAGAAATAAGCCTACAAACTACAGACTACAGAAATAAGCCTACCCTACCCGAAATAATTCATCTCTGCAGCTATTTTTCGGAGTACCCAATCGAAATTTACCATGTGCTATCCAGATTTTCGAATGATTTTATGAAAAACATGTTTTGCAGTGGCTATGCCTTGCCTCAAGGTTTGTACTCGCAAATCGGCTCTTCCCTTCCACTCCCGACTCCGCTCCCATTGCCAGCTTTCTCCGAAGGTGTTTTTGAGCTTTCTGGAACGCACGACTAAGCTTTGAAATTGAATCATTTACCCTTTGCTTTAAAAAAAAGAACCATGTACTTTTGTGTACTATGTACAGAGCTTAGAAATGCTATTTATTCCGAACTCAATTTCTCATGTGCATTCCAATTTTTAGTTTCCGCTCCACCCGGCCCACCGCCATCACCATTTCAAAGGTGTGCGCTTGTTGAGAAGCTTGAGAAGCTTGAGACGATTGAAAAGCTTGAGACGCTTGAGAAGCTTGAGAAGCTTGAGACGCTTGTGAAGCTTGAGAAGCTTGAGAAGCTTGAGAAGCTTGAGACGCTTGTGAAGCTCTTTTCTAACAATGCTATCAATTTATAAACAATGCTAAACCCTTTTCTAGATACCATGCTCCATCGAATGAATGCTGTGGTCGATGCAATTCCCGTTGTCATTACAAAACAGCTAAAGCGGTAACCAGGAAAAATTGTTTATTTTGTTCAAATTTCACTTTTCAGTTCGGCGTCAGGAACAGGAAAGGGCAGGAAAAGGTGAAAATTAAAAAATGAAAATGGCAATCATTTTCTACATTTATATGCTAGAATGACTGCCAGAACGGATATTTTTTTAAACAGCTTTAAGAAATCGCTGAAATTTCGCGAGAAAATCGAGTAGTCCTGAATTTTCAGATTGGCTTTATGGAAAGGATGATTTTTAAGCCCTATCATGTGGTTTCTAACCTATCTTAGAACACTGTAAGTGTTCTAAGATAGGTTAGAAGCTTCCAGGAACTTGGGTCAGATTTACAGGAAAAAGTAAGATATGGTAGATTAAGGCAAGAGAAGCAGAAGATTAGGTTAACGAATTTTTGTTTCTAGAGGGGCCCTGGGTACTGGAAGGATTCTAGAGGGGCCCTGGGTACTGGAAGGATCCTAGAATGGCCCTGGGTACTGAAAGGATTGTAGAGGGGCCCTAGGTACTGGAAGGATCCTAGAGGGGCCCTGGGTACTGGAGGGATCCTAGAGGGGCCCTGGGTACTGGAGGGATTCTAGAGGGGCCCTGGGTACTGGAAGGATCCTAGAATGGCCCTGGGTACTGAAAGGATTCTAGAGGGGCCCTAGGTACTGGAAGGATTCTAGAGGGGCCCTGGGTTCAGAAGCCAGACCCAGATGATTAAAACGAGTGCAGGCCAGAGCTCTGATCTCTGATGAAGCCTCAGATCAAGTCTGAGCACTTAATTCAGAAATTTCTAGAAACGAGAGGTGATCAACGATCTGAAATGCAACAGTCATAAATTGGAGAGAATTATGAGCGAAGTAGGGTTTCTGGCTTTGTTTCTGGCTTTGTTTTTGGCTTTGGCTTTAATTCGTTTCGTTTCTGGCTTTAATTCGTTTCTATATTCTATGATCGATTTGCTAGGGAATGTCGAAAAACGCGGAACAATCAAAGCGCTTGATTCAACGATTGGCTGAGGAGCTGCTTGGAGGTAAACTTTCAGAGATCGAACAAAAGATCGAACAAAAAAGAGAAATCGAATTTGCAGCTCTTTTCTTCGTGGTCTGCAGCAAAGACGACTTCTCGTACATCAGCCGCTCCGAGCGTTTCTGCCAAATCGAGAAATTCGGCCTCGTTTGCTACGCATTTCAACATCACTAATTGAATGGAAATTCTTGAGTTCTTTTGGAAGCAAATCCATCCAGCAAGCAATGTGCTGCCCTCCAATTTGCATTTATTCACGTTAATTTTTAATTTTTGTAATCAAGACCATTTCTGACATTTCGGCGACCGAAGTCAAAAATCGAAAAATCGAAAAACCACAAATTTTATTTTAGTGTTTCTAATGTTTTAAATGTTTTTAATACATAGCGTGACATCCAGATGGAAGATTTTTAAAATCCCCAATCCTCAAAATTCACTTTTTATATCGAAAAATTGAGCAAACTTTTTTTCATGGTATTTTTCTAATTAATTGAAAAGCTTTTAATGTTTTAATTTTTTTTTTTCAACGCCGTGCCTTCCAGTTTCCCCAGAATTTCATTGAAAAGTTCGAATTTTTGCGTAAAATTTCCTTTTTTTGATCTCAACTCTTTTTTTGTGTAAAAATGGAAAAAAAACTTTTATTTTAACGAATAAATTATAAATTTTGAGAGGAAAATAAAGAATTTGACTATTAGATTATTTTTTTGAAAAAGAAAAACGAAAAAAAGAAAACAAAACACAAAAGGCACATTTTGGTAATGCTCTGATAATCAAAATCATCAAAATTTTAAAAGATATTCAGTTAAAGAGGTGATTTTTTTAAATGTCAAAAAATTGAGAAATTTTCGTTGGATTCCCTGCTGTGACATCCAGAACTGATAAAAGTGTCGAAAATTTGAGAATTCCTTAATTCCTCGACGAGAAATGAGAGGCTGAACTAAACGAGGGGTACTGTAGTTGGTGGAAAAGTCGAAAATTCGAAAAACGAAAATGTGGAATGCTCTTTGTGACATCCAGCTTGAAAGAAAAGTGTTTTAAAAAGTTGAAAAACTTTTGAAGAAATCGAGAAATCGTCGCGATCGATTTCTTTGTTCTTTGTGACATCCAGCTTAGACGAAAAGAGTTTTACAGCTCGGCTCTGAGTACATTTCGGTACTCTTACCGTAAATGAAAGTATCCTGAGCTACAATGAGTTAGTTGTTCAGAGGTTTACTGTCTAATTGCTGGGCAAAGTTTACCCAAAACTAGACTTGGTGCTGTAAACTGATCTAATCGACTAAACTAACGGATTGCTGTAAACGAATCGTACTCTAACGTACTCTAATGTACTCTAATGTACTCTAACGTACTCGTACTAGTTAGCTGTTCGTTTTGGTGTAAAAAAGGAAAAAAGCCTTTATTTTAACGAATAAATTATAATTTTTAGAGAAAAATAAAGAATTTCACAAACATTTTGACTATTAGATTATTTTTTTGAAAACGAAAAACGAAAAAAAAAGAAAACACAACACAAAAGGCACATTTTGGTGATGCTCTGATAATCAAAATCATCAAAATAATCAAAATTTTAAAAGATATTCAGTTAAAGATAAGTGATTTTTTAAATGTCGAAAAATTGAGAAATTTTCGTTGGATTCCCTGCTGTGACATCCAGAAATGACAAAAGTGTCGAAAATTTGAGAATTCCTTAATTCCTCGACGAGAAATGAGAGGCTGAACGAAACGAGGAATACTGTAGTTGGTTGGAAAGTCAAAGAAAGTGAAAATTTCGAAAAACAAAAAAATGGAATGTTCTTTGTGACACCCAGCTTGGAAGAAAAGAGTTTTGAAAAGTGGAAAAATTTTTGAAGAAATCGAGAAATCGTTTTGATCAATTTCTTTGCTCTTTGTGACATCCAGCTTAGACGAAAAGAGTTTTACAGCTCAGCTCCGAGTACATTTCAGTACTCGAACGTACTCTAACGTACTCTAACGTCTCTAATCTAATCGAGAAATCGTTTTGATCAATTTCCTCAAAATTAAAAAATTTTTGGAATCTCAATTTTGGACTACAAAAGGCAAAAAAAGGCGGAAAAAGCAGAAAAAGCCGTCAAAAAAACTGTACACATATCGCAGATGCTCTTGCTTTAATTTGATTTGCTAAAAGAAAACCAGAAAAAAAAGAAACCAAAAAAAGACGAAAACAACAAAGGAAGGGTTACGGTAAAACGAGTGCGAAATAGGAAAGCCGTGCGAGGGATTTTGGCTGAATATCTCAAAAGTTTATGTAATTTTCTAAAAACCTTTAGCATTTTCTTGAATCCTGGACCTCACACGGCTTGCCGGTTTCATAAAAAGAGTACTTTAGCTTTACTTTTAGTCTAACATCGGAAAAGGGAGTCGTGCGAGGGATTTTGACTGAATATCTTTAAATTCAATAATGATTAAAAAATTTTACAAATAATTTCATTGTTTCTGGACCTCACACGACCTGCCGATATTATAAAAAGAGTACTTTAGCTTTACTTTTAGTCTAACATTGGAAAAGGGAGTCGTGCGAGGGATTTTGACTGAATATCTTAAAAGTTAAGGTAATTTTCTAAAATCCTTTAGCATTTTCTTGAATCCTGGACCTCACACGACTTGCTGGTTCCATAAAAAGAGTACTTTAGCTTTACTTTTAGTCTAACATTGGAAAATGGAGTCGTGCGAGGGATTTTGACTGAATATCTTTAAATTCAATGATGATTGAAAAATTTTACAAATAATTTCATCAATCCTGGACCTCACACGACTCACTAGAAAAAAGAGATTCGAAAATAATTGAATTTAAAAAAATGATAATATGTACATCCTATCACAGAAGTTTGCTGTTGATGTGGGTTGGGAAAATGAGAAAAAAAAACCGAAAAGCAATACTTATTTTGAGAGAATTTCAATTGTTTTAATTTCTAGGGCAAGATTTTGAATGCAAAAAATATTGACAAGAATTTTGAAAAAAAAAAATTTGGTTTTTCGTAAAAAATGGCATTTGAAAATTTGCATATAAAAATTTGAAAAAAAAAAAAAAATTTTTAATTTAAATTTAAAATTTTTTTTTAAGTAATTTAAAAATTTGGAAATGGCAATCGGTTTTAAATCACCCAAGTTCTTGATGAAGTCATTGAGGAGTTGAGGAATTGAGGAATTGAGGAGTTGAGCGACGTTTTCTTTTCACACTGCTTCCTCACAACCCTGCAAAATTCAATTTTTTTATGCCGAGATTTTCATCCCGATTTTTCTCGTCACTTGATCGAGATTTTAAGAATTGCCAAAATAAAAGTTTCAAGCTGGAATGCAACTTAGAAAATGGAAAAGAAAGATTTTGATTATTTGAAAGTTTTAGAAAATTTTAGACTTTAGACTTTAGACTTTAGAGTTTAGAAAAACTTAGAAAATCATGAATGAATTTACAGCACTGTACTTTGTGCTGCTGTACTTTATGCTGATGTACTTTATGCTGCTGTACTTTATGCTGCTGTACTTTGTGCTTCTGTACTTTATGCTGCTGTACTTTGTGCTACTGTACTTTATGCTGCTGTACTTTATGCTGCTGTACTTTGTGCTATCATAAACGCGTGTTCTCTGGTGTACTTGGATTGATTTCAATTAGATAAATGTACCTGTGAATCTGGAAGAATGTTGCCGAGTCATTGGAGAAGTGGGGAAAGCGATTGGAGTTGATTTGAGCTCTGGAATTCAGTTTAGAGTTCTGAGATTCCTTTATTTTAAAAGTAATCCTTAATTTTATCAATTACATTATAAAATCTGGATGTCACTAAAGGTTTTTAACCTTTTTGTTTGCGGGAAAATTTGCGTCTTTTATTTTGTTCATTTCCAAGTGGCTTGTCGACTGTCGACAGTCGACTATTGTCGGCCATTTTCCATTTTCATCTTTTCCCTCAATCACTCACGAGTTTCAAAGCTGAAAAGATTAATTTAGAGCCACTCAACGAGTAGAATAACAAGAAAATTGAGAATTTCGAAATGGAAAACAATTTGGAAAATAATGAATTGAGAGAGAGAGAGAGACAGCTACGTTTAGGTTCGACTTGAAATTTCCATTTTTCGAACATCGATTTGATTCAGGATTTTACCAAACGCTATTCTGGAAGGCACTAGGAAAAATAGAATAGAAAAAAGGCGACAATTGCTTAAAATGCAAAAATGGAAAAACCCTCGTTTAGGTTCGACATGAAATTTCTATTTTCCGAACATCGATTTGATTCAGGATTTTATCAAAGGCTATTCTGGAAGGCACTAGAAAAAATGGGATAGAAAAAAGAGACAAAATCACTCAAAACAAAATATCCTTAATAGGGGCTGTTGAAGTTCGACTTAAAATTTCCATTTTCCGAACATCGATTTGCTTCAAGATTTTATCAAAGGCTATTCTGGAAGGCACTAGGACAAATAGAATAGAAAAAAGGCGACAATTGCTTAAAATGGAAAAATAGAAAAACCCTCGTTTAAGTTCGACTTAAAATTTCCATTTTCCGAACATCGATTTGCTTCAAGATTTTATCAAAGGCTATTCTGGAAGGCACGAGGACAAATAGAATAGAAAAAAGGCGACAATTGCTTAAAATCGAAAAATGGAAAAACCCTCGTTTAGGTTCGACTTGAAATTTTCATTTTCCGAACATCGATTTGATTCAGGATTTTATCAAAGGCTATTCTGGAAGGCACGAGGACAAATAGAATAGAAAAAAGGCGACAATTTAGGATCTAGTTTGTTGGGGTGTTTTGATGAAATCAGGTAAAAAAGAGCAATTTTCAAATGACTAGAATCGAATCTGTGACCACGACTTCCCTTCCCGACTTCCCTTCCCGACTAGGATACAAGCAACCCAACCACTTGGCCATCACGGCCATCGCAGCATCAGCATTGCGCAGAAAATATTGCCGTAGTTGTATTTTAAAGCCGTAATTGTATAAAGTTTCCTTTGAAAGATCAATAAAAAGTCGAAAAGTCAATACTAGTTTTTTGGTTTAGTCGTTTGGTGAAAGCAAGTAAAAAGAAAAAAGAAAAGATGAGAGAAAGGAAAAAGGTTGACTGCAAACCGATTTCACTGTACTCTTTGGAGAGGAAGAAGAAGGAGGAGAGGAAGAAGAAGGAGGAGAGGAAGAAGAAGGGGGAGAGGAAGAAGAAGGGG